TACGTCATCCATAATGATGGAAATGTCTACGTGGGCACGTGATAATCCACCTCCAGCAACTTTAATTCTCATATCCGATCGGGAAGAGGAATTTGTTGAAAGTGGTGTACTCCCCTCGTTTAAGCACCGTGGATACACGATCGTTCGTGCATTTCAAAAGCATCCGAAAGTTTCACCCATTTACGCTGCTCAAACGATCCTTTTGGATTACTTATTGCCAGGTGATTTTTTCATCGAAATAACTAACCAGCAAACTAAGCTGTTTCTAATAATTAGCCTGATTTTTTTTTAATAATTTGGATTCAGCTTGGTATGAGGTTACTGATCATGAGGTTGAGGACAAGTGCAGTGCAACTGCTTGGCATTGCGACTTGTGCATAAGTTCTGGCCTGCCTTTTGCTGGCGAAACACTTGAAAGCTTGATCAGGCATTTCAAGACTCCAGATCATTTATTTCAAGTAAGCATCCTCTTCCCTCCACCTCAGCTTGCATGGATCATTATAATTTGTTCATAGAAAAATATCTCCATTTCAAAAGTTTGACCCAATGCTATCTTGCTTCCAGGAGTTGATGCTTAAGTGTTATGAAGCGGAAGCCTCGACTCGATCTAGGAAGATGGGGGTGTGGTGGGACATCAGTACCTGTCAGGTTCCCCAAAAGTTTGATCCTTGTAAGGTCCGTCAGAAACTAGAATCAGCGTTTTCACACTGCCGTCCTACCACCGTCCTTGCCTTTGGCAACCTAGAACACATCTCCCCTAGCGTCCTGGAAGCGATCTCATCCACTGGAATCATTCTGAGACACGTCCAAGAAGGTCAAATGAAATCCATTTTTCTGGATATGAAGAGGTGGACAGGTAAAAATCCACCTCCAGCGACGTTAGTTCTCATATCCGATCGTGAAGAGCACTTTTTTGGAAGTGGGCTACTCCCCTCGTTTGAGGAGCGTGGATACACACGATCATTCGTGCGTTTCAAAAGCATCCAGAAGTTTCACTCCATTACGCTTCTCGAACGATCCTTTGGGATTACTTATTGCCAGGTGTTTTTTCATCTCTTTTTACATGTCTGGCACTGAAATAACTAATTAGCACATTAAGCTGTTTCTAATAATTAAAACTTGTTTTTTTTTTTTTAATAATATGGATTCAGCCACGTCTGAGGATACTAACAAGTGCACTTTAAGGGAAACTGCTTGGCATTGCGACATATGTAAAGTTTCTGGAGAAAGCGTTGGAAGTTTGACCAGGCATCTCAAAAGTGAAGAACATACAAATCAAGTAAGCATCCTATTGCCTCCACCTCAGTTGGCATGGATCATTCACAAGTAGATAAATATCTCCATTTCAAAAGTTTGACCCAATGCTATCTTGTTTCCAGGGGCTGATGTCTATGTCTATAGACCCTTGCTCTTCTGGAGAGGAAGAGGCCTCGACTCAATCTAACTAGGCTATTACTATGGGGAAGAGGCAATCAGAGAAGTCTCAAAATAAAAAGGCCTCCTCTCAATCCAAGAGGGCTAAGCAATCAGAGGCAAAGCAGTCAAAGGCAAGTTTCAACACCACTAGGTAGACAAATTAAAAATGTTCTATCCTCAATGCTTCTTGGGCTTGGTTAACCTCTACCGGTTCCGGTGGTAGCGTAACATCGACCGTCAATGTTAAAACTCCTTTGTAGCAGTCGTCATGAAGCGAGTTTGTTATCTCACAAACGTACAAAATAATGTCATGCATCAGAAACTGAGCCTCGAATTCGATTATTCCTGAATCGACAAGTAATTCGTAGAGCTCCACTTTCTCTGGACAATCTTCGTCTTCCCATATGAAATCGTCGACCGTGGAGGAGAAGTAGATCTCTTGCAACGGAGAAGAAGTCCCTCGTCGTAAAACCTTGGCATTAACATCGATACTGAAACCTTTGGACTTTGGTTGGTGTTTGAGACCATGCATGTTCGAGTTTCAATTCAAAGGGAGGAGGAGGAGGAGGAGTTTTGTTATTCTCCATAGTTTACGAAAAACAAAGAAAACAATATCTGAGTGATGTAAATAAATCTCGATCGGTTTGAGAGTAGTGAAAAAGAAATCAAGAGATTCGCCTATATATTTAGGGTAATATTAAGTAGTCTTTGTTTGGATTGAAATCGGTAAAGACATTTAATATCGTTGTATTTCACGTTTTTCCTTTTTTTCGAGTACCACATGTTAACTTGTAACGTCTCTAGGATTGCTTCATTCTTTTTTACTTCTTGAAATTTCCTTCTTTAAATACAGACTGTTAGCCTATACAGAGTATTAATATGGTGAAAGCTAATAATACAGCCGTATACACAGTGTTTAGGCACTGTATCAACAGTAGCTTTTGGATGTTAAAGAAGCTAATACGGCCGTATATACGTCGTTTGAGCTAATATATACAGCCTTTTACGAACTTAAGAAGCTTTGTTCCCTTTGAAGTAAAAGAAAAAACGGAATGCCACTTGTATGGTTTATCCTTTTTATTTCTTCTTTGCTACCCAATTCGGGTGGTTCCTTCGGTGAACAATTTCAACAATGTATAAACTAATCAGATTCTTGTGTTGATTATGCTACATTTGGCCTTGCTTGGCAAATAAGAAATAAGAGGATATGGTAAAAAAAAAAAAAAAAACTTTTGGTGTTGTGATATATTTGTAATTTGTGACAGAACGTGGCTCCAATACCCCAAGCCGGGAGATGTAGGAGCTCAGGCGGTGGCGACGTTTGTGGGATGTGGTTTCTTTGGAGCTCAATACACTCTTCATGACGATAGAGGTCGTCATTACTTCAAGGATTACTACATTCAGGGCTCGATCGATTTCATCTTTGGCAACGCTAAATCTCTCTATCAGGTATCGATTAGGTCGCTAAATGGGCTATACAGACAACAAAAAAATGACAAAAATAACTCTCGAGAACAAAAACATAACCATGCTATAGCCTAAAGGTTTCAGCAAGAAATAAAATTTAGCTAAAGAAAATAATAATTAAAAGGCCTGATCGAGTTAAACCGACTAAGGTTTAAACGCAAGGAACCGCTGATTTCCTTTTTAAATTCGAGTATATGTATATATATCAGAGAGAGTTGACAGAAACCCTATAACGGATAGAGACCTCAAGCCTGTAGATCTTGATTTAAAGACGATTTGATTTTTCGTAGGGTTTAAATACATGTCCGAGATGATGAACACGGGGGTGTGGTGGGACATGGACACCTGTCCCTTTCCCAAAGGGTTTGATCGTTATCAGGTCCGTCAGAGCATAGAATCGGCGTTGGAAAACCACCTTCCTTTGACCAGCTCTGCCATTGGTGACGTTCCTTTCACCATGTCTGCCATTGGTGACCTAAGTCGCATCCCTGAAGCCGACTTGGAAGCGATCTTATCCACTGGTTTCTTTACGAAACACGTCACAGACGGTGAATCTTCTTTTCCCTCCATATATGATTTAGTTTTAGTTTTTTTTTTTTTTTTTTTTAATTAGGGTTCGTGTCTAATGCTCCCAGGTTCTTCGACTAGTGTACTTATGAGGGATATGTATGCGTGGGCACAGAATCATCCACCACCGGCTAGGGTAATTCTTATATCCGATCATGAAGACGACGATTTTGTTGAAAGTCGGTTCTTCGAATCGTTAATAGCCGCCGAGTACGAGATTATCCGTGCATATAGAAAACTTCCGCTCGTTTCGCCCAATTACGCGTCTAGCACGTTGACATGGGATGACTCATTGTTGTCAAGTGTTTTTTCATCTCTCGCATTGAAATAAGTAACCAGCAAATTAAGCATTAAGCTGTTTCTTATAATTAGCCTGACTTTTTAATTTGGATTCAGCTACCAATCAGGAGATTCCGCTGGTTGAGGAGGAGTACTGTCAGCTACCGATTGAGAAGTACTGTGAAACTGGTTGGCTTTGCTACACATGCATCCATTCTATCCACGCTTTTGCTGGCGAAAGCTTTGAAAGTTTAAACACTCATCTCAAGAGTGAAGAACATAGATTACTAGTAAGGATTCTCTTGCCTCCACACATGATTTACACTTTTGAAAAATATCTCCATTTCAAAAGTTTGACCCAACGCTATCTTGTTTCCAGGAGCATCAGCCTTTGTCTCGTCAGGAAGGTGACTCCTCTTCTCTACCTAAGAAGACGGCGGTGTGGTGGGACATAGACACCTGTCTTCCCCAAGAGTATGATCCTTTTCAGGTCCGGCAGAGTATAGAATCGGCGTTCAAAGACTTGCTTCCTATGACCATCTCTGCCGTTGGCGACCTAAAAAGCATCCCTTTTGCCCTTCTAGAACCCATCTTATCCTCTGGAATCTCAATGCAACATTCCACCCGCGGTGAATATTGTTTTCTCTTTTTTGCTTTTCTATTTGTATTTGTTTTGAAATCAGGGTTTATGTAACTGTCCGTATTTTCCAGGTACGTCATCCATAATGATGGATATGTATACGTGGGCAAATAGTAATCCACCTCCAGCAACTTTAATTCTCATATCCGATCGTGAAGAGGTCTTTGTTAAAAGTGAGATACTCGCCAAGTTTTATGACCGTGGATACACGATTGTTCGTGTATTTCAAAAGCATCCGAAAGTTTCACCCTTTTACGCTGCTTTAACGATCCGTTGGGGTTACGTATTGCCAGGTGTCTTTTTCATCTCTGTCATTGAAATAACTAACCAGAAAATTAAGCTGTTTCTAATAGTTACCCATATTTTTTGATAATTTGAATTCAGCTAGGTATGAGGCTACTAAGCAGTACAAGTGCAGTGCAACTGCTTGGCATTGCGACTTGTGCGTAAGATCTGGCCACCCTTTTGCTGGCGAAACACCTGAAAGCTTGAACAGGCATTTCAATGCTCCACATCATATATTTCAAGTAAGCATCCTCTTCCCTCCCTCCACCTCAGCTTATAATTTGTTCATAGAAAGATATCTCCATTTCAAAATTTTGACCCAATGCTATCTTGATTCCAGGAGTTGATGCTGAAGTATAATGGAGCGGAAGAGGCCTCGACTCAGTCTAAGGAGACGGGGGTGTGGTGGGACATCAATATCTGTCAGGTTCCCCAAGACTTTGATCCTTGTAAGGTCCGTCAGAAATTAGAATCAGCGTTTTCACACAGCCTTCCTACCACCGTCCTTGCCTTTGGCAACCTAGAACGCATCCCCCCTAGCGTCTTGGAAGCGATCTCATCCACTGGAATCATTCTGAGACACGACCAAGAAGGTGAAAAGAAATCCATTTTTCTGGATATGAAGAGGTGGACAGATGAAAATCCACCTCCAGCAACGTTAGTTCTCATATCTGATCGTGAAGAGCACTTTGTTGAAAGTGGGGTACTCCCCTCGTTTGAGGAGCGTGGATACACGATTATTCGTTCATTTCAAAACCATCCGAAAGTTCCACCCAATTACGCTTCTCGAACGATCCTTTGGGATTACTTATTGTCAGGTATTTTTTCATCTCTTGCATTGAAATAACTAACTAGCAAATTAATTAAGCTGTTTCCTAATAATTATTTTAATGATATGGATTCAGCCATGTCTGAGGATACTAAACAGGAGTTGAAGGACAAGTACACTTTAAGTGAAACTGCTTGGCATTGCGACATATGTATAGTTTCTGGCGAAAGCGTTGAAAGTTTGACCAGGCATCTCAAAAGTGAAGAACATAAAAAACAAGTAAGCATCCTCTTGTCTCCACCTCAGCTGGCATGAATGCCACAAGTAGATAAATATCTCCATTTCAAAAGTTTGACCCAATGCTATCTTGTTTCCAGGGGTTGATGTCTATGTCTATAGACCCTTGCTCTTCTGGAGAGGAAGAGGCCTCGACTCAATCTAACAAGGCTATTAAGAGGCAATCAGAGGCAAGTCTCAACACTTCAATTTCAAGGATTTAGTGCGACTATTTTCTTGATGAAAGAGTTTCGAAAGTGAATGTCTTCTTTTCCTTGTTTCCAGGAGTTGCCTCAAAATGAAAAGGCCTCCTCTCAATCCAAGAGGGCTAAGCAATCAGAGGCAAAGCAGTCAAAGGCCAGTTTCAACACCACTAGGTAGACAATAAATTCAAAATGTTCTATCCTCAACGCGGTCTTCAAAAACCGACCTGCTTTTTCCTTGCTCTCTCCCTATATATTTACATGCACACCCATTTGTAAAGATATTCTAAGATTCAAATATTTATAATCCATACAAAAAAACATCATACAAAAAACATCTATACACGCACACATAAAAATTATTGCTAAAAACCAAAGTCCGTTTCACTAATCTTTCGAAGATGAGCCAGTACAACAATCACAACCAATCTTTCGAAGATATCATGGTTTGTTTTTGAATATCTGGTCTTTTAGATTCATTTCGCTTGCTCTTAATTAGAGGGCTATATATTAACTAAAGAAGAAGTTATCGAGTAGATAGTTTTATGCTACTTTGATTGATGAAAGGATCTAAACATATTTTTTTTTGTTATTGGATTGAATCACACATATTAGATGCGGAGCCACGTCACCCAATATTTGATCCTAGATCATCTCGCGATTTTCTATTACTTTTAGGTTTTGCCTTACATCAATTTTGATAACAGAAAAAATAAAAGCCGAAACGCTGTCGTTTTTCTGATTGTGTTTATTTTGTTAACGCAAGCGTTGATTACAACTTTTTGGAAAACAGAAACCTGCAAAGCAAAACATAAAAACCCTACTAGTCATTGCTTCTCTCTACCAACTCTCTTCTACGCGATTTTTAGGTTTTTGTGACTGGTTCTCAGTTGAGGGCTCGTTGATTTGAAAGTACCAATGACATGCCATCAGCCCCGATTCTGTAGATGGCTTTTTGTATTTTATGTTTTGGTTTCAACCAACGCCGGATCGTCGTCGTAATTGCTTCTTGGGATTGAGTTTGCTCCGAACCGGCATGGTTAACCTCGACCGGTTCCGGGGGTAGCGTAACATTGACCGTCAACGTTAAAACTCCTTTGTAGCAGTCGTCATGAAGCGAGTTTGTTATATCACAAACGTACAAAATAATGTCATGCATCAGAAACTGAGCCTCGAATTCGATTATTCCTGAATCGACAAGTAATTCGTAGAGCTCCACTTTCTCTGGACAATCTTCGTCTTCCCATATGAAATCGTCGACCGTGGAGGAGAAGTAGATCTCTTGCAACGGAGAAGAAGTCCCTCGTCGTAAAATCTTGGCATTAACATCGATACTGAAACCTTTGGACTTTGGTTGGTGTTTGAGACCATGTTCGAATTTCAATTCAAAGGGAGGAGGAGGAGGAGGAGGAGTTTTGTTATTCTCCATAGTTTACGAAAAACAAAGAAACAATATCTGAGTGATGTAAATAAATCTCGATCGGTTTGTGAGTACTGAAAAAAAATTCGAGAGATTCGCATATATATAGGGTAATATTAAGTAGTCCTTCACGTTTTTCCTTTTCTCGAGTACTACATGTAAGTTGTAACGTCTTTAGGTTTGCTTCATTCTTTTTTACTTCTTGAAATTTCCTTTTTTAAATACAGACTGTTATTATTATATACAGCCGTATACATTTTGGATGTTAAAGAAGCTAATACGGCCGTATATACATCGTTTAAGCTAATGTATACAGCCTTTTACGATCTTAAAAGCTTTAAGTAAAGAAAAAAAGGAATGCCACTTGTATGGTTTATCCTTTATTCTTTCCTACCCAATTTGGATGGTTTATCTAAGAATTTTCAATTTCTTCCGGTGAACAATTTCAACAATGTGTAAACTAATCAGATTCTTGTGTTGATTATGCTACATTTGGCCTTGCTTGGCTAATAAGGAATAAGAGGATGGTAAAAAAAAAAAAAAAGCCCTAGACCCAGAGCAACAATAAAAACAAAAAATCATGTATAAAACAATCACAACGTTAAGGATTTTTAATACCTTTTACCAAGAATGATACCGATGATGACAGAGACAAGAGCCACTCCAAGGACGATCTTCAATGTCATGAGATGCGATGTTTCAGTTTTCTGAATTGTAACGTTTCTTGTAGAAGACGAAACTGATGGAGAAGCATCTGACTTATTCATGCTCTTACTTTGCTTTGGAGTTACAAAAGATAAGTCAATGTCTCGAGATTTAACTTCTTCTCCTATAGACTCGGTTACCTGCAAGTTTGGTTTCTACGTAAAATAGTAATTTAGTAGAAATGCTCTGTTTTACATGTATATATGACTGACCTTAGATTTAGCATCTGCAAGCTGCACTTTCTGTTCAAGCTCTCTGATCATAATTTTCTTAGTTTCAAGCTCTTCTTGTGATTTCTTTAGAGTAGCCTCCAACTCCGAACGTTTCTGAGAAACCGCTTCTTTCTATTTCCGCCGCAAAAAAAAAAAAAAAAAAAAAAAAAAAAATCAGAACTCAAAAGACTCAAGCAAAAATACAAAAGAAAGTGTTTTATTTAACCTCTTCAGAAATGACTGTGTGAGAAGCTTGAAGTTCTCTATGAAGCAGAAGCGCTTGCTCGTGCTGCACATCTCGGTCACTCGCCTTGTGTTCATGTTCCTGTAATTTTGAGGTCATTTCTGCAACTTTTTCAACCTGAGAAAAAAAACCAAGAAACATCAAGATTTTGTAGTCCAACATCTTATTCCATGGTAGTGAATTATTTTTACCTCTTGTTTCAACTGAGCTTCAACTTTTTTCAACTGTTTTTCAACTTCTTCAAAGTTTGACTCCAACACAGACTTTTCAGCAGCCACGGCGCTGAGTTTCTTGATTTCGGTTACACTAGCATCGGATTTAGACTTCTCTACTTGGAGTTGTTCTTGAAGCTTTACAAGCTCATTCTTTGTGCTCTGGTATATTTCATTGACTTGGTTATTCTCTTCTGCAAGGGAAGAGATCTAAAATAGCAAAGAGCGTCAACTTTTCATGAGATGGTCTATTAAATAGTTAGTTTATATTCACAGAATGTTTGTCTACCTGTGATCGTAATCTTTCTCCTTCAGAAGTAAGTTTGTTTGTTAGATCTTCTATGGCTGTCTTTGCAGCCTGAAGCTCTTTTGATGCTTGGTCTTTCTCAGTTTCTAAAGCAGACAACTTTACCTGAAAATCGCTTGTCTCTGACCCATGATTGGCTAGTTCCTGATTCAGCTTCAGATTCACCTCGGCCAGAGATCCATTTTCTTTCTCAAGCTCTATGATTGTAGCTTCGAAAGTCATGAGTTTCGATAGAGCCTCTTCCAGCTCTGTTTTTCTAGTATCAGAAACTCCAGATGCTTCAAGAACTTGCCTTTTGTGCTCCTCGATTAGGTTGTCATGTGATTTCAACATTGTAATCAACTCATTGGCTTCTTCAGCCTGTCTAGCTGTGGTGTCCTTCTCAAAATCCAGAAATCCTTCAAGTTCTTGAATCTTGATCTTGAGCTGGTTGTTTGTGTCTACTAGTAACTCATTCTCCAAAGACGACTGATCAAGATCCTCTTTCAAAGAAAAAGAGTGAGCAGATGCTTCAGCCAACTTCTCTTCATGTAATCTCAATCTCTCCTCAAGATCTTTCGATTTCTCAGCCAGTGACTTGGCCTCTGTATCTCTGCTACTGAAATCCTCCACTGCCTTTTGAATTCTAAGCTCTGAGTGTTTATGAAACGTCTCGAGCTCTATGCTTCTTGCACTAGCTTCATCTATTTCTCTTGCTTGCTTCTCAAGTCTCTCTTCAGCTGATTTCAGATTTTTTGATAATTCTCTCTCTTTCTCAGCTGAAACGTTTAGTTTTTCCTCTGCTTTCTCTAGTTTTGACTGCGATGTTTCTTGATATTCCTCCATCTCTCTAGTCGAATTTTTTCTTTCCTCTTCAGCCACTATCAAAGCAGATTTTAGTTCAGCTACTTCCTTAGAAAAACCCTCCAGAGTTTCCAATTTCTGTTCAAGAGCAGAGTTTTTGGACAAAGCTTGAGACAGAAGAGCATCTGAAACCTTCAGTTTCTCTTCAAGTTCGTCGCACTTCTCTTTCGATTTAGCTGCATTACTAGTGATATCTGCTACAGATGTTTCAAGAACTTGCTTATCTGCTTTCTCATCATCATCATCATACTTTGTGTCGATCCCTTCTTTCTCAACTTTTACGAATCCACCATCAAATGTTGTATCCTCATCTTCTTTCTCCATAACTTTCTCTTCCTTTGTTACAACTACTCTATTCATAGCCTGAAATAAATATTTCAAAATTACTAATATCTATCTCCCACAAGAACTCTTGATAGATTCGATCCTACTTAACTTTGCCTTATCTTCAATCATCCTTTAAGTCAATCATATGAGAACAATTTTCCTAATTTGGAGTTAACTTGTATATGAAACTTAAGAGTAATTAATAGTTTTTTCCGCGAGTTTTAGGAAAATTGGATGACATCAATAAGATTCACAAAACCTATGAGGAGACAGATGATTACCTTAGCAGAATCATCGGCTGTGCTTAGATCTTCTGATGTACCTATCACTAGAGAGACCTCGGTTGCTTTTTCCATGCCTTTTGTTGTGAAACAGAATAAAATCAAGGCATCAAAATGGTGTTAATTAGTGGAGTATATTTTTTTTATGTTGAAAGTCAATGTCTCGTGTTAATCACCATGTTTTCTGAGTTTTGTTTCTTGCATCAACAAGAAAGATGATCAAGTTTCGTTGAACATTCCAACCGTAACAGTTTCAACTTTTATTTTTTAAAAGAAAAAAAAAAGATAGTAGTCACAACTTGTAAGAAAGAGAAACCAAAGTCCAAAAAATTACATAAATAACAGAAAAGATAAGATCATCTCTTTGTGACCTTCGAGAGACATACATCATCTCTTGTTCCATTTTATTATCATAAAAAAATATATACCCAATGATTTATTATTGCCAACGATAGTCTTTAAATTAGGGAGGTTGAGAGAATGAGAGATCTCCAAATAAAGGTCAACGTCGGTATATCACAAGAGTTTGTTCTGGTTTGATGATCATACAAATTACATTACAATGTGACCAAACTCCAATCAGACTTTGCAACGAACTTACTTTTTTAATTTGTCATGGTAAGTTGAACATTCATCGATCAAAATCATTAAGCATAAACATGGTCAACTATGATGTCATTTTTCTGTGTCATTTACTCATTTGACATTTAAGCATTGTTCACAATTCAAAATTCAGGCTAAACCGGGGTTGAGACAAGAAAACCAAAGAATATTCGATGGAATTAAGAAAATTGTAATCAATAACCTAGTTTTCTTTATAGACGCTATCTATCTATAGATAAAGACATGTTTTGAACTGAAAGTTGCACGTAATACATCTAAGTTTAGGTTAATAACTAATACATCTAAGTTACATATTAAAGAATTATAAGGAGTTGAAGACGCCTGGGAAGAAGAAGTCGATCGGACATGTGGTCATCCATGATATTGAAAGTGTTAAGCCGCCTTGTAATGTGCGTGCGGCCACCCAATGGTGTGGTAAGCCAAGCGCCCTAATTATTGTCGTTGCTGGTGAAATAAATGCCCAATTAAGTATTACTGAACCCAAACTTAAATATTAAAATTTTAAAATGTGTAATTTTGAAAAATAACACTAGTTTTGAAATTTGACAACCGAAAATATTATTTCTTAAAATTTCACTTAAAGAGAAAAAATGTTATAACATTGACAATAAGAAGATATCCAAAATATAATACATGTTAAAATGAGGAGTACAAAAATAGTGCTTGTTGAACTTATGAGCCTTTTTGGTTGGTCGATCGAGTTTGTTTAATATTTAACGAAAGCAAAGATTAGAAAAAGGGTAATTTGCAAGGCATTCCAACAAATCCTTACACTTCATGCAATTTCATGCTTCCCTTCTGTTCGTATAAATAAATGTCTATTTTGCAGTCTCATATTCATAAGTTCCTTTTACCCTTTCCCTTTCAAATCCATCAAACACTAGAAGATGAATTCTTTAAGAGGAAACAAGCTCATAAATCACAAAGTAGTTGAAGGAGAATGATTCCGAGGTCGTGCTGAGATTGATTGACCAGCTCAAGGTACATTTCTACAGACTAAACGAATCATTCTTAATTATCATTCTTAATTAATCCGATGAGTGCTTTTTAGGCAGTAGTAGTTTCCTTAAAGAAGAATATCGAAGAGAACAAAGACATGAGTGTAAGTTTTATGCAGCCGTTCTCTGTTAATAGAAGTGTCGATTTTGTCTGCATCTCTCTAAGTGATTTGATTTAATTTTTCAATAGGATGCTGCTGCTACGAATCTCTTTTGAAGCCTGAAGCTCTTTTGATGTCAGCTTTAGATTGTAGCTTCGGAAGTTTTGAGTTTCGATAGAGCCTCTTCTAGCTCTGTTTTTCTAGTATCGGAAACTCTTAATGCTTCAAGAACCTGCCTTTTGTGCTCCTCAATTAGAGTTTCAACTTTGTAATCAAGTCACTGGCTTCTATGTCTCTGATTAAACGTTTAGTTTTCCTTCTGCTTTCTCTAGTTTTGACTGCGATGTTTTTAACATGCCTTCTAGCTCAACACAGCGCTGAGTACTGACACTTCCAAGATCTTCATGCTCTGCACCTTTCCGCAAAGAATCTCTCAAATCTTCTTCAAGTTCTGAGACTCTCGCCAATGATTGGTGTTTCTGATGATGGCATTGACATGATGAATGTACAAAGTTTGTCAATCATATCAGCCACCAAATCTTCAGTGGCATGACGCACCCAGAAGCACCAAAGTTCCATAATTATCTGCCAACATAAGAAATGCGGATGCAAGAGATTCTGGAGTAAGAATGTTTCAAGCTCTTCCCAGGCAGGAGATGACGACAGATTAATCATAAGGGTCTTGAGAGATAGAATCAGAACTGATAAAATCGATTCCCAGATTATTGTCTTCCCAGAACCATCTGCCACTGGAAGCTGAGAGGAAAGGACTGAAGAGTAAACCTCTGCGTCTATTAATACGTCGAGAAGCCATTGCAGCTTTGTGGTGACTGCTAACTTTGCATCTTCTTCAAGCTCAGAAGAATACCTCATGACAGACTGAAACAATACAACTCGGGCCAGGAGCAAGACTCTTGCACTTGTCGCAGATTCAACAGATAAAGACAAGATATCCACCAAGAGAATCATGGATCTGTTTCTTACTAACATGGTTTGAGATGAACACTGTGCATCAACAAACAACGAATCAAGAAGTGTGAGCCTGAATTCTGTTGTTTCACCTGAGTTCAACAGTGCACTTAGAAGATCTACTGTTGTTTTCTCTAGAAGATCAGTCATAACTTCACCGGCGGATTTGCCATGGGATTGTTGGCTCAGCAAAACTTTGAAAGCAGAGATCATCAAGACGCAGAGTGCTATTTCTTTGAACACCAAAGACGCCTGGCTTGGAAACAGCGCCACAACTTTAACAGCATTGATAAGATAAAATTTCACAGGAAGAAAGACCCTTCTAGCTTCTGTTGCAGATACGTTTTCCTTCCCTGAGCAAGACCAAGCCTCAGCAGCAAATCTCAGAGACTCCTTGATCAGTGATATTAGCTTTAAAATGATTTCTCCAATATCTACCTCAGAGACCATATCTGCTTGTCTATCTGAAGCAATGTAATCACACCCTTCCATGATGTATTCAGAATGGTCACAAGATTGCCACCATCTCTTGCAGCAAGCATACCCAATTCACTCAGAGATTTAACTCCCAGCGTGATTAAGCTCACCAAATTACACACAGTGTTGTTGCCTCCATTCTAGCTATTCCTTCATTTCCATTAGTCTTCTTATCATTTATCCACTGATTCACTGCTGGGGAGTAGTCTTTGCACAGACGAACAATAGAGTCAATCACCGCTTGCACAGCCTTTAAAATCTCCGTGGAAAAGGATTCAACTTTCTGTCTCAAATTAAAGGTGAAAGCAATTAACAGATGAGAACAATGCAAAAACACAAATCTCAGCCTACAGTAGTAATGCTTAATTTCAATAAAGCATATGTTAAATAACCAGTTTCATGACAGTATGGTTCAGTACAAATAAATAACTACTGGTGAAAGATTAAGATGAATTCCGAATACCTTGGCATTGCAATATCACCTCCTTCATCAAATTCAGCTGCTCTGAAACAAACTTATGAACTGTAACAGCTGAGGCCTCATCACTCATGAAACATATTTTTCCAATAGCAGTATAGCCAGAAAAGCGAATCGGAATGCACATCAGAGCGCTCAGAGCGAATAGCAATATATATATTTTTCCCAACTGTTTAGGCTCTCCTAAGAAAGAAGGCACATCAGAGCGCTCTTCTATATCTGACTCGCCGGCCGTTTGAGTAAGTTGAACTGAGCAATGAATACAGTGAAGCTCGTTAGACCTATATGAGGTAATGAGATTCGCAATTCCTTCAATTGAATCGGAATCAGTTCATAGCAAGTCAAGTGAATATTAAGAGAAATCGGACAAAATTTACTCGGTCGGAAAATTCATGAGAAACACCCATCAATCGGATTTTTGTTAAATCTTAAAAATGAATCAAAAAGATGGACAAATAGAGGCGATTTGTTCCTGATTGAAACCTAGAAAATCAATCAAAGGTGGAAACGAAGAGAAGCTAACATCAGAGAAGACTTCTAGTATCCTCATCGCATTGTTCTCCCCATCTCTCTCTCTCTTGAATTTTGTTTTCAATCCCGTAACTCTTGTTTGCCGTTGTCATTTTTCTTTCTTTCTTGTAATTAATATTTATTTATTTATTAGTAAAAGGCTGTCTGATGAGTGATGATACAACAGTTGACATTTAATTGGTCGAGTTTTAGATGTTGTTTTTTCTATTAATAAATAAATAAATGTTGGTTCATCTTTATTTTTGTTTATATTATCTTCTTTTGGCGACTACAGGAAGCGAGTGTAATTTAATAAACCTAAACCATAAAAGAAGACGAAAACTATATCAATCTTTTGGATAGATCATGAAAAGCGTGGGCCTTAATTCTTGTGTTGTTTCACCTGAGTTCAACAATCCACTAAGACGACCTACTGCTGTTTTCTCTAGAAGATCAGTCATAACTTCACTCCCGGGTTTGTTGGCTCAGTAAAACTTAATTTGATGTATTTTCTTATGATGATGATGTTGCCATGTGGAAGCAAGATCCTTCTGTCATTTTGGACATCCAAGAGGACATTCAGGGTTTATCTCACAGCTTAATCCGGTTTTGTTTACTTTCTCAAATAACACACATGCACTACTTGTTAAATCTAAATATGAAGAATATCTCATTTCTGATACCACTCTTAATCTTATATAATGATAGAAAAAGGTGAGTCAATTATCTCGTATCAAGTCAAGGAAAAAAAGAAAGAAAATTGATAGAAGCCTAATCAACCTAAATCTAGGTTAAATCTTTCCCAAGTGGCAACTAGCGTAAAGAAAATAGGATACAAACCATAACGCAGAAAGTATGCCAAAAATGAGAACAGAAACGGGAGAGACAGAATAGATGAACATGATGAGTACAATTAGGGCGTAGACATGGCTAACAGCCATGAAGCATCCTTCCAAGGGCTGTTCGGGCTTGTTCGTCAAGAAGACGGAGACCCACAAAGCTACACCAGCAATGAATGCTACGCAAGAGAAACCCACGAACACCTCGATCATATGGGATTTCTTTGAAACAGCTATGTGAATCTTATTGCGTTTTATATAACAAAACATTGCAGTATTCGAGACTATCAAGAGTGTGCTCATGACAATGTCATAAATCACGTATTTGTTTCGCCTGCATATATCACCCCACCAAAAGTAACATCGATCGATTGTTATATTAATTAATATTTAATTTCTATAAAAAAAAAAAAAAAAAAAATTATGGGATACTCACCACCATGGACGCCGCTGACCCTGAGATTCATCGACTGTAGGCGGATCCATGACTCCGTTTTTTTCTATATCTAACCCTAGATGGGATTTTGAAAATTTGGTATTGATGTTTAACTATTGAAACTCTTTAGATTGCGGTATCTAAGGGTTTTTGTTTAGATAATGTATTGACAAAATATATTCTCCCCTTTCTCGACCATTTAAAAATATTAGCTTTGAAAAAATGAAAACTAATATTCTTTTTTTCGTATGAAAAATAATCTTCTCTTCCACAAAGCAAAAATATATTGTCAACATGTTGTCATATAAGAAAACTTTCTTGTATTAGTGTATATATACTCCACTCTATTCTCCATATGAATATGATCATCATCAGTTCATCACGAAAATACCAAATATTACTTCCGTGGTAAACATTCAGTTTTCTTACCAAGCCTATAAGGCTATAACCGTCAGTTTTTATAATCCTTTTTGGTAAACATTCAGTTTTCTTACCAAGCCTATTAGCCTATAAGGAGTATACAAGTAAGTTTGTTTTTCCTACCAGCCTTTTTGGTAGGTCGATCGAAGTTCTTTTATATTTTAATAAAGCAAAGATTAGAAAAGGGTAAATTGCAAGGCATTCCAACAAACCCTTACACTTCATGCAATTCCCTTCTGTTCGTATAAATAAATGTTTATTTTGCTTTCTCCTATTCATCAAGTTCCTTTTACCCTTTCCCTTCTCAAATCCATGATCCATCAAACATCCAACCAAAATTTTCCAAATATTATTTTGTTTTCCCAAATATCATTTATACTAGAAGATGAATTCTAGAAGAATCTCATTATCTCTATCTATAGGCATTGCCGTAGTTGCCATTTTAGCATCCAGAACTCTCTTTAACACACATTCTAGAGTTTTTATGCACGATCCTTTCGATATTTTACTTCGTATCAAGGCAATATCATATTCAGCTATAAATTCCGTAGGCAGCCACAGCCATCATCATCATCATCATCACCATCACCATCATAAACCATCTGATACTAAAAGAAAAATATCAATATGCGACGACTTCCCAAAAAATATACCTCCACCCGACACGGAGACCACATCCTATCTCTGCGTGGATAAGAAGGGCTGCTGCAATTTCACGACGGTGCAATCAGCTGTGGACGCAATCGGCAATTTTAGTCAGAAAAGGAACGTGATTTGGATCAACTCCGGCTTGTACTAGTATGTTGCTATAATAACCATATCTTTATCTTCTTCTTTTTGCCTACTCAACAAAATAATATCTAATTATTAAATTTCAATTAAAATATGTATACATCATAAAGTAAAAAGTATATAATTATTGTGTGGCAGTGAAAAAGTGGTGATTCCGAAGACTAAACCAAACATAACGTTGCAAGGACAAGGGTTCGAGACTACGGCCATAGCGTGGAACGATACGGCCTACTCGGCTAACGGCACTTTTTATTGTGCCTCGGTCCAAGTCTTTGGCTCTCAGTTCGTCGCTAAGAACATTAGTTTCATGGTAATTTAATTTCGAGAAAAGCAATTAAGATACTTGATAAAATGGCTACAATCAAAGGACCAAGGTATTTATGAAAATCAACTAGAGTTGCCTGAAACAGTTTTCGTTTTGTGAAATATAAAAAATGAATTAAATTTTCTTTTGATATAGTACACAACTATACACTAATAACTTTTGGTGCTGTGATATATATTTGTGACAGAACGTGGCTCCGATACCGAAGCCGGGAGATGTAGGAGCTCAGGCAGTGGCGATAAGAATAGCCGGGGATGAATCGGCGTTTGTGGGATGTGGTTTCTTTGGAGCTCAAGACACTCTTCATGACGATAGAGGTCGTCATTACTTCAAGGATTGCTACATTCAGGGCTCTATCGATTTCATCTTTGGCAACGCTAAATCTCTCTATCAGGTATCGATTAGGTCAAATTTGTTTTTCTTGGTTTACTGTTCGGTTTGGTATATATTCAATGTCCATGTCTCGTGTTGTCCCAAGCGTAGGACTGTCAAATAATATCAATGGCGAACCAACTTAGCCCAGGGTCAAAGGCGATCAACGGAGCCGTGACTGCAAACGGCCGTAGCTCAAAGGACGAGAACAGTGGCTTCTCCTTCGTCAACTGCTCAATCGGCGGCACAGGACACGTGTGGCTAGGTCGTGCATGGAGGCCTTACTCACGTGTCATCTTCGTTTCCACTTCCATGACCGATGTTATCGCGCCCGAAGGCTGGAACGATTTCAATGATCCTTCTAGGGACATGTAAGCATACTAACTGAATTTCCTGTTTATTTGTTTTTTTGTTTAGCACAAAATGACTATTGAGACATGTTCGTTTAATTTCCTTGGTTAGGACAATATTTTATGGAGAGTATAATTGTACGGGTCTAGGAGCCGAGCCGTCAAAGAGAGCATCGTACGTTCAGAAGCTTAATGAGACTCTAGTGGCTCAGTTCATTAACATGTCTTATATTGATGGAGATCAGTGGTTACAATTTTCCGATCTGTGAAGGAACAGAAATCTTAAAACAAAAAATTGACTTTTTATTATTTTGTTTCCTTTCTTAAAAAGGTTGTGATGCAAATTAAAAACAAAGGTATTACAAAGAAATTATATGAAAGCTTAACTAAATGTTATTCCCATGTCAATAAGGGAATTCTTTTTGATAAATTTTAATCGGTAGATATTTAAGTATACAATTATTTAAGCTTACACTAAAGACGACTTTTGTTAATTGCGTTTTTTGTTGTTGTTTCCAGTTTATAATTATGACTCATCCACATCACTAAATTTTGTAACGAAAACCGATGCGAATCAAAATTAGGGTGTGATCAATCACCAACAAATATAAACAAAGGCGGCATATGGATAAGGATAAGGAATTCGGTGAGATATCTTCACTTATCAAAGTCACACAAACAGAGAAACAATGCGATAAGAGAATCGAATAATTATTTTTTCTATAGAAAAGGGATAATGTTAAAATAAATAAAAAGAGTTATTATTTCGTATTGTAAGCAAAAGCATATGGTAAGAGTTAGGTATTAGATAAAAATATTTCATGCTAATTATTCACACTAATAAAACAAAAAGTAATCAATCCACAAACCACATGCAATATGTCCAAGGACTTAGCCGCCGCCGTCTCTTCAGTCGCCGCGGAGAGTTCGCCTCCGACTGATGCCCCCGTCCGTGTCTACGCAGATGGGATCTACGATCTGTTCCACTTCGGCCACGCTCGATCTCTCGAACAGGCTAAGAAATCGTTAGTAACTTCCATCTCTTCCGGAAGTATCTCGTCATTCGTAGTTACTTGCTTAATGATTCCCTCGAGAAAAATTCTTCGAAATTAGAATATCTTGTAGTTGATTGGGACTCTAGTCCAGATATATAATGCATACAGCATCGATATTAGTGACTCTTCTTGTTAAAATGTGGTCAAGGAGGATTTTCGCAATAAGAAGCTAGTGTTTATGAATTGCCACTTCTGATGAGTGTTTTGTGCGTCAGTTAAATTGAATCGTTACGGTTGGCAGATTCGTTATATGTTTCTTACCTTTATGCATTGTTATAATGGCCAAGCAGGTTCCCAAATAGTTACCTTCTTGTTGGGTGTTGCAATGACGAAACTACTCACAAATACAAGGGAAAGACTGTGATGAACGAACAAGAGCGTTATGAATCTCTTCGACATTGCAAGTAATTCTCTTCTCCCACTAAACTGTTTTGCAACCAGTGTTTGTCACACCATGGTAACTAATTTAACCCTAAAGTACATCGATCACTTTGATGATACAGATGGGTTGATGAAGTAATCCCTGATGCTCCATGGGTGATCAACCAAGAGTTTCTTGACAAGCACCGGATTGCCTACGTGGCTCATGATGCTCTTCCGTAAGAACATTCATACATCATTTGTGCTTTTTTCTTGTGAAAATATTGGTTTAGTTTTGAAATGAGTGGAAATTTGTTGTTATAACGTTAATATTATTCACAGGTATGCTGATGCCAGTGGAGCTGGAAAGGATGTCTATGAATTCGTGAGTCTTGAAGTCAATGTTTATGCTCCATTCTTGTGTGATGTTTTAAACTGAGCAATCCAATTGTAGGTTAAGCAAGTTGGGAGATTTAAAGAGACGAAGCGAACGGAAGGGATATCTACTTCGGATGTAATAATGAGGATAGTGAAAGATTATAACCAGTATGTCATGCGTAACCTCGATAGGGGATATTCAAGGGAAGATCTTGGAGTTAGCTTTGTCAAGGCATGACAATCATTTCTCGACTTCTTCATCTTCTTCTTGTTTTGAAATATTCTCTTTCGAAGGAGTCAACTTTGGATATGTTAATTTGCAACAGGAAAAGAGACTTAGAGTTAATATGAGGCTCAAGAAACTTCAGGAGAAGGTCAAAGAACATCAAGAAAAAGTTGGCGAAAAGGTATGTATTTTTGAGTCCATTGGTCATCCTGAGTCCATTGGTTAAAATATAAAAAGGGTTATGTGGGGTTGCTTAGTTCTTGAGACAACACCAATTCTCGTCTTTCCCATTGCATTTTTACAGAACGGCTTGATTTTTTTTTTTTTCTGAATTGTGAGTTTTAAGTTTTTTGAGTTGACATGTTGGAGAAATAAAAATGCTTGTTACTCTCAGATCCAAACTGTGAAAATGGTGCGTAATGAGTGGGTGGAGAATGCAGATCGTTGGGTAGTTGGGTTTCTTGAAATGTTTGAAGAAGGTTGCCATAAAATGGTAAGTTTAATCTTTGAAGAAACTAACAAAAATGTAACTACTATGTTGTTAATTCAGTCTGCCATGAAATACCTTGTGAATGTAATAGGGAACTGCCATCAGAGACCGAATCCAAGAGAGGTTAAAGCGACAAGTGTCCAAGGACTTGCTCGAGAACGGTCAGCATGAAGACAATGACGAACAGTTCTATGAAGAATATTTCGAGCATGACATTGTTAACAGCTACGAAGAAGAAGAATACTGTGAGGAGGAGATGGAAGAGCACAATACTAATGTCGCAAAAGCTACCAAAGGAGCGATTTGTAATAACTAGAAGAACAAATTTTATGTTATTATTACTCAGTAAGGTAGCGCTTACTACTAATACTCTTTCTTTTATGCCTTCGCAGTGAAATGCTTCTCTCAAATCACATGTTTCTTTAGATAGAAGAGTTAAAAACGGTCGTGCGATCTTGTGTACACACAATAATGTTTTTTTTTGTTTTTTTATACATAATTGTTTTAAGGTTTTTCGGATCGCCAATGTGTCTTACTGGTTCGTGCCTTTGTAGTCATATCCGTAATATTAGTTTGTTCATGACTATTTAATTCTTTTTTTGTTTTTTGTTCAAAGACTATTTAATTCTTTTGATTCGTTATTAAGCAATTGAGAACTCAAAGTCTGAAACGAATTATTTGTCTTAACCTTTTGTTTCAGTTTTTTCTTCAACGTATTATTCCAGGCAATCAATACCAATTTCTATGTGCATGAAAATACACACTTGTTGTTGTAATTTGGAATCTTTCGCGTATTTGGTCTAATCTGAGTATTTTGGTCGTAATCGTATATATGGATTTGTCATGTGCTCTTGCTATCTGGTCGTCTTCTCTTCACTTGTTTACTATTTTGCGTGTCAGTGTTGTCCTTTATAAGTTTTTAGCTATTGTGAACAAAACAAAAGTCGTTGAAACTTAGTTTCAAACTTTGAACTGATAGTGCAATTATGCAAGTCTACCTAAAGACTATTGACTACAATCACGAAAGAAAAGTCAATATATACAGCAGTGATTCTTTGTGTGGCCCACACAGACGGCTTTCTTTACATAGGGTTGGAAGCATTCATATATGCGATTCGTTTCGTCTAGCTTAAAAGGTTTTTTTTTTTTTTTTTTCGTGTGGCTGAAATGAACGAATGGATAACATTTGTTTGTCTACAAACTAAACATTGGTCACGTCAGAAACTTGGAAGTTGGAAGAGGGGACTATTTTAATTATTGTGATCAAACACTCTTAAAACAACGTACCAACGACTTCATACCGATGGTAGAGGAAGTCTTCGGTGATGTGAAACCAACCATTTTTGAAGAATCAAAGTCATTCTGTTTTTTTTCTTTAAGAATCAATGTCATTCGGTGTGGACCATTACACAACTCTTCAAAATTTGTTAAATTAATAAAGGATGGTTTGTTCTCTTCAGTTTTGCCTTATATAACTAAAAAAAAAGTTTCAAGAAAATCGTTAGTACGTATTAGTATATTGTACGTATACGTTATAATGATTTATCTTTGTGTGTCGTTGACTCAATTTTTTTTTGTTTAGCTTGGTACGTCTGTATTTAGACTGGTTAAAAGAAATCTATGTTTTTTAGGCAAAAATGATTGACAAAATTTTAATATGAAAAAAAAAATGGGAAAGTATTGCGTTGATATTATCGTTTTCATTGGTAGGAAATGTCCCTCAAATCAAATCAGTACTTTGTCTTTCCTTGTGAAAGGTTTTTTAGCATATTAGATGAGATCCACAGGAAAAATATCTACACATCATACATGCAATAATTCAGTTTATTTGAATTGTAATTTTTACTGCTAGAAACTAAAGAAGTTATGAATATGTCAATTTTACTGCTAACTACATGAAATATTTATAAAAATATGTCAGGCAGTTCAATGGATTTCTAGCAGAGATCTTTATCCGTACCACGATGATCCCAACGAGAAAGTCATATATATTTTTTAAAATAAGTTTTCAAGAAGTGTTGAAGTCTAAAATGAAGAAAAAAATATTAACTTTTTCCAATAAAAAAAGAAAGAAAAATGGGAAGATAGAGTCATAATATCGACACTATTAAGGTTTGTCGTTTGACTCCACATGTGCTTAAGCAAAGATCAAAGTCAACTTGTGTGTTTTAGATGGTTTTTGTACACTTTATGTCGACATTCTCTCAACATAACTTAGAGGTGAAAAGAGTAAGCTCTTATATTAACATATTTTATTAGCTTTAACTAATCACGAGAAAAATAGTTTGATAATTACACTTACACATAGCCTTTCTCACTTTCAAAATCTAATCTGTAAAGATTCGATTTTTCCTTTATTTTCCTAAAAGTAGCTCTCAGCTTTCAACAATTTGAGTTTTGTACAATATCTGAACGAAATTGAAAACAATTAGTAAGATGATCACCTTCCCCTCTTTCTTCTTAGTTTATTACTTCAAACAAATCACATGGGCATGTTCATGATGAGTCAATGATTGCGAATAATCGGTATTACATGTTTCAAAAATGGAGTCACTCAAAGAGAAAAACAGTTTTTTTTTTCTAGTTCTTCATAGAGAATTGTTACAATTTATTTTAATAATCTTCATGAAATAAAGAACAGTAAATAGTCGGATGTTCATTCATCTTTATCAAAATTTGATTTTGTAACTATACAACTTTTTGTAACTAGAAAAAATAAAACTATCATAAAGGAAAAGTTATGTTGATCACAAATTACAAGAAGATTCTGACCCAACACTGTCTGTTTGACACCAATATTTTGATTTTTTTTAAAATGAATCCTCTACTCTCTTTTTTCCCTATTTTCAAAAAGATAAGTTTGATTTATCAAATTATTAATAGTTTAGAGTGGTTAAAAATTACTTGTATAAAATAATATATTTAATTATAAGTAAACATTGTTTCTTTCTCTAATATGTGTGAAAATTCTACAAATCAGAATGAGTTTATTTTTTCATAAATTTTGTCTTTTTTTTTTTGAGTTAACCTTATTTGAGTTTCAATAGAAAATAGCAAAATTATAATTTAACAACACAGTATTATAAAGACATAAAGACAAAATGTCTGATAGCCTGTTTAACAAAATTTCAATTAAATTTAAGCCTTTGGTCAAAAAATAAAATTCAAATAAATAAGTCTTCAATTAGAATATCACTTGCTAAAATATATATATACACACATTTTGAGATATAAACTATGATCTCTCCACCCACCTCTTGTCCTTAATTCCGCCATTTCTTCTCATCATCATATCTAGGGATTAACCTTCGCAAAACCCTAATTAGTACGATGAAAATCACACAAAACGTTAAGCTCGTACTCTTCTTCTTCTTCATCTCTATCCTCTTCATCGCCGTGTCCGCGGGTGAGTCTAAATGCGAGTGTTCACACGAAGGCGAAGAAGAAAACAAAGCTGGAGCGACGAAATACAAGATCGCCGCCATACCTTCCGTTCTTGTCGCCGGAGTTATCGGCGTTCTCTTTCCCTTATTAGGAAAATACTTTCCGTCGTTAAAACCGGAGACGAAATTCTTCTTCGTGACAAAAGCCTTTGCCGCCGGCGTAATCTTGGCCACGGGGTTCATGCACGTGTTGCCGGAAGGTTACGAGAAGCTGACGTCACCTTGTTTGAAAGGAGAGGCTTGGGAGTTTCCGTTCACTGGTTTCATTGCGATGGTGGCAGCGATTTTGACTCTCGCTGTTGACTCTTTTGCCACGTCATATTTCTATAGACTGCATTTTAAGCCGTCTAAGAAGATCGGTGACGGTGAAGAAAAAAGCGGTGGCGGTGGAGATGAGCTCGGGTTGCACGTGCATGCTCATGGTCACGCGCACGGAATTGTAGGTGTCGATTCGGCTGGATCCGAGATTCAAATTCACCGGAGCCGAGTTGTGGCCCAGGTAATTAATTATTTATTTAATATCTTGTTTCTGTTTTTTTTAGTTTTTCATAAATTTGATGGAAGAAGGTTCGAATTATATTTAAAAAAAAAAAAGTTGAGTTTCTTGGAACAAAATTAATCCGTTTAACAGAGAAAATGTGAAACAGAAATTTTGTTGGTTCACTATACTGAAAAGCTAAATATATTATTTTCAAAATTAATCTATAGTTTTAAGAATGTTTCTCAAGAATCCTCATATATCTATAGGTCCCCTAAAAGATAAAGCCAGAGAAATCAACTCTTACTCTTAATACAGTAACTGATTCCAGAAAATCACTTTTTAGTACGGTTTGTAGTACCCTTTAATATAAGTTTAAAATAGTAAGGTCAACTAATTAAATGTCGTAAAAGTAATTAGATTAAGATCACAAGATGCAGTCATTTCGTGTATATGAAACTTGGTATAAAAGAATGAGATATAATAGTATATAATTAATGATGGGTCCATTTGAGTTTGCTTCCCTTTTCCAACTCTTTACGTAACTGTAATTTATTCCTGGAGTTCCCTGCATAGATTCCTAGCTTTTTGTCACGTAGCATAATTTATTTTTACGTAAAAGTGAAGCTAATTATTTATTGGAAAAAAAAAATTTGAAACAGGTGTTGGAGGTGGGAATAATAGTACACTCAGTGGTAATAGGAATATCACTGGGAGCATCACAAAGTCCAGACACCGCCAAAGCTCTCTTTGCTGCTTTAATGTTTCATCAATGCTTCGAAGGCCTTGGCCTTGGTGGCTGCATCGCTCAGGTAACTTGAATTTCCTTTATTCTTTTTCTCTTTCTTAATTTTTGTTTCTTTATAATACATAAACATTAAGATCAATAATAGATAAGGTGTCAAGTATCTTTTCCAAATTGATATTTTCGTTGTTGTTGGAAGTATTCATTTGATATTATCTCTCGAATTTTAGGTGAATTGTTCTTATCGTGTGTCGTCCATTTTTGCGGCTTTCTTTGACTCTTCTCCACTTGCAAATTTTAAACAGTAGTGATTGCGTTTTTTTCCTTTTCAACTCTTTGTTACGCATACATTTGACTTTTTTTCACTTAGATATTTTCATATTTATTATATGATCATCACTAAATTACATATATTGCCTTTTTCTTAATTCAGTTTGACCAGAATACGGTAACTAAAATCATTTGGATGATTAAATCACTAATCAGTAATCTCACATGTATATGTTTGCAGGGAAATTTCAACTGCATGTCGATTACAATAATGTCGATACTTTTCTCGGTAACAACACCGATAGGAATAGCGGTTGGAATGGGAATCGCAAATTCTTATGACGAGTCGAGCCCAACGGCTCTGATAATGCAAGGAATCCTAAACTCCGCATCCGCAGGGATCCTCATCTACATGTCTTTGGTGGACTTTCTCGCAGCAGATTTCATGCACCCGAAGATGCAATCAAACACTGGGCTTCAAATCATGGCTCATATTTCTCTTCTTGTCGGTGCGGGAATTATGTCACTCTTAGCTAAATGGGCTTGAAATGCCCAAACCGTTACACTTTATATAGTTTATAGTTTTTGTTCATACGAGATCTATGTATGTTTAATAATAAATATCGATTTAGGATTTTTACTTCGTGTGACCGAAAAAGTGTTGTTATATATTTTGTAAAAAAAATTTCAGTTTTTTTTTTTTTTTTTTTTTTTTGGTGATAGATAGGTTACAGTTCTTAGATTTTCTAAATAACTAAGATAAAGTACTCAAACAATTTTGTTTGCTTATTGTTATCGTAACATATGTACTGTTTATTGACAAATGTTTATTTGTTTTTATTGATATTTTTTAAATAAAGAGTAAGTGGCTAAGAATAAACTCTTATGCAGATTTTTGTTTTTAAATGATTTTGGATTTATTTTGTATTATTATTTTTTCTATGACTGTTGTGTAGTAGACAACTATACATTATTGTATTTTTGCTGACTTTATTAATTTATTATCATAATTAATTTTATGTAGAAAGATACTGGACAAGTGTCCACGATTTTAAATGTATGTAGACATGTATCAGAATCTTATAGCTTATAATTACATCACATGCCATAGTAACACTATAAAACAAATGCGTCACTTAAGATTTGAAAGTACGATATGCTAATATTGGTTAGTTTACAGAAACTTTTTATTACTTTTTGGGTTTTCATAAGGAAAAACAAGAATCTTGTGGTTTTCATTAGTAATGGAAATAAATATACATTTTTCTGATATGGATAGGAATGGACAAAATCACTCATCCATCTTCTTCCACGTTGGCCAAAATCTAATCCAACTCTTGCCTTTATATTAATACACTTTTCCTCATAAAAAGGAGTACCATTCAAACCCCATACACACAATAACCCCAACTCAACAACGAATCTGATCTCTAATCTTTTATTTCACCCTTTTCCTGTTACCTACTTCTTTTGTGTTTCCATAGTAGATTCAAGATTAAACTTGCGTAAAACAAGAAAATGGAAGAGGGGAAAACAGAGGGGAAGAAAACATGCTTTAATATTTTAATGGTTGTTTGTATTTTTCTGATCTTTGGATTAGATATCTTCGCCGGTTTCCTGGGATTGCAAGCCGAAGACGCCCAACAAAATGTACCTAAAACTTTAAATATGTCATAGTAAACAAATGATGATGATCATGATGGTTGCATTATAATTTGGTTTCTTGTTCATGAGACAGGTGAAGCACCATAGGGTGTGGCTCCTCGAGTGTAAAGCTCCAAGCAAAAGAGCTTTCCTGTTAGGGATAATAGCATTGGCATGTTTGGTAGGAGCTCACATCATTGCCAATTTGATCGGATGCAGTATCTCCAGTCTAGTCAAAGCATTCGCTGGCGTACCTAATATCACTGGATACTTCAACGTAGCCTGCCTTGGTCTCACTTGGTAATTAACTTTTAATAGATTTGCTGTTAGCCTGTTATCATAGTACGTAATAGCACATCCAACGCATGCAGTAACGTTTTTTATATAAAATAGGTCTTGATTTGAATTTCTTGTTCAAAAATCTACGTGCTGTTTGTGAACAGGATCGTAGGAATCGTGGGAGGAGGGATTCTTACGATGGGGATATGGTCGAACAGAGAGTCGAGATCACAATGTGGAATCACAAACAAACACTTTCTCTCTCTGGGAGGCAAAGTGTGTTTCCTTCATGCTATTGTCTCTGTCGTTTTTTACGTATCGCATATTGTCGCTAAAACAAGTTGTTTTTGAAATGTTCGTAGATGATAGACTTAGACAGTTCCGTTGGCTTTTTTCAATAGTTCGGTCATGCATATAATTTTTTTTTTTTTTTTATAACATTCTAGAAGCTGGTGAATAACGCAAAAAGGTTCGAATCTGTAAATATTTGGTTTAGTTTTCGAGTTTAATTTTAGCCAAAGATATCTTTAATTTTTCAAATATTTTTTTCATTCAGCCTTAGTTAGTATATGTAATGGATAAAGATGAGATCGTAAAAAAGATTATATTTAGACTCGAAAAGTTAAGATCCTAATAACAAATCTTATTCTAAACTTGAAAAAATGAAAATTATCGTTGATAGATTCGTTTTTTTCGTCACCTGTCTCCATTGTATTCGTCCAAAAAGAGTCGTCACTTCCCACTTAATTACCTTATCTGCCACCCAAAAACCCTCACAAGCAAACTGAATACTCCGATCTACATGCACATTTACCACGTGTTAAATCAACCATACTACGATCCTGAGCACGTTACCTATAAATTAAGAATCACAGGCTGGGAAAGCAAATGCCTATTACGTGTTTTTTTTTTCTTTTTTTTTTGTTTGGTTGATTTGTAATAGCACAATCTGAAAATCTCAGATCAAATTTATAAAAAGTTTTGTTTTTGTTTTCAATGGGAATGGGATCACCAATGTGCAATTGTTGCAATGTGGAAAGAGCTAATGTTTATTGTAAGACTCATTCGGCTAGGCTTTGTTGTCAATGTGACTGGACGTTACACAATGTGACTGTGAATAGTCCTGATCACTCGCGGTTTCTGTTGTGCAACAATTGCGTTTCGCAGCCCGCGGCTGTCCAGTTCCTTGAGCAAGGATTTAACCTATGCCAAACATGCGTTTCAAACGCCAATGTCACCTCACGTTTCCTTCTTTGTAATGCTTCCATTAATAAGAATAGTTGTCCACCAGATCCTCTTGATCTCGATTCCTCTTGCTCCTCTTCTTCATTTTCTTTCATAGATTGGGGATTTCCCTTTGTTTCATTACCTTTACCTCCCAATAATGGGGACTTATCATCATCCTCTAAATTTTTTCAAAATTTTGACAATCATACAAAGAATACTAGTGATCAACAAGTGCAAATGCTTCAGCCAAACTATTTGGACATTCTTAAGGTATATATATACTTATAGTTAAGTTTGGTGGGATCTTACTATATTTGATGGTAAAACTGAGTCCTTATTTCGAATGGATGGTTCTTGTGTGTCACTTTACGCAGGATAGTTCATGTTCAGGCTTCAATGTTTTCTACGAAAATAAAGAAAATATAGTGATGGACAATTATTGTTTTGGCGAGGCAGGAGAAGATCTGATCCTAACCGATCCACGAATCATCGATGAATTAATGAAGTACGATGCCGAGACCACGACCGAGGTATATATCAATTTAAACCCGTGGCATATATATTGATGTTTATTTGATTTTTCTTTAGTTATGGTTGACTAATTATTGGTTTATCATTTTGGTTATAGATTCCATCATCGGGTATGTCATCGGTTATACATAAAGATTACAACAGTGAAGCTCTGGCTAATGCAAGCTGTGAAGATTACAACAAGAACCAAATGGTCGGCTCAAAGACAAAGGAAGAGACCAATAATAATCTTGGAACATTCCCGAACGCTCTTGTTCAAACTGACTGTGGACCATCGCAGTTGATTCTGACCGATGAGATGTTAACATGGGAAAATCAAATACCTCATGCATACAATGCGCGAGCACGACAAGAGGCGGTGAATAGATATTTTGCAAAGAAGAAGAAACGCAAGTAGGTATTACGATTTTATCTCATATATCGATTTTTTTTTACGTATAGATAACTCCATGTATACGTATACTTACAGTCTTAAGATGAATTGCAAATGCAGGTATGGGAAGCAAATTAGATATGAATCTCGAAAATCTACAGCTGATACGAAGAGACGAATGAAAGGAAGATTTACGAAAGCTGGTGCAGATTATGATTATGACCCACGAGCTAATAATGTTGACCAAGAGACTAATAAAATCATGACTTAATAAAAAGATGGTTGCAATTATGGTCATCCTCGTCATGGTTCCATGATATTTTGGACTTCATTTCCCCAAGGGTTTGTTGCAGCACACGCTTGACGATTTCGAAAATTTCACAGATCGGTCAAAAACTCTTACATTGGTCTTGGATTCGATTCAATTTATTTATTATTATTATTTTTTTTAAAAGAGTTTTGTAGGAAATTCTCAAAAATACCACAAAATAAGTTTATATCCCAAAATTACCATTGTTAATTTTACTTTCCAAAATTACCACAAACCTGAGTTTTTCCAACAATACCACAAAAACAAAATTTGCGTTCCGAAAATACCACTTTATCAAAAAAAGTTCCGAAAATACCACCACTAATTTACTTTCCAAAAGTACCACAAATCTGAATAAAAAATAGTAAGTTCTTTAATCATTTTACAGGAAACAAAGTTCAACTATTTCTTTATTTAAAAAAAAAATAACCATGGCTCGGATCTTGTGATATAGCACATCAGCACATGTTGAGGGCAGCTGAACTTACGTTACTAAACGTTGCTTGTTGCGTCTTCTTAATATTTTAACATATTGGCGATTTATGCTTACATTTATACATTAACAAACCCTGCAAAGAAAAATACAGAACAACACATTTAAAACCAAGCATTTTTTGAACAATTCTGACTTGTAATCTTGAAATTAACCCGAATAATATTAGGAACGAGATCTAATAACTTATTGTGTCGACAAACATATCTAACCCAACAAATATATATTATGCTTACATTTATACATTAACAAACCCTGCAAAGAAAAATACAGAACAACACATTTAAAACCAAGCCTTTTTTGAACAATTCTGACTTGTAATCTTGAAATTAACCCGAATAATATTAGGAACGAGATCTAATAACTTATTGTGTCGACAAACATATCTAACCCAACAAATATATATTCAGTATGTTCTAATGAAAAATTAATTCCAGTAGAGATACATATCTTCACTCCCCTAAAATTTGTATGACAACTTAAATTTATCGAGAATAATTGTAGGTCGAGTGGGTAAATCTATTACCAAAAATATAAACATCTCCAACTTTAACTAAGACGTACATTACTTTAAAATGAGAAATTTTATGAAGTGTTGAAACAACTAACTTACGAGTCCAAAAAGACTCCCACACTCAAAGTGAAATTTCTACTATATATTATAAGCTCCGTATTTGTCTACGCCTTAGTTTCCGTGCCTAATCACAACTAGTCATTAAATAGTTAGGCTACACATTAAACACCATTTTTACACTACTCCATTAACACTTCCTATGATCAATCTTCCTCTTCCGCCGCCGCTACAATCGCTTATAGCCACCGTGACCACCGCTTTAACATAGCCACCGTCGTTTTTAGATCCTTCCATTCATTTCTTTATACATAAATGTGACATATCAAAATTTGTCATATATTTTTTTCTCTCTATCGACTCCTACGGAAATGCGTCTCTTTCGACCGGCATCCAAAACCCATCCTTCTTCTTCGATTATATCGACCCGTACGATAAACTGCATACTACTTTCTGTTTTGATTTTCTTGGTCTACTTTCTCGCCTCGCTCTCGGTATCAAGGCTTCAATCTAAAGACACTATTAATGCCTACTTCTCATCCTCTCAAGATCAATCTCAGAGCCTAACAAAGATCCATCACATCGTCTTCGGGATCGGCTCGAGCACGAACTCATGGCCTTCGCGTAAGGAATATGTTAAGCTTTGGTGGGATAGTCAGAGAATGAGAGGATGTGTGTTTGTTGACCGTCCCTTATCCTCTTTGGAGAACCACACAGATTCTCATCTCCTTCCTCCGGTTTGTGTTTCCGAAGATACTTCACGATTCAGGTAACTAAGAAAACAATTAATTTCATCATTAAATAAAAGTAAGTTTAATTTGTGGTTTATTAATTTAATAATCAATGGACCCTTAATAAATAATAATCAATGTATATCTGCTGTAACGCCCACAAATTTATAAGTTTTTTTCCTGTTATATTCCTTTATCAAAATAATAATAACTCTGTAAATTGCGTAGACCTAAATCGAATTGGCCTATTGATGATGCTTGTCTCTAAAGGTACACTTGGAGAGGCGGTGACAGGAACGCGATCCGTATTGCGCGGTCCGTTTTAGAAACCGTTCGGCTATTCAACGACTCCTCAGAAGAAGTAAGATGGTACGTATTCGGAGACGACGACACAATATTCATCCCGGAAAACCTAGCTCGAACTCTATCGAAATACGACCACACATCATGGTATTACATAGGATCAAACTCAGAGATTTATCATCAGAACTCGCTGTTCGCGCATGACATGGCGTTTGGCGGTGGAGGGTTCGCTTTAAGCAGCTCATTGGCTAATGTTTTGGCTAATAAGTTCGATTCTTGTATCGAACGGTATCCACATTTGTACGGAGGAGACTCTAGGGTTCATGCTTGTGTGCTTGAGCTTGGAGTTGGATTGTCTCTTGAGCCTGGCTTCCATCAGGTTTTCATATTTTAATATTTTAAAATAAAAAATATTTATTTTTGCGAAAATTAATGAAATATTTGTTTTAATTTTTTAAGCAGTTTGATGTGAGAGGAAATGCATTGGGAATATTGACGTCACACTCAACGAGACCATTGGTGTCCCTACACCACATGGCCCACCTTGACCCACTTTTCCCAAACTCAACCACTTTCACCGCCATCCGCCACCTCTTCTCCGCCGTAAATCACGACCCTCTCCGTATATTTCAACTCTCCGTTTGCTACGACCGGTGGTATTCTTGGACTATTTCCGTTTCTTGGGGCTACACTGTTCAGGTTTAAGCATAAACTTTGTCATCTTATCATACACAAATAAACTAAACTAATGTTACTAAATCAAATAAATTTGTTGTTTGTGAAATATTAGATTGAGAGCAGGCATTTGTTTCTAAGGGATGTTGTGAGAACACAACAGACGTTTCGACCATGGCATAAATCTGGCGGGTTGTCGAGTGTTTACACATTCAACACAAGAGAGATTCATCGTGATCCTTGCCAAAGACCTGTCACTTTCTTCATGGAACACGTTTCTTCTCGTCACGATAGTGGAACCATTAAAAGTGTTTATAAGCAAGATTACGAGAATTGCACGTACGATCCCATTTCATCGCCTCGGAAAATCGAAGAGATCAGAGTGTTTTCAAGAAGATTCGATCCCGTTATCAGACAAGTAATTCATCCTATACCTTTTAAATTAATTTTAACTTTATTTATCTTTAACTGAATTACTTTTTTTTTGTGGATGTGGTAGTTGAAGGCTCCCAGAAGACAGTGTTGTGATATTTTACCTACTTCTTCCTCTGCTGGAAATATCATGGAAATAGGAATTCGAGAGTGCAAAGAGGATGAGCTCATCTATATACATACCTAGTGGCAGAATTAGTTTGTAGTGATTTTGTATACTAAATATTAAAACTGGTTATTGGCTTGTTGCCTTTCAACTTTTGAGATTTTTCTAGTTAAATGTTTTTGATACATTCACCAGCCGTAACATCTTGTGAAAAAGGTATGATTGTAATATGATCCTTGTATGGCCCAACCAATGGTCAAATCTTCAAATTCAATTATAGTGTACGAGAATGGTAGAGAAGAGATTTGAATCGTAGGAGAAGAATCAGTATAAATTTCCAAATCAAAAGTAAAACTTAGGAATTAACTTTTACTTCTATTACAAGATAAGAATCCACGATTTTGTTGGTCATTCTCACTTTCCTTAAAAGCTAGCCTTTTTATAATAGTAGTGTAGCCTGTAAAGTGTATACAATCGGAACAAGGCGAATCACGTCACGCTCACACTCTGTTTGTTTGGTTACTTCTTACTTGAAAGTTGAGAAAATCTGAACCATTTAAAACATTCTAAAAACAAACTACGGTTTACAATTTTACATAGAATCATAAATGTGACCGTATAGATGCGAGCCAAATCCAAGTCCGGTTTACCGGTTTTGTAAAAGCATTTTCATTGTTTTATTGAAAAATTAAAGGAAGGAAATGTTAATTTAATTTAAGTAACTTAATAGAAAAAAGTAAAGTGTAATTAAGCGTTAGCTTAGCGAAAGGTATTAGACGACTTTGGTAACCCATATACCTTGCCTTGTTATCGATGATAGTATCCATTGCGTGATCCAAATCTATATCTTCGCCCTCCGCAATCCTCGAAATTACCATATCTGCCATCACCCTCCTCGATGGAGCCGACGCAACCGCCGACGGAGCCGGGTGTTCACTCTGGCGAGGACTTCGTTCACATCGAAGACCCCAGGCCTACCGGCGACATGTCGTTGAGCGACAGCATAGTGAATGTGGAGAAGGATGAATTGCTCGACGAGGCGGCGGAGGAAGAATTTAGAGACTCCGATTCCGTAGTTAGCGGCGGCGATGCAGCAGCTGCAGATGGAATCGGCGGTGGAGCGGCGGATTATGCCGAGTGTTCATCGGAGACGGCGAAAGTGGAGCTGCCGGAGGAATTTGCGAAGAGCGTTGTGATTCTGACGTGCGAGTCCACAGCGATTGGCGGATCCTGCGATGTGTATTTGATCGGGACTGCTCATGTATCAAAGGTATTGGAGATCAAAATTTGGATTGTTAACTGAATTGAGAAATTCAGTAAAAGCTAATCAAAACCTTTTGTAGAATATTTCTATTGCGGGTATAGTTTTGGTTCTGCGTTTTTGATTGTGTCAGAAGAGTTGCCGAAAATGGAGCTTTTATGGTTAGGATTTAGTATGCAATCACCAGCTTCTTGAAAGTTGCTAAATTAAGGAAGATATGCTCCTGTAGATTTGGGATGGGTTAAGAAGTTGATTCAGGTTTTGGATTTCAATGAAATGTTGATCTCCCCTTTTTCTTTTATTGGAGCTCACTGACAAAATCATGGACAAAAATGGCGTTGATAGTCTGATAGAAGAAAATGCTTAGCTCTTTGCTTTTGATTAAACTATGATGGGATAACAAATCTATCATTCATAATGGGATAATCAGTGTAAATCGTTGAAATTTTTGTTGCAGGAATCCTGTCGAGAAGTTGAAGCAATAGTCAGCATCTTGAAACCAGAGGTTTCTACTCTTTAAATGTTTACCAAGAACTGAAATTTGACTATCATTATGTCAATGTTTGGGTCTAAGCACGCTACTGGTGATATAACAGGTTGTCTTCGTGGAGCTGTGTTCAAGCCGATTGTCTGTTCTCAAACCTCAGAGTTTGAAGGTTTGATTTTTCACAATTGTGATTCTTCTTCTTCCTCCCTATTTGGTTTACTTCATTGCATTTTGTGGCCATCTATCACTGATTCACTGTGTGAGATTCTGGATGAGAATGTGTATCGTTGTTTCTATTGGCAGAAAGTGATAAATTTTGTTGCTTAAACAAGAAAGAGAGGTTGACTAATCACGAAAACAGAGGATTCCTATTGTTTTAAATCAAACTTCTTTAATGCATATGATCTCTGGGTTGTTTGCTGTAAGAGTTTGCTAATAGAATGTCACTTGGTTTGCATGCTATGCTTTGTTATCATAGCTACTGATACACGATCCTAGCTCTTCTGACCCTTTTGCTTATTCTGAAATGGTACTCTGCTTTGCTTTTCTAGATCCCAACCATGTCGGACATGATAGAAAGTTGGAAGCAGAAACAGAACACATTCGGAATACTTTACGGATGGTTTCTTGCAAAGGCAAGTTTCTCTTAATCAGAAATTATCTGATGGTAGTTCAACTTTCTGAACCAAAATATTTACATAGTGTACTTTTGTTAGATCGCCAGTCAGCTTGAGGTCTTTCCTGGTGCCGAGTTTCGTGTGGCATACGAAGAAGCCCTTAAATATGGCGGCAAGGTGATACTTGGTGATCGTCCTGTTCAGGTGATATGCTCTTTCTTTTAGTAGTGCTATACCACTTATAACATGTAGTTGCATCTCTACCATTGTTGTTCCAGTAAAAAAAACTATTCTGAGTTGGATATTTTTCCTAAGCAGATCACATTAAAAAGAACATGGGCCAAGATGCCTCTATGGCACAAGGTAAAGTTTCTATACTCGTTCCTGTTTCAAGCTGTCTTCCTGCCGAGCCCTGAAGAACTCAACAGAATGGTAAGTCATATTGCATATCATTTCCCTTTGATTAGTCATAACGAGATTCTGGATGCTAAATTGGATATGCTTCAGCTGAAAGAAATGGACAATTTGGATATGGTGACATTGGTAATTCAAGAAATGAGCAAGGAGTTTCCAACTCTAATGGATACACTAGTGCGTGAGCGAGACCAGTTAGTATTCTCTCATCCCTCTCTTATGTAGTTTATCGGATTCGTTAAGCGTGAGCGAGACCAGTTAGTTTACTGCAACATATATGGAAATATTCAGGTACATGGCATCCTCTTTGCTGAGAGTTGCAAGTGAGCACAGTTCGGTTGTGGCGGTTATCGGGAGAGGGCATATCGATGGGATCAAAAAGAATTGGAAGCAACCTATAACGGTTTGTTGTTGTGAATTTATTTCAGTCTCTGAATTTAGTAGGGAGGTTTTGGATTGTGTGGTTAATTTCATTTAATTTGACGGAATTTGCAGATGAAAGATCTAATGGAGATACCGACGGATGAGTCAGTATTTACAGTGAAGAGGATAATATCATCAGTGGCGATTGCAGTGGCTGGGACAGCTATAGTTTCGGGCATACTTCTTGCAAGAAGAAGGTGAACAAGTTTGTGATGATCGCAGAGTTTTTTCTCTTCATTCTCCTGAGCCATACAAACAGAACGATACAAACTCAAAATAAATCTTTTTTTTTTTTTTTTTTTAGTTTGTTTTTGTACGTCGGTTGATGAAGCTTTTCATAATAAATAATAGTAAAGTTTTCTTTCGGTATTTTCATTTGATAATCTTAAAATATTTCACATAGTTTCTTCACGCTTTAGGATCCTCTCGTTTGCAGATAACTCTGACGACGAAATGGCAGTGTACTCAAACCAACTAAAATGTCATGCTTCGTACAAGACAGACAAGTCGAAGATAAGAAAAAGCTAATATTATATTATTTCTCTATTGACGAAGTCTGTAACCAAATCCATACACACAAATCCCAAAAGGTCACATCACAATCATCATCGTCACCATCCTTATTATTTTTCACAAATACACCCCAAGCTCTCACATACTTTACATTTTTCACCCCTTAACTGTTTGCAACGGCACATTGCCTCCTAACAACTCCTGCTGACCCAGTCTTCACATTGATCCGACCCATTTTCTCCATGGACTTTGCAAACTCTGAGAAGAAACTCTCCACCGAACCCTTCAAGATCTGGTTAATGTTTGAGAGCGTCGTGGGGTTAGTGGTGAGAGCTGAGTCTGACTGAAACAAACCTCTACGCTTGAGAACGAGCTGGTAATAGCTAAGATCAAATGTTTTGCGGCTTCCTGGATCCATCTCCACAATGGTCGTGTTATCGTTGAGGCTAGGACATTTCCTAGACTTGAGATTGGCTGCGTATGCGCTGTCTAAGGCCGGGTCTTGGCCTCCACGACCAGTGAAGTTGTAGAGACGGTTTGTGAAAGATGAGCAGTGTGAAACTCCAATTGTGTGAGCTCCTGTTATAACAAAACACATTTTTAAAAGTAAACTTTTTGAAAGGTAGGTTAAAATGTGGTTTTGGACCTTTTGGTCGTTTGACTAGCGGTGTAACAACATTATATACATAGTTTTATAAAAAACTTTCTTTTGTTGTGAAAGAAAATTTTCGTTATAAAACATTTCAGCCCTAGTTCTTAATTAGCAGTATATGATATGGATTTAATTAGGCTTTACCGGAGAGTAGGACAAGGTCCTTAAGATCAAGTCCTTGGTTTGCAAAGAGTGTTTGAAGATTGGAGATGTTACTAGTGGGAGGAGGAATGTTGGCTAATGCCTCCGCTGCGTTCGATATCCTCCCATCTCTTCTTCCCGTTGGCACACTCCAGTTTGGTCCTCCCTACAACATACCAAATATTTGATGAGAAATACTAAAATTTGTAATTTGCAATAATGTTATGTGAATGTATATAATTTGCTTACCGTGAAAACGACAGCGTCTCGAGATGATAGAGCAATGATATCAGCGCAAGAGACGATTCCAGGGCATTGAGCTTCGAGCACAGTTTTGATTGCGTCGATGAAGGCAAATCCTCTAACCGTTAGGTTTGGTGTTGAGTCCCTCTCTGCGTTTCCCGACGTCGAGTTTATAAGCACTGATCCATCACAGCCCTACGTGTACATATCCGTCATTAGTTAATTCCGTAGCCAAACAGGTTAAGACTTAACGTTACATAATTTAAGATGAGACAAAAAAAAAGAGTTTACCCGAACAAAACAATCGTGGAAATGCATTCTCAAGAGAGCAGCAGCAAGAGAAGGGGCATTAGAAACGTGGTTTGAAACAAAATCTTGAACAATCTTTTCGGCGTTAGGACATGTGTTGGCATAGAAGTTCATCTGCAATTGAGCCTGAATCGGTCCAACCAATCCCACAAGAAGCAGAGAAAGTGAAAGAGCAATCAGTCTCAAGCAATTCATCTTTATATTTGTGGTTTTTTTAGAGGATTATGTTCACTGTGTGGCTGTGTGGTTGTGTAATGTATTGAGACGTTAAAAGAGGTTTATATAGAACATTTTGCATGTTTGGTAGTGTACCTGTGGGCCCATCTAAGCTAACTAACATGTGCTCTTATGAGTTGTAGTTTTTTTTTTGTTATCAATATCTGACTCATAATCAGCCAGTCGCAGTAAAAGTTTGAGATTTTTCTTTAAAACTTCATAAGAACGCTAATGTCAAATCCTCTAACTAACTAAATCTACTTTTATAAAATAAGTACATATAAAGAGAGGGTGAATGTGTTTGGTCCATAAATCAAGCTATAGTAAGTTAGTAGTAACTAGTAACATAGAAAATCTGAGCCAAACGTGTAGTTGGCTGTGTTGAGCGTTATTATGTCATAATCATACACACACAAAAAAAGAAGCTTATGTATATAATTGTGACTATATGACATCTAATTTTAGATTATTGATCAAATTAAAGCTAACAAAGTAATTGATTTTTTCATGTAAAGATTACTCGAAGCTCTCTAGTTTTTTACTTTTTTTTGGGTTATTCTTTATATTTTGATGACCACGTAATATATTGGTTAACCAGTCGCCTCCAATAATGAAACACTTTTTCACGGAAGAACAACTCGTTTCGTGATGTCATTGATATTTCTTTATCCAAAAAGCACACAAGCCGACCTAATCCCTAATAATACAATTAGGAGAACCGCAACGAACAATTACTAACGGGCAAGAAAGTATTCCAAGACTATTATCGTTGTTATCTGTTTTTATTATTCCTTAAGGTAACAAAAGTATATAAGATTCATTAGGGGATTTGGTAGCGATAACGATTTCATATGCCAATATACCATACGCGAATACAACATTAATATTACGTGTCCAACTTTAAAACCTATATTCTTGTTTATAATTTTTCTTTTGTCCTAAATTGTTGTTGCTTATATCTTGAGCCTAGTCCTTGTTTGTAACATGCGAAACAATATTAAAAACACTGTATTGTAAGGAAAAGTGGAGAACAAATTAGAACTTCACACAACTACTCTATAAATTTAAAATTATAATTAACCGGCGAGGGTATGAATATGCACCCTTCAAATAAAATAAAAATCTGTAAAATGAAATGTTTGTCATAAAAATATTGGGGGGTATTTTCGTTCATAAAATGATGCAAAAAAAACTTGTAGACCTTTTTGTAATTATCAGAACTTCAGAAGTGTGAGGCAGTGACGTAAATAACAAAAGTAATGATGCAATTTTGTAAATAACAAAACTCGGGGACTGTTTTGTAAAATATCAAATGTTTAGTGCAATTTCATAAATTACAAAAGTAATATCAAATTTTTAGGTTTTGTGGACGTGTTCGTTATTCTAGCTTGCGACTAAAGTAATTGTCCTCTTGCATATCCTGACGTATATGAGTATTTGACTTTAGTCATTTAGTCAGGGAACGTGTGATCCACACACGCTATTGAACGTACTCCAGCTTGTCCAGAAAAGAAAACAGAAGATTTTAATTAGCAAGTTGGATTTAATTAGTTACTCAAAACAGAAATCTTTATATTATTAATTGAGAAGTACATTCTAATGTTTGGATACAAGAATAAGATAAACATCTATGTGGATAGAAGAATAAATGGAAAAAAAGTTGTTTGGATATAAGAATAAGAGAAAAATCTATTTGGATAGAAGAATAAATGGAAAAAACTGTTTGGATACAAAATAATAACTTAAAACAAACCGATGGTTTAGAAAACTTCCGTTTTCCAACTCTTAAAAAATCTGCAAAAAATAAAAATTAACATAACTATCGATAATACCAAATCAATAGAATATGATCAAATGATATTTGCAAAATTTCCAATAGTGAAATTGAAATACGTCTAATTTAAATCAAATTGTTTTTGGGATTTTTTTAAAATTTCTGTTCGGTTTGGGTTCGGATTTTTTTGGGTTTAGTTCACGGTTTTCCGGATTTTTTGGATTTTGGGTTTTCGGGTTTGGACATATTAAAAAAACTTTGGTATTTTAAAATTTTTATTAGGGTTTTTAAGTCGGATTCGGGTTTCGGGTGGAAAATTTTCGAGTTTTTTTTTTATTTGGTTCAGGGTTTTCAGGATTTTTTTGATTTTGGATTTTCGGGTTTAGACATATTAAAAGGGTTTGGGTTTTTTTAAAATTTTGATTAGGGTTTTTGGGTCGGGTTCGAGTTTAATTTAGATTTTCTTCACAAAACCGCAACGTCATACCGCGCGTTTGCGCGGGTCCTCTACTAGTTTATAATGGTATTTTATAAGTTTGTCGTTTGAACCATGTCAAGAAGAAGAAAACGTGCAAGACAATCATGCATGTCAACTGTGCAGAACTCCATTTTCTATGGTAAAACATACTAAATTTAATCTGATAAAAACAATACGCAGTTGTCCAATGTGAAAATTTCTTTACTTTTCTCGAATTTTTCATGTTCTTGGATGGCTGCGAATGGGTCATACACTCATACTTATATCTAAAATCCGAGTTGACATTTTTTATATATGGACGTTTTCAACGTCTTTGATTTATCTATAAAAAGCATGAGATTGCTTCCTTCCTCTTCATCTCCAAGCTCCAAGCTCCTCTCTACATTTCTTGGCTAGCACTCTTCAAAGCTACCGGCACGAGAAAGAACAATGGCGATCAAGAACCTTCTTGCCCTTGTGGTTCTTCTTGGCGTTGTTGGAGTTTCAGTTGCTGCTCCGAAGGGTCTCGACCTTAACTACTACAAACACAGGTGTCCCGACGCAGAAGCCACGGTCCGTCGCGTCACAATCCAATATGTTTCCCGCCAGCCAAGTCTTGCCGCTGCCCTTCTAAGGATGCATTTTCATGATTGTTTCGTCAGAGTAAGTTTGCTTTACTTCGCTGCTTCTTCGAGACGATATATACGAAAAAACACTATACTAATTAACACCTATTATGATTCACGTAGGGATGTGATGGTTCCATTCTTCTGAAATCTCCAAACAAGGATGCGGAAAGAGATGCTGTCCCTAACTTGTCATTGAGAGGCTATGAAGTGGTCGATGCCGCCAAGTCAGCTCTAGAGAAGAAGTGTCCCGGTGTGGTTTCTTGCGCTGATGTTCTCTCCTTAGTCGCCAGAGACGCCGTCTTAGTGGTAAATCTTTTTTTGCATTGTGTTGGTTTTTCTCATTAGTCATTACAAAAAAATAACGTTGAGAAATAATTAGAGTACCTTATAACTTTTTATCTGTTGCATTTTTACAGATCAATGGACCATGGTGGCCAGTTCCTTTGGGCCGGAGGGATGGTCGTATCTCAAAGCAGTCCGAGGTTAATTTACCATCGCCTTTCGCCGGAATTGCAGCCTTGAAAAAGAACTTCTTCGACAAGGGTCTTAACACTAAAGACCTTGTTGTTCTCTCAGGTAATTATTCTTTTACAAACACCTTTGAAGTTTAAGTGCATTTCTATAAGTTATCAACTTTATATGTTCCAAAACTGAATAAAAACGTACGGTTGCTTGAGCAGGGGGTCACACCATTGGAATCTCCAACTGCGGTCTCATCAACAGCCGTATCTACAACTTCACCGGCAAAGGTGACTTTGACCCTTCGATGAACCCTAGCTACGTCAGGACATTGAAGAAAAGGTGCAAGCCAACTGATTTCAAGACCTCAGTGGAGATGGACCCAGGCAGTGTCAAGAAGTTTGACTCTCACTACTTCAACATTGTGGCTCAGAAGAAGGGTTTGTTCACCTCTGACTCAACACTTCTTGATGACCCTGAGACCAAAAGCTACATTGACAACCAGGTTTCTACTGCTGGGTCTTCTTTCAACAAAGATTTCTCCGACTCTATGCTCAAGCTCGGTTTCGTCCAAATTCTCACCGGGAACAAGGGTGAGATCAGGAGGAAATGCGCTTTCGTTAACTGAGTTTCGAGGTTTTCTGCATTGGATTGATGAATGAGTCAAAACGATTCCTGCTTGTTTTGTTCTTTTATTCCTTGGTGAAGTCTTTTCACAGACGGGAGTTTCATGTTTTGTTTTGTCTATGATTCAATGTTTTCCTGATTTATTTTCTTTTCTACTCTTTCTTTCAACTAAACGGGAACGATCCTAAGTCCTAACATAATCAATGCGAAAATAATATAAAACGAGTTTAATTAAATTGTTTCTTATTGCTCCTTGTGACAAAAGAAAAAATGAAATTTGGATTCAGCTTTTTTAAACTAAAACTACTATAGCAAAAAAATGAAGTGAAATTAGGAATGCTGATAAACTCCGGCCCCAGCTTTTTAGCCTAAGCCAACGGAAGTGCTCTAAGAGAGGGATGAGAGAAAATAACACAACTGTGTAATAAAAGACTTGGGCAGTTGGCTCAGAGGTTAGTTTGAGGCTTTGAGACTTGAGTGGGTTTAGTCACACATCTATAGACAAATTTTGTGTGCTATCCAAAAAAAAAAAGTATATTTTGAATTTATAAATCTGAAAGTTTGAATTTAATTGTTAATTCCGGGGAGTATTGTTACTTTCTATTAAAATTTTAAATTTTAAAATATTGACTTTTATTATTTAAGAAATATTTGGAAATTTCACCGACATTTTTTGGGTAAGAATAAGAAGGAAAAGCGGAAGATGATGGAAGAGAGGAAACAAAAGATGTTGACGAAGTAAATGAACGTGTGTTCCACACATGACAAACAACTTATGATTGTTTTCCTTTTCAGAGTTAAAGTGACTTGTTTCGAGGTTAAAAACAGAGCATTGGTTTGAGAATATGTTTTTAAAATCGGACCGGAAGCCGAACCGGATAAGCATCCGGGTCATGGTTCAATCTGGTTCAACCGGTTTGACCCCGGTTCATAACATTTATATTACAATTATATTTAAATATATAAATTTTAAAATAAAAATATAAATAGTTAAAAATTGATATATAGGTATAAATATAAATATAATAATATTAAAAACTTATATTTTCATTGTTCTAATTAATTATTTATAGTATAAACATATATAATTTCAAAAAAAAATCAAAAGTGAAAATAAATAAAAGAAAATAATTAATTAATTGATCGTATTAATTGTTTTTAAACCAGACCGGAAACCCAACCCGGTCACATGTCCGATTCATGGTCGAACCCGGTCCGACCACCGGGTCGGTCCGATTTTCAAAACACTGGAAAATATTATTTTAAGTCAGAATCTGCTTTCTAAAAGGTCAATAGCCTTTCCAAAGAGTAAAAGAGACGGCTGAAAAGTTTGATTTCAATATTTTGATCTTATCTGTTCCTGCGAGTTTAATAATTAATTTAAGCATCAAACTAGAATCAAGAAGATCGTGGAGGCATGCAATGTTATCATCCCCTGTTCTTGAAATCCAATTGAGAAATATTTGCAAATGTGTATTATGTGAAGATATTTGGCCATGGACTTGATCAAAACGCCCTAAAATGATGTATATAAAGCCTTGAGATTTTCTCTTTCTCTTCATCCCTGAACTCGGTTAAACGGCCTAAAAACATTATTGCCCTTGGTTCTTCTTGGTGTTGTTAAGAGTTTAGTTTAAATTTTGTGGTATTTTTGTAAATATCAGTTTTTGTGGTATTTTTGGAATAAACAGTTTTTTGTGGTACTTTTGGAAAAACTCCACTTTTTGGTATTTTTGGAAAAGTCAGTTTTTGGAAAAATCAAATTACCATCGAATTTTTTGTCAAACTTATTTTTGTGGTGTTTTTGAGATTTTTTTTTTTTTTTTTTTCTTTTTTCTGGTGACAGTTTGTTTTGTTGTCACCGTTTTAACAAAAATTTGGCTTTCATTTTTTTTTTCAATAGCAATTTGTCGTCGAACCAGTGACCACCACAAATCGCCCGTTATGGTGACAGAGAAGTATTATGCAGCTTTTAAAAGAGATAAATAGTCAAAGAAACATGAGATTCCAAAACATCATACAAATGAAAATGTAAATGAAAATGAAAAACTCTGTCTGATAACAGACTTGGAGGAAGGAAAAAAAAAACATACAAAACAAAGAATAAATGGAAACTGCTGAATCAATCAGCCAAGAGAGAGCGTTTCATAATCGAAACTTAGTTAACGAAAGCGCATTTCCTCCTGATCTCACCCTTGTTCCCGGTGAGAATTTGGACGAAACCGAGCTTGAGCATAGAGTCGGAGAAATCTTTGTTGAAAGAAGACCCAGCAGTAGAAACCTGGTTGTCAATGTAGCTTTTGGTCTCAGGGTCATCAAGAAGTGTTGAGTCAGAGGTGAACAAACCCTTCTTCTGAGCCACAATGTTGAAGTAGTGAGAGTCAAACTTCTTGACACTGCCTGGGTCCATCTCCACTGAGGTCTTGAAGTCAGTTGGCTTGCACCTTTTCTTCAATGTCCTGACGTAGCTAGGGTTCATCGAAGGGTCAAAGTCACCTTTGCCGGTGAAGTTGTAGATACGGCTGTTGATGAGACCGCAGTTGGAGATTCCAATGGTGTGACCCCCTGCTCAAGCAACCGTTTTTATTCAGTTTTGGAACATATAATGTTGATAACTTTTAGATAAGGTGTTTGTAAAATAAGAATTACCTGAGAGAACAACAAGGTCCTTAGTGTTGAGACCCTTGTCGAAGAAGTTCTTTTTCAAGGCAGCAATTCCGGCGAAAGGCGATGGTAAATTAACCTCGGACTGCTTTGAGATGCGACCATCCCTCCGGCCCAATGGAACTGGCCACCATGGTCCGTTGATCTGTAAAATGGCAACAGATAAAATAAATTTATATGAATTTCAATGGTTTTGGAATGATAAACTCAGTCCCAATGCAAAAGAAAAAGTTACCACTAAGACGGCGTCTCTGGCGACTAAGGAGAGAACATCAGCGCAAGAAACCACACCGGGACACTTCTTCTCTAGAGCTGACTTGGCGGCATCGACCACTTCATAGCCTCTCAATGACAAGTTAGGGACAGCATCTCTTTCCGCATCCTTGTTTGGAGATTTCAGAAGAATGGAACCATCACATCCCTGCGTGAATCATAATAGGTGTTAATTAGTATAGTGTTTTTCGTATATATCGTCTCGAAGAAGCAGAGACGTAAATCAAACTTACTCTGACGAAACAATCATGAAAATGCATCCTTAGAAGCGCAGCGGCAAGACTTGGCTGGCGAGAAACATATTGGATTGTGACGCGACGGACCGTGGCTTCTGCGTCGGGACACCTGTGTTTGTAGTAGTTAAGGTCGAGACCCTTCGGAGCAGCAACTGAAACTCCAACAACGCCAAGAAGAACCACAAGGGCAAGAAGGTTCTTGATCGCCATTACTCTCTCTCTCTCTCTCTCCTTTCTTAGCTCGTTTGCTTTGTTGAGTATTAGCCAAGAAAGGTCAGAACGAGCTTGGAGATGAAGATGAAGGAGACAGACTCAGGCCTTAAATAGATCATCCAGAGACATTGAAAACTTCTATGGAGAAATGTCAAATGGGATTTAGATAAACCAATTTGCATCATTCCTCTGTTTCTTAATGAGTGTTGAATAACAGAGGAGGGAGAGGAAAACATTGCAGGGCCTCCACTATCTTTTTGATCTTTGAAAAGCTATTGACTTCGACCAACATGTACTTAGGGGGGTTGTTTTATCGTTAATTAGCTTTCAAATTAAACAAATATAATGAACTGTTATCGTATGTGGAATCCACGTTCTTGCATTCTCATAGAAAATCATACAAGTTGCTAAATTTAGTATTTGGATACCCCAAATCGCTTTAATGTACTGCAGGTTTCTTGTGAGTCAAGTAACGACCTAATCACTATAACAAACCAAGAATAATAACAGAATACTGAAGTCATAACTGGTGACAAAAAATATCATCTGTCTGACTGTCTCGATGTATGATGTTCGGCCTTGCCACTCTCGTTGTGGATCCTTCTGACATATAACAGGCCTAAGTTTTATTTCACCGACCCATCTAATAGGAAGTCGAAAATATCGAATACATGCAGGAAACGATGGAGAGCAAATGAAACCATAGTATTAGTTGGTGTATTCTGAATGAAATAAGTGGTGCAGTCAAAATAGTAATAACGAACTGGAAAACAAGTAAATAGCGAAATTCGAATAACTATTCTCTCTAGTTATTCACCAGAATTCTTACAAAAAAATCACTGACCATGCATAGTGATTTTAAACACATTCACTATTACACGATGAACAAAAACATTCATGGCTTCAGATCAAACGTCATGCGATGCATTCTTCATAATTCCCCATATCTTGATGTATCAGTTTTTCTGCGGGGACCGTACGTCCTTGAGCTATTAGCTTTTGGATATGTAAATCAGTAAATGTATCATATCTGTTTTTATTAACTTTTAGTTATTTTATAAAAGTTACAAGAAAACTTCAAATGTTAGGCATTGAATTATTAGTTTTCTTAGTAGGAGAGTACGAAGGAAGAGGAGGTTAAGTGCAAGAGAGGCATGAGAGCAGTAAATGGCCTAAGCCATGCAGCCTCTGTGTTACCATTTAATGCCAAGAAACTATTCGCCACCCTATCTTATATGTACAGCTCCATCTATTTACATTCCTGTTATTTGAAAAATACTAGATAAACAGAAAAAGGGTCAATATTTCTTGTTTGAAACATTTTTTAACTTGAGTATAAAAGCTAATGGTGTAGTATTTTTTTAGAAAAGCTAATGTAATAGTGAGGTGACACGCAGTATTTTTCTGTCTTCGCGTGATAAAGTGCGTATACATGCATGATTTTTACAAAATATCACATTTTAATGGGTGATTTGTATGCAGTTAATTGATTGCATGGAGTAGTATAACTAATTAATTGCTTGGGTCACAATTTAAATTAATCGTATTTTATAGGCGTGCAAAATGAGTCTTCTTGTGGATTTGTTTTTACAACTCTACCAACCCAAAACATGTAAATAATACTATACAACATAATTTTCTATATTATTTAAGAAAATTTCATAACATGGATTTTTTTCCATCCAAAACCTGTATCTGCTAAAATAAAAATAGAAGAAAATATAGATAAAAGATATTGTCTTAAGTAAATAAAAGTAAGATATTTAAATATAAAATCATCATATAATTAGGAAATGAAAATTAATAACCATATATATACAAGTCATTAAATTTATAACCATATATATACAAGTCATTAAATTTATAACCATATATAACCATATATATTTTATTAAATTTTATATCTCAAAACAAAATTAATAACCATATATATACAAGTCATTAAATATATTAATAGTATAGGAAAATTAAATTGTACTTATATGTTATTATCTTTTAGTTAACTAATTTTTTCTATAGATTTTTTTTCATCTAAAGTATAGTAACCTTAGATTACTGCAAGAATAATAAAATGACTCGCAATAGTAGATTATTATATCCATGTAAATGGAAACTTTTATCTAATTTTGATGTAGATTAATGGAAAGATTATACAATTCCAGATATTTAAGAAAAGAAAAAAAATATCTGTCAGTTTTGTTAAGGGATAAAAAAGTTTTATGCAAAAGTTGAAAACACTGTTAAGGAAAGTTCAAAATAAAATAAAATATATATATATATATATATTTATATATATTCCATATGTGAAAACTAATTTTGTGTGTTAAACATATAAGAGAACTCTCCATATAAGATTAAAACAACACATATTTTGTAACATATCCCTCCGCTCCTCTCTCTCCCTCTCTCTATAAGCGTGTAGGATAATTAAGTGTCCCACTCTCACCATTTAATTTCGTTGCACCCTCTCAATACTCTCTGCCTTTACTCCTCCTCTCCATTTTTTCCTCTCTCTCTCTTCCTCCAAGATTTGCACCTACCTTTCAAACTCTTGACCAAAGCACCGCCTCGCGAACCATCGGTGGTTTTCCGACAAACAAATCTCAGACCAGAAACCGCTCCGCCCCTCTCTCTTCCTCTAGGGTTTCGTCGCTTCTTCCTCGCAGTGTATGTCTCGAAAATCGGAAAACTTGGGTTAATTTTTTATCGTTCACATTGATTATTGAATACAAACTTTTTTTATTTTGTTTAATGTATTGGATAATTGCTCTTGAAATTTCTCACCCCCTTCATAAGACTCTCACTTTCACGATGATTTTATAATCAGATATGCATATCGTCTATGTTTGATTTTTCAGTTTGTCCGATCATTTACTATTGTTTTAGCTTTCATTTTTTTAACATTAATTATTGATTACTTTATTAACACATTGATTGATTGATGATTTCTTTGATATTAAGATGATCCAACATTATTCTAGTCATCTCTTATTTTGTTTTCTGACTTTCATCTGTTTTATGTATTTTAGTTAATCTTCTCAATTCTGCATAGTCAGAGATGAAGATAGAGAGATGATACCCTCGAGAAAACAATAAAGAGGAAGATTAAAGGTTTGTATTCTCTTCGTATAGCCTTCTTTTCACTATACGTATGTTATATAAACACGTGGAGATAATTTCTATACATTTTTTTTATATATGTGTGAAATTAAAACGTTCAAATACGACGATGCTAATTTTTCGAAATAGCTGGAAAAATTTAATACATCACCCAGGCCTTATGTCACGTTGGTTGTAAGTTGTATAATAACTTCTATGTTGGCCAGTCGCACCGTGCACATATATAATAATAATTTCTCCATATAATTTATAAAAAAAAATCTCAAGAAAAAAGTTAGTTTAACACTTTTTTGCTCTAGACATGTGTTGTTTAATTACATTTTGTTCTGTTCTTAGAAAAGTATTGATATTTTTTTTCATAAACAGGATATAGAATTGGGAATTTGTTCTGTACCTACTTCTTGCTCATTTAATTTTCTTTGCTTTGAACAAATGAGTCCAATATTTCTCTTTTTGTCTTCTCTTTCCTCTCCATCTCCTAAATCAAATGAGTCAAATACTTCGAATTTGTAATGTAATCATCATCCATCAGTGTTATTATTTTGAGATATCAACTGATTTCCATCTACACTACATTTGTAATATACATGATTCTAGAATCAGTTTCAAAGATCATATTTTAGCCTGCTGGTTAGGTTTTTTTCGTTTTAAAGGGAAAAAAATTGAGAGGTTTGAATAATTTGGAGTATGTGAAATTCATTATTTTGGGTTGGTTATTAAATAACAAATATTAATGTGATGGTGATGTTTGTTTTTTTGCAAGGCTCTGTTTTACTTGCTTTCAATTAGTGGGTCCTTTTGTTTCCTACAATCGTCTCCGATTGCTTCGACAGCTTCGTTTTTCCTATGTGCTTATATCCTTCTGTTTAGATCTTCAATAAGAAAGATACAAGACTCAGAAAAAGAAGATTAAAGTTGTTGACGTGGAAAAAGTATTGCCATAATCTTTTCACTCTTTGGAGAAATTTGTCTTCTTCTTGACTCTTGCTCGTAGTACCCAAGAACAAACCCTAATTTTATTCTCATTCAACTCTTTTTGTTTTCAGCTTGCAGTCACTCGCATTAATTTCAGCATAAGAAAGGGAAAAAGATGTTCGAGCCAAATATGTTGCTTGCGGCTATGAACAACGCAGATAGCAATAACCACAACTACAACCATGAAGACAACAACGATGGGTTTCTTCGGGACGATGAATTCGACAGTGCGAATACTAAATCGGGAAGTGAGAATCAAGAAGGAGGATCAGGAAATGATCAAGATCCTCTTCATCCTAACAAGAAGAAACGATATCATCGACATACCCAACTTCAGATCCAGGAGATGGAAGCGTATGTACACAAACTTCATGCTTAATTTACTTCATTTTTAATAGCTTTTTGGCAATTTAATTTTATTCTACTGTTTTTGATATTAAATAGATTCTTCAAAGACTGTCCTCACCCAGATGACAAGCAAAGGAAACAGCTTAGCCGTGAGTTAGGTTTGGAACCTCTTCAGGTCAAATTCTGGTTCCAGAACAAACGCACCCAAATGAAGGTATACTCTTATGACACCTAGAATTAGTGGATCGATAAAATTTCAAAATTATGATCACATTTATATTAAATCTTGCATACATACATAAAAGGGACTATAGTTAGTTATGCTTAGACCTATGCAGATGATCTTAATCACACTCAACTAACAAGGTTTTAGGTGGATTTTTGGTATTTCATTTAGAATCAAATCGTCGCATTAGGTAGAGTTTCGGCAGATTTTTAGATTTAGTTAAAACAGTTGACTTAACTTTCCTCCAGATTTTGGGCAGAACAGAACTATGTTTAGCCATAAGAAATTAAACTGTTTGGTTTAAGCAATTTTGATAATTTATTAGCTAATTTAGAGCCAATAATCTATAGATTAAAACGTTTTTGGACACATGTGCTTACAGTATGCAAATACGGTGAAACACATAACGTGTACACAACTGTATTATGTGTGTGTATTTACATACACTTTTCCTCTTTTAGCAAAATCCTTTGTTGCTTTATCTTACCCAAATAAGAAACTTATGTTTCTAATTAACTTAAAAATTTGCGCAGAACCATCACGAGCGGCACGAGAACTCGCATCTTCGGGCGGAGAACGAAAAGCTTCGAAATGACAACCATAGATATCGAGAGGCTCTTGCAAATGCTTCATGTCCTAATTGTGGGGGTCCAACGGCTATTGGAGAAATGTCCTTCGACGAGCACCAACTCCGCCTCGAAAATGCTCGATTAAGAGAAGAGGTATGTCAACTAATTGATCACCTTGACATTTTTATTTATCAAAACAAAAAAAAATCTACATTTTAAATCAGTTCTTGTTTACGAATACCTAACGTACAGTTAATGTTAGTCGCATTTTTCTTTGATTACAAATTAAAGAGAAAGATCTGATAAAATCATTTTCGTATCACTAATATAATACAACTAACGTTTTTCCCAAAAAAAAACTCACTAATAGTATGGAGTATTTAACAATGACTAAAAAATTATCAAAACAGTTTGTAGTATGGAATATTATAATTTTTCCACTCAAATTTGAAAAACGTTTTACAATACAGATAATACCCTCTCTTTATTAATTGAACTTGACATTACGTTTTATTAACTTTAAAAAATACTTCTCCTTTTGTGAAACAGTTAGACATTTTTTTTTCTTATAGAAATTATTTGAGACCCAAACCACATATATGATGAACAAATTCTGTTTTTGGGCTATGTAGATCGACCGTATATCAGCGATTGCAGCTAAATACGTAGGCAAGCCAGTCTCAAACTATCCTCTCATGTCTCCTCCTCCTCTTCCTCCACGCCCTCTAGAGCTCGCCATGGGACCAGATGTTTATGGAAACATCAACACAACCGATCTCCTCAAGTCCATCACTGCACCAACAGAATCTGATAAACCTCTGATCATCGACTTAGCCGTGGCTGCAATGGAAGAGCTCATGAGGATGGCTCAAGTGGACGAGCCTCTGTGGAAAAGTTTGGTTCTAGATGAAGAAGAATACGCACGTACGTTTCCTAGAGGAATCGGACCTAGACCAGCTGGATTTAGATCCGAAGCTTCACGAGAAAGCGCCGTTGTGATCATGAATCATGTTAACATCGTTGAGATTCTCATGGATGTGGTAATTAACAATTTTTCATTTTGCATTTTGTAACTCTATATCTTCTTTCTCTGTTTATGAGTTCTTAGCAACAGTATTGGTTTAATATTGCAGAACCAATGGTCGACGATATTCGCGGGGATGGTTTCTAGAGCGATGACATTAGCTGTTTTATCGACTGGAGTTGCAGGAAACTATAATGGAGCTCTTCAAGTGGTAATTTTTCTTTCTTTCTTTCTGTTATAGTTAAAATTAACTTGGAACACAAGTAACCGCTCTCTCTGTTTTGTCAGATGAGTGCAGAGTTTCAAGTTCCGTCACCGTTAGTCCCGACACGTGAAACCTATTTCGCACGTTACTGTAAGCAACAAGCAGATGGTTCGTGGGCGGTTGTCGATATCTCCTTGGATAGTCTCCAACCGAATCCTCCGGTTAGATGCAGGCGGCGAGCTTCGGGTTGTTTGATTCAAGAAATGCCAAATGGATACTCAAAGGTATATAGTAAAAAAAACATTAGGTTATATATATTCAAACCAATCCAAAATGTAAGTAGAGAGAGTGAATGTGAACAGGTGACTTGGGTGGAGCATGTGGAAGTTGATGACAGAGGAGTTCACAACTTATACAAACACATGGTTAGTAGTGGTCATGCCTTCGGTGCTAAACGCTGGGTAGCGATTCTTGACCGCCAATGCGAACGTTTAGCTAGCGTCATGGCTACAAACATTTCAGCAGGAGAAGTCGGAGGTAATAACTAATAACATATGACAACTATTTTTTTCTCATAAGCATAGTAAAAGATAACATAAGTTTTATGTTGATGAATGTTGTTGCAGTGATAACAAACCAAGAAGGGAGGAGGAGTATGCTGAAGTTGGCGGAGAGGATGGTGATAAGCTTTTGTGCAGGAGTGAGTGCTTCAACGGCTCACACGTGGACTACATTGTCAGGTACAGGAGCTGAAGATGTTAGAGTGATGACTAGAAAGAGTGTGGATGATCCTGGAAGGCCTCCGGGTATTGTTCTTAGTGCTGCTACTTCCTTTTGGATCCCTGTTCCTCCTAAGAGAGTCTTTGACTTCCTCCGAGATGAGAATTCAAGAAATGAGGTATTAACCCCTTTTAGTTACTAAGCTCTCTCTCTCTCAATCTACAACAACTTTGGACAAAGTTTAATGTTATTTTTGCAGTGGGATATTCTGTCTAATGGGGGAGTTGTGCAAGAAATGGCACATATTGCTAATGGGAGGGAAACAGGAAACTGTGTTTCACTTCTCCGGGTAAATGTGAGTAGAAATTTTTGTTAACTAATGTTCATAATCACCTGATAATAAAGCTAAGACTATCCAATATTTATGTGACAGAGTGCAAACTCTAGCCAGAGCAATATGCTGATTCTACAAGAGAGCTGCACCGATCCTACAGCTTCCTTTGTGATCTATGCTCCTGTTGATATTGTAGCGATGAACATAGTGCTTAATGGAGGTGATCCGGACTATGTGGCTCTGCTTCCATCTGGTTTTGCTATTCTTCCTGATGGCAATGCCAATGGTGGAGAAGGAGGGTCGCTCTTGACCGTTGCTTTTCAGATTCTGGTTGACTCGGTTCCTACGGCTAAGCTGTCTCTTGGCTCTGTTGCAACTGTTAACAATCTGATTGCTTGCACTGTTGAGAGGATCAAAGCTTCCATGTCTTGTGAGACTGCTTGAAAAACCACCCCTGTTAGGTACTTTCAGCAAACCTGTCTCAGCAAACATGCTTGTCTTTGTGACTTTGTGTTTGTGTGACCATACCTATTTTGGTTCTTTCTGCAGGAAAAGAAGAAAAAAAAAAAGCATGCAAGCAAAGAGAGAGAGAGAAATTTGGAGTTGAAGTTAGTTTTCTTGGTGTGAAGTGGAAAAAAAGCGGAGGAGTCAAGAGCGAACCTCACAAAGTGTTAAGTTTTGCTCTGCTTATTTTTTGATGAAACTAAGCAGTGAAAAACTTTTTACTTGAAAGTAAGAATGCAAATGTTTTTACGAGGTTCGGGAATTGACTTCCCCTGCAACATACTTAATTAGAAAAGACAAGAAGAAAAACATAACTAGGTCAGAAATGTTTTTGAACTTCTTTTTGTGTTACAGTTATGTTTTTTTTTTTGCTGTTCTTTAGATGGAACCTCATCAGGATTTGAAAGTTTGTCTCTCTTTCCGAGTTTGTATAAAAATATCTTAAAAGTAAATTTCTGCTAGTTTATTCACTTTTCTAGCTTTCGTTTAGGTTATGGTTTCAGTTAAGACCACACCAATAAATTCAATGCCTCCCTAAGCCAAAATTCTCCATAAGCCGTCACATAAAATAAGAAAAAGTACAATTAGGCCTTGCCAAAATGAGAAAAAACAACTACTTTCACCTCTCAGGCCAGCTTTCTTCTAGGCATAATAGTGGATCTCTTCTTGCCAACAGATGCTGAGCTTTTGGTGGAGCGAGAAACCAAACCACGAAGAACAGCAAGAATCCCAACAGCCATGAAAGGCACATACATCGTTAGCAATCTCTCAGATGCCTTCCCCGAACCTATCATCTCTCCCAGAATTGCAGCCTAAAGATTCACACAATCTAAATGAGAGGAAGACACAAATTGCCACATAGTCAAGCATAATACGGCCAAACCATAAACCATAGATCCACAAGAATGCAAACCAGACTTAAGAAGACTAGGTTATATCCAGAAATGTAATTCCACCAAGAAACACTGACATATATATCATTCAAAACATTGAGAAGATTAAGAAAAGTTCACAACTTTAAACTAATTCCAGTAAAGTAAAGTACTTTATCATGGTCTAATTCTAATCAAACAATTGACGAATCTACTAGACCTGAGTGTTTACTTTACTTACTTCTTGAATCAATTCAATGGTCAATGCATTGTAAAGGATAATTTTTTAAATCAATGTATAGACTAAGAATTGTATGTATAATTCCAGAAAATGTAGAGAGAAAATTTGAAACCATTATACCATGGAAGTCACGAGGGAAGCTCCGTACAGCAAGCAGGTGGTACCGAACCACGACTTTCCGGCCAGAATCGCGTAGACGTTAGCAATCGAGAGAGGCCAAAGGAATACAAGCTCGTGCCATACGAGTCCGACGAGGAAATGCGGTTTCTCCAAGAGCAAGTAGTCTCCGAAATCGGTAATGTAGCTGCTTTTCAGATCGGTGAGAAACGCCGGGAAGATTCCTTTAGGAAGTGACGTTTGGCCGTCTATTAACGGCGCGATAACCGCCATTAGAGCGAAGTATAAGAATAGAACCACGTCGATCAACTTCCCGAAAGCTCCCATCTTCTTCTTCCTTCTCCGATTGAAATTCTCTGCGTCAATCAAATCTGTGACTGAGACTGAGAAGTTCCAAAAAGAGTCGTTCGTTGACCTGAAGAAGATGCAACTGATTTAATTATTTGGTTTGCTTAACCGAAACAAACCGGAGAGAATACTCCGGTTCAATCAAGTTAAGATTTTGATTTTCGACTGCGTCTGAGACTTTTCAGCAGCAAGAGAAGGAAAAAGGAAGGTAACGATGAGCGAGACGAGACCAGTGCCGAGGAGAGAGAGTCCATGGGGTTTACCGGAAGGTCACCGTGAGCCCAAAGCTCACCGCTGCAACGATCGTGTCGAGGATGTAGTCCAGGTTCTCACCATTTCCTTCATTGTCTCGTATCGGTTTAATTTAAAAATTCGATTTTTATTCTTCATCTTGTCGTTCCTGATAACCCTTCCGATCTAGACTTTGCGAATTATATGTTGTCTTGGGTTTGATGAGTAATAGCATCAGAGGTCAGTGTCATCAATTAAGGGTTTTTCTAGGGTTCTGTTACTTTGAATCGAGTAAGCACCAGAAATGCAGGATGATTGCTAATAGGATTTGGTAATGCAATAATAACATGGATGAATTTTGGGTTTTGTTGTGATACACAAATTCTAACTGCAGTTGAAGAGCTATAATTGCTTGATTTGGGCCATGATTTGCAAATTTTTGAGTTTTAGTACTCCTTAGTCCTCATGACCTATTTATGCTATAACATTGTGAATTTTGCAGGCATTTTTCGAGGGAAACCCATTTAAGACGGTTCCAGGACCTTTTAAACTGTTCTACCAATGCATGCGCTCCAAGCCAGGGTATGTTCAATTTGACACTCTCTACCTTCAGGTGTTGTTGATACTAAGATGCAGAATCTTTTGTCTTTGTTGCATTGCCGTTGAATGATTCTTGTTCTGCTTTACACTATTTCTGAATCAGAAAAATTTAGGCCTTTTCTGGTTTCTTGTCGCGCTTTATCATCATAGGTTCGTTAGTTATACTAGATGTGGAGTCTGAACCATTCATCTTGTCTTTTCAGAGAGGAACCAACAGAGCCATTCAAATACCTGGACCTGGAACCTCTAAAGAGAGATGTAAAACTTGAGTAAACTGAGATTCACTCTTTTTTTTTCTTCATTCGAACTTTTTATCTGAGCATGTAAGCGCCAAGGCTGTGTTTTAAGTTTCCTCTCAACATGTATCAGCAACATCTTCTTATTTCGCCATAATGCTAATAAAATTGATACCTGAGTTTCATTTCAGTCTTATGTGTATGATAATTCTGCTCACTTGCAAGCTTATATCTGAGTAGAAACTATGATGATGAAAAGAAGATGAGTTTCTATTACGTATGAGAGAATAAGATTTACAATTTATCTCTAGGTTTTTGGTTCCTTGAACTTTGCTATTACAACAAAATCTTATGATGATTTGATCTACCCCTCTACGTATGCTAATAGTCATTTAAACAAACTGTTGAATTCTTATCTGTTTAAGGAATATCGCTGTGTTGTGAATGTGAACTCCCAGCTCCACTTTGGCTAGTATTGAGTTTCTTCTGCTTCAGCATCTCCTTGATCTCTGCTTCCCTCTTATCCACAACTTTTATCAGTTCCTTGAAACTCGGTGCTCGTAAACCTCTCCCTGATCGAGATGTCTCAGACGCTTCACGTGCCCTTTCCTCGTCCCCACCACTATCTGGTAGCAATCTCTGGTACTGCCAGAAAACCCTCCAGAAGAAGACAGTGAGGGCCATGAAGCAAGTGATGCCACAGATTAGGAAGAGTCCCCAGAAACTCTTGAGCGAAAGCTCAGAGTTCTCACTGTTTGAGATTTGCATCGAGCATTCATGCTTGTAGTTAAGCCATTTCCTGTGGATTTTCTCGAGCTCGCCTTCTTCAGACAGCTGCAAGATAGCCGTCGACATGTCCACAGCTAAAGGTGAGTCTCTCTGGAATGCCTGCAACAGAGATTTTACTGTAAGCAAAGTTATAGAGAAGAAGGAAAAAGATATATAGAGGCAAGTAAGTTTCTCAAAAACATACGAAACCCCAGCCTGTGCGTGTGAACTCTTGTCCTACTGTACGGAACTTGCAGTTGCTGTTTGTCAAAAGGACTTCGATGTAAGGAAGCTCGTCTACAATGGCTGCCACACCGCCAAGTTTGTTGGGGCCAAGTTGAAGAGCAGAAAGGTACTGTTCTTCGTCTCTCAGTGGAACAATCCTAGAAGGAGATATGTTAAGCTCGTTGATCAGATAGTTCCGAGCAAAGGTACCGTCTTGTACTCCAATTGGCTCATTGCTCGCTATCAAGCTATCTATTCCTTCAATCCGAGATGTCAGCTGCTGAATGGTCAAGATCGAAGTGAGACTAGCGGTGTAGCTTGAGTTGATGATAAGAACCACAAATAACCATATGATCAGCACCATCCTCCCCAATGAGCTCACTGTGTTCTCCCCTGAAATATCATAAGGTCAAAGGTAAACTAAGCTTTACTGTGAATCCACCAATCTTCTTGAGTTTTCAGGGAACGAAATTTGATAAGAGGATACTTACTATGAGAGAAGAACATGGTCGAGAAGCTAAACCTGCAACAATGAAGAAGAGAAGGACCAAGTTGGAAAAATAAGGTCCAGAGGCAAACTCAGGCTCAGTGTCAAGAACAGAGAAACTAACCAGAAGATGGTGATGAGTTGACGCCTAGGAGGACCACGGAACTCGTGGTTAAAGCGGTGTTCAAGAATCCAGACAATGGCTCCCACAAAGAGAAAGAAGGCTCCAGTGACAGCCCACATCTCTATAGTGAATGGTTTCAGAAAAGCCCAAGGACTAGACTTGGCCTCCTTAACCGGAGCCACCACCACAAGCCCTGATTCTATAAACGGCTGTGTGAAATCTACAACTCTTGTTCTGTTTGTAACAATCGTGATATCTCCTACAGCTACATCGTACGTCTGAATAGAAAAACAAAGACAAGGTTAGCATCTTTTTGGAAGTTGTGAACATGATATTGAGTAATGTTAGCTACTCACATTTGCAACAACTGCATTGATGAGATTATCGTAAGAAGGATTTCTCTTCCCGTCTCCATACAGCACATAAGTACGAGGAACAGGGTACGGAAGCAACTCAATGGCGGCTTCAAAGACATCAATGCAGTAGCCTCTAACACCAGGCGGGTTCTTGTCCTTGGAAACGTAATCTCTATAGCTCACGCGGTTAGGCACCACGATTTTGAGCGGTTCTCCATTGTTAGGAAACACCCAACCACGAGGAGGCTTAGTTACTTCACCTGGCCATATGATATCATAAAGACGTTGGTTTGCTGTAGATGTGTTTGGAGGCTTAGAGTACAATGTCTCTGGAGGCACCACTGAGAGACCTGAATGATTTGACCAGTACCCGACCCTGCGTGGACCTGTACCTTCTATGTTCAGAACCTCATAAGCCGGGTTAACCCGGTTTCTCTCTGAATCAAACTTGGTTAGCCCCGTCACACCGGTATGATTCATCCCAAGAATGATCTCTAGCAACTTCTCTCCTTCATTGAATACACTGAGTGCTGATAACTGAATACTGCTACTGTTCGTTTTGTGCAGATTCGCATCGTTGGAGAAAGTTACTTCATTGTTTTCTCTGAAGAACACATCGAGGGAACGAGCAACCAACCAAACAGAGTCATAAGCATACAATCCATAAGAGTTAAAGCCATCATAACTGTGTCTAAGCTTCTTCCATCTTTCCATAAACCATCTCTTCATACTACTCTCGGCTGTGTAATGGCGGAAAGCAACCACTCCTTGCAAGAGATCCATTGCCTTCAAAGAATCATCAGCCTCCATGGAATCAATAGCTGTTGGGAGCCAGTCTGTTGCGATCCAAACATAACCACTTCCCATCATTCCAAGAGACTTAGCCTCAGAGAAAACGTTTAAACCAGAGTCAGGGTTCACATGAACAACGAAAACACGAGACTCCATCAGGTTAACAGCGACCAACAAGTCTCTGATGGAGCTAGTATCAGCACCAGGTGTGATCGCAGCCTTGTAAGAGATCCTCATGCGTTTCTTGGCTAATGCATCGCCTAGAACAGAGATCCCGTTCCTACCACACTCGTCATCGACGAATATCGCAATGACTTGTCTCCATCCTTTATAAGATAGAAAATCTGTGACTGCATACATTTGGAAGTAATCGTTCTGCGTGGTGCGGATGAAGTAAGGGTACTGGAGAGATGATAGAGTCGGATCGGTGGCTCCAAATGACAAGAGAGGTACATGGAGCTCATTAGCCACATGGGAGATCATGTGAGCAATCCCTGATGATTGTGGACCAATGGCTGCAACCACTTGAGTTTCCATCAGCTCCAAAGCTACACCATAAGATAAAAAAACATAACCATCACTCATTTTAGCTTCTCTGTGAGGCATTTCCACAAACTATTTGTGAGCTAAAAAAGAGAGAGGAAGCAATGTATACCTCCCATGGTGCCAATGAATCCACTGCAATTTGAGTCTTGAAAGACGATGTTAAGCTTGACGCCCTTAAGTACAGTTTGGTCAGCATTAACGTCATCCATAGCCGCTTTAAACGCGAGTTTAGCCGCTCTTCCGATGAAAGAATCGTAAGTAAACAGAGCTCCAACATTCACAGAGCTTGGCCTCTGTGATAATGGCGGCGAAGAGGAAGAAGAAGAAGAAGGCGAGTTTCTTGAGAAATCACTTTCGCCGGCGCATTCCTTTGGAACGACCCACAAAACAGAAACACATAACAACACAAGCCTCGTTGCTTTCACCATAGAGACTCCTCTAATCATCACGAAAAATCCCATCTTTATCGGAATTTCCAGCAAAAGCACTGTTTTTTGTGTCCTGGGCTCCTTATATAAACATTTGAGTGAATTGGGGAGTGACACCTGCCAAGTAAACAAGTCGAAGCACGAATCAGTATTAAGATCTAACACAGGACAAAAATGGAGCTGAAAATTTTAGAGAAAATCTGATGAAAGAGGCGAACAAACCAAGACTTCAGGACTTAGATTCTATAGAGATTTGTGTCTGTACATATGATACTATAAGTCTGAGACCTTTGGATTTTGTAGAGACTGGTATTTACATGTGAAACTAGAACTGAAAACAAAGAAGAGTAAGATGGTTTGCAAAAAATGAAAAAAGAAGCAAAAAGCGTAATTGTAAATTCAATGAACAGAGAATCATCTGATGATGGCAGTAATATGTCGATTAATTAACAAAACAGTTGTTCAGACAAACCAAATATTTAAAACCTAAACCATACTAATCATATCAGTAATATTCCAACTTAATCCTGCAGAACATGGCAGTGAGTGATTAAAGAATGAAAACTGTAAAAGTACATCCATACAAATATCGGATTTATTAATGAATTTTTCTTTGTGTATCTTGTTCATATTTCAATTCAGTTGATCATGTAGTTAGAATATACATTTAGTGGAAATTTCTTTGAGATTTGTGGACCAGAAATTTGGGAGATAAATTCCCAAATCCAAATAAAGTACTGTGGATAGTATCTCTGTGACAAAAAAAAAGTTATGCAATTGTAATAAAGAAGAAGCAACCTTGGGAATATATACGAGCAACAAACTTTAATCAGAAATCCATATTCTTCAGAAAACAACGAGTGATTGAGCACTTTAGCTCAAAGAAGAGAGTCAAAGCAAAGAAGATGAAGCAGACGAAGAACTGTTTCTCAAGCGCAAGCAAAGAATAATTCATAATAATATTCTCTCCTTTTATTTCTTTTTTTATTAAATGTTTTTGTTTTGGAGTACCATTTCTGGAGTGGCCAGTGGTAGACGTAGGCCAAGGTGTGGGGTATCCATGCTTTACTTGTCTATTCATACTTTTGGTGAGAATCAACTTTTATTTTCCTAGTTTTTTTTCCATTTGCCCCTTAACAATTTGATTCATTATTATCTTGATTTTGGAAGTGTTCAACCATTTTGTTGTGTGGAAGTGTTTAAGGAATATGTGAAAGATATGTTAAAAAGAGCTTTCGTTTAACTAGTTAATAGCATTGGTGTGAATCTGATAATCTTAGTTGCTTCAAGCCTACCTTGGCAAACTGTTTCGTTAATTCAGAAACAAGAGAGAAGGTTTTTTACTTTTCTTACTTCTACTTTTCACTTTTCAGCCAGTCTAATAAAGTAATGATGTATGGATTTGGGACCCAGAATCCGAGATGATAAAAGGTGCATGATACACATGTGCGAGACTATTCTTTGTCTTTAGGGTGTTCATAAAGATATTACTGAAACAGTTAAAACTTCAATTCACGTTTGTAAATTTCATTGGTTCATAATACTCCTCCGCTCCCGTCGCAACACAAATATCCAATCATAGCCACAAACCATAGTCGTGGAGAATTGGACCATATCACAATGTTTAAAGTAATGGGCCTTAGAATAATGGGCCGTGAAAGCAATAATTACATTTCAAAGGGATACACACAGAAGATGATAAGTCTTTCTGGATAAAACACTCTCATTCTCTCCATCCTCCGTCATCAATCCTATCAATGGCTTCCTCACTCGTTTCTTCATTTCAACCCAGGTACTTCTGAGATACTTTATACCATAGCCCGACTCTAACTTCTTCAATTGTCTTACGAAGTTTTCGTTTTCTGTATTTCGCATTTCTATTGAAAATCTCTTTGAATGCGGCTCTCATGAATGTCCAGCTCCAAGTATAAACAATCTCTTTTGAATGGGTTCCTATGTCAGTTTACGTTTTACGAAACCGATTGGAATGTCGAATTGGTTGCTAATTCTTGAAATTCTGATGGATTTGTGATTTGGAAATTTGAGTGTTTTAGGCAGAACTCAATTTTTGAAATTTCCCTTTTGTTTTTTCAGCAATGTTAGGTCAGCGTTTTTAGGCGACAGAAACGTGTTCAAGGTCTCAGCCTCACCGTTTGCTCAAGTGGGTTTCTCAAGCAAGACCATCGAGTGCAAGGAATCAAGGATAGGGAAGCAACCAATCGCTGTACCGTCCAATGTAACCATTGCATTAGAAGGCCAAGACTTGAAAGTGAAAGGTCCATTAGGAGAGCTCGCTTTAACTTACCCACGCGAAGTTGAGCTCACCAAAGAAGATTCCGGTTTCTTGAGGGTCAAAAAAACCGTCGAAACCAGAAGAGCCAACCAAATGCACGGCCTTTTCAGGTGACAATTGCTTTCTTACACATTGTTAAGGTTTAAAAAGTCTGAAACTTTTGAGGTCTGACTTTGTTTGTATGTGTTTTCAGGACTCTTACGGATAACATGGTTGTGGGAGTATCAAAGGGGTTTGAGAAGAAGCTTATACTAGTTGGTGTTGGTTATCGTGCTACTGTGGAAGGGAAGGAACTGGTTCTGAATCTCGGGTTTTCTCATCCGGTTAAGATGCAGATACCGGAGAGTCTCAAAGTGAAAGTGGAAGAGAACACGAGAATCACTGTGAGTGGATACGATAAGAGCGAGATCGGGCAGTTTGCTGCGACGGTGAGGAAGTGGAGGCCACCGGAGCCTTACAAGGGTAAGGGAGTGAAGTATTCTGATGAGATTGTTCGGAGGAAGGAAGGTAAAGCTGGAAAGAAGAAGTGATCCTGATTTTAACTCTTGTGTATTTACTTACCTCTTGTCTCCTTTCAATGTTAATGTGTATTTTGCTTAAACTTGTTTAGAAGAAGATATTATGTTTGTTTTTGGGATTCTTGGTGGTTTTAAAAAGAACCACATTGTTCTTGATGCTCTGAGAAATGTCATTCCAGATTGTGTTTAGTGCTTTTAAATCTTAATACTGTTATGCAAAATATAAATATCGACAGAAACAAAAAACCGGTGGAAGAAGAAAAATACCTCTAGAACCACACTCCCAAAAAAAGAAATACATTAACCAGAAAGTGATCACTAATCAGCACAAATTAATTAATGTTCATTAATCATAAATAAAATAAAGAAACATAATTAAAGCTTAGACAACGATTTTGGGAAGTTTCAAAAGCACTTTATCATCATTTATGTGTGTGTATAAATTATTGAGTAAATTTTCTTTTTTGTGAGTAAAATGTTAATAACCCAAGAAATTGTTCAGTTTTTCTTTTTAATTAACAGAAAATAAAATTAACCAAGAATTGGGATTCAGTTGAAGAGACTTGACCGGAGCTAAAATCCTTCCTCTCTCTCTCTTGCTCTTTGCCTCTGCGTAGCTGCGAAGCGACCCAGTGAAACCACCAGCTTGAAGAAAGAGCCAACAATGTCAGAGCCTAAAACCAAGTACGATCGTCAGCTCAGGTACACACCCTTTTCCCGCCTCAATCTCTACTTCTCTCTGTATTATTCGTTCGATTCCTCTTCGGAAGTAGATATTGAAGTAAACGCGGGTTCTGAGAATCGGATGGTGTTGATTGGGAAAATTCGCAGGATTTGGGGGGAGCTAGGGCAAGCAGCTCTGGAAGACGCGAGCATCTGTTTGCTCAATTGTGGTCCTACTGGCTCCGAGGCGTTGAAGAATCTCGTCCTCGGTGGAGTTGGGAGCATCACCATCGTTGATGGATCCAAAGTTGAAATTGGAGACCTTGGAAACAATTTCATGGGTATTGCTAATTTTCCAAGTTGCTTTGTATACTTTTTGGGATTTTGGGTAATTTATGCAAACACTTACTTCGGTTATGGTGATTGTTGATCATGTGATAAGTGGATGAGGCGAGTGTTGGTCAATCAAAGGCCAAGTCTGCTTGTGCGTTTCTTCAAGAGCTTAACGATGCTGTTAAAGCCAAGTTTATCGAGGAGAATCCAGATACATTGATAATGACAAACCCATCTTTCTTCTCTCAGTTCACCTTGGTTATAGCCACTCAGGTACGATCTAGTGAGTGAGTGTTAAGCTAGACATCAATCAAGATGCCTTCTTGTCAATGTTCTTAGATTCACAAACGTACCTTCACTGATTATTGCTTTATTAGTCCTTTTTCTGCGTATATAAGACTTTATTCACCTCCTCTATGTAGCTGGTGGAAGATTCAATGGTGAAACTTGATAGAATCTGTCGAGAAGCAAATGTCAAGTTGGTTTTTGTTCGCTCGTACGGCCTTGCTGGGTTTGTTCGTGTCTCTGTAAAGGTAAAAGCTTTCTTGACCCAGTTTTTATGAGAGAAGTAAATGAATTAATGTGTTGAAGTTGATTGTTGCCAGTGGTATGCATTGGTTTGGATATTTGCCAATAGGGAATATGCTAAGTTCTATTGTTTTCTTGTTCATCAGGAGCACACCATAATCGACTCAAAGCCTGATCATTTTCTTGACGACCTTCGCTTGAATAACCCATGGCCTGAACTTAAGAAGTACACTGCTCTCATTTCGTCTCTCATTATACTTTTTCTGGCATCTTTTAAATGTGGTTGTGGATGGACGACTGAGTGATGTCTGATATTTATTAACTATTGATTGTACCGCAGTTTTGTGGAGACCATTGATCTAAATGTATCAGAGCCAGCAGCACATAAGCACATACCTTACGTCGTCATTCTTGTGAAGATGGCTGAAGAATGGACTCAATCCCATAGTGGTAATCTTCCCTCGACCAGGGAAGAGAAAAAAGAGTTTAAGGTGTAGTTTCTTTCTTGTTTGTTAGCAAATTCATTAGCTAGCTTGCTTCCTTGTTCTGATTTATCTTTATCCTTGAAATCCTATTAGGATTTGGTTAAGTCCAAGATGATATCTATGGATGAAGATAACTACAAAGAAGCCATCGAAGCTGCTTTCAAAGTTTTTGCTCCTCGTGGAATCAGTAAGTTGATATCTCTGTTTGGTGTGGTCGGTCAAATCATACACAGTGTTCTTCATATTGAACTATACCTCGTTTCTGTTCCAGGCTCAGAGATTCAACAAATTAGCAATGATAGTTGTGCTGAACCGAGTTCAAATTCCTCAGATTTCTGGGTGATGGTAGCGGCTCTGAAGGTTTGAAACTTGAAAACTGCTCTGCTAAACTCGTACTTTCATATTCATTTAGGAACTGCAAGTGGTTGGGGTTGATAACAATTTTCCAGGGCATTTAAATAGTTTGGAGTTTTACTTCAATGCAGGAGTTTGTCTCACACGAAGGTGATGGAGAGGCACCCCTTGAAGGCTCTATACCAGATATGACGTCTTCAACAGAGTTAGTGCAACTTTCTCGATGGCACTAAAATTTTATCCTCAATCTGTTTTTCAGATTGCTAATGTAGCTCTACTGTTGCTTTTTGCAGACACTATATCAACTTGCAGAAAATCTATCTAGCGAAAGCCGAGGCTGATTTTCTCGTCATGGAGGAACGAGTTAGAAACATTTTAAAGAAAATCGGTCGCGATCCTAGCAGCATCTCCAAACCAACAATCAAGAGCTTCTGTAAGAATGCAAGAAAACTTAAAGTGAGAATACTAAACTTGCTTGTTTACTACTTTTTGCTTTTGAAGCAGTATCAGAAACATGTGTTCTTGAGTAAAATGTAAACTGCAATCTCTGCTTTGTAGGTATGCAGATATCGTATGGTAGAGGATGAGTTCAGCAACCCTTCTGTAACCGAAATTCAAAAGTGTTTAGCGGACGAGGATTACAGGTGCGAGTTTCTTAACGGAATCTGCCCTTTTCATATGAGTACAAAAGTACTAAGGACTTGTCTACAAAACAGTTGCTCTTTTGTTCGTCTCATGATACATAGTATAAGAGGCTGCGGCTGAATACTGCAAAACTGCCATTTAATTTAGTTAACAGAAATGTCTAGTTTTCATCTTAGGCTTATACAGCAGCATAATAGTTTGTGGTTTTAGTTCAAATCTTTGATAGGGAGCCACTTGTTAGCTTAGCTCTCGTACTAATATTGGTTTACCGTTGCAGTGGTGCAATGGGGTTTTATGTACTTCTTAAAGCTGTGGACAGATTCACTGCCAACTATAACAAGTTTCCTGGACAGTTTGATGGGTAAGAAACTCAATCCTGATTCTGAACAGCTTGTCATTGATTGGGATATTAACACGGAATCATCAATGTAAATTTGGCAGAGGAATGGATGAGGACATATCTCGGTTGAAAACTACAGCCTTGAGTATTCTTACCGACTTGGGGTGTAACGGATCGGTACTGCCCGATGACCTTATCAGTGAGATGTGTCGGTTTGGTGCCTCAGAGCTTCATGTGGTTGCTGCCTTTGTTGGAGGAATCGCATCTCAAGAAGTCATCAAGGTTCATCACATTTTCTCTCTCTCTCAACATATATTGTTTATAATTTTCTCACTCGCTGATTGAACTTGTTGTGTGTGTGTGTGTTTGCAGCTAGTCACAAAACAGTTTGTTCCTATGTTGGGGACTTACATCTTCAATGGCATCGATCACAAGTCTCAGTTATTGACGTTGTAGAATATCTTCCCGAGCTTTAGGAGAAAGTCCCTCTGGTGTAGTGGCTATTTGTTTGAATCCCATCCCACTTTTCCTTTTCCTTTGCCTTTTCTTTTTTATTTTCCCCCTTTTTTTTTGGGTAGTTTCTTTTTAATAGTCTGTAAGAAATGAAATACAGGATTTGGATGGATCATATTATTATTTGGTTTCCTTTTTTGATACCTTTAGTTTTCTTTTATTATATTTATTATTATAAGATAAACAAATGATTAAGTAAAGAAAACAACAGAAAACCAACTTAATTTGCATGCACTCCGTCACGTCGACAACAAAAACTGACTGGTGGATCAAGGAAAATAAAGAAGTGGTTGCTTCTGAAAAAGGAGTAGCAACAAGAAACAGATCGATGGATGAGAATGGGATGTCAGCTTTAGAGGTGTTTGCTTGAAGAAGAGAGTGACAAAACCGAATTAGGTATAGTGACAGTCTCCTCTTTCAAGCAAAGCACCTAACTTCTTGATCACCCCTCCTCCTTTTACGTAGCTCTTAAACCGTCCGGTCCGAAGATTTTGGTTAGTGATTGAAACAAAAGATACAATTCAGCTAACCGGATTGTACCTTTCGTTATGATTCTATTGAACTTCAATGTCGGTTGCAGACGGTGTAACTTAAATGACACCTCATTTCGCTGGATTTTTCTTTGTCACTTCAAATTATTTCGCTTAATTATTGGTGGCTACGTATAATAACGCACACGTATTAAATTATGTGCCTACAGTCTACCTCACTTTAATGGTTATGTAAATTTTGATTCTTTTGAGTTCCTCTTTGAGACACAAGTTGTCATCATATTTTTCGATTGCTAATAACAACAGTACCAAAAACAATTAAAATAACAACTTAAAAAAAAAATAACAGCAAATTATAATAGTACTTGCTTCTAATTAAGCATAGAAAAAATCACATAAATACATTCACTGGATAAAATATATCAACGATAGATCTGAAGCTTTTGTAATTATTGACATTGAATAGTTTGGACTTTGGAGGACATTGATTCAATCAATTTATCACAATCTCGTCTATTTGCTATTCAAAATAAAATAGCACCGACTTTTGAATGATCATCACATGCCATGAAGCATGGACACAACCATCGATGCAATATTACGTTAAGCAGACAAAAACTTCAAATTCTATTGTTTTTTTCATAGTTGAGTTTAGAAACCGGGTAAGATGGTCCAAACCTACCGAATTAGAAATGGCCAAGAGTATTTAATAAATTTAAGTGTACGTTTGTATTACAGACTGAAACCTTCAGTTGCGATAGTATATGTGTGTTCCCTAGGAGTTAGAGATGTTTTTAAACCAGTCATTTCATAATAATTCTATTAGAAGTGTCATTGGGAATTGAAAATGTATAGAAGCATCAACTGATAAACCGAGTTTTACTTAACATGACACAAGAGTACACATAAGAAGGAATTATGATATCCATGAACGATCGATTCGACCGGTATCATTTTGGACAACATAGGTTTGTGAAATGTTGATGATAGACACACAACTCCATTGGGGATACTTTTTCTTTTGCAGTGAGTTTGTGATACTATTACTTTCACATGATCGATAGTAATAGTACGGTCGCAGAATCTCAAATGCAATGCAATTATGCAACGACTAAACTAAGTTAAGTCTCTTTGATTTTGTTTTGTTTTACTCAATGAATTTGATGTTTAAACCATTGAATAGTCAATTAACCGTATTTAACTCACCAGTCCCCACCTACACTGACTAGGTTGGCTATGACAAGGCTTAAGTCAACCGATGGAATAAAATGCCTGTATTTCCAACATCTCTAGTCGCTCTACACATGCCGTATGTGACATACCTATTAATGGCTATAGGCTATATATATGTACACACACTAACACACATTAGCTGGAAAACAAATAAAATTTGATCTAATCTTTTTTCTATTTCAACAAGTATTTATCTAATATGTTACCTAATTAGAAACTAGTGTAGGAACTAGCGAATGCTATATAAAATCATAAGAGGAAAACAAAAATCGTGGCCCTATGCTTTTGTATTTTGCTTCTTCTTCTTCTTTGTAACTGAAGCAATCGTAATATTTTATAGAACAAACGAAGTTAACAAACTCCCATAATGTGTTTTTGTTGTATCATATCGAATCTTACGAGAGCTGACAAAAACCACGACGACCACGAGGATAGTAATACTATTACTGCCACAGCCACTACAATAAATGAATTCGAAAAAAGTAATTATATATCTTTGTAAGGATCGTTTGGTAAATTCGCAAAAATCTTGGCATTTTTTTTTAATAATATTAAAGCTGGAAACTGGACGGTTAAAAAAGAAGTCGTTCTGATTTTCCATCTTCGTCTCCCTTCCGTTTAACGTCGTTTCTCTTCCAAATCTCCTGCGAAAACAAAAAATTACAGAGTCTAAGAGAGAGAGAGAGAGAGACGCGAGAGCTTATTTACTCTTCTCTAGATCTGTGAAAGTCTCAGATTCTAGTTTAGGAAGAAGCTTCTGGAGATTTAGGTGTTCTTCTTGTTGCTGGGTCTATTTCTGGGTTTCGAGCTGATTTAGAGGGTTTGGCTCCGATAATGGAGCTCATTGGCTTGAGATAGTTACGATATAGCTGGGGAGCTTCATTTTTATTTCGATTGAGGAGGAAAAATGTCGATGAAGATCAAAGGAGAGCATTCTTCTAGAAGCTTCGCATCGCGAAAATGGACATTGTTACTCTGCTTAGGGAGCTTCTGCGTCGGAATGTTCTTCACCGATCGGTATGCTGATGAAATTTCACAACTGATCTCTCTCTCTCGTCTTCTTCTCGTTGCTATGATAATTAGTTTCTTTAGAGATTTGTGGATTACCTTTTGTGTCGACATTGATTTTGACTATTCTAGTCAATTCACGACTCAGTTTCCAGATTTCTTCATTTTGTTCCCCTCAGTTGCTCTAACTTCTACTTTGAGTTTCTGAGCTTTTTTCCCAGAAAAATTGCTCTCTAATTGAAATTCTGGGTTCCAATTTGTAGTTTGATTTGTGACATTTAATCAAAGCAAATTTTAGTCGATTCTTGACAGTTTCTATTTTAGTTTTGAGTATACCATGCCGCATGCTAATTTCTGATTTTAACCTTTTTCTACAAAATTACTCCTTTTGTGTTATCAACATAATTCACTCTTTTAATACACATAACAAAAGTTCTTTTCTTTTTTGTTGCAGAATGTGGAGTATTCCGGAATCTAAAGGCATCTCTCGTCCATCCGTAACCGAAGCTGAAAGATTGAAGCTGATATCTGAAGGCTGCAATCCAAAATCTGTGAGTCTGATGATCCATGTTTCATTTTGATCATGAATCTTATCAGAAACTTGTTCATTTGTGTTTGTGATCTGATTAGTTTCCTCTTTAGCTTTACCAGAAAGAAGTAAAACGAGATCCCCAGGCTTTGTTTGGAGAAGTATCAAACACACACAATGCTATACAGTAAGTTTTTAACCTTTGTGCTGTGCTCTCAAATTACAGAACTTTTTGGAATTTGTGATGTTTAATTCTTGCTTACCTGCGCAGGAAATTGGATAAGACGATTTCAAGCTTAGAGATGGAGTTAGCTGCAGCAAGGTCAGTGCAGGAGTCTTTACAAATCGGGGCTCCTGTATCAGATGATATGGGGAAGAAGCAACCTCAGGGAAAGAGACGCTATTTCATGGTCATTGGGATTAATACAGCTTTTAGTAGCCGCAAGAGAAGAGATTCTGTTCGAGCTACGTGGATGCCTCAAGGTTTCTTACTTACATCTTGCTTGTTTCAATCTCTTCTGGATTCATATAGAACATGATTGATTATCTTGATCAAACATGTTCTTTCATGTTCTTTGTTCTTTTAGGTGAAAAAAGGAAGAGACTTGAAGAAGAGAAGGGAATTATCATCCGGTTTGTCATTGGTCACAGGTGAGAATTCACTTTCTTTTAGTGTATTTTAGGTTTATAAGTGAGTTTTATTTGTCTTCTCTGTTTATATTGATGCTGCGTGTCATTGATTCTACAGTGCCACGGCTGGGGGTATTCTAGATAGAGCCATAGAAGCTGAGGACAGGAAGCATGGGGATTTCCTGACACTGGTATAGTTCAACGTTTACAAGTCTAAAGCTTAGTTTATAGCTCTTATCTTCATTTGCATTGCTCTGTTTTTTTTCGTGACAGGACCATGTTGAAGGGTACCTAGAGTTGTCAGGCAAGACGAAAACTTACTTTTCTACAGCGTTTTCAATGTGGGATGCAGATTTCTATGTCAAAGTAGATGATGATGTTCATGTAAATATAGGCAAGTCGTTGAACCTTGTACTTGATCTCCTATATGACTATACAAAGTAGTAATTGGTTCAATGTTTGATTGAAATGCCTGCAGCTACTCTTGGAGAAACTCTTGTTAGACATCGAAAGAAACAGCGGGTCTATATCGGTTGCATGAAATCTGGTCCTGTGCTCTCTCAAAAGTAAAGCGTCTCTTTTAGTTTTTTCCCTCCTTGAAACCATTTTTCTTACTCTGATTCTTTCTTTTGTTAAGTAATGTTGGTTTTTATGGAGCAGAGGGGTGAGATACCATGAGCCAGAGTACTGGAAATTTGGTGAGAATGGGAACAAATACTTCCGTCATGCTACTGGACAGTTATACGCCATTTCAAGAGACTTGGCTTCTTATATTTCAATCAATCAGTAAGAGGAAGATATGATTACGTTTGTATCAATGGCTCATCTCTTAACTCAGTGTATCTTATTCGTTCTTATATTTGTTAAAATGTTTCAGGCATGTTCTTCACAAGTATGCGAACGAAGATGTTTCCTTAGGAGCTTGGTTTATTGGGATTGATGTTAAACACATTGATGATAGAAGATTATGCTGCGGCACTCCTCCTGGTAAGTCTTAAGCTCTTTTGAACCAGTGTTTAGATCTTGATATCTTAGATAAGACGTCAACATCTTTGGTGTTCTGCACCTAAATAACTAGAGTAATTTCTGCTTTGAAACAAAAAGCTTAAAGTGAAGAAATGCTATCTAAAAGAGATAAATCGTCCCTATCAATATCTCTACTGATAGAAAGTCTTACCAAGAACATCAAATCTTACTTCTTGTTTCAAACATATCACTGTAACGTGTAACACACACTGCACTTTCTACTCGAGAGAGCTTATGGATTTGGTTTTGGAATTGCAGATTGCGAGTGGAAAGCGCAAGCTGGGAACATATGTGTAGCATCATTCGACTGGACCTGTAGTGGAATCTGCAGATCAGCAGATCGCATCAAAGAGGTTCATCGACGCTGTGGTGAAGGCGAAAACGCTCTTTGGAGTGCCACGTTTTGACATGTACAAAAATATGAATGATAAAACGTAACGTTTTTGTTCAGCCCCCAAAGGTCAGACGAAGGTCCAGAGATACAATTCTTTAATATGACCAAGAGTCAGAGATATCCACTTTTGTAATCATAGGTACATAGGAGAGGCAGGCTAGAGATAAATGTGTGAAAACTTCTTGGCAAGAATCGCGATTGCGTTTCCACAGAGAAAAGTTTATAAGAAAAGAAATTTAGTATCAATGTTTTTGGTTACGCTGAGTGGACTTTTTTTGTTTCTCCATAGACTTTAAGATTGTTCTGTTAGTAAACAGATTATCCATTTATCCTCTGTTCTGATTTTACTCTGTACTGAGTCACTCTTGAGTAGACCTGCAAAGGTTGGTTTAGTTTTGGTATCAATGTTATACCGGCATTTGACCAAGTATAAAATTGTCAAAATTTCGGTTTACTACTGACCTCTGGTATCAATAGTAGCCCCTTATCCGTGAATGTTCATGTATATATATACACATGTGGAGATATATAGGCTGAGAGAGGCACATATAGAAGTATAAATCCCAAAAAATGGAAAGAAAGTTTCAAGTCTATCCTTAGGGATGTGGCACAGGCAGCCATTTTTGGCACCACGAATCAGATAAGAACACGCGTTGTGTCCTTAAAGAAAATGTCTTGATAAATCAATGAGTAGCTGCTAAGATACTCTCCGCCGTTTAAAGAAAAATACAATAGGCATTGCTTCCAGTTTGAGAGATATTATTTCCAGTTTGAGAAGATATATTACCAGTTATACGAAGATATTTTACCAGTTATACTTGGGGACTACAAGGTAATTTTGTCGAGTGACTCGGTAACAGCTGTGAGAATGTTATCCACGTATTCAACATGAAGAGGAAGGCTACAAATACCTCTCTACCCATCAATAAAAGGGGACAAAAAGAGTTGCGAAGTTAACTAAGTAAAAGCAAAAAGAAAAAAAAAAATGGTGGTGGAAGCAACGAGTTGGATCCCAGTATGGTTGCCGTTGATGGTGTTGGGATGTCTAAGTCTGTATTGGTTGGCTAAGAAAGTGAACGTTTGGCTCTATGAGTCAAACCTTGGTGAGAACAGGCACTATCTCCCACCAGGAGATTTGGGTTGGCCTTTCATTGGCAACATGTTGCCTTTCCTCAGAGCTTTCAAGACCTCTGACCCTGACTCCTTTGCCCGCTCCTTACTCAACAGGTAAATCTATCTTCTATCACACCATATTAAAGATCTGTCACAATAATCCATAGATATGTTTGCAGAATTTTTATACACTTAAATTTCACATCAATAGCCAATCTTAATCTCTCTGTTCTAGAATTATTGTAGTGGGTCCATTTTATCCTTTGGTAGTTTGGTTGGTTATGATTAAAAGATTTAAACTTTTTGAGTATTAAATGTTCCTATCAATTCTGACTGCAGGTATGGATCTAAAGGTGTCTACAAAACACACATGTTTGGGAACCCAAGTATCATAGTGACAACACCAGATACTTGCCGGCGTGTCCTGACAGACGACGATGCCTTCCGACCAGGCTGGCCAAAATCAACAATGGAACTCATTGGGAGGAAGTCATTCATTGGTATCTCCTTTGAAGAACACAAGCGTCTCAGGCGTTTGACTGCTGCTCCTGTCAATGGCCATGAAGCTCTCTCTTTCTACATACCTTACATTGAAGAAAACGCTATCGCCGCACTAGACAAGTGGGCCAAGATGGGAGAGTTCGAGTTCTTGACTCATCTGCGTAAGCTTACCTTTAGGATCATCATGTACATCTTTCTCAGCTCCGAGAGTGAGAATGTCATGGATGCGTTGGAGCGAGAGTATACCGCTCTCAACTATGGTGTGAGAGCTATGGCCATCAATATTCCTGGTTTTGCTTATCATAGAGCACTCAAGGTATGTAAATTAAACAAACTTTGTCAAATTTTCCATCTTTTTGAAGATTTTTGAGAGTTTATTATTACTTTTTTCATTTTACAGGCGAGGAAAGTACTTGTGGCTGCCTTTCAGTCCATAGTGACTGAGCGCAGGAAGCAGAGGAAGGAGAACAATTATTCCAATAAGAAAGATATGTTGGACAATCTTCTTGATGTTAAAGATGAAAATGGAAAGACTTTGGATGATGAAGAGATTATTGATGTTCTTCTCATGTATCTTAATGCCGGTCATGAATCTTCTGGCCACACCATCATGTGGGCTACCATTTTCCTTCAGGAACACCCTGAGTTTCTACAGAGGGCAAAGGTAAATATGCAGAGAAAAGTTTGTTTCATTTCATTTGCTTATCGTTTTCTCTATTGTTTCTTCTCTTGATTGAGTCATGGTAATTCATGTTTTGCATATGACCCTATTATAGGCTGAACAAGAGATGATCCTGGAGAACAGGCCTAAGGGACAAAAGGGCCTGACTCTGAAAGAGACCAGACAAATGGAGTTCCTGTCGCAGGTAAGATTTTGGTGTCTCATACGAGTTTATTGCAAAAGAGGTGTTATATAAGTCTTTTTAAACTGATAGAAAGAGGTGTTTCTTGACTAGGTTGTTGATGAGACACTTCGTGTCATAACATTCTCACTTACTGCTTTTCGGGAGGCAAAGACTGACGTCGAGTTGAATGGTTAGCATTTATGTAAAGACAAGTCATTTATGAGATACAATACAAAACACCTTTTTGAAATGCACTTAACTTTTTTTGCATTCATTATTGGATTGATCTTGCAGGCTATTTGATCCCAAAAGGTTGGAAGGTTTTGACATGGTTTAGGGATGTCCACATGGACCCTGAAGTCTACCCGGATCCAAGAAAGTTTGATCCTTCTAGATGGGATGTAAGTTTAAAGTTCTTGTTTTGCAATTGGTATAATGCAATGAATGTTTGTTGAGCAAAATGTAACATCATTTCATTTATGTTCTTTAGAAGGGCTTCGTACCAAAGGCTGGTGCGTTCCTTCCATTTGGTGCTGGAAGCCATCTATGCCCGGGAAATGATCTCGCTAAGCTTGAGATTTCGATTTTTCTTCATCATTTCCTCCTCAAATACCGGTAAGACTTGCAAAGTTTGAATCTTTACAGTCAGTTATCTCTGTATTATGTTGAATAAATCAATGTTGATTCATATCTTGCAGGGTGAAACGGAGCAACACCGAGTGTCCAGTGATGTACTTGCCTCACACCAGACCAACTGACAACTGCTTGGCAAGAATCACTTATCAGTAAAACATGATTCTCATCTCCTCCGTTAGTCAGATGCCGTTAAGTTTTAGTTCATCAGTTTATGGAGTTCGTTAACTCTTTTAGTTAAAACAGTCTTTAGACTCTTTCTTGTCTTTTTTTCTTTCCTTTCCCTTCATCAGGCTACTTACTCTGTTCCATGAAACAGAGCCTCCTTTGTTCTCAAAATAAATGTTAACGACTCAGATCGACTATAAATTTTTATCAAAATAAAATGGTTAGGATAAGCTTTTCATTATATTTATGTGAAGCAGTGAGATATATAGATGAGAAGCTGCCAGAAAATAAAACATAAAAAATGATTTTAAGGAGAAAAAGGCCACACACACACTCTGACAGTAGTGTCCACTATCTGCTTTCATACAAAGACACAGAGACAAAAATAAACAGGTTGGCGTTCCTTCTCTGGATGGACCATTTCATAATATTATCAAGACTTTGGTTTTTTTTTTTATGTCCTCTTTTTTTTTTCCGTAAAGAAACAGCAGAGAGAGAGAGAGAAGCTTTACAGATCAGAGGATCCAATGTCGAGATTCTCGCTCCGGAGCCCCGAAAATTGATCAATCTCCGCTCTCTGTTTCCTGCATTTGATTCCTTTTTCTTTCTGGGTCTGTTATTGAATCAACCCCTGATTGTTGCTGTTGATTTCCTTATTTCCAATCCTCTGTTTTGATTTTGGAAAAAGGCTGAAACTTTATCTGGAAAAATGGCGACTAGAGGAAGCAGATCGGAGAAGGTGAAGAGAATCTTCCAGCAATTCGACGGGAATCGAGACGGTGGGCTTAACCGCGAGGAGATGGCGGCTCTCGTCGTAGCTGTTAACCCTAGAGTGAAATTCAGTGACGAACAGATCAACGCCATCCTCGACGAAGTTTTCCGAACCTACGCCGAATTCATCGACCCCAACAAGGGTCTGACCTACGACGGCCTCCTCCGCACTTACGACGACGGCGCCGGAGACGTCGACAGAGATTTCGACGCGTTGGGACTCGAATTAAACGCCGACGAGACAATCAAAGGCTCAGAGGCTTCGTCCTCCTCGATTACCGACGAGAGAGCCGTCGAGGCGCAGAAGAAACAGAGAACCGCGGCTTGGGCGGTTTCTCCCAACCACGGGATCGTTTTCGACGAGACGTGGAAATTAGTCGACGATTTGGAGATTCTGGTGAAGAGATTGAAATCGAAACAGGAGAAAGACGGGAAATTGAAATCCGATAACAACAACAACAATGTCGACGCTTTCTCCGACGCCGGATGGTCTCGAGAGTTAGGTCCTTCAGCGGAGATCTCCGAGAAGAGAATCTACTGGGAAGAATCAAGCCACGACTACACATCGTTCGTCAAGGAACTGGGAGTTTTAAGAAGCAAAGCGGACGGAGCTAGATCGAGAGAAGAAGCCTTCGACGGACACATGGCGATCGGGAGAGTCCTGTACGAGCACCAGCTCTTCAAAGAAGCTCTCGTCAGCTTCAAGAGAGCTTGCGAGCTGCAACCAACAGACGTTCGACCTCATTTCAAAGCAGCAAACTGTCTCTACGTGTTAGGGAAATGCAAAGAGTCGAAAGACGAGTTCTTGCTTGCGTTAGAAGCTGCTGAGTCCGGAGGCAACCAATGGGCTTACTTGCTTCCTCAGATCTACGTCAACCTCGGGATCGCGCTTGAAGGCGAAGGTATGGTTTTGAGCGCTTGTGAGTATTATAGAGAAGCTGCGATTCTGTGTCCAACGCATTATAGAGCGTTGAAGCTTCTAGGTAGTGCCTTGTTCGGTGTAGGAGAGTATAGAGCTGCGGTTAAGGCCTTGGAGGAAGCTATATACTTGAAACCTGACTACGCGGACGCGCATTGCGATTTGGCGTCTTCGTTGCATTCGATGGGGGAGGACGAGAGAGCTATAGAGGTTTTCCAGAGAGCGATAGATTTGAAACCTGGACATGTTGACGCTCTGTATAATCTTGGAGGGCTTTACATGGATTTAGGTCGGTTTCAGAGAGCTTCTGAGATGTACACTAGGGTTTTAGCTGTGTGGCCTAACCATTGGCGTGCTCAGCTGAACAAGGCGGTTTCTTTGCTGGGAGCTGGTGAGACTGAGGAAGCTAAGAAGGCGCTTAAGGAAGCGTTGAAGCTGACGAACCGTGTTGAGTTGCACGATGCGGTCTCTCATTTGAAGCATTTGCAGAAGAAGAAGAAGAACGGGAAAGGTAACGGAGGAGAAGCTCCGTTTGTCGTCGTTGAGGCGTCCAAGTTCAAGACTGTGGGAGAGAAGACGACGTTAAGGCCGGATTTAGCGATTGCGCTTCAGATCAGAGCGTTTCAGAGAGTGACGAGGCTTGGGAAATGCGATGTGGAGGCTGTGAGGAAGGAGATGAGAGACAACGACGTTCCTGTGTCGTATTCCGGGAGCGGCGGGCCGACGAAGTCGATTCGGAAACCTAACCTTGAGGAGATTCTCCGGCGTCTGCTTAGCTCGTTGAAACCGGAGACGTTTCAAGGAGCGATCAAGGTGATCAACGAGAAGATACTTTCGGTTCTCGACGATTCCGGGTCGGGGAGAGTCGACATGGGGATGTTCTACGCGGTGATTGCTCCTCTGTGCGGTGGAGTTTCGGATAAACGGAAGAGAGTTGCGTTCGACGCGCTGCTCTGGAGACCTGTGAACGAAGGAAGCTCTCAGATTACGAAAGCTGATGCTGAGAAGTACATTAAACTGTTGAGAGCTGTTTACATTCCATCGCATGGGATGAGTGAGATGTTGGAAGTTCATGGGGAGGAAGAAGCTGAGACAGTGACGTATAACCAGTTTTTGGCGATGTTCGATGATCCGGATTGGGGATTTGGGATCATGTCGACGATTCTTAAACTGGAGGCGAATGATAGGAACCGGCATGGAAACCAAGTTTGCTCGGTTTGTCGGTATCCGGTTATTGGGTCTCGGTTTAAGGAAGTGAAAGCCCGGTTTAGTTTGTGTAACCAGTGTTACAGTGAAGGGAAGGTGCCTCCGTCGTTTAAACAGGAGGAATACAAGTTCCGAGAGTATGGGAGTGAAGCTGAGGCCATGAGAGCCAAGTGTGCCTGTTTCTCCACTCAATCTCATAAGAAACCGATTGCCACTTGAGAAAGAAACGATGAAACTTAACTCATCATCACTTTTTTTTGAAATCTTTGTCTCTAATCTGCAAATTGTATAACCTTTTTTTTTTAACATGTGTGTGCATAGTTTCAATGAAGTGTTACGTTGATGAGAGCTATGAGAGTGCGCAATGTTGTTTCTGACAAATCAGATGAGAGGTGAGTATTTAATTTGGTCTGGTTCGGTTTGTCTTTTCTTGTTGTTCATGGTTTTCAGAATTTATAACTGAATTGGAACCAAACTAAGTAAGCTACAACATTTAGTTGATAGAGTTTACAACATTTCTCTGATGAAATCAAGGTTAAGTGTGTCCTTAACAATGAGAAACAAACCAAGAAACAGCACAAGCACAATCCCAGACGACATAATCCCTTGCTCAACCTCTAACGGTAACTTCCTCCCGCCTCTAACCGCTTCCAACAGAATCAAAGCCAATGTCCCTCCGTCAAGTGCCGGTAACGGCAACAGATTGATGACCGCAAGGTTTAGATTCAGCAACGCCGCAAACTGGTAAAGCCCGTCCGCGTTTGATCTCGCCACTTCCGCTCCGACCGCAATGATCGCAACCGGACCAGCGACTTGACTTGCGGTCTGAGAGAAGTTGAGGAAAGTCTGTTTCAAGCTGTCCAAAACATTGTAAGAGAGCCCCAAAAACTCTCTACCAACGAAACCGAAAGCTTCCGTTACGTTCTTCGGTTTCACCTTCGAGAATCTCACGTTCGGTGATAGCTGAACACCGATCTTCCCCGTTCCGTCGAAACTCTCGTCCGGTTTGATCCGGATTTCGAAATCCTCGCTCCCTCTTACGATCTTGAGCAACACGTTGTGATTCGGATTCCTCTTTAGGACATCAGCAACTTTGGAAATCGAATCAGAACCGGATTCGGTTAGCTCGTTGCCATCAACGGATAAGATTACATCTCCCGGAAGCAATCCGTCGCGAGAAGCAGCAGAGAAAGGTTTAACGTCCGGAACAAGAACTCCGGGGAAAGATTCTCGAACTGGTAATCCAACGAAGATCACTTGAGTGAAGATTATAGCGTAAGCGAAGATCACGTTAGCGATGATTCCGGAGGAGACCACAATCACTCTATCCAAAATGGGTCGGTTCTTGAGCAGGTTTTTGTCGTCTAGAGGGATTTTGCTGTCGGGATCGTTGTCGGGGAATCCGACAAACCCGCCTAAGGGGAAAGCTCTGAGAGAGTATTCGACATTGTTGGCATTGAATTTAGCTAGAATCGGACCAAACCCGATCGCGAATTTACTCACGCGGATGCCTTGAAGAGAAGCGGCTAAGAAGTGACCGGTTTCGTGGACGACGATGATCGCCGTGAGAACAGCGGAGGCTTCGATAACTGATTCGAAACTTCCGAGATCGAGTCCAGCGAGAGCTCGTGGTCTGTAATCGATAACTGGACCATCGTATTTGTTTCTGAATAAAGATGTGTTCTTGGTGCCGTAGAGGCTATGATTCGATGAAGTGGAGAGATTGGATGAAAGATGAGATTTTGGGAAATGGGATTTGGATTTTGGAGGGAAATTTGAAGTGGGGTTGTTGAAATTGGAGAGGGAGTAAGGAATTCGATGAGAAACTGGAGAAGAAGAAATGTTTAATAGCATGATTTCGTGAGGTATGGAGGAGATTTGAGAGTAGGGAGATGAGAGATTGAAGCCATAGAGAAACAGAGGAGATAATTTAAAACCATTGGTGCTCTCTGTATGTATGTGGTATGGGATTAAACACAATTACACAACTACACTTCGTTTCTTGTTTCGGGTACAAAATAAATATTAATTAGATAGATTGACTTTTCTACTTAAAACTGCTAATAATTTGATTAGTGACCTTATTAATTTCGCATGTTCTTCGTCTCACTTTCTTTCATTTCATGTCAGCCAAAACTTATGCAGAAATTTGTGGGCTTTTATGGGTTCACTTACTCCAAATATGAATTTCAAGCCCACTAAAAATGCAATAGTTACCGAAGAAATTTATTCATTCAAACTCTCAAAAAACAATTGCCCTCCGCCACGTACTAATTATTAGAGATCATGTTCAATATATTACGAATTTTCAAAATTCAGATGTGGCATAATTAGATTATGTACCGCAGACAAAACAGTTAGGAACTTAGGAATGTATTTAGTTTGTTTTGATCTAACCATGTCAAGTATTTTTTTATCTAGATACCGCACTCACGTTAAACCAGAGTGGTTCTGGAGCTTTTAGCCCTCTTTAACGAAACTATAATATACTAGAGATAGTGGGTTTTAGTTAAATAAGACTTAAGAGTATAAGACTAGTGTGCGCATATAATTCATACTGCATGTGTGGTGGATTCCTTGTTTTATATGGCTAGAAGATATCATATCGATTTGATTTGTTTTTGTTTGTAAACTGTAAGCCTACATACATATATCCATTAGAGTTTAATCTCTCAAAAACACGTAATACGCCAAACTAACTGTAGTGGTAATTCATAGTTATGCTTATGTTTTGTACCCAAACATAGAAATAGGAGTTGACTATATGTTGTTGATGTTAAGATCATTTCCACTATCTACTTGGTTGTCAAAGAAAATCGTACATAGATTCGCCTTCAGGAATTGGAGATGACATGGTACAGGGGATCTTTCCACTAGTAATCGACAATGTCCGAACGTTTGTTGTAGATATACTCAAAGTTAAAAAGAAGTCAATGCTTGCTATGTGTATTTTATCCACACAAAAATGCAGTATATGAATTACCAAAAAAAAAGTATATATGTCCATGTTAAATCACTGTTATAATTTAAACCACACATTTATCAGTAAACATGTCGTAGTGTTTTTTTTGTTAATTGAGAAATTCCAGACATCCAACAAAAGAAGCCATGGCTTCATATATGCGTCGAATATATTTCGTTAAGTTTGGGAGATTCTTCAATATTTCTTCAACATTAAAAAAAGAAACTTATGAAACGTTTCGACAGTATATTTTCATTGTGAGTGTCTTGTAATTGAGCGATAAGAGTACTCTTACGTGCTAAAACGGACCACTAAGAAGGATTTATTTGCAAGAACTCAAAGCATTTTAAAACCCATTATTATTCTTTCTTTTTTGCCGACATAGCACAATTATTCTATTAAAATATGCATAACTATTTTCTTCTAACTAGCTAGTTACAAGTTACAACAATATATAAAGGAGAACACAAAAGAAAATATATACAGTATAAAACAGACAACCTAACTTAGTAGTTTGCCAAGAACAAAACAACGTGGCCATTATAATTTATTTCATCTTTATACTTATGGAACATGATTGTATTTTAGGTATTTAACAAAAATGATTGTCTTTTGGTTAAGTTGTCCTCCTTTCTTGTTTTTTTCCAATCCTCGAAACGAAAAGGAGACCAGGTTCAATGAACCCGTAGATTTTAAGCCCTACGTTCTTGTTTTTTATATGGTCTGTCGCCATGATTTTTCAAACGCAAGCATGTTTAAAAAGACGCAATATTATGTAGGGTCCTGTTACATAATATTTCATAATTCATATATATGAAAAGAGCTAAATAAAAAGTAATCTTTAGCTTTCCATCTACTTCCTCTTAATTAAAAAAGAAGTTGGTGAACTTATAAGAGTCGTATCAGTGTATCACCATATACAATACATATGGTTTGAGCAGAGACATAAAAGGAGAGAAATGATCTCTATGCCTTCTCCAGAGACTTGTCATCACTTCATCCTCGTGTATGTCTCTGGTTCCATCTAATCTTTGTCATTTAAGCGATCTGGTTATTTATATATATACATATGCATGTGTGCTTGGTATTAATACACTTTTCTTCACTGAAAATATTTTCAGGATCAAAGGTCGAAGAAGAAGTGAAACATATATATAGCTGATTATATGTTGGGAAATGATTGACGAGAATCAGAGAAAATGATCGTTTTTGATTCACTAGTAAACACTATTGGTTCGAGTTTGATCGAATCGATATCTCTTTTCTTTCGATTGCATCGAAGAAAAAGATTGGAGACGCTCATGGCTTGAGGCAAGTTAAAAGTTCGCCAGTTCCCCCTTTCACAACTTCAATGTCTTTTTGTTAATCACAATTATTACATTTACATGCTCTCTTTTATTTTCCCTTGATAATTACAGTTTATATATGTCGATTATATGAACTCATTATATGTAGTTAAATTCTCTTATCTTTATGATTTATGAGTTATGACCATTACTTGGCATAAAATTTCTCTAGTGTTTAGTATTTACTGATATTCGATTTGAATATTCTTATATATACCCCAAATATTATAGCTAGGAAGAAAATTAGAAAACTATTCAAACGTATTATATTTGAGAAATACCAGAAAATTCACATTTTATGTGTTTTTTCTTCCTAGTTTGCCTGGGGGTTTAGCCCAATGTGACACAGACAGACGATACCATCATTTTGGGCTTAAAAAAAAGGACAGACGATACCATCTGGTACTGACACGAACACCTAATTGTTCGATATTGATCATCGACTCGTCGTAATATTGATATGTATAAAGATTTGTATCTGTTACTTAGTTTTTTTTTTTTTTTTTAAAAATTATTGTCATTTTTATATAATTGATATTAATTTGGAGTTGGACCTAGACCATTTGGAGTTGAGCCTAGTGAAACCTAGAAGCAAACTCAGATTTGCGATACATGCATGCTTGAATATACAGTATGGTTAAATCCTAATGGTACTTCACATCTAGAATAATACAGACAAAAATTGGACTACCAGATAACCAGCTAGGCAATACAATACAATCATGTCCAATATTTCCCTTCGTTATTGTAGATGTGAGTAAAATATCATTGGGACATATACAAGCATATATTCAAGCATGGATGCATGTGTTGTACGATTTGTATATTATTAATCGGAAGTTGATATTGATTGGTGGTTTTAGTTGGGGAAATAGTAAAACATTAAATATGTATAGTAAGGTTTAGACAATGTACTCACAAATGCATGTGATGTGACCCAAATTTATTTTCTCTTTAGATTTTCACCATTGACTTTTGTCGGCACCGTTGACTCTCACTAGTCGTTCTAAATTTAATTTCTCATGTTCACATATAGCCATCATGGTGTAATATTTCCATCACCCATGGTAAATGTGAGTGAAAACAAAGCACCATTTAAGGAAAAAAAACCGAAGTAAGAACCGCTACATCAAAACTAAAAGGTATAGATTAATTACTACATTGGAAGATTTCCAATAAACTAGTTTCAGACTTCCAGATTTTACTCACTTTTCTTATGTTCATGGTAAAGCATTACTAACTTTTGAATGTTAGGGTCAACCGTGAAGTTGCGACCAGCACAAATAATTATCTGGTAAATCTCGGTTCAATAATTAATGATATGATAAACGGATGTGATGGTTTGAAATGTCAACGAAGATATTGGATAACAAGGGAAAGTAATTAATGAGCAAAACCAGAGATCGAAAGCTACTGAAAATCTGAATTAAGTGTAGATCTATTTTGACTTTGAAGAAGAAAGTTTTCATTAAATGTTTCCCTTCCCGCCAATGGCCCAACGGCCCCAAACGCGTAGGACGTAACATGCATGGTGATCCATATTTATGGCTTCTTCATCCCACTTGCTTATTTCTTACTACAACTCTTAAGGATTTCATTTGTCTATTATATAAGGCAATGTTTAGTCACAGATACTGAGACACCACAAGAACAAAAAGAAGAAAAATAAGCGAAAGAGAAATTACAGTTTTTCTCTAGAGATGGAACTTAAGAGTGTTACTTGTCTGCTTCTTTCTTTGATTTTGCTTCATTTGTGTGTGGAGTGCGTTCTTGGGGATGGATCTGTGGTAGGGCCTGCGAGGTATAGGGACGATGATTGTAGGTGGGGGGGCCGTAGGTGTGGTGGACGTGGACAGTTTGGACGCGGTGGTGGAGGTCTTGGAGGAGGTGGAGGTAGAGGTGGTGGTTTAGGCGGCGGAGGTGGTGGAGGTCTTGGAGGAGGTGGAGGTAGAGGTGGTGGTATTGGCGGTGGTGCAGGACATGGTGGAGGTTTTGGAGCCGGAGGAGGAGTTGGCGGCGGAGCAGGAGGAGGACTTGGTGGTGGAAGTGGAGCTGGTGGAGGTGGAGGAGGAGGTATTGGTGGTGGCTCCGGTCATGGTGGTGGATTTGGTGCTGGAGGAGGAGTTGGTGGCGGAGCGGGTGGAGGACTAGGTGGTGGAGGCGGAGCTGGTGGTGGGGGAGGCGGAGGTGTCGGTGGTGGTTCAGGCCATGGGGGTGGGTTTGGAGCTGGAGGAGGAGTTGGTGGAGCTGGTGGAGGAATTGGTGGTGGAGGTGGAGCTGGTGGTGGTGGAGGTGGAGGTGTTGGCGGTGGTTCTGGTCAAGGTGGTGGGTTTGGAGCCGGTGGAGGTGTAGGTGGTGGGGCTGGCGGAGGACTTGGCGGTGGTGGTGGAGCTGGTGGAGGTGGAGGGGGTGGTGTTGGTGGAGGATCTGGACACGGTGGAGGTTTCGGAGCAGGAGGAGGAGTTGGTGGTGGGGCTGCAGGAGGAGTTGGTGGTGGAGGCGGAGGTGGAGGAGGTGGAGGCGGAGGCGGTGGTGCTGGTGGTGGATCGGGTCACGGTGGTGGTTTTGGAGCTGGAGGTGGAGTGGGAGCAGGAGGAGGTGTTGGAGGAGGCGGTGGATTTGGTGGTGGTGGAGGAGGTGGTGTGGGAGGTGGATCTGGACACGGTGGTGGATTTGGTGCAGGAGGAGGAGTTGGAGGCGGTGGAGGTGTTGGTGGTGGTGGTGGTGCCGGAGGTGGAGGCGGTGCTGGAGGAGGACGTGGTGGAGGTTTGGGAGGAGGCATTGGGCATGGTGTTGGTGGTGGCGCTGGTGGAGGAGGAGGCTTTGGGATTGGAATAGGAATAGGGGTTGGGGTTGGTGGAGGCTCCGGCCACGGTGTTGGTGTTGGAAGCGGAAGTGGCGGTGGCGGCGGTCGCCGTTAATGAATGCTCTTGTTACCAATCTCACGTTTTAGTGTCCTTGACAGTACTACTACTACTACTTGTCATTCTATTTCTCTTGTCATGATTAAAAACAAAAAATGTACGATACACCATTTTTCATTTCAACATGTGTTTTCTTCTAATTCTGTGTAAGAATGTATTCAGAAATTCCAATAAGAAAATATTGAATACCGGATTGATCTTAAGTAACTATTGTCTTAAATCAAATTTCTAGACGGAACATATCCAACTTTGAAATGAAACAACTCGTTTTTAAATATCGAAGTGCGTCCTGTCGTCCAAAATTACTCAAAGCTTTTGATATCAAAAGGGTGTAATGAAACATCTTCCACTTTATAGCACCGTTCCTCCAGCCTCCTCAGCTTCGAGCCTTCGATCTAGACACTTTTCGTAATTAGATTATTTAAAGAGGAGCTTCCAACTTCCATCCAAGTGAGTTAATTCTTGTCTAGTTTAGGTATAATCTTTAGTTATCATGCAAGCCATATATTTAGTACAAAAATCTATCAAGTATTTTGTTAAAATTGATAAAAATTAAAACAAAGAAATTTTCTTATAATCTCTACTGATGGGACGGACGGATAATAATTAAGTAAACACGTGTGGTGTTTAGTGTTTCCCGCCGTTCCGGAGAGTTGCAAAGACGCACTTTCGTAACTTTAATATCCTTCTTTAATTTATAAGACAAGGAGAACATCAAAACGCCGATTCATAAACCCTAAACTCTTTTTTCCCTCTTTTCTCGGTTTTGCGATTTTGGGTGCGATGGAACTACGCTCCGGTGACAAGTCGCGAATTCCGCCGTCGAACGAAGGTAATCTTTACCATCCTCTATGATTTCTTCCTAATTGATGTTAGGTTTGATCCTTGATCGTGAACTAGTGTGGTAGTGTGTCGGTGTTTCGGTGCGATCTGGACTCAAATTTATCTGAATTGTTTTGGCATTGGGCTCGATGATCTCTGTGAAATTATCCAACTTTCCAGTTTCTCGTGTATGCGGTGTTAAGCAATTCCGTGGAATCAACTATAATTTTACAGTAAAAATTCAATCTTTTCTTCTTCTGAAACAGCCGAGAATCTCGTGGAAGAAGTTGATTTCAACTCTGATGAAGAACCTTATGCTCCGTCTTCTTCAGATTCTGAATTTCAAGGTGCGTTTCCTTTCTCAAGGTGTCTGCTTTAACGTTGAATGTCTTTCTTTTCCTTCATGATTTACACTCACTTTGTGAACATAGCTGAGGATGAGGAGGTAGATGCTGATGACGACGATGATGATGTACCAAATCCTGTACCTGCCCCTGTCCTTGCGCCTTTGCCAATTGTAAACCTACCAAGAGCAGGCACGAAAAGGAAAAGATCTAAACGCGGAAAGGACGATGTGCTTTTGTGGGAGGTCTGGGAAGAAGAAGATCAGAGATGGATTGATCAACATTTGACTGAGGATGTTGATTTGGATCAACAGAATCCTGTGATTGCTGAAACTCTTGAGCCGCCTCCAGATTTGGTTATGCCACTGTTAAGGTACCAAAAGGAGTTTCTAGCCTGGGCGTTGAAACAGGAACATACAGTTGCTGGAGGGATTCTCGCAGATGAGATGGGAATGGGAAAGACCATACAAGCCATCTCTCTTGTTCTTGCGAAACGTGAATTTGACAGGGCTCAATTTGGGAAGAGAGCAGTGGGGTGCACTCTTGTACTTTGCCCTCTCGTTGCTGTTTCTCAGTGGTCTAATGAGATTGATCGGTTTACATCTCCGGGAAGCACCAAGGTTCTTGTGTACCACGGGGCTAAGAGAGAGAAGAACGTTCAAGAGCTCATGAAATATGACTTCGTTTTGACGACATATTCTACGGCTGAGAATGAGTTCAGGAGATGTATGATGTCACCGAAGGTGCAGTGTGAATATTGCGACAAGTCATTCTATCCGAAGAATCTTGCCATTCATCATAAGTATCATTGTGGGCCTTCGGCTGTGAAAACGGCGAAACAATCTAAGCAGAACAAAAAGAACCCTGCGGCTGCATCCTCCAAGCAAGCCAACCCTGCGGCTGCTGCGGCTGCATCCTCCAAGCAAGCCAATGTCAAGGTGACGCGATCAAAGAAGAAGGCTAAACAAACATTGGAAGAAGAAGAGTGTGGTTCAGTTGATAGAGAGAAGTCTCTTTTGCACTCTGTTAAGTGGAATCGGATCATCTTGGATGAGGTTAGTACCAAGACACGTTTGTTGATGTTAATCTCTAATGTTAGCTACTATAAATTTTAATTTCCATTCCTTCATACCAGGCTCATTACATCAAAGAAAGACGTAGCAACACTGCAAGAGCTGTTTTTGCTTTGGAGTCTACCTACAGATGGGCTCTGAGCGGTACCCCTCTCCAGAATCGTGTTGGAGAGCTTTACTCTCTGGTTAGTTAATCTCTCCTGAAAATTTTGTCTAAAGCACTTAAACATTGTCATCAACATCACTGATGTGCTTGTTTTGTTTGCTCCAGATACGCTTCCTGCAAATTCGCCCATACTCGTATTACTTTTGCAAGGACTGTGATTGTAAAATTCTTGATTATGTGTAAATTTTTACCACACTCTCTGGTCCTTTTCTCTTTCATCATAGTTCTGTTTCTTATTTCATAATAATTTCTGACGCCTTTGTCTGCTCTGCCTTTGGTGGTGATTGCAGTGCGCATAAAAGCTGTCCCAGCTGTCCTCATAACGCAGTACGACATTTCTGTTGGTGGAACAAGGTAACTTTGTGGTGCCACTCTGTTATATTACCAAAGTTTTGAAAGTAGGATCGCCATTTTATACTGTTCTTGTCCTTCTGGTTTTTGTAATCTTGCTAGAATGTGGCCAAGCCAATATCAACTTATGGAAACTTGGATCTGGGAAAGAGAGCAATGATATTGCTTAAACACAAAGTTCTTAAGGACATCCTCCTAAGACGTACTAAATTGGGCCGGGCAGCTGATCTTGCCCTTCCTCCTAGAATCGTACGTTGCTTTGTCTCCCTTGTCTGATGTAAATGAAGCTTGGTATAGTTGCTTCCTAGCTTGACCTGTACGTATAAATTTGACTTCCTGTAGATCTCTTTGAGGCGGGATGCACTAGATATAAAAGAGTTTGATTACTATGAATCACTATACAAAGACAGTGAAGCGGAATTTAATACGTAAGTACCTTTTATTCTATGGATTTCCACTATCTTTTGCTCCTTGGTTCATGTAACAGAATTTTATTATTTGGCCATGTACATTTCTGTTTGCAGGTATGTTCAGGCTGGGACATTGATGAATAACTATGCGCATATATTTGATCTTCTCACCCGTCTGAGACAGGTGTGTGGGCAACTACAGTTTTCTGGCTCAACTAAGCAGCCAATGCACTTTTTGGATGACACATATTGTACCTTGACGTCATATTTCTCTGCAATCTTTGCAGGCTGTTGATCATCCATACCTTGTGGTGTATTCCAGTTCTAGAGGCATTAATGCTAACTTGCTTGAGGAGAACAAAAATGAGTCTTCCGAATGCGGTCTCTGCCACGAGCCTGCTGAGGAGCGCGTTGTAAGTGTTATCATTTCTTTGTATCTCGACTTTTTGGTTTCTTAAGTATATCATTGTAAACAGCTGCTTTCTTTTTACCCGACTAACTTGTTTGTTTAATATTTTATTTGGTTCTTCAACATTGAAGGTGACTTCTTGTGAACATGTGTTCTGTAAAGAATGTTTGATTGGTGTCTCTACTTCCTCGGAAAAAGCCACCTGCCCGACATGCTCAAAACCACTAACTGTGGATTGGACTACCAAAGCTGGCACAGAGCACCAGGCAAGCAAGACAACACTTAAAGGATTTAGAGCGGCGAGCATTATAAATCGGATAAAGCTCGATAATTTTCAGACAAGTACAAAGATAGAGGCTTTGGTATGTACTTTTGAATATATATACAGCTTATGCCTTTTTCCCAAATAGTCTACCCTGATCAACTTATTTGGCATTTTGAGCCTTTTTCTTCATGTCTTTAACCATTTCGTGACCATGTCTGTATGCAGAGGGAAGAAATAAGGTTCATGGTTGAAAGAGATGGGTCTGCTAAAGCAATAGTTTTCAGCCAGTTCACATCATTCTTGGACCTGATAAATTATACACTCGGGAAGGTAAACAAATATCAAGAACAAGGCACTAAGCGGCTACCTTGTTCTTCTTTTAACATTAGTTTTCTACATATCAGAACGAGAAATGCGGAAAATTGACCATTTTGTTTAAAACACAGTGTGGAGTTAGTTGCGTTCAACTGGTGGGAAGCATGTCCATGGCAGCTAGAGATGCTGCTATCAATAAATTTAAAGAAGACCCAGATTGCAAAGTTTTCCTAATGAGTTTGAAAGCTGGAGGGGTTGCTCTCAATTTAACAGTAGCTTCGCATGTAAGTGTTACTGTGTATAGCTAACAATGATCGAGCAGTTTACGTACGCAAGCATGTTCTTCACATTGTGTGTTTGTGGAAACTCTGTAGGTGTTCATGATGGACCCATGGTGGAACCCAGCGGTTGAGAGGCAAGCACAGGACAGAATACATAGGATCGGACAGTACAAGCCAATCAGGTTACACTTAAGCTCTCCTTCAATCTCTCTCTCTCTCTCTCTCTAATATTTTTGTTTGTGGGTAAGAACAATAATTTGGATACATGTGTGAAAAAATTACAGGGTTGTGAGATTCATAATAGAGAACACAGTGGAGGAAAGGATTCTGAAGCTTCAAGAGAAGAAAGAACTTGTGTTTGAAGGGTAAGTAAAAGGTTCTCTTGTTGTCTTGTTTATATTTCAGAATGTAGAAAATTAATGAGACGGTTATAATTATGAACACATTACAGGACCGTTGGTGGGTCTAAGGAGGCCATAGGAAAGTTGACGGAGCAAGATATGAGGTTTCTGTTCACCAACTAACTCAATCTAATTAGAATGAAGCTTTTTTGTATGGTGATAAGATCTGGTCTAGTCTTGTATGGTAATGTTTTGGTAGGCACCTTAAACTCTTTCACTTTCTTATTATATATAGATTTGACGATGACTCATGTATGATTTGAATACTTCCTTGCAAGAAAAGTGTTTTCCGGATGATTCTTGTGATTACTATTAAAGGGAAATTGAATTATATAAATTAAATGAGATTAAGTAGAATAATAACAAGGTAGGTTTCAACCGGTCAAGTATATTTATTACTATATGATAATAAGATTTGTGTGGAAGCAAAGGAATAATGAATGAATCATCAAACTGGCCTAACAGAAGCTTACCAAACTACTAATAAATAACAACAACAAAAAAAACAGAGTGCAAAATGCGAATCCTTAACAAAGATTCGAAAGGAATCTTTCAGTATGCCTAAACCCTCAGAATGACTAACTAACCAACCAACAAACCAATTCGGCCGATTCGGCAGCTGCCTCCATGACTCACTTTCACTACCTCCACATTTTATACAATTGTGTTTAGGAATAAATGGCAAATTACTCGTACAATTTCTGGCATATAAGCTTCGTTTGTCCACTTGGTACTTTGGTAGGCTATTAGATTAAGAACTTCAAAGTCCAAGTCAGGGTTGTTTAAATTGAATTCTGTTTTTTTTTTTTTTTTTAAATGGCTTATATCATTATAACAATGAACAACAAAGTGTTGGATTAGGGAAAATAAAAAAATGATGAATCAAGTATAATGTACATAAAATTCTCTAAACCTCGTTTCTTCTACTACAAATTCAATTTCCTTAACACCTATGTATCTTGGAGACTAAACAATGTTTCACTAATTGAAAAAAATAATCAACAGTCCATCCTCATGTGACCGACTAATCATTATTCCGCCGGACCGTGATCCAATCTTCACCGTCCGTGTCCCATGTGGGCTCCATCACAACCTGGCCAATCCAGCTTAGCAATCCAATTCTCTCCTCGTGACACTCCCACCAGCTTGGACGCTCCTCGTCATCCTCCTCCTCCTCTTCCACTGATCTCCAGAACATTTGATCCGTCACACTTGTCGGTGACTTCGTTACCAATCCCGGTTCTGTGTTCGGTTTGGTTATCAAGAACGGATGGTTTAATAATTGCGTCGCTGTCCATCGCTCATTGGCTTCTTTTTTCAAACACTTTCCCAAAAAATCCTTTGCTTGTTCCGTAAGCGAGGATGGCAGCTCAGGCGACTCACCCATATACCCGACCCGGTACATAACTGAAACCGGGTCCGTCGAATCCGCTCCAATCCACGGCGAAGACCCGGTGGCCATCTCTATCACCGTGCAACCCACCGCCCAAATATCACTCTCCTTCCCCTGTCTCTCTCCACGCGCCACCTCCGGAGCCATAAACGCCGGCGTTCCTTTAACCGGTTCGGTTACTTCCGGCTCGTCCCATTTCGCGCACCCGAAATCAGCGATCTTGGCCTCTCCGTTATCTCCGACAAGCACGTTGCTTCCTTTAATGTCGCAATGCGCGATTCCCTCTGAATTATGAATATACTGCAATCCAAGAAGTATCTGGCGCGTGTAACTCGCGACGCGTGTCTCCTCGAGGAAGCCGCCGTTTTTGGCCGCCGCGTCGATCAACGTTCCGTACGGTGCGTACTCCATTAGAAGATTGTAAGTAGCTTCTCCGTTGTTTAGCGGCTCTTTGGTAACTTCGCATCCTCTGTATCCGATCACGTAAGGAGAATTCAGGGAAGAGAGGATTTTGGCCTCTCTTTGCAAAAACTCCGACCGGTGAAAGTCGGCGGATTTCACGGCGATTGTTTCGCCGGAATCTTGACACGTGGCGGCGTAAACGGTGGCTGATGAGCCACGGCCTATGGTTTTTCTTCTAGTCCAATTCATTTGGAGATGACTACAAACTGAAGACTTCTGAAAAGAATGATTTTTTTTTTTTTTTTGGTAATGTCTGCTTCCACTCTGTTATTAGAGAGAAGGTTTATATAAGAGGTTTTGATTTTTTATTTTCCTAAAGGTAATTTAGATAGTGTATACTTTTGGTAACATCGAGTTTATCTACCAACGCGAAAATAAATTTGAATAAGTAAATCGTATAATATGTGGTCGCCTATACACGTGGAGTCTTTAAAAGAAAGTTGATTACCAAATGTGATCCAATTTCGATGTGATAATAACCAACAAATTGTGTAGAGAAAAAGAAGTATTGAGTACAAAAAAGAAACGTGACCGAAGAGGAGTGACGTGGCAGTGAACGTATCTAATGAAAGGTTCGATACGAAGTGACGTGACACTTGGTTAGGAATGGTAGAGTGCTAATTGGTCTTTGTACTTCTTTGAGTCTAGAAGGTGATGACGTGTCGATTTTCAGGTAGTCAAAACACTTATGGGTTTCTGTTCCGACCGTAGTTCCGTATTTGTCTCGAGCCACGTGTTGGCAGAGTTAGGACGCCACGAGGTGTCGACAAGTGCTCAAATCTTTCTCTCTTTTTTCAGTTAGCTTTTTTTTCCTTTGTTTTAATTGGAAAATAAAATAGTATGTTCTCTTTTTATTTTAGGTTTGGAAGAGTTAGGTAAAAACATAACAATATCGAAAGCGGAAGTACGGAAATTTAGTAGGTTTGATCGACCATATTCATGTTCTTCACACTTGGAGATTTGTCGTTACATTTCTTGAAAGAGATTTGTATAATCATGTTATTTCAAAGAAAAAATAATTAATACATTCAAATTGTGTACAATCTAACTTGAAATACTAATTAATGTAACAACGAAGATAAATCAAAGTAAGTTGGTGGTTTTTTTGTTTTTGTATGAGTAGCAGCAGTAGCTGGTGGTTTCATAATATTTTCGATGAAATTTCACCAAATATCCACACTTAGTGTGGTTAGTGGATAGCGTAAAGTTTTATATATTCTAGCTTCATAGCTAGTTTCCCTTTGGTAATAATTAGTAGACCAAGATGTCAAGAATTTCCGAGAGGTATAGGAGACTATGATGAGGTGTTTTAACGTTTAAACATCGTCAGTTAGGATTTTGAAAGCAATAGTTATTGCAAGCTTAACAGACTAAACTGAGCGGTGTTTGCTTCAGGGGTCGTCTGTGGAGGTAATTAATAATTTAATAAATAAAAGTAAATGGCGTAAATTGATATGAAGAAGCGACAAGATGAGTTTACCTAAGATGGTGTTGGGTAAAAAGATAAGGAAAACGAATTTGGTCAGACATTTACGGCTGTCCACTGCAATACGCACATTCACAGCTCATACGCACATGTACGCTTTATTATTAACCACATGCAAAATAACTCCCACATTCACGTGTTTCTGGTATTAACCGTATACAGTATTACAATATTTATTTCTATAAAACAAATCCTTCTGTTGGGAAAAAATGGAAATATGTTCCTATATGGCTATATTGGTTGTTTTTATCACAAAAACTATATTGGTTGCTTTTTATCAAAAAAAAAAAAGTATTTGAGGCGTACGTGTGAGCGTAGGAATAACACGTAGCATTAAAACAAGGACAAATGCAAAAGATTCATACAAATGATAAGAGGGAGTCTACTCCAAGCAAAACTCAATCAATTGTCAAGTTACACCCATAAAAAGTTTAGTAGCCAAAAAAAAACAGAAGAGTGAACTTTTTTGAATTATGACTTCTGGTTATTTAGAGAACGTACTAAGAAGCAACAAGAAACTCGATATTTTATATAAATTGTAATTTGTGTGTAGACATGTAGTTGGTTAAGTTCTCATAACAGTGTACCATATATACAACTGATTATTGCATATTTGCAGTGTGTAACTATTCATACCAGTTGTTTATCTGCCAGAATTTTCAGTTATTAATGGACTCTCATCTCTTTGTTTTTTTGGTTTAAATACGAATACTACATTACACACCAGTCATTGAATGCACTCAAAACCGAACGTGGCAAATTTTAATTCAATCTATATATTTGAGGTTGTGATTTGTCCATTGAATAATACGCCCCAACCAATGAAATCCGAGAATGAAATCCCATAATATCATTTCATATGATTACAAAATATCTAACTTTTACGACAAAATAGATAATAAAGTACGTATTTCTTTTGTTTTGTTTAAAAAGGTGTTGGCTTGGTGAAGTTGGAAAAAAAAGGAACCAAACGAATAGTGTCAAAAAAGTTTAAACTGTTTACTCACAAATCACACTAATTCATTTGGTCATGATTTAGTAGTCGCCAAGCAATATCAATTCTCATTAGTGTTGATAAAACGAAGCAAAACCACCATAATTGAGTAGTTATTCAAATTTATTTCTGAGGGAAACTAATTATTTGTAGAAACATAATTTGATGCGTGGCTTATAAGTTACTAATCAAATTTAAGTGGTATCTCCAACAACAAGCAATTCACTTGTGCTGTGTCATGCTTATGATAAAAAGTCACCAGTAACTCCACATAAATAGACTTAAGTCCGGATGCGTATGATACCAAATCGTGGTTTTCGCCACCGATCTATTAAAATATATATCGATAAGAAAAAAGGTTGGTTGCTGAAAAACTGATTAATTCACATCAAATCAGTCTCCATCTTTTAGATATAATAACGTGTATCATGTGGATGTACAGTTTCCTGTATAAAATTGTTGCTGACGAAAACGAGAAAACGAGAAAACGATTGACTAACAGACTTCCGTCGGTTGTACATGTTAATATTATTTATTTTTTTGTGAGTGATGAATATAGTAATGTGTCTCTGTATTTCTTCTTCACATCATATCGTATATTTGCGTTTTCTTTTGTAAACACCAAAAATTTAGCTGATATAGAGGATAAATTTAGTTTTAGGTTTGTGGTATTTTTGGAAAAAACAATTTTTGTGGTACTTTTGGAATATAACCAGAGGTTGAGCTGATGAAATCCACACTAATTCTCACTGGTTATCAATCAATGGACGATACCACTAGACTAACACCATCTGTTGGCTACAATGCAAGCAAATTGGATCGTTGGAATCTTTGGAAATGAAATATACAAACAAACAATTTTCAAGCCCCCAAAAAAACAAGAGAGGCAAGAGAGAGACAGAGAGATGGAGAGTACAATGTAACAATATTACTCTGTCTTGGAGACTTGAGGCACAGAGAGTTCGGTCTCGAGCATAAATGAGAGATCATGCATCTGTGACATCAGTTCCTCTGCGACATCACTCTTTGACTTGGGAGATATTGTTGTTGTGCCTACAAGATCAAGTGTTTGATCTTTACCATCAGGATCACAAGTCCTGAAAACAAAAAAGTGGAACATGTTATATTACATCTGAAGCTTCTTTTCAGTATGAAATGAAGATTAGAGAACAATGAGTTAAGGAGAATATAAGAAACCTCTCTAAGGTTGAGGTTCCAGAAGGGATGGCTTTGACTTCCACTGAGCTGGCTTGGCCTCCAATGCTTTCCGAAAACAAATCAGAATCAAGGTCTCGGTGATTGTTATTTGCCCCAGACAAGTTCATTTCCGGATTTTTCTCAGCAAATGAATTCACATTGTTTGCGGGAGGCTGCACCGAGGATGTGAAACTATCCCAAGTTCCAAAGAGATCATCTTCTCCACCTTTGGCTATGTCAGATATCATGCTTGTACCAGTGCTCTGCTTCTCACCAAATATCTCCTCTTGAGAGCTTTCCATGGATTGAGAAAGCGGAATATTAGGAGTCTTGGAGTTAGCCGAGCTTGCAAAATCATTCCAGTCGTCATCATCATCATCATCATTGTCATCTGTAGGAGTCTTCTCAATGGGTTTTTTTTCACTGGTTTGCCATAGATCATCTCCAATCCAATCAATATCCATTGATGAATTTCCATTGCCGCCCACAACCTCTCCCTCGTTCTTATCATGGTCGTTGCTCTGAGTCTTGCCAGTAACATTACCAAATAAATCATCTTGCAACCAGTCACCAGCTTTGGAAACATAAGCAGCTGAAGAATCTGCTGGTTTTTCATAGAGAAAATCTTTTCCGGAACCAAAGACAGAATCCATATGAGCAGCCAAATCAACCGGAGAACTTACAAACGGATCGCCACTACTTTTATCCTGGGAAACAGATTGAAAGTCAGAATCCCAATCAGACGAAGAGGCAACAACTTTGTCATCGAAAGACTTAAGGCCAGCATTTGATGATGGTGCACCCTCAAACAAACCAATATCTCCATCCTCTTTAGAAGAACTATCTTTCTGACCATCTTTACCGTCGGACAAACCAAGATTTCCGTCCTCTTTGAAAGCACTAACTCTCTGAGCATCTTTACTCTCAAACAAACCAAAACTCTCATCGTCTATAGAATAACTATTTCTCTGAGCATCTTTACTCTCAAAGAATCCAAAACCCTCCTCGTTTTTAGAAGAACTAGTCCTCTGAGCATCTTTTCCCTCAAACAGACTAAGGTTTTCATCCTTTTTAAGAGAATGATGAGCATCCTTTTCCTCAAAGAACCCAAAATTTCCCTGCTCTGCCGAAGATACACTATCCTGAGCATCTCGCCCTGCAAACAAACTAAGATTCTTCTCTTCTTGAGATGAAACATTCTTCTGGGCATCTTCTCCCTTAAACAAACCAAACTTTTCACTCTGCTGTGACTCAACAACTCCCTGAGTCTTTACACTATCAAATAAGCTAAGACTACGTGGATCATTGAAATCATCCTCCACGGGTTCGGGTTTGCTCGCTGCCGGATCCACTTTGGAAAGATCTCCTCTTCCTTCAACAAAATAATCGTCAACACTAAGTCCTCCTAGTCTCAGATTATGCATTGATTCGGGACCATTGTTTATAGACTTTTCCTCTATTGCAGACCATTGTATTTCCAAATCAAGAAACTTCGACACAGCAATTCCTTTAACTACAGGTGCCTTAGCTCCTCTGCTTGATCCATTCGTTTCCTTTAGTGGCTCTACCATCTCCTGCAGATGAAATCGTTTCATAAAAAGTCTGCCTTTTTTTATAATAGCACAACACATCAAACCCTACATCTGACTACTAATTTGAAGTAGCAAAAACGGTTTAGAGAAAAGCAATGAAATTAGTTTTCTCGGCAATGCAGCGAAAAGCATTTCTCAGCAAAAAAATCGATTGTGTGAATGAAATTTGATGTTTTACCGATCCGTCCAGATTAAGAGAGCTGAGAAACCATTTGTAACCAGAAGTGGAGGTAAGCTTGATGGGATCAGGAGGATTATCGCTCGTCCGTTGCTGCTTGCCGCAGAAAACGCAGATCAGAGACTCGATCCCTCGCAGAAGCTTTCCCTTACAGCTACGGCAACGGAGGTACGGGGCCGAAGCATCGATTTCTGCGATTGCCTCCGCAGCTGTGGGAAGGCTGGGGATAGTAGAGGAGTCGCCGACGGGATCGAAGGAGGAGAGCTTGGCCTCCTTCCGAAGCGAGACCTTGAGTTGATTTATCAGATCCAACGAGATCTCCGTCGCCATTTCGTAAGGAATCTAAGGGTTTCAATACGAAGATTCTGAGTCTTCCTCTCTGTAAACAACAATGCTCTAAAATCGAAAGATGATGAATGTTGAAGAGACCCTGCCATGTGAGGCACTTCCCAAAAGCTTCTGGAGACATGCCCAATCAATTTTAACCAAAGATAACCAGCAAACCGGATGATCAAATCCGTCTGCACCTAAACTGGGTTAATCAGGTCCATTTTAATATTTCACTAATTGAAGTTCATTAATACGTTTTTGATGCTTCATTTACTAACTTTATGGCTATTAATAACTGTCGACGAAATGAGAGAGAGAGAGAGAGAGCAAAAGAGTCAAATTCTAGGACCCGCTTCGACTGTTTTCTTCTAGACAGCTCAAATTCCACACAATCCCAGTTCTAGACTCCTCCCCACTCGCCGAAAGATTGAATCTTTACGATCGAAGACATAGATCGACGAGATCTAGTAGCGTTGATGGCGAGGCAAGCGGCGGCGTTGAAGGTCGGGCTAGCTTTGCTGGGGCTGAGCATGGCGGGTTACATACTTGGTCCGCCTCTCTACTGGCATCTCACTGAGGCTTTGGCTGCCGTTAGTCACTCCTCCGACCTTTCCGCCTCCTCTTGCCTTCCCTGCGTCTGTGATTGCTCTTCCCAGCCTCTTCTCACCATTCCCAAAGGTATAAACGTATAAGAAAGTTGCAATTTTTACTTGGTTACAAAAATCTTGTGCCAGTGATTAGATCTGTGGAAAAAAAAGTTTGCTCATTTAGTGTAGCGGAATGGAGGAACTTGAACTAGTGTGTGCCTGGAAACTGAATTTTCTGTTTTCTTGCATCAAAATTAGGCATTGTAGCTGTTGGAAGTAGAGATTAGTAGTAGTTGATTGGTTTTTTGAAGTTTTGGTTTCTTCTGCTGCTGGAGTTACTGGATTGCATACTTGAGCTTGGTTTGTTTATTTCTGTTTTCAGATTTCTTGAGTTACTATGTGTTTCTCTATAAGTTGTTTTTCAGATGTTGCCAAATTCCAAAAGATTGGTCCTTTCTTCATTTGTTTCCTTTCTTGTTGCAGGACTCAGCAATGCTTCTTTTGCCGGTGAGTTAATCGTGAATAGCGTTTCTTGAACTGTGTATCAGTTTAGTAATCGAGTCATAGTATTAAACTTCTTGCTTTCGACGTGTGTAGATTGTGAAAAGCACGATCCAGAGGTGAACGAAGACACGGAGAAGAACTACGCTGAACTTCTAACAGAGGAACTGAATCTGCGTGAAGCAGAGTCTTTAGAGAAACACAAACGAGCAGACATGGGGCTATTGGAGGCCAAGAAGGTTACTTCTTCATACCAAAAGGACGCAGATAAGTGCAACTCCGGTATGGAAACATGCGAAGAAGCTCGGGAGAAAGCGGAATTAGCACTCGCCGAGCAGAAAAAGGTCACGTCTAAATGGGAAGAGAGAGCTCGTCAAAAAGGATGGAGAGAAGGAGCCACCAAGTCAGATGTTAGAACCAAAAGCAATGTTTAGGGTTGCTTAACAAACTCTATGATCTTGGTTTTAAATCCACTCGTGTAACTGTGAATTGGCTTTTAACAATATAATGTTAACTTGTTATCATACTACTGTGTTACATCCTGAAAGAGTTTGTCAACGCAGATTAGAATAAGACAACCTGAAAGCAGGAGCAGTGTTGTGAAACTTTATGATATTTTACTTCAACTTTGTTGACCTAATTTATGGAAACGCATGGACTATTATAGAACAAAAATGTCTTTGCTTTTGCTGCTTCTAGAGTAGCTACAGCTTACCGACAAAGTATTGGCTATATTGAAAAACAAGATATGCTTTGTAACTCCATAATTATTAGAAACGCATATCAAGATTTCAACATCCTTACCTGACGTAGCTGAGAGATTAATGAGTTAGCATCACTTTGACCATTTCCATCATCAAATGGGCCATCATCATACATTCATTCACATTATTGTTTCCCCAGGACACAACTAGGTTCATGATCATCAATATTCCGCGCTTGTTTGACTGACGTGGCATTTCAGTTTGATTTTATATGCCTCGGTTATCTCTTGGTTTACTATTTGCAAGACTCGGTTATGTTGTGTATCCAAATTTAAGCTTGAACTCTTTGTCATTTACACTTTAGAACTCGGTTTAGGTTTAGATTTCGGTTTAGATTACATGTCTTGGCCGTGCTGTATTTCTTAGATTACATGTGCAATTTTAATACTCATGGTCGGCAACTTTCAAATAATCGGAAAATAATATTAAATCTACCGCAAAATATGAAAATAGACAGTTAAATTCACAATATAACGACCACGAACAGTTCAATTCTTGACATGATGAGATCTTGATAATTTTGCATTTATAGTCCTTTTTTAAGTTAGACATGAGATCTATTATAAATCTACTATCTCTCGACCATTAGATCAACGTCGTTTTCAGTAGTAAAAGTATTTAAAATCATAGGTTTTATTTTATTACTGATAATCATGACTTTGAATTTAGTCTTTGGAGAAAAGGAAAAAGAAGGCAGGTTTTTGCGGTCTCATTTCTAAAAGGTCAACAGAAAAAATGTAACTTTTCAAGTAACTTTGTCTCTTGAATTTTTCATATTCTTGATTATGATATTCACACAAATCATGCCGCTATTCAAAGCTCCATCATTCGGCATACGAACACTTTCACCTTAAAGCTCCATTATACTCACGCGTAAGTAGCAAACTCTGATATGTTTAAAGAAACAAAAATTAATATGTTTTACGTTTCATATGTGAATATCGATGTGAAAATTGATCAATATCGAAGCTCCTCTAGGGTTTAGTTTTACACCAATACACCCAAAAATACAGAGAAGAATTTCCAACTTCAAACCATTTTATGAAAGATTTAAAGTGTAATTCGAAGGAAGAAAAAACAATTTAATTGCTTTTCTTAAAAATTTCCAAAACTTTTTATCCTTGCAAACCGTATGGTAGAATGCTAGTGTAAAGTGTTTATGTGTGTGAACTTCCACATTTATTGCCACTGGATATTTTTTCTGTTTAAGTTGAATTTCAAATCGTTGCATCTATAATCAATTCTCACTTTTAAACCGGCCATTTTTAGGTGGGAAGTGGGGCTCAACGTTCACCACTGTATTTATCATATTCTCTCCATTGCAAATTACTGACAGTTCCACACACATGTAAACTTTATCTAATAATACTAACCAAAATTATCTAATGGTCTATGCATTTGGCTAAAACTTTATCGGTTATCAGCAAATCTTGATATGCTCAAAAGAAAATGTAGATAACGATTTGTACTAACATCATCGTTAATGTATCACCCATTGAAATTTACATTATGGTTGAATGCATGTTACTTCTAAAATGTAGCATACCGATTTGTACTAATATCATCGTGGTATTTACTAAAAGGGCACCTAAGAGTAAATATGAAAATTTATGTTGACAAAGAAGAAACTTTATGAAGTGGACCATATATGTCTACACCTAATCCCTAAATAAAATGCAAATATATACACGCTCGTAACTACACATATGGAAGTTTGTGCATCACACCTTCTTATTTCTCATATAATCATACTCTCTCTCTCTTTCAAAAGTAAAACGAAACATTCTTCAAGAAAATAATAAGTTTTTTGTTCTTATTCAAAATAAAAATATGAATCCGGGTCGTCTTCTTTGTCTCATTGGTTTTCTCTACCTCGTTGTTCTATCGAAAGCTTCAAGAATTCACGTGGAAAGGCGACGCTTCTCCTCCAATCCCTCTAGCGGAGACAGAGAGTTCTTCCCTTCTCAGTCAACCCTGCCGGTCGTCGACGCCGGTGAAATCTTATCGGAGAAACGGAAGGTTAAGACAGGATCCAATCCTTTGCACAACAAGCGATGATGAAAAATCAGATAATCAGTTTTCCTCCTAAACACACAACACACACACTCTCTCTCTCTCTTTGTTTTCTTAACTACAGAGATATATCTAGTAAATATATATTAATGTAGTGTAGGATTTCTCCAATCTTGTTTACCTTTCGCTTGGATCAATACTTAGGTGTTTATAAGTAAAGTATACAGCTTTCTTAAGATGAAAGAGCGTGAATATACTGTGCATACAGCTCATCATATTTATTTTGTATCGAAGAACAAAAAAAGATGCGACTAACAAATGTAATGGCTTTTATTTCTTGGGATTTGGCCACAAACGTAATTAAATGCTTTTTCTTCTTCAAGTTTAGTGTTGTTGTTGACCGAAAATATAATAATTGCAACGACGCCGTTTCGCCGTTTCACTCTCTCGCCGTCGCAGGCAAGAATTCTCAACTGCCAAAAAAGGGAACTTTAGAGAGGCAAATAAGCTAGTTGAAGTGATGAGCATCAAGGAAGAAGAACAGCCCAATGTTGTTGTTACTTACAATGTGATGATCGTCCTGTTGGAAGTAAGGACTAAAAGTGAAACATACTCGTCACACTAAAATCTGCTTGAGCTGGTCGTCCTGTTTAGGAGATATGGTTGATATGGTGAATCAGAACCGTTTGCTTTGGGACTATGGACCATTTGCTGTCCATGTGAATCAATCAATGGCCTTGGTAAGAAAGTAAAGTTGGTCTCTTTTCTTCAACCTTTGGTTTTCATTTTTCAAAGTCAAAAGAGCTTCTCTACAAGAAAGTGGACAACATCCAATCTTCTTCTCTCTTTATCCAACCTTGATCTCCAAGGCTGGAAATTGTTTTTTTAATCCTCAATTTGTTGATTTTTCATATAAAATAATGTCATTTATATAAAACCGGAGAGGATAAGAGATATATGTGCGCTTAAGAGATCAAATCAACCGAAACAACATAAAGAAAATGAGTTTTCTGGCTGCAGGGAGACTCGCGGGAAAAGAAGCTGCCTACTTTTTCCAGGAATCCAAACACGCCGTTAATCGCATCGCCGAGAAATCTCCGCCCACCGGCAAAAAGCTTCCAACTTCTCCGGCGGATCAACCGGAGATTCAACCCGATGTTCTTCCGGAGATCCTACGCCATTCTCTTCCGTCTAAAATCTATGGTCCTCCTCCTGACCCTTCGTCCCTCTCCCAATTCTCCAAATGGTCTCTTCCATCCGACCCAAACGCAGCCGTTTCTATCTCCCCTGACGTCTTGAATCCGCTCAGAGGTTATGTCTCTCTGCCTCAAGTCACCTTCGGCCGCAGAAGGTTCGAAATTTGATCAAAATTAGGGATTTCTAGTCTATGGATATCTCAAATGTTTGATTTTTACAATAACGATTCGTTGGTAATTTGATTGCAGATGGGACATACCGGAATCTGAGAATTCGATTTTGGCGTCAACGGCTAATGAATTGAGGAGAGACAAATACGGCACTCCTGTGAATCCTGAACAACTGAAAGCTGCTGGTGAAGGGCTTCAACACAGTATGTTCTTTCTCTTATTTGCTTACCTGGAAACCAATCTCTTTGAGCTTGGATTATCTTATCTAAAGAGAACTCGTAGGAACAGAGCAGAGCTTTTGTCTGATTTCGTAAACTTAGTGTTTGAAAAGTTTGCCTAATCTCGAGCCCTTTGTTTTTCCTGGTTTCTGCAGTTGGAAAAGCATTTGCAGCCGCTACTGTGATCATCTTCGGCTCAGCCACTTTGGTTTTTGGAACGGCAGCTTCGAAACTTGACATGCATAATGTAAGATTGGAGATGTTTCTCTGTGTTATTACCTTTGATGATTTGGTGTTTTGCGTTTGTAAGACTAATCATGGATGTTATCATTTCCTTTGTGGTAGGCGGATGATATAAGAACGAAAGGCAAAGATCTATTCCAGCCGAAACTGGAGTCGATGAAGGAACAACTAGAGCCACTAAGAACTTGGGTAATGTTGATAAAGATGCTTCCATCTTCATCTTTTTCCAACAGAAATTGGGTCATAAATCATTAGTTCTAAGTTACTAACCTGAAAAACTAAAACTTTTCAGGCGGAAACAATGTCAAAGAAGTGGCATATTGAGAATGACGGTGGTAGTATCAAGGAGAAACCAATCTTGAAGGAGCTTTCGAAAATTCTGGGACCCAAATCCTAAAAGGCCGAGACTTTTGATAAATAAACGTGTTTATATGTACTGTATGTAAGCTGGTTTAAGAAGATCTTAGGTTAAATATCAGATTGTGCTGTAAGACTATATAACAAGTTTTCAGACTTTGGGTGACAAAGTTGATGTAATAAGTTTTGTATATCAGTGAGTTTCAGTGTTTGTCCTGTTTTAGTTTTCTGCCAGTAAAAGAAACTTTTCACTTCAGGTTGTCTGATACAGTTGATTCAAAATATAGCGAATGAGGAAAACTAAAAAAAACTGATAATCATTGGTAGAAATATTCGGAGCTACAACAAATCTTAGCATATAAAATAAAATAAATTATTTTTCTTTTTCTACATAACTTGGGCTCGAATACCAAACGAGATCGTAGAATCAGCCCTAAATCTCTCTCTGTTTGTTAGATAACTTTGAAAGAGAAAAATCTTGAACAATAATATTTACGAGAAGTGATCCCTTCCCTTGGCTAGCATGAAGACGAAGCATTCTCCGGAGAAAGATGATCCGATCAACGGCTTCTGCAAGGCAACGTCCGAGTCTCGAGAAACAGCACTCTTTTTCCTCGAAGGCTTCAGCTGGGATCTCGATAACGCCGTCTCTGGTTTCCTCCAAGGTCTCCTGCCTCCCGTCCAAAAACCACCGTTGCAGCGATCTAGATCTCGATCTCCTTCGAGGCGGATATACTCTCCTGCATCTGCCTTGAAATTAAAGTATGAGATGGACGCAGATGAGACCTAGAAATGTTTGGTAACTAAAATCACCTTATTTTGATATATTTGTTTGTCTTATATACAGTTTGGAAGATAGTAGAGAGCCTATTAGACTTGCCAAGGATGCAACCCATCATGATGGTAAAATATTGGTGTCTACAGCTGATGCTTTGAATTATGTGTTTCAAGATAAAGAAGAAGAGGTAAAAAACTTCTCTTGCCTCCTGCTTATACTTATAAATCTCTTTTCTTTCCTTAAATGTTTCTTGGTATCACCTCAGGGATCAGCCCACAGATGAAAAGATATGTGATGAAATTGTCGGATCTTGATTTGGACTCCGCTAGCTTGTGGGACTTTTCTTGAGATGGAAGTTACTCTGTTGTATGAATCCAGCTTTGATACTTCTCTTACGGCTTTGTTTTTTTCCTGTTGGCTCTACTCTTCTGATTTAATCATCATGAAGCCGTAAGAGAATACACTAACGAACAGAGAAATCTTAGATTTATACTTTTATCCAGCAAACTCTCTCTTATACGTCTATGCCAGCTTTGGCATCATATCATCGTTCTCTCCTCAAGGTGGAGACAATGGGTCGATCACTAGAAGAGATTGAACTGTCTTTAAACTCCATAGACGACATGAGTTAAAAAAAAAGGGAAGAAGAGAAAGATATACATCAGATTTGAATGTTTTTTTCATCCATTGTTGTGTATATGGTCTAGGAATTAGGTTTTGAGAAATATTATCTTCCGAGTAATATAGAGATCATGAAAGGCATGTGAGTGAAGTTTGGTAAAGAATCTAAAGACATGAAAACGTGTGGCACATGAGAGTGAAATTTAGAAGAAAATTGAGAAGGATTTACAAAAACAAGATAACAAAGTAAAAGGCGGATCCAAACCTGGGTCTGATAAATGTTTTTGTTGTTTACAAAAAATTAGCAAAGTATAATATTTTGCATTTTTAGTCGTTGTGTTCTTGTTAACAAGTCATGATCTGTATCATATATGATGGTTTGCACGTCTACAACAAAAGTGAAGATTTGATAATATTAACCAGTATGACTTATGAGCCTTGAGAGTTAGAGATATCGACTATGAAGATGCGAGCCACTCCTTTGGTTATAAAAATAACGTAACAGCTTGTCATTGGATTTAACCTCTACGCGCGTAGGAAATGACTCATCCAAATTGTGAAATATCACTACCTTTTATAAGTCGAATCATTTGACAAACATGCCTGCAAAAGAATTATTGTACATGGTCTTTTTGACCTTTTATTTTGAAATCGTAAGAGCAAGACAACTTTATGCATGCTCAACAGCATTGGTTTATATTCGACGCGCCAAAAATCGCGCGTGTGGTTGACAGAAACAAGCTGATGTCAAGTCAACGAATATCTTTGTCATGTCATGAAAAGGTCCCGAGAGTCTCCAGCCATTTAAATCTGCCTTCCACTGTTTATATTTAGATGACCAATTTTATGAAAATTTTTGCTTAGAGAGAGAAAACAAAAATTAGAGGGAAATCTTTTTTTTTCCCCTCAAATGAAAACAACAAAAAAGTTCTTCTAATTTGGGTTAATTCTCCGTTACCAAGAAAATCCCAGAGAGGAAGAAGACGATTGGGTGGAAAAAAAATCAAAAACGCGACGTCGACGAGAACAATGCCGAGCAAGCTGAAAAAGGCGATTGGAGTAGTTAAAGACCAGACGAGCATTAGCCTCGCCAAAGTCGCCAACGGAGCCACCGGCGGCGGCGATCTCACGACTCTCGAGGTCGCGATCCTCAAGGCGACGAGCCACGACGAGGACATCCCAATCGACGATCGTCTCGTCTCGGAAATCCTCGGAATCATTTCCGCCAAGAAATCCCACGCCGCCGCCTGCGCCTCCGCGATCGGACGGCGGATCGGGCGGACGCGGAACTGGATCGTCGCGCTCAAATCCCTAGTCCTCGTCCTCCGGATATTCCAAGACGGAGACCCTTACTTCCCTCGCGAAGTCCTCCACGCAATGAAACGAGGCGCCAAAATCCTCAACCTCTCCAGCTTCCGCGACGATTCGAACTCGTGCCCTTGGGATTTCACCGCTTTCGTCCGCACCTTCGCGCTCTACCTCGACGAGCGCCTCGATTGCTTCCTCACCGGGAAATTACAGAGGCGGTCCACTAACCGGGACCAAACCGGGAGATTCAGCTCCATCGGCGGCTCAACCAACTCCAAATCTCGGTTTAATCACAGAACCGCGACTAAAACCAACGAACCAGCGGTTCGAGACATGAAACCGGTAATGCTCCTCGACAAAATCACGTATTGGCAGAGATTGCTCGACAGAGCGATCGCGACGCGGCCAACGGGAGACGCGAAAGCGAACAAGCTCGTGAGGACGTCGCTCTACGCCGTCGCGCAGGAGAGTTTCGATCTCTACAGAGACATCTCCGACGGTTTAGCGCTTCTCTTAGACAGTTTCTTCCACCTCCCGTACCAATCTTGCATCCACGCGTTCCAAGCCTGCGTTCGAGCCTCGAAACAGTTCGAGGAGCTCAACGGATTCTACGACCTCTGCAAAGCCAGCGGCATAGCACGAACGTCCGAGTATCCCAGCATTCAGAAGATCTCGCTAGAGCTTCTCGAGACACTGCAGGAGTTTCTGAAAGACCAGTCGTCGTTTCCGGCGAACGCGGGCATGTATTATCCGTCGCCCAATAGTCTTCTTCCTCCGCCTCCGTCGTCTAAAGACTCGACGGTTTCTAGCTCGCTTGATTTTGGAGATTCGACGACGGTTGATACGACGTCGGAGAGATACTCGGATTGTAGTACTTCGTTGGAGGATCTGATGAGGACTGAAGCAGGGACTAGTAGTCCTCCGATGTCTTGTCATTCAGAGCCTTACGGAGGAGGGAGAGAAGATCCTAACGGGAACAATTTCGATACGGTTTCGACTAAATCTCTTCCGAATGTTCCCTCTGTTTCTGCTTCCAATCTCACATTTAACCTGTTGGATGATGTTAATGGGACCGCGAAAGCAACAAAAGATGTTAAAGAGAGTAAGAAGAAGAAGAAGGGAGAAGATTCGGAGGAGGAAGCTTTTGATCCTTGGGAGGCGTTGATGTTGAGAGATGATCCGAAAAAGAACGTAGAAACGACTACGGAAGAGCATTCAATCTCTGAGGGTAAGAGAGATTCGGGGAATTGGTTGCTTGCGTTGGAAGAAACCGCTACACAAGTTCAGGATACTAACTCGATGGCGATAGTGCCGTTTGGATTAGATGATCCAGTGGCTGCGTTTCAAGCCACCATGGACCAGTACAATCCATTCTTGGAAGAACTAGCTGCGCCGTTAGCTTTAGCCGGTCCAGCTGTAATACCGATGAACACTTTCAATGCCTTGGCTGTGACGGAGTTTCAGCCGGAACCGACATTTCAGGTAAACGTGCCTGAAGATTTTGAGCCGTCAAAGTGTGACCCATTTGCAACATTTGAGAGCTTTGGGTTTGGAGAGACAGTTTCAGAACATGGAGGGGTACATCAGCAATCTGTGTTGCAAGAACAGCAGTTATGGTTGCAGAACCAGAACAAGATCATAGCTAAGCATTTGATTTGAATTGATATGGTCTTGATTTGGCTAGACAGAGATTGAGATGTATCTTTTAAATTTTCTTTTATTACATTGTAAACTGAACTCTAACTCATTTTTTCATAACTAGGAGAAAAGAGTAATACAACAATTGTTTGATAATAGAAAAATGTGTAATGCTCAACAGTCAACACACTCAATTTCTCTATCTTCAAACTTTCCTTCCTGCAATACACAAGATAGTTCGTGCCTTGTACAGTCGCATTGAGAATTGGAACATAAAGCATATATCATATGATGCGAATCGGACCATAATCGTTCATTAAGTGTTATTGGGTTAGGCTATCAGGAATTTCAGGACCATTGAAAAGCCCAAATATAATAGCTTTAAATGTTAAAATCCATTCGTAAACAATTCAGACTGTGCCACACAGACTTTGCCGATGGTTCAAGGTTGTTTGCATTCATTTCACATAATAGAATCATAGATGGATACAATGAATCATTGCCAATGATGCAACACATAATTTTTTGGAGTATATGGAGATATATGCATGTTTAGTTGAACTTATATATGTATACATGTATAACGGTGGGGATAAATTAAGAAGGGATCAAGGGAGTCAAATGGAGTAAAGAGAGTAGGTCCATTAATGTCAAGTTGGTTATTGTGGTGTCGATTACATGAGATTGACCAAAGCTTAAGCTTGACCCCAAGTCCACGAGGGAGATCTACCAATCGCATCTTCACAACACATTGTTTTCTAGTATTAAATATATAAATCAGGTTTCTTACTACTACAAGTCTTCCTTCTTGACTTCTCATTTTTCCGTTTTGTATTTTTGTTTTACATAACTGTTTACAAGTCATACATAATTGAATATAACATCGGCTGATTAGCCAATTCTTTTCTTCAAATAACTCTTTTCTTTTGATCTAAACTGTCAAATGTCATGGGTTGAGGATCCTTAATTTTACGTTTGATAAATAAATGTGTTTGCATATAGGAATTAATTTTTTTTCAAGAAACCGAGTGATCCAAGATTATGAAAAGAACGGAACCAAGAGCCATGATCCAAGCGAAAAGGAAGGTAAAATTCACTAAGCCGTAAACTAAATCATCATTTAGCATCCATCTTAGCTTCGCCAGTGGATTGTTGGTAACCAACCAATTGACAAGTGGCCTTAGCTTCACTTCCTTGCCTCGCGCGCAATAACGAGAGATGAGCAGACTCGGTAGGCTAATTATATCCAACTCATTTCCCTTTTTGGTAACCAATTCACTGACCACTTCCTTAATTACCTTCAGTTCCTTACCTTGCGTCCTAAGCAAATCAGGTATGTTAACGTAAGCCTTTGCCATTGCAATGATGGTGCCTCTCTCCAGTTTGATTCCATCTTCTTCTTCTTCGTGAACCCATGTTTTCATTAACATCTCCAGCGCGTTCAAGTCGGATGCATCAGCGCATGCCTTTAAAACATTGTTTACCGTGAGATGGTCCGGCTTCACTTTGTTGTCTTCCATCTCCTTCATAAGCTTCTCGACCATATTCCATTTTCCTAGCTGACTGTAGAGAGAAAGCATTGAGTTGTATGGTGAAGGTTTGAAGAGGAAACCGAGCTCTCGCATCTCCTTGAAAGTGGACTCGGCTTTGTCCAGTGTGTTCTTGGATCTCGTGTAAGAGGTCAAGAGCGTGGAGTAGACTGAGGAATCTCTCATGTTCGCAGGGATGCTTTTGAAGAACTTCTCTGCTTCTTCTAAACCCAACACTTTCTCAATTAAATGAAGCCTAGCTGCATAATCTTTCGCATAAATATTACACACCTTTTCTTCACCCATCCACGTTGATGCCTATCCACAACCAAAACGCACAATAAATAAAACAAAAAAAATCTAAATATTATGATCAGAAGAGTATGACACCATTTAACAGATTCTAGGTACATAAACCAAAGATCGATTATTATTTTTTATAAAAAAAAACCTCAAGTGCTTGAGAGAATCGACTAGAATCACGAAGATTCTTGATGAGGCCTCTGATGTCAGACGGCTTAACTTGGTTCCCTTGTTGCTGCCATTGATCGAGCACAGGAGTGATTTGCGACTTGTTATCTAAAGCCGCTTTGATCCGACTCTGCAAGGCTTGGTTCACCTCGGAGGTTCCGTATGAACGAAACAAAAATAAACTCTTGTTGCTGCAACCAAGAATGCGTCTCATCATGTGCTGATGAAGAATCGGCGTCATGCTTACAAGTTGTTTATTTTTCTAAGTAAGGGGTTTCGTGATCTCAACGCCTAGATTTGTTACTAATTTAAGTATACTCTCCAATTTAGTGTTTCATTCTCGTGACCTAACAGTAACAACTATCTAGTGACTTTCATATTCGTGACCTAACAACTCTTCAAGCATTCGTCTAGCATGTTTTTTCAGTTTTAGAAGATTTAAAGGAAAAAGAAAAGCTGATTTATTGCGTAAATGACATACAAAATATTGATTCTGGTAACGATTACACATTTACACCACAAGGGAAATGTGATCATATTCTGAAAAACCACATACACTAAGCAAGTAATAATCGTTAAGCAACAATTGGGATAACCAAAAAGGCTATTTTAAACAAACTCCAAAAAGGCTATATATATAAATCTGTATATATATATATAACGTATTAGTAGACGTATTTATCTACCTAAATGGTTACACTGAGCAGGAAATAGGGTTAAAACCATGATCATAGAGATTATTTAACCTTTTCTTTTTTCTTCTCGAGATATTATTACTGATTCCAGAGAAAGGGAAAGAAACAGAAGAATGGTTTCTCTGGAACTCTAATGTGATTAGAATAATCATCACTCCTTTTTTTGGCTTTCTTCTTCAGGTTGAGGGAAGACTTGAGGCCCTCTGTTTACCTGATGGAACAAGAGAAAGACATAGGAATGTGACTGAAGCTGGAAACGTCGAATATCTCCATGAATCTTTGATCTGAAACTCTAGCTTTCGCTGCTGCAAATCGCTGGTACTCATCGAATATCGATGTCAAACACCATTTCTGGAGCTTTCTCAAGCACCCGACAAGGCAACCAGTCCGATGCTGCAACATTCCAGATTCAATACTTGTTAAGTTTCACAATGGTGGAGCTAACAGACTAAAGAAATGTTGAGGATTGGGGAGAAATATTACCTTGCCTCGCTTACAATGAATCAGAACCGGATGGTTTTTCTCATCTGAAGATCAGAAAAGGAGATTTTGACAAGACACGAGTTAGAATTAGAAAACATGAAAGTGAGGTTTCAAGGCTTCTATGATTCATACTTACCTAGAAGTACTTTGAGTGCCTTGCGGATTTTATGGTCTGGAATATTCACAAATGGTTCCTGAAAAAAGAAAAGTAGAAAAGATGTCTTCCTTAGATTATAAGATTTTTTAAGTCAAAATACTGAATTGAGCAGATTAGGATGAGGAAAAACAATCTACAAGTAACGTTGAATCTTGAGAGAGACAACCATGTAAAAAAGGTTCAGAAACAGGACAAAGCATACAAGTTATGAAAGCATGTCAAATATGATACCTTTTACCGGTTGCGTACTGAGAGAAAGATTCCCTCTTTTTATATTAAAAAGTTATCCACACACACACAAGAACAACACGGAACAAACACAAAAGGTCCATTGTAATACGAATCTAGAGGACAAGGAAAAAGCTTGGTAAGCCAAGAATATCAACGATAAAGGTTTCCTATCAAGATCAAAGCTGTCACACTGTGCATAACGAATCTAAGTCGATAAAAAACCAAAGTCAATGATGTGGAATAATTTCCAAAATCCTGCCCATAAAATCACTCCACCAAGAAGAGCACTTTAGTTTTCTTTTTAGTCTGAAAGCAAGAATCTAAACGACTCCCCACATTAAACTCCACTAGAAGAAACATGAGACAATCCTAGGAACAGAATCAACGGCACAAGGTGGTTTCTGTGGTAGAGAAAATGATAGCTACTCCATACCAATCTCACAGCAAAGTTACATTCTTCATGACTCATAAGGATTATTCTATTACTTACCATTGCTTGCCCAAACATGAGCCACTAAAACATACAAAAGTGATGGAACTAAAAGGTACGTATTAAACAACCCTAACCGACTTAAAAACTTAACCATCTATCACTTTCCAAGCAACTCCTAACCTTATCTAGATTCAATATTAATATATACTTTCACAACTAACACGCTTTCTCCAAGTTTTTTTTCCCATAAAAAAAAAATGGTTGAGGTGTACAACTACTTGTGCACCCTGAAGAAACGCTTTTGCTGATGTATGATTTCATAAGATATCATATCCGTATTAAAAAAAAAAGTGCATACGCAAGTAACATGAACCAAGAAAAGAATATCAACAGAAGACACAGAGAAAGTAAGCTTTCAAGTAGTGGGATCGTTGACGACACTTGCAGCAAGCAGCTCAGCAAAATCATTTTTTTGACGTAGCCCATTATCTGATTTTAATAAATACAGACACTGTAAGGACCAATAGTTGCTGAAGGGGCAGAAAGGAGAGAGTGGGACCAAAGCAGTGGAAGGTCAAGAGAGACGGAAAGAGCCAAAGAGGCAACAATAAACAAAAATGTCTTCTTTTTCTGGTAACTCGTACTAAAATATGGCTACCCATGAAGGATCATTTTCAAGACAAAACACGCAAACCGTTTTAGTAATCTCTCAAGTAACAGTGATGAGACAGGATTTAAGAACAATTAGGCAGTTTCAAACTGTTAAACCCCCAAATTAAAGAGCCTTCAATAGTATTAAATTCAGTTAATAAATAATACCAAAGTTTTGGAGAGTCCATTAGTTAATGGACCCTCTTTGTGTTGCTTGGAACTCCATAAATGCAACTCTAATTCAGGGACACTGCAAATTTTAAAAATAACCTAAGAGACTCTAAATCAGAGAATTCACCTAGTGAACTAGTATGTCTAAAACATCCCGGGAAAAATCAAAGTGAATTGGAATTACAGAACAAACCAGAGGTTTAGATATTAGAACAGAGAGAGAGAGAGGAAAATGGAGAGCAGAGAGCGATGCGAACCTTTTTGCCTTCAATGCCAAACTGGAAAAGCTTAATTCCATTGGATTTGAGGAACTGGATGTTGCTCTCCGGGTAGGGCTCCGGGCACAAATATCTTCACAAATTCGAAATACCCAAAACAAAACCAGCGATTAGGATGTTGATATACGCAAATGTCAGGGGTTGAATAAATGTGGGAGAAGTTTTTTTACATGATTGAGCGGAGGCCGAGAGTTTGGAGAAAGGAAAAGTTAGCGGAATCAGGGAATCCAGACCGGAATATACCGTTGTCGACCATTGAGAAGTTAAGCGGCGGAATTAGGTTGAGCTCCTCGCCAGAGACCACTCGAAACGCATCAGCTTCACCGTCCGCTTCCTGGAACCCGTTTCTGTCAACCGCCGCAACCTCGATCATACGGCAGACACCTTCTCTATCGTCCTCCGTGGTTGTAAACTTGTCCGTCATCGTATTTTCCACGAGTTTCATTTCTTAAAAGAGTTTGAAATTGAGAATCTGGGTTTATGTTTGGTGGTGAGGTGAGAGTAATGGAGATAGTCGTTACGTAGCGGCGACCTTCGGTTTATATAGACACGCTCTTGTGAGTTGTGTGACTGTCAAAGTTACCTTTTCTTTTATAAAAAAGGAAAATGAACGGAAGGAGATGAAACCATACTCTTATTTTTAATTTTATTAATTTAGCCATTTATATTTATTTTATATCTTTAAAGAATCGTGTTTACAATTTACAAATATTTTATCGAATCTTGTCTTTCATCTTTTTCAAAGACAATATTCAATAAATATGTGTAAACTGTTCGAAAATAAATGTGTCACACTTGCTAGTTGAAGAAATGTTTGATATTTAGGGTTGAGGTGTCAGTGTCACACTCGCGAGTTTGATATTGAGACTCGAACGTGACCGAGGACATACAAAACAAAAAATCAGTTTTTGATATAGTATGCAAGAGTAATGCCAAGTTTATACTGACTGTTGATCTATTATTTAGAAAATTCAAGATGAATGTTTTCTCGGCTGCATAACTTATGATTCTGCTGAAACAAAAAAGGTACAGAAATATATTATATATGTGTCGATCAACCTAATAAAAACGAAATAATGCGTAGCAACCAGAGAAGAACCACATCACGACAATACATAAATAAAATCCACGTCATATCTTTGTCTTCCACATAACACTCGCAACAGAAAACTACACTTTTTTATGATAGAATAAGATGAATAACAACTAGCTAAAGACAGATTTTGTTTAATGTTTAGTGACTACACTGACTTTTAATTTGATAAAATACTCCATAACAATAAAATGCAATAAATCAAAATTTTCTATAAAAACAAAACAAAAAGGTACATTCCAAGGAATATACCTTCTGATTCCGAATGATTATTGGGTCGTGAGCACTCCGCCACGTATGAAAGTGTCTTGACGCCGTAAAGGGGTTACCGTAAAATGAACGTACGGGGAAATCATAATGCCTATAAATAATCTTTCCATCCAATTTTTCTTTTGTTGCTAAGGGGTTTTACTTTTCCAAATTATTGCTCGATTCTAATGTTAAATCACTATATGGTTGAAACATGAAAGTAAGTCACTATTGCAAACCCTTAGTCAAAGGAGAAGAAGATAGTGAAGGGAAGAAACAAATTTGATCGTCCCTTCACTATGAGAGAGTCTTTGCTTATTTTTATAAGAATTGTCTTTTGTTTGGTTTTATCACGACTCTTATCTTCGAAACATCCTCTAGCAAAGAAAAATGATCCAAACATCATAAATATTTACTTTTTAGTTTTAACATGATACGTGCAGTGCATGTTACTATGGTAGAGTATGCAAGCTGCGTACTGCTGAGTGCTGACAAAATGATTTTAAATGAGCTGTGCCGTATGGTGCCCAAGTTTGACCGAAGGAGAAGTTTGAATTGATTCATCTTCAAACTGCACAAAGAGTTTCTTTCGTACAAGCATATTTTGCTTTTGCAAGAAAAATACTGAACAGATTTCAAAACAAAACACTCAAAAAAGTAAAGATATAAAGGGAAAGTACTAAACAGGTTTTGTTTTAGAAAGCCCAAATTTGTTGGACATCAGCCCAGTGAAAGTGAAGCTCAACTTCAGAAAACGAAACGGACCAAACTATTCTCATACCCAATCGTTGAACAATTGAGCTCAAGGAGTTTGATCAAATTGTTTCGGCCTCTTATCCCATTTTATATTTTTATCCACCATCTATATAAAAATAATAATACTTTTGACAACATATATCAATAATAAATTTCTTAACGTGATGAAAAAAAAAGGAGACGCATGAGGCGGAAACTTGAAGTCATAGGAAGCTAATAAAGGAGAGTCAAAGAAATGATTTTTCTTTTTTTGATGTTGTTTTTCCTAAAGGAAAAAAAGAAAAGAAAGCCAAATATTTTTTTAATGCTGACGTGTAACTTTCTTTGCGAACGGTCAAACCGGTAGAACAGAAAAGCGTCAAAGACAAGGAAAAGAGCACAGTAGGTGGTCGTCAGGGCAGAGGATTATTACCTCGTAAGCTAACGTGGCGGAATATTGACGTCAGAAGATCACACAGCTCTTACGCTGCTCCAGTGACTACCGAATCGCAACCTCCTTCTCTGTCTTTTCTACACTTTCTAATTACTCCTTTTTTCTACCTGTGGGTCCCAACTACCTTATAAACTGCGAAGCAGAAGATTTCTTGTGCCAGAAGAATTTGTATGATTAGTCTATTATACCCCTGTTCTAGACATTTTTGGCTAGGTGGCTACGGCTGAGTCCCATAGCATACTATTATTCCGTTTCCTTATATATTTATACAACTTTATTGTGATTGCTATTTAGTTCTATGATCTGCTGCAAAATGTATTCATTTTATTAAAGTCTCTCTTTCATCCACAAAAATATGTTTTTGGAAATGTTTAAGTATTATCTATTTAAATTTAATAAAAATTAAATATATTTCCAAGACATTGACTGAGTGATACCAATAAAAGGATATAAGATCTGTTTGTGAAGTTGAGAACAATATACAGCAGAAATTAATACTAACTAATATGAATAATGTCTGATTATGATTAATAATTAGATTCAAATATTTCTATAATGTTTAAGATTTTCAGACAAAAAATGAAAAATTGTAATCTCAGATTTCTAACAAGAAAATTTAATGTTATTTAAATGAAAAACTTACTGTGAATCTAACAAAAATTGATCTAAGATTGAGCCTAGAAAGGAAAAATGTGAAAGTCAATCATCATTGCGAAAATCAAGATATCTTTTACCCAGAAAAACCAATGGTTAAAACTTGAACCAAAAGGACAAATAGAAGCAGAGAGAGGTCCACCTACTCGAAACGATGGTTCACATCGAACCGTCACACTGAAGATAGCAGTATAGGGGTAGCATTGTCATTTAAAGTACATGCAGAATTTATTAACTCGTACACGAGGGGAGCAAAGACTCATTACTTGGCACTCTTAATTGATTTTTTCTTTTTAATATTTATTTAAACACAGTTTGATTTGTTTTTCTCTCTTTCACATTGAAAACACAGACATCGGAGGAGAGAAAAAGGCAGAGAAACTCTCTTAAAAGAAAAGGAAGATCCGAAAATTTCCTCTGAAATTTCTCACACTCTCGGCAACAGCGAAGGAGAGAAAAAATAAGAAAATTCAAATCAGTAGGGAATATATTAGCATTGATTCTCCCATTGGATCTGTTCTGATGAGTAATCTCTCTCTGGAAAACTAAAACTAAAAAAACCGTAGATTTTCTTCTTTTTTCCTCTGTTCTTCATCGACATTTGATTCACCCAGAAAAACCAATCTGTTTCTTAGACGATCGTCACACTCCGTCTGTGATTCCCCGTTTTCGTTTGCTGTTGGTGATCATCGTCTTCATTGTCACAAATTGCGACAGTCTTTTCTTACATGCGACCCATGTCAGACACTCAGCATGTTCAGAGCTCTATTGGGTCGTTTCGATCTTCCGAGCAAATCGAAGGTAAAGTTTCTGAATCTCGAGAGATCCGTATGATCGGGTTCTGTTTTACCGCAATGCCTTTGAAGATCGTATTGGGTTTTCTACTTTTTGATCATTATTTGAAGTCTCATTTTGATTTCAGCATTTACACTCGGTTTTGATTTCTGTAACATTTCGGAATCTGATCTCTTTAAGAATCATATGAGTTCTGTGTCTACGTGTCTTTTAATAAATAGTGATACAAGTTTGGACATTACTAATGAATCTATGTTGTTGGTATGATCTTCAGAGTCCTTTAGGAAGCTGACAGTAAGTGAAAACGGAGTGGCGCAATCGAAGTCGTATCCAGATCGTCCCGGTGAACGAGATTGCCAGTTTTATCTAAGAACTGGTCTGTGTGGCTACGGAAGCAGTTGCCGTTACAATCATCCCACTCATATCCCTCCACAGGTGCAAAAGAAAATCATCTAACTTGGAATTTTTACCTCTTGTTTTGGTATTTGCCTCATGACTTTACTGCTTTTGAACGTGTGAATAGGGTACTATGTATTACAACGAGGAGCTCCCTGAGAGGTTCGGACAGCCGGATTGTGAGGTACAGTTCTCAAGATCTGGTTAATGGCATTTTGCTTTAGCGTTGATGCATTCGACATTATGCTTATTGTGCATCTAGCAAAAGTAACAGAACTTATTTTAGTTTGTAACTTTACTTAAGAGGTAACAAGAATCTACATTGAACTGCAGAATATATTCCTCTTGTCTGGTTTAGTCTTTCCTTGATTTGAAAGATAGATAAGCTTTGCCATTAGATTTACTGAAATGTTTTCCAAACAAAACTTACTCTTTTATTTATTATGGAACTGTTTTGCAGTATTTTCTCAAGACAGGAGCTTGTAAGTACGGCCCAACTTGTAAATATCATCACCCAAAAGACAGGAATGGTGCAGAACCTGTCGTGTTCAATGCTCTTAGTTTACCTATGCGTCAGGTAATTTCATCACGGTTACTACATACATTCCATATAATTTTTTTCTATGTGCAAGACTTATTTGAGTTTCTTCTCCAGGGTGAGAAGCCATGTCCATATTACCTGCGAACAGGGACCTGCAGATTCGGAGTTGCTTGCAAATTCCACCATCCTCAACCTCATAATGAACATTCTACTGCATATGGAATGTCTAGCTTTCCTTCTACAGGTTTACATTATGGTGCTGGATTAACAATGATGTCTGCATATGGAACTTTGCCTCGTCCGCAAGTTCCTCAGTCCTATGTTCCCATCATGGTTTCTCCCTCTCAAGGCCTTTTGCCTCCTCAAGGCTGGGCCACTTACATGGTAAGTCTTAATAGAGGCTGCCAATAATGGATTGGTTCTGTTTTTAACAAATTTGACTCTTTTATTATGTTGCAGGCTGCATCTAACCCCATATATAATGTGAAGAATCATCCTTATTACTCTGGTTATGGTGCACCAATGCCCATGGCTGTGACAGTGAATGGTGGATTGTCTGAAATATCTGAACCACCAGAATGTCGCTTCTTTATGAACACTGGGACATGTAAATATGGAGACGATTGCAAATACAATCATCCAGGAGTAAAGATTTCACAACAACCACCTACTCTCTTCAATCCTTTTGTTCTTCCAGCACGACCTGTAAGTCTTTATATCTCTTGCTCAAAAATTTGATTTTGCTAAAAAGGACGAAGAGATTTGGTTCCTTAAAGATAATATGAGCCACTGTTGTGCATGTTGCTGTCCAGGGACAACCAGCTTGTGGTAGCTTCAAGTCTTATGGATTCTGCAAGTTTGGACCAAACTGCAAATTCGACCACTCGTTGCTGCCGTACCCGGGCTTGACCATGCCTTCATCTCTGCCTAATCCTTATGCTTCACCTGTTTCATCAACCCATCAGAGGATCTCACCATCGCCAAGCCGCTCTGTTTCAAAGTCTGTGTCTAATGGTAAACCTGATGTGAAGAAGGAAAGCTCAGAGACCGGGAAACCAGACAATGATTCTCAACAGTTGAAAGTGCAGGATATTTCTGAGAATTCGACATCACCATGATCACATCAGCTGAATCTCCTCAGTGAGGCTTGTAAAGATCTCAATGATCTCTCTCTGCCCTTTTTTGTTAATTTTTGTGGAAGAGGAGGGTAGCTGAAAGTGTTTCTCTTTTGGGCTTTGTTTTGTTTTTGAGATGGCCATGGCTCATGGCTGGAAAGAACAGTATAGGACGAAACCAGTGATGCAATTTTCTCCTCTGTTTGTGACTCTGTTAATAAATATTTTACATTGAACAAATAGAATTTGTCTCTATCAAATTTGACTTTACATTGCTACTACAAAACACAATTTTAAATTCACAATTGTATTGTGTCACTCTATCTCGATTGGTCCCTTCTACCTCAGAATGCTGAAGCAATAAAGTAGAGGAAAAATGGCAAGTGATGCTGAAGAGCTCAAGTCTTTTCTATTAAAAAAATTTGTTGCTAGATTTACACATTCGATACAAAACAGGTGATGAAGATCACAATCCAAGAGAAATGTTTACAAAATAAACAGTGTGTTGAGACTGAGGAATACCGATTAAGCAACAGATATTGAGTTCAAGAAACCATCAATGTAGTCCTTAAGCTTAGCCTTTGTAATAGCACCTTCCCTTCTGCTACCTGGAACTTCCTTCCCGTCCTTGAAGATGATGAAATGCGGTAAACCATACACCTTGTATTCTGCTATTAACTTGGGATTAGCGTCGTGATCAATCTTCACAATCGTCAATCTGTCACCATATTCCTGGAAAAGAAACATTTTTTTAAGTTTTAGAAGACAAGAAAACTAAGGAAATCTCAAAATTTAGCATTCAAAAGCAAGAACTTTGAACCAAATCCAGCAATTTACAATCAGTAGCACAATCTTTGCTTGACATTTTCACATGTCAAGATTTATAAATGATTTACATAAATCTTCAATCTCAAGTTTGTATCATCAAGTCATGCGATTTCAATTTAATGGATCTCAAATCAACTTCAAAATCTCAATGATTCTCCAGAAGAACCGATGAACAAGTAATGATCAAGACGGGAGATTACAAGAGAGACTATGCATATGTGACCTCGGATAAGGAATTCATAGCGGGAATGATCAATTTGCAGGGACCGCACCAAGTAGCGACGAACTCCACCAGAACTGGCCGGTCCGATTCCAAAACCGTACTCGAAAACTCACTCTCTCCGATCTCCTTGATTGCTCCGCATCTTATCGTCGAGCTAGAAACGCTGGTTAAGAGTTTCCCGGTTCGTCTACCACCGGACCTGAACGAAAGTATGTGGCGGTTAGCGGAGAAGGATGCGACCTGGGCTGAGCTCAGAGGCTTGACGGATACGGCAGAAGCAGGAGAAAGTGAACGAACCGGAGTGAGATATGATCGGATAAGAACCGTTGAACTGGAGACGATAGAATCCATGTCTTCTTCCTCCTTTTCCTCTGTTGAGTCAGAGGACGAATGTTCACTTCATACATAATAGAAACGATTGTGTGGCCAGAGGAGACGAAGGCTGAGTGATGATGTTTCGTGTAAGGTCCTCTACATTTTGATTCTTTCAGTTTAACCCCATATTATTAGAAAATGGATAAAACAGCCTTAATAATAAGAAATTAAACCAAAGTGGGCCGGGTCTGGAGCCCATAATTGAAAAAAGTCCTCGCCGGGGAAGTCTAATTTTCTAAATCACAGTTATTTGAGTCAATATTTGTTTAATTTCATTTTGTTTTTACTGTTAACTTAACAGAAGCGAGAAAGTTTAATTTAGGCTTTTTGACTTTTGACTAATAAAATTCATTTACGAAGTAAAGAGTTAAAAAGGGTTGTTTTTGAAGGCTTTGGCCGGAGAAAAATCTGGGCGAAGTTTCGTCGTTTTCGTGACGGCGACGGGAATCTCTCTCCGTTGGGTTTTGTCGTCGACAATTTTGTGAACGCAAAGCCAGATTAGTTTCTTCGTGCGAACCAGGGACCATGAATCGGCTGAGAGGCAGAGGGGCATCGATTCCAGGGTCTGCAGTTGTGCCTCATCTGAAGAAAAAAGTCCAAAATTCAATGGTCGCTCTCCACGATTCCTATCTCTCTACCAAGGTGATCGATCCCCTTTCTCTCTTCGAAGAATTGGGTTTAGGGGTTGTTTTGGTTACAAGGTTTTCTTGTATAATCTTCCTGATAGATTTTGTTATCATTTCTTTAGGACTTGTTCGAGAGGCACAGGGTCGTGTTTACAGTTGGAACGTCTATAGCATCAGTTGCTACGGCTTGGATTGGTAAGCTGCAAGTTGATTAACTCTTACCACGTATTTGGATGTTTAAAATGCTGTTTTGAATAGCTTTGAACGTTTAAGCTCAGACTAGATATCGCCTGTGGAGTCAATTCACGGAAATGTTGTGTTTGATTGGTAGAACTATATACTTTCGTCCATTCTATGATATATGTGAGGTCATTTCTTGAGATTGGGATCAATGGTTTAGATGATTTGGTCATTTCCAAATGTTTTATATCATTTGTTATTCTATTAGGTGTTTAGAAACCAAAGTTATTGTGTGCTATGTACTTAGTGTTGCAAAAGTATGTCATTGATCTTTCGTTTCTGTTTATACTCTGAGTCAAATGAGCTTGATGACCGAATTTGCTACTCAATGGATGAATGATTGTGCAGGCTACTCATTACGCCATTACAATGAAACTAGAATCAATCAGAGGCTGGAGTCGATTGAGAATGCGGTAAGTGTCTCTGTCCCTAATTTGCCAAAATTTTACTCACTGTTCAAAGTCATATTTGAATGCCAAATTTTCTTGCATGTAAGAATATTGCAGTATGCGTTGGATTTAGCTGCTTGCATAGTTAGGACTTAGGATTCTTGTAAATGACTTATTGCTTCCTGTTGTTACTGATCATTGATCATGAGTATGTATAGTCTTATCGTCTGATTTGTACAGCTTAGTCTGTCATTTGAAACTTTTGTTTGGTTTTACCATGGGAGATGAAAAACTCGCATGAGTTGGAACGAGGAGAGCTCAAGAAGCTCGTTGATCCAGTGGGTTCCAAGTTCACTTCAACAATTGCCACCGCTGGAACCACTTTGGTCATTGGGTTTGTTTCCACAAAGACTGTCAAAGAGGTTCTCAAGTTAGATGCTCTGTTTTGTATTTACATTATTTTTCCGGTTGGTTTTTCAGGTATGGATTGGGTTGGCGAGGCGGGATATGGTATGCAAACAGGAAGTTTAGAAGGGAACAAATGAGATTGGCCGGGCAGTTGAAACCCAGAGAATGGAAGTTATTAGGGAGAATCAAACACCGAGCTTGGCCGACGACAAAGTTCCTCAGACGACCATTCCCAAGACAGAACAAAACAGCAGAAACTGCTTTGAAGACACCAGAAAGTACGGTTTGAATAATCCAAAAACGGTAACAAGGAAGATGTGTATCAAGGGTTTGTTCGGAATACCACAGGGGGAGTAACAATTCAAAGCGACTACACATCGGTTTGCTCTTCTCTCTTTGTTCCTTGTAATAAGTAAGGAAGTAATTTTTATTCTTTTGGGTTTTGGCAAGGAAATTGAATTACTGTGTATTATTTCAGTAAAATGTGCAAAAAGCCCCTCACCTTTGCCTAAAATATTTCAAAAACCCCTAACCTATTTTTATGGATAGTAAAAACCCTCAACTTTTTGTAAAAGGTAAATTAAATATCTGATTTTTGAATTGTGGTGTGTATCAAGATAAAATATGACTGATTTAGCATAAGAAATTTGCAAGAGAGACTCTAAAATTGTACAAGCAAATATAAAACCCTACATTTATGCAAGCAAGTAACTAATAAACCTAAAGTAAAGTCGTGTAAGCAACTGTTGCATGAAAAAACTCTAAAAAGAAATCCAACGCCTAGTGATTTTCCTCATCGGCCGTAGAGCTCACGGCGACACAACGGGCAAGAATTTTTCCGGCGAAGCCACTGCGAGATACAGCGATCGTGGAAAACATGAGAACATGAAATTTGTGTCGGAGCTTTATCTGAAGTACCCACGAGACTTTCAAAACAGATGGAACACGCTTCTGATCCCAAATTCAAACTCTTGGATCTCTCCTTGTCGATCGCACCTTCTCGAATCAATCTCTCAACAACGTCATCCTCCCAGTTGACAGCTTCTCCTCCGATCGACGACGGTAAAGTTGAGAAATCGAAATTGAAAGCGGAAACTCTCTTGTACGTAAGTTTCACGAGCAAGGTCATGACGAAGCTATTAACGCCTAATCCTTTTTTGGTAGCCTCAGGAGAGATGCGCACGGCTAAGAATAGACTCAACTGAGGGCTAAGGCGGTGGCGACAGAGGATGTCATTGATCTGGCGGAGATTGGCACTAGGAAGACTGAATTCGATGAGACGTGGCGGAGAAGATTCGTAGGACGCGGTTAGGGTTTGGAAACCGGTGCGATCTCTAATGTACTCTTCGACTACTGTGTGGACCCTGATTTTGACGACGTTTCTTATCTCTTCAGATTGAGATAGAATTCTCGTGTCTAGGCGAAGAAGTTGAGGAGGATAATTCATGCTGCAAAAATATAATAATCAAGAAAAATAGATACGTTTTATAGATCGGTGAGAATTGGTGAAATCGGCTACTGTATAATCTGGCGCGTAAATAAGCTTTATCGGAGTCGGAAGTGTGCGTTTCTCTCGCACGTGCGATTTTATTTCCTTTTCCTAGTGATATTTCCTTTTTACAATGTTTCCTTTTAATCAGACAAAAATGTGAGGAGAGAGTGCTGACGTGTAAGTATATCATTGGTGCTTACACGTAAATCCACGTAGGCTGTGTTTTTAGTTCTTCTGTATCGCAGAGTGCCGGAGAGAGACGACGACGACGACTCGCATTTCATTTTTGGTGGAGAAAGAACGGAAAAAAAGATATGGAAATCAATTTTTACAAATTAGCATTGACGTTGTTCACAGTTTTGTCTCTGTTGTTTGATCTGGGCAATGCTCTGTACGGATCTTCTTCGCCGGTGCTTCAGCTCACTCCTTCTAATTTCAAATCTAAGGTACGGCGGCAACTGGTTTCTATCTCTCTCTCTGGTTTCGGCTTACGTGGTGACGTATTAATCTCAGTTCAGAATTCGTTACTATGAAGGACGAAATAGTTGATTTTACTCATTGTAAAATGGATGTCAGGTTCTGAATTCAAACGGCGTCGTTTTAGTAGAGTTCTTTGCGCCGTGGTGTGGTCATTGTAAATCTCTAACACCAACTTGGGAGAAGGTTGCTAATACTCTGAAAGGTGTTGCTACTGTGGCAGCCATTGATGCTGACGCCCACAAGTCTGTCTCTCAGGTTTGTCTTATTTTTGGACAATGTGATTGCGATTGGTGAAACAAGACAGAAAACTTCTTCTTGCTATTCTTTGATTTACCCCAAGAAAGTTATTCTGAAATCCTTGACGACGATAAAATGTAATATCTCTGTTGTAGGATTATGGTGTGAGGGGTTTCCCAACAATTAAAGTATTTGTTCCAGGGAAGCCTCCGATTGATTACCAAGGAGCAAGGGACGCTAATGCCATTACTAAGTTTGTTACCAAGCAGGTTTGTCTTGCTGATTCTTGTTTACCGTTTAATTATTTTAGTGGGCACGTAATATAGAAAATGTTGTGGTTGTTCTAGTTGCAGTGAACAATAATGACATTTATCAAGTTATTTCTGGTTAACAGATAAAGGCGCTGTTAAAAGATCGTTTGGATGGTAAAGCAAGTGGCACCAAAAGTGGAGGAGGATCCGGTGAGAAGAAATCCGAGCCTAGTGTCTCCGTGGAACTCAACTCCAGCAATTTTGACGAGTTGGTCACTGAAAGCAAAGAACTTTGGATTGTCGAGTTTTTTGCACCTTGGTAAGTATTGCTTATTGGCTCTTAAACTGTTCACGTCTTTAACCTTTCTCGAAATAAATCTGAAGCTGGACACCATCGACCATCGTTTAATTTGTTTGTTTCTTCTCCAAGGTGTGGACATTGCAAAAAGCTAGCTCCTGAGTGGAAAAAGGCTGCAAAGAAGTTGAAGGGGAAGGTCAAACTAGGTCATGTCAATTGTGATGCTGAGAAGGTAACACTAGAATTCTTCAAATGTAAAATGTCTTTCTGCTTCTTATAACCGAAGTGTTTGTATCCATTGTACCTCCGATGAGTTCTGACAAGAGGTATTACGTACTGCAGTCGATACAGAGCAGATTCGAAGTGAAAGGATTCCCCACAATCTTGGTCTTTGGTGCAGACAAAAGCAAGCCGGTACCATATGAGGGTGCTAGATCTGCACCAGCCATAGGGTCCTTTGCTCTGGAACAGCTAGAATCCAATGTTGGACCTGTTGAAGTAACTGAACTAACTGGGCAGGTACTGTTTCACATCTGTTACTGTTTTCCTAAAGTTGTTCTCAGACGGTACTTGTCTCTAACCCAAGTCATTGACACTCGTTTGTGCTGATTGATAGGATGTCATGGAAGAGAAATGTGGTCCTGCTGCTATTTGCTTCGTTTCTTTCTTACCTGACATTCTGGACTCGAAAGCGGAAGGAAGGAACAAGTATCTAGACATGGTATTATCAGTTGCAGGGAAGTTTAAGAGCGACCCTTACAGGTAAGCTAGGAACACATCTTTTCTCGTTGTTACTATCATCATAATACTCTGTTTTTGATAATTTTTGGTATTTGCAGCTTTGTGTGGGTGGCTGCTGGGAAGCAACCTGATTTGGAGAAGCGTGTTGGTGTAGGAGGATATGGGTATCCAGCAATGGTGGCCTTGAATGCAAAGAAAGGAGCCTATGCTCCACTTAAAAGCGGTTTTGAGGTTAAACACCTCATGTAAGTGTACATTTTGTCTCTCTTTCTACTTAAAAGCGAGGTTGACGTTAAACCCAAGCTGAAAACGGGTCGTTTCTCATGTGTGTTTCTCAGAGAATTCGTGGAGGAAGCTAAGAAAGGAGGAAAAGGGAATTTGCCTATAGAGGGAACATTGGAGATAGTGAAGACAGAAGCTTGGGATGGTAAAGACGGAGAGGTGGTTGATGCAGATGAGTTCTCACTTGAAGAACTCATGGGAGATGATGATGCTACTGAGTCCAAGGACGAGTTGTGAACAACACAGTTTTTTTATTGGTTTCTTGAAAACTGTTAAAATGTTTCAACTGAGAAAGTGAAAATTTATCGTGTGCGCGCATCTCTTAATTTACATATAGCCATCTCTGTATTGTCGATCTTGTGTTGCACGCATCAAAGTTACAAGTGGCCCTTTGTTAAATAAATAAAATATATTTATAAATGTGGTTCGATTAAGAAAATAAATAAAAGGAATGAGTTCGTGCTCGGATGGCACCAATTAATAACTGTCACAAATGGACACATTTTTGTTTCTCACAAAAGGATATAAAAAAGAGCATTAATAGCTTAACCGCAAGTTTTTTTTATCATAAAACAGACAAACATAAAATATCAAACTCAACGCTAAATCACACCCTAATTCAAACCTCACGATCAAACCATTTAGCAATGATGATGATCAGAAAGAAAACACCAGTTGCCCAGGCCATGTAAACCAACATAGACTGTTGTAACCCCAACAACCAAAACAACCAAAACTACAGCTAAAGCTTCAATGAAGATTTTAACTCTACCTACTTTGAACAAACGCCTAGCTAGGTAAAATGCACCGTAGAGGACAAGAAGAGGGAGGAAGATATGTGGAAAGTTTTTATTGACAACCGATACAAGTTTAGCGTACAATTAGCCGATAGAACTTTACTTTCCCAATACATATGTTCTTGTACGCTTAGCGTACAAAAACATATGTATGATGAATGTTTCTCCGATTATAGCATCATGGCATATGCAACATTGTTTGGAGGCCATACTTCTTGTGTTAAGTTTTGGTAACCAAAACGAGAGCCAACAAAACCCATGGTGAGAGAATTGATGATAATTTTTTTTTTTTTTTTTTTATGGTTTTCCAAACCCTCATATCTCTCTATTTTGTAAGAAATATAAGTGATTGGGATTGTGATGCTGATAATACATTCAGATTTGTTTTGGACAAGTGAAGGACATGGTATAAAACTAAAGTGATGGATCAGCGGCGGCCAAATTACATCAAGGCTTGCGAAAAATTTCAAGATCCATATGGGTCTTACTTTTGACTCAAGGCTTGCGAAGAAACTCAAGATCCATAAATTTTAACTATTTATTATTTGGGTGAAACAATGTAAAATCCTCCTTAAAAAAATAAAGTAAAATCATAGATGTGTATCATGGTCAGTGTACTAGTTAGGTGATATATTCGACCATGTCAAACTATGAAAAAAACAAAAATGATTTAAAGCAAACAATCAAATGTTCTTGATATCCTCCAATTCGGATATGTGTATGTCGAAGATGAGAAGTGGGAAGTCAAACGTTGCCAATAAGTACATCCTTGGACTTGCACAAATATCATCCTTTCAATCTGGACTATGGTCAAGACTCCATAAAGCCTACCATTATGACTGAATATCTTACCAGACCAGAACAAACACTTACAACCGCCAATTATATGTGTGGGTGTTGACGAGCAACGCTTATCGATTTCCTCATTACTAAGCTCTGTTTTAGATTCCAACCCCGAGCAATAAAACCAACGATCAGGATAAATGACAATTATATTAAGAACATGTTCATGTATGTTTGGACCATACTACTACTTACAAGGATCATTTATTTCATACACAGTTTAGTCAATATCAAATACAAAAGTATACAAAGTTTGTTTGTCTTGGGAGTTGAGTTGAGACTCTGGTCCGAATACCAGACCAGAACCGACACTTGCAACCGCCAATTGTAAACTACAACAAGTTGGTTCTCCAAGGCGTGGATCTTGGTAGACTCCAACGTGATCGAGGCTGTTGGGACGAATCCAAGTAGGCGACATCGCTGCAAACTGTGATCTCAGAGCTTGAGCAGATGATTTCCGCGCTCTCAAGTGTGAATCCTCGGATTATAGGCAAAGGGAAGCCCTTTTCTAAATGCTCATTTGCATATGGGACAAACACTGTTTGTATAACAGTCTTCACGATTGGCTAGAAAAATCGGAACAAAGATGAAACAAAGGCGTGTAAGTGTGAAGTCTGAACGAAACATATGAGTACTTTTAAAACACTTATGATAGTCTTTTTACCTGAAGAAGATGCAGATGGAGATTTCCAATGTTGCTCCATTTTAAAGACATTGAGAAATCTTCTAATTTTACGCTGCCTCCAAGGTTATTACCCATAACTTTGAGAGCACCCGATGCTTGGATCACCTGCAGCCGAGTAGCATTGAATCATCTACTGGTAAGCTATAAAATGTTCGCTGGATATGTATTCCGCAAGTAACAAGACTTACCAAGGAGATGCATGCTACTGGTATTACTTGGTTTTCTTCTAGAACATCGATTACTAGGTCTGCGCCAACATTAGCTCCCACATACTGCTCTGATATCTTTACAAGTGGAGGTGAAGACAAACTGATGTTGAGATTCATATCCTGGTTTGGGTACTTCTTGTATAGTTGTGGAATTATGAACCTCCACCTAGCAGTGTTTAAAAGAGACTGCTCTGGCACTTTATCCACAATCCATTGCATAAACTCTGCCTGAGCATGGAAAGATCGAAATCCTCATGTAAGAAACAAGAGTAGAAAATTAATGTAGATACAGACCATTAGGAACTTACATCGTAGTACAGAGCAGCAGCAGAGTTGAAGACAGCTTCATCCACTGAAATTCCGAGCATTTTAGTATTTCCAGGGCAGATACCTGAAGACACAGACTTTCTGAAGAAGGACTTTAAGTCTTGATTAATTGTTTCTCTTTTAGTGAACAAGCCATCAATCTCAAAAGTGATGGATGAATTTCTCAGTATAGGATCACCGGTGAAGGTGAGGTTAAGTGCAGCTTTATCATCTACTTGGATTTCCTTTGGAAGGCTTTGTAGGAATGAGTCAAGATCTGATACTCCTTCACTGAGTTTCTTGGAGATCGTACTTTCCACACTAGCTCCAATCTGGTCTTTAAACGCATTAACCATACTGAAATGCAGAGAAGAGAATAGAGTAAACCAACAGCCAAAGAAGCCACTATGGACCTATCATCACAAAAAGAAGATAATATTCATACCCCTGATAAAACCATGATGCTCCTCCTTCCAACTGAATAACTATGTCTTTGACATGGCATCCACATTCGGAAAGAGAAAGTTTCAAGCCTCCTTGATCATCACTTTGCAAGCCTAGAGATAGCCCAATTTCCATGCCTTCAACCTTACCGAGAATCAGCACTCATCAAATTCCCTTTGTAAAGCAGATACAAAAATGAGCAAAGCAACAGTTATCTCTGATTCCCATATGCAACTATGTTCCAAGTAACGATCACATTACATAACGGCAAAACAGAGAAGAATCTCTAATTCAATGGGATCTCTTGAAAAAGCTCGAATCAGACTATGCAACAGTAAAAGTCTTTTTTTTTTTTTTTTTTTTTTTTTTTTTTTTGAAATTAGATGAAGATAGTAGCAGATCTGCATATCAATTGATTATGCAGGAGAACAAAATTGGCAATTGACCTAGCTACGGCTTCAATTTGAAAAATTTGTTCAAAGTCTAGATCATTTCATGGAGCAGGAAGTCATGGATGATTGATTTACCTGAACAGATGCAATCCCCTGATCAGCGATTTGAATCGGAGCAAGCCAAGTAGTGTAAGAGTAATGCCAGTTCATACTCAAATTGCAGGTCGTCCCGGAAGCGACGATGACGACACCTGTCTCACCAAGCTTGACGTAAGACGACGCAACGTCGAGCTCGTATATCGTGAGGTTCGAGACGACAACATCGATTCCTCCGAGGAACGGGATTCTCACAGATTTCTCGATCCTGGGAATCTGGAGAGGTATAATCGACGCGATAGCTTTGTTGACTAGCAGGTCTTTGACGAAATCGAGGCCGTTTTGAGTTACGAGCACCGATGTGAAGGAATCGCTCTGCGAATGTGAAGGTAAGAAGAAGAAACTTGGTAAAAGGAGAACGAAAAAGCACCACCCAACAACTTCCATGGCGGAAATTCAAAGTCTTTTTTTTGTTTCTTTGCCTTATTGAATTGGACAATTTATTTATTTATCTCAACGCCATTGCTGCTCTTCAACGAAGAACAGGCTCTAAACACACATGGTGTCAAGCAAGTAGCGTAATGGTCTGGGTTACTATGAAATGCTTGATATACCCTTTTCAGGTGGGGTAATTTGCACAGATTGAAAGTTTTCGGGGTCAAAACATAACCTTTTCAACTAATCTCATGATTTTGAAACCGTCAGTAAAAACTCTAGCGTTTTCGATCAAGCAGGTTGCGTATGTAATGGTCTGGATAATGTCTAAAATACCCTTGTCATTCGATCTGCATTGCCTTGCCAATTGTATGGGTAATCTGACTAAAATTGGAAGTTTTCGGGGTAAAAAGATAAATGTTTAAAATATGTCAATTCAGACCGAAAGCTGAGGTCTAAAAGGCAAAAGAGTGTCCGAAATTCGTCTCTTGTGGTGGCTGAGCGTCACGGAACAGAAGAATCGAGAAGAGTCGGCCGCTGATCTCCTCAGTTTTAACCGGAGTCAATCCATGGCTGTGCAAGCCGGCGTTCAGACCTCTAAGGTCCTCATCCTACTCGGCGCAGGTCTCTCTCTCTCACTATGATGGGTTTTTTTATGGATATGTTTGCTAGTAATGAATTCGATTGCTTCGATTCGTATTGCTTTGACTGTAATCTAGGGGAAATCTTCTCGAGTTTATGAAGGTTTAGATTGTAAACTATAAATTCTGGCGATTTGATGGATCAATTTTCAAAATTGGTTCAGAATTTCTGCTTTGCTGTTGAACTATTCTTTTGTTCAATTATGTGGATGGTGGTTTTGATTGTAATACAGCTTTGGATTTATTTCTTGTTAAAAATTCATTTCCCATCGATTTGAATAGAAAATTGGAAGCAGGAAAAATTTCCCTTCATTGTAATTTAATTGTCTCTACTCTGTAATAATTCTGATGCTGTTCTTACACATAATGATTCGTAAAAGTTGAAACTTGGTTCTGTTTTTCATTTTCAAGGTGTCTCTGGTTCGATCGTATTGAGACATGGGAGGTTGTCTGACCTAATAGCTCAGCTTCAAGACTTGCTCAAGGGTGCTGAAGGAGTTGAAAGCACACCATACAAGTATGACAGTGCACAACTAGCTGCTCAGGTATTGTGATTGCCTTTTGCTCTCTTTGCTTAATATTTTCCGCTTTCTGAGTTTTGTTTCTAATACTTTTCTTATCTTTTCCAAATAACCAGATTCGACAGCTCGCAAATGAAATCAAAGAACTAAGTATGATTAATCCAATTACAATATTTAACGGAGATTCGAGCTCCAATGGTGTGTAAGACGTCTTCACATGTGTTTATGTACAACTTCCACTGTCCTTTCTATTTCTAATGAGAAGGAGAGACTTATGTTTGCTTTGGCTGATGCAGGCTATGCGTCTTACCTGGTCCCAGCGGCCGCTGTTGGAGCTATGGGATACTGTTACATGTGGTGGAAGGTGCCTGTCTCTTGAAATCTATCTATCTTTTTGTGTTCCATATGTCTTTTTTTCAAAGTTTTGTAACGTTTACTCACATCTTTCTCCTTTCTTTCTACGTTGCAGGGTTGGTCTTTTTCGGATGCGATGTTTGTGACAAAGAAAAACATGGCTAATGCTGTTGCAACTGTTTCAAAACAACTAAACGATTTGTCAGAAACATTAGCGGTGAATTTTTTTTTTTCTCGAAACTTTTGTTGCTTGTTATAAATATTTTATGTCCTTGTGGTTTGTGACTTAGTGTATTTGCTTACGCAGTCAACAAAGAACCATCTTTCCAATGAGCTAGCGAAATTGGATTGGAAGGTGGAAGAGCAGACTGAGACATCTAAAATGATCTTAAATGATGTAAGTCACTCATGTTATTTCTCACTTTCTCCAGTTGATGTTGTGTTACCGACATGAGATTAGGATAATGATACATTTAGTAGGCTAATGTTCTCATGGAATTGTGTCGATGCAGGTAACCGACATGAGATCAAGCATTTCGCAAATTGGGTTTGACTTCCAGCAAATTAATGAAATGATATCCGGAATTGTAAGTCACATCTCTTCCCTCTTTGGTATATGTATGATTTCTGTTAGCTAAACGGAAATTTTTTATTCAAAAAGACTAATATCATTTTGCTTACTTTCGTAAATGGCACTCGTTTATATCAATTTTTTCAGGAAGGGAAGATTGAAAGTCTAGAAAGCAAACAAGTAATCTATCTACATCCATGTCGTATTTACTTACCAACTAACTCACATAATCAGTTTTCTTAAATCTTGTTTATCTGAAACACTCTTTTTTGTTGTGGTTAAACCCTCAGGATGTGACCCTCTCGGGACTGTGGCATCTATGTCAAATTGCAGGCGTTAAAGGCAGCACAAGCGCTAAAGTGTTTCAGGTGCGTGTAACTTGCAAATTACGAGAAAATTGTCTTGCCTAATTTTCATTTAATGAAAGGCCTGGTTAAAAACAGTTCTTGTTTCTGTCTTCTTGGTTTAGGATGTTGGCGCGAGATTACCGATTGATACAAAACCATCAGCTGATAACTCTCTCTTGGTAATACTGATACGATACTCTTCTTTTTCTTTCTATTGATGCAAAAAATGGTCCTAGTAGTCCCTGAGTGAAAGAATTCACCAGAGATCATTGATCTTGAATTTGTTCTTAGGAGCTTCATTATCTCATGCTGATTATTTCTTTGGCTTTATAAAACGTAAAAACTGTGGAAACTCCAGGGTCTGAGGTTTCTGACAGAAGGCGAGGAGAAAGTAAACGTAATACACAAGCCGGTTTTGGTGAAAGAAAGCCCGGTGATGTTGAAACCGGTGGAGGAAAAACCAAAAGCTGCAACAACCAGAGTTCATAGAGCGTTTCCTGGTGGTATATCTTGGGTACGAGACGTTACAAGACTATAAAATATTATTATTTGGGTTGTTTTTACAAAGAATTTGCTTCCATTCGTCCCTTTTTCTGATACTGGGGACTACAATTATTCTTCTGTAAAAAAGAAAGAAACGAAAAATTCCCAAGGGAAGTAAGTAATCTAACTACATATGTTATTGCAACAATTTGTTTTGCCATACTTATATTGATCCTCTTTGATGTTTGTAAACGAAAATGAGTGTAAAAAGGTCTTCACGTATGTTGAATGAAAATAAATTGATGCGTGGATTGCCGATTGCCTAATGGTTGGATTCTGTGCTCCATTTTTAGAGTTTGACTCAGGATTTTCCTACAATTTGTTAAAGCTGACCCCTTATTGGGCTAAAGAGGCCTGCTCGTGATTTAGAGTTGGCCCAAAATTAATTTAACCCGAAAAATTCAATCGGGTGAATTCAAGTGCGATTAAAAGACCCGACGCGATCCTGGTTTCTTCGCTTTCGTCTATAAATCAAAAAGGCTAGACGGTACCATATCGGTTTGTCTGGATCTTCAACGTCATCGTTTTAACCTCTTCTTGCTCCGTTTACGAGTTAGCGAAAGTGCTGAAGGAGAAGGAAGAAGGAACCTGTTCGCCATTATCTTTGGAGCTGAAACGATACTGTGGTCTGTGACAAACACGGCTGGTCAATCGAATTGGTGCGTCTTTATTTTTGTGTGCTCCGCTGTATGTTAATAGTAAAATTCGGAGTCCTTTCGTGGTCGAATTGCGGCTAATCACTCTGAACGGAACATTTGAAACTCTGATTGTGTTTCTGGATGTTGAATTGCTATTCACTGTGTATGCTCAGGCGTTTGATTTTGACACTCATGGCTTTTCAATGCTTTCTTTTTTTCCTACTCAGTGTTGATATTTCTTCCAATTTTGTATGCTACAACAGAGAGCTGTGGACAATCGGGTCTGGGAAAGAGAAGTGAAGATGAGCATTGTTCCAAAGGAAACGATTGAGGTTATAGCACAAAGTATTGGGATTACCAACTTGTTACCTGAGGCTGCGCTTATGCTTGCTCCTGATGTTGAGTATCGTGTTCGAGAGATCATGCAGGTGACGTTTTTTTCTTGCCATGTCTTTGTGTTGTTCTCAAGGTGTGTTTTAGTATCTCATTTTGTTTGGATGTATCTGCAGGAAGCAATCAAATGCATGCGTCACTCAAAGAGAACTATTTTAACAGCTGCGGATGTAGATGGTGCTCTCAACTTAAGGAACGTCGAGGTACAAACTCGAGACCCATTCCTAGTTCCCATCACCTAGCAGTTAACTGAATCAAAAGGCATCTGTTTGAGAATGATCATATTTATTGCAGCCGATATATGGCTTTGCCTCAGGAGGACCATTTCGTTTTAGAAAAGCTATTGGGCATCGGGATTTGTTCTACACTGATGACAGAGAGGTGGATTTCAAAGACGTAAGTTGTTGGCTGAAGCTGTCATATTTTTCTTTTTGTTTCAGTTAAAGCTTTCTAATATTTTCAAGAAATGTCGTGAGTCTAGGTGATTGAAGCCCCACTACCAAAAGCTCCCCTTGATACTGAACTTGTCTGTCACTGGCTGGCTATTGAAGGGGTGCAGCCAGCTATACCAGAAAATGCTCCTTTAGAAGGTTTGCCTCTCAATTTTACAGTCTACACGAATACAATTTGAAAAGTTTTCTTGTTTTCCTCATCATGAATGTAGTTTCCACTTGTTTATGGTGTCTGTAGTCATTAGAGCACCTGCGGAAAATAAAATCCATGAACAAAAGGATGGACCTCTTATTGACGTTAGGCTACCAGTGAAGCATGTTCTATCTAGGGAACTTCAGGTAAATGGTGCAGACTAAATACCACATGGAATAATCTTACATGCATAATACTTATCTGTTGTTCTCTGATAACAGTTATACTTCCAAAAGATTGCTGAACTTGCAATGAGCAAGTTAAATCCTGCTTTGTTTAAAGAGGCACTAGTGAGCTTGGCCTCAGACTCAGGACTTCACCCTCTAGTTCCATATTATACAAATTTCATTGCTGATGAGGTAACGTTGTGAACCACCGATGAACTTTAAAGATAAACAGGGCACTCAATTACTTGTTGCACGTTACAATATTATTTTCTCATGCAGGTATCACGTGGTTTAAACGACTTCTCACTCCTGTTTAATCTTATGCACATTGTTAGAAGTCTTCTACAGAATCCTCATATACACATAGAACCTTATGTAAGTTGCTCTCTGGATTATATTTTGTCACTGTGTGTAGCTCCATTTTCTTTAGTTTTTTTTATGTGAGTTTCTTCAGGTTGCATGTTAGACATGCTCGTATTATGCATAGAATATGATTAGTGGTAGTGTTGGTCCGATTTCGAGAACGCTGTGCAAGTTCAACTACCCTCCTTGGATGACTATAAGTTATGCCTTGGATCTGTATTGGGATAGTTTCATTTGCATTTGGATGATATTCATTAGAAGTGGATTGTTTGGGCGTTGTTTCATAACCACTACGCTGAGTGAACTTTTCCTTTTGTTGCCAGCTGCACCAGTTGATGCCATCAGTTGTAACATGCCTTGTATCGAGAAAGCTTGGAAATAGATTTGCGGACAACCATTGGGAACTTAGAGATTTCACGGCGAATCTGGTTTCCCTGATATGTAAAAGGTTCATTCTTTCCCTTTCATTGTCCTCATGTAACTCCGTGTTCATTTTTGGTTAACTGTGGGGATCATCTTACTGAACATGATTTCTTACGGAGCTATTGTATGCAATATATTACTGAAATCCTGTGGCTTGCATAAAATGTTCCAGGTTTGGAAACACTTACATTACTCTTCAGACTCGTCTTACGAAAACTTTAGTCAATGCACTTTTGGACCCAAAGAAGGCTTTGACTCAGCACTATGGTGCAATTCAAGGATTAGCAGCTTTGGGCCACAATGTTGTAAGTACTTCCTTTCCGTTCCCATGCTACTACTTTCAGATATTAATTCTTGATGTATTAGTTCCGTAAGGCCTCATTTCTATGCTATCACTTTGCTATTATCAAGGTTTTGATTAGTTCTATAAGTTTCCCCCATAAACAATGTTATCCAGAACATTCAACTATCTAAGGTCTCTTCAAGCATCTGAAAAACCTTGATTTCTTTTTCCACCATTTTCCCTGCTTCTCTCTTCATTTCATTTAGGAAACTAGGATTTGTGTAGTCTTATAAGAGCTGAATGTTATTTAATTGTGTAGGTACGCCTTCTAATTCTGTCAAATCTCGAGCCGTATCTAAGACTTCTCGAACCAGAATTGGATGCTGAGAAGCAAAAGAACCAGATGAAGAGCTACGAAGCTTGGCGTGTGTATGGAGCCTTGCTGGTTAGTCCTAGCCCTCGTCTACAATTGCATACATCTTTTTACCGTAATCTCAGTAGTTGCATATATGGATACTCCTGAAAGGGATTTATGATTCTTTGTTCTCAGCGTGCTACAGGCCTGTGCCTACATGACCGGCTTAAAATTTTCCCAAGTTTACCATCTCCTTCACCAAGTTTCCTCCATAAGGGAAAAGGGAAACTAATCAATACTGTGCCACGTAAGCTGCATCAACGAAATTAATCAATACTCAGTTTCCTATAGGCTTTGCGATAGCTGTTGTTTCAGTTTCCAACGTTTATTCTCCCACTTAATGAATATTTCAGATAAGAGGAAGCTGAGTGTAGATTCTTCAGACAACCGGTCACCCAAGAAAAGATTGATAACTAGAGATGGTTCAGAATCGCAAGATCACAGCGGTCCAGCTCCAATGCAAGTAGATAAACCGGCGGGAAATGACAATCCGCTACAAAACTCTGTTCAACCATCCTCGTCAGAACAAGCTTCTGATGCAAACGAAACTGAGAGCAGAAACGCAAAGGAGAAAGAAGGGGGCAAGGGTCGGGCTATTACCATGAAAGCGATCCTTAATCAGATTTGGAAAGACGATCTTGATTCCGGAAAGCTCTTGGTGAAACTGCACGAACTCTATGGTGAAAGGATTCTTCCCTTTATCCCTTCTACAGAGATGTCAGTGTTCCTCTAACCATTAACAGGCAATGTGTTTGAGGTTAACACTCATGGTTCAGGGCTTGGAGGACCATCTGAATTTGTCATGCACAAACTCATTCAGATTCATGCCAATGTCCTCAGATCATCTCTTTAGTGCTTCTTCGTAACTCCTTGAGCATCTCGGTTTAGCAGAAGAATCCTGTACTGGTTTCCTCGAATTCAGAATCGTCCAATATGTGTATACGATATACTAAGACAGTTTAATGATTACTTAAGTGGATTTATTTGATATTTTTCTCTCCCCTCTTGCATATTTTATTGCTCGTTATATATAATATCGGATGATTAATTAGCTTTTGTGAATACTTCTTCCGGAGTTAATAGTGAAAACTTCGACTGAAATCTTGAGTATTACTTTGACTACAAAAACGGTCGGAAACACTGCGAGATTTTGTTTATGTGGATAAAAAAGATGACAAGAAGTGAACAAAACTTGGGGAAACATTGTCTTAAATTAATCTAATCCACTAATCTTGTAAGTAAACATTCAAGTCTGCTACACACCACAGACCAGCCTAATAACCCGGTTTACAAGAGAAATTCCTCTTTGACCTTTAGCTCTGCAATTGGATGTAACGGCTGTGTGATGATGATGCCAAGACTAGCCAATGTGGGAGGAAATATCTTGTCTTCATTCTATGATTTCCCCTTCCTCTAGTCCATCGTCGTTGCAATCAGTAGCTAAATTTTGGAGATGACAGTTATCAACTGAACCAAACCCCTTGACACATTCATAATCAAAGTCGAAATAATCACCTGGGTCCATATCCGGAAAAAGCTCCGCATACGCGTCTACTGGCAATTGCTCAAACTCAATCTCCTGAGCATGTGAATTCTTGGTAAACTCGTCATCAACAACCTCTGGGTCTTCTTCCATTTCATAGGTTAGACCTTGTGTACTCCCGTGACCATCATAAAAGGTAGGATCAGGCGTGGGCTCAACATATCTGATAACTTCAAAGTCATAGCTCTGTGAAGGTAGATACACATGGATCACCGGGTACTCTAAGATAGTTACTCCGGCAAGCTGTTTCCTCAGAGGAGTTTTGATGTTGAGCTCCTTGAAAGGACCCTTTGCACCACCCTGCCACCAGGAAATAAGTAAATATGTTAGACGAGCAGGTAATATTGACACTAAGAGAATAACAGTGGTAACAAAAACCAAACCATCGAGTCCTTGCGAATAAATAGTTTGAGAGAATCAAGATCCACATCGCAAAATGGCTTCAGCTTGTGAATCCAAGGGCCAGGCATAAGATGATTCTCCAACACAGAGCAAAGGCTTGTATCCTCACCAACTCTGAGAAGGGATTTGTTTCAGTGTTAAAAGAGACAGAGAGCAACGTACAAGAGCAATAAACAAAAGAGAAATACTACTCACCCATGGTCAAGAAGAACCGCATCTGTAGAGTGGAACCGCCACTCAATTGTCCATGCGATGCACTTTTTCCTAGAAACCGAATCCAATCAACAGAAATTACAGACCGGTCAAGAGAAGATCTAAGATTAAGTGCAATCATCAAGCTCAGGCTTAGAATAAAATGAGAACCTGTATCTACTCTTATTGTTTTCCCTCTTCAACATTCCACTAGGAAGAAAACACAGCGTTGTATTGCGGCTATTAGCAGCATTGTGAAGACTCCGGAAGGCATCAGATACCTGACGATAAGAATATTTGCATAAATTATTTCTCCTTCTCTGAGACGATTCCGCCACTCTTTTTGTTTCCTCAAGCATATTGTAGTCTAATACAGGGGAAAACAAAAATCTATCATTGACCAAACAATTAGACTATAAAGTTCATACTATTGAGTCTACCAAACAATTTGTTAAAAGCACAATTCCATGGAGATTATACCTGAAAGAAGGATGTTATCGTCGAACTGTGAGATGGGAACGAATTCGAGCTTCCTTTTTCCCGTACAACCTGTTCGCTTCTTGTGGGATTTCACACAATCAAGGCCACACGATCGAATTGAACATCCTGGACATTTGTACTTCCATGGATTCAACTTGCACTCCTCACAGACCGGATTATCCATCTTCTTGTCCATATTCGACCTTGTCCGTCGTGGTCCTCGTCAAGAGGTTATGGAGTTGGGAGTGACTAGGGTTTATGAGTTCATATGTCTTGTCGTCAAATTCGGACATGTATGTTTTCAAATTTACGTTTTAGTCCTTCTACTTATAATTTATTTCGAAATACATCCCATACTTTCTAAGTTATAAACTTACCCAGAAACATGATTGTCATTCAAGAAGAGACATTGTTATACAACACAAGGACTAACAAACAGATTCTAAGAGAAGAGTAACTAGGATCTAATAACACAGTTTCTTCTTATTAGTCGTATGGAATCTGGATATAGGCAGCATCACAGAGAAATGGGATGTGCTCAGCGAATGCTTTAATGATCAATCGATGACTTTTCTCTCACAATATTCTGATTAAGAAATAGAAAAGCAACAACCTAACTATTTATACTAAAGCAGCTAAACGAATTACTCCAAGCTTCTCATTTGTCCAGCTCATCCAACTATTACACCTCAACAACTTCTTCTCGGTCATGCTTCTCTCGATTTGCCGCCTTCTTCCTTCTACTCACATAACGATTCATTACTTTAACAACTAAACAGGCCGAGGCAGCCAGCTGGGAAGAAAACACTTAGAGAACTAGAAGTTGTTGTGGTATCCTGTGAAAGCCAATGAAGACTGCCCTTGAGTGCAATGAGATTTTCTTGAACTGCCAAGGTGGTGAAGACTGGACAACGTGGTGAGGACACCATTCTTAATGTGAGACACCAGTCCAATGTTCCTTGAGAATACATGTATGTAGGAGAAGAAATTGGAAACCATTCTTGCGTCAAAAGATTACCAATGTAATGATGAAAGCCAGTCATATTCTCTGCAAACACTAGTACCAATCCGTTTGTGCAAGATAAGAACATCCCCAAACCACCCTAATTTGTTCTTTAAATATTATTTTAGTGTAAATGTTTCTTCAACCTATCTTATTTTTGAAATCAAGATAAAAGAAACACTATAGTTTCTCTTATTTTTGGTGTAACCTTATTTCTTCTTTTAATTTGATGTTCAATCTTTTTTATTTGCAAAATAATCCTTCAAATTAAGGTTTTATTATATTTACTTTAAAGCTATTTTAGTTTTATCCTTGTACTTATAATTTTGCAAGGGTTTATAACTTATAACTTGACCCAAATAAGTTTGATAACAGTTTTTTTTAATAGCCAATCCAATAATCCCATACTCAAAAGTTTTACAACTAAAACATCATTGTCACTCAAGAAGGAGACATTGTTACAGCAAAAGGATTAACAAACAGATTCAAAGAGATGAGTAACAACGATCTAATAACACAGTTTCTTCTTATTAGTCGTATGGAATCTGGATATAGGCAGCATCACAGACAAATGGGATGTCTGCGTACATACCCGCAAGTGCACAGCGAATGCTTTCCAGGACGGTGAACAGATAAGCAAACGCAACGGCGGTCCAGAAATGCATCCCAAACTTACCCCAGTAGACTCCAAGAGGCATCCACTTGCTCACGGTTCCTATGACCTGAAGAGCGATTTCAAGCAGCATACCCATCACTACATGGAACCTGAAGAAGTGAGGCCATTCTTTTCTTCTCACTATCCCTAGATACGCTACAAAGAAGTAAGCCATGAGGAACCAGCTTGGTAGTCTTCCTATGGCGCCTAGAAACGGGTAGGTTAAGAACTCGAAATCTTCTAGAAACGGGTGGAGATGGTAAGCGGTCTCTGCGTACATCCACGTTTCGTGCAGCGGCATCAGGTAAGGTAAGCATGCCAAAGTTCTCCACCACCATTGCGGCTTTTTGGTCATTGGAGGAAACCGGAAGCTGGAAGGTACATCTTTCGATGCTCTAGGGGCCAAAAGGGTTTTTCTGCGGACGGGTAACATGGGTAGTGTGCAAGAGAGGCTACCTTGTTCCCCATTCAGAAGCCGAGAAGACGAGGCTGAGAGAAATGACAGAGGCGCACCTGAGACAAGGAAGAATACAAGATTGTGTCTTATGAGCAAAAGGCAGGAACTTTGAAATACCAAATGTGCATCAACAAAACCAAACAATTCACATCATAAGAAGCTCATCCGGATCAATCTACAAATCTAAGCAGGGATATATGATTTAAGTGATCAAGCCATAGAAATAGAAGAGATTCACTTGCCTCTAGGTACTCCCCGTTTAAGCTCATTACATGGTAAAGATGATCTTCGAGCAAGATAGTTTTGAGTCGGTCCAGATGCAGCTCTGTACGATGCTGACTTGAATGCCCGAGAGCTCGTTAGAACATGTGCACTTGGCGTGCTGCATCCACCTAGCATCATTACCACCTACAGAGAAAATTGAGGTGACACAAATCAGGTTCTACTTCACCAAAATGGAATATGCAAAGCATGAGACTGCAATGACTAAATCTCATTCAATAAAACAATAAAAGTTCTCAACTTCTGATTCTCACAAACAGATTTCCTGGCACCTGCACTTAAATACACTCTAGAACCATATTCACATGGAAGAGACCGAGATTCCTCCATCGAATCACTCATTGACAACACCTAAACTAGGGAAATGACCCGTAATATAAATTCCGCGACCATGGTTGCAATTCCATCAGTGAAAATCTGATTTATCATCAGCACACATCCGTAATTAACTTAACATCTGAAAGAAACGCATTTCAATTCCTAGTGCAGAGATTTCTCACGAAATAGAGCCAGAAAAAAATTACAAACAACGAAAACTGGAAAATTTCTGAAACCCATGAGAGAGTTTAGAGAAAGGAGTTCACCTTCAGAACCGAGATTTCAAAGAATCAAAACTGGAGAGTAGGGTTCATCAATGCTTCATCCTATCCTTCACTCTCCGAAAATAAAAACACAGTCGATTTCTCTCTCTCTCTCTGTTCTCCGACTACAATTTTCCATTAATACCCTGAGGCCCAGATAGGCCCAAAACCTCTAAATGAACAAGAGGGTTCGATGAATATTAAACCGTGACCAAATTTGAAACTTTTTTTTTTTACTGTTTCCCCCAAACATTCTTTTGAACGTCGAATTGGCTTCCCAATTTCCTTCCGCCGTCGGAATGTCGATTCCCGATCCCAACTCCTCCGCATCTGTTACGGTGTCTCCGTCTCTCTCCACCGCATCTGTAACTCCGGCGATACCAGCTACCATTGTCAGAACACCGTCGCTTCAGCCACCTCCCGCTCCGCCGCCACCCCCTCCGCCTTACAGAGCCATAGCGCCGCTTCACCATCCTAATCCGGTTCAACAAGCTCATAATAACCTCTACGCACAGTCAATCCCAAACCGACGCCCAAATTCGCCTCACCAGCTTCCTCATCAAGACCCGTCAGCAGTTCTGTACCCGTTCTCTCCTCCGCCGGGTCGAGGGTTTCCGTCCCGACCCGTCCGGATGAATTCGCCGTTCGTCACTGATCCCTCAGTAACCGTCGGATACCCTCCTCGCCCGGTTCTTGCTTATAATCCTCGACAATTTTCGCCGAATCAAATGGAATCCATGATGCAGCTCATGAGAGCCAGAAATCCTCAGTTTCCTCACCCTGGATCGGGCTCTCTTGCCGGGTCGGGTCCCATGAGAGGAATTCCTCACTTTCTGCAACCACGGGTGAGTTTTCTATTAGCTTGCGTTCGTGCAGTTCGTTCATTTTACTACAAATTTAATTTCTTGGCAATTGTGGTTGGTATGTATGCTTAGCTTACAGTTGATTTGTGCAATGCATATTGTGGACAATGCGTGGTTAATTTTTTTTTCGATTGGATTCTTTAGCCGAATTTACTCTCACAATGCTGCGGCTGAGAATCTTCTTGGTTACTATAGTGGATCCATTTTCTTCAGAGTGCTTCTCATTTGAACTGATGCATGTAGTTTATTGACTTTTGTTTCAATTAGCATTCTCTAATTGACGAATATCTCACAAAAAGTTACCTTTTTATTAAAGACATGAAAGATTGGTATATGCCAGGCCAAATTCTCTGGAATGTAGTTATCTTTCTATTTTAGGTATCATATCCTGCTGTGTATAACTGTGATTTACTTTTGTTTCTACTTTGGTCTCATGATTTCTCTTTTGTGGAATGACGGAAGACTTAAACTCCTTTAATATCTCAGCAGTTTTGCGCATAATCACTTTGATTCTTGCTCTTGTCACTGTCACATTTTCTCACTTTTGTAAATTTTGGTACGTAGGTTGCCCCTCCCCCAACTTCAATTCTGGACACAGGCAGGAAAGACATGAAAGATTGGTATATGCCAGGCCAAATTCTCTGGAATGTAGTTATCTTTCTATTTTAGGTATCATATCCTGCTGTGTATAACTGTGATTTACTTTTGTTTCTACTTTGGTCTCATGATTTCTCTTTTGTGGAATGACGGAAGACTTAAACTCCTTTAATATCTCAGCAGTTTTGCGCATAATCACTTTGATTCTTGCTCTTGTCACTGTCACATTTTCTCACTTTTGTAAATTTTGGTACGTAGGTTGCCCCTCCCCCAACTTCAATTCTGGACACAGGCAGGAATAAAAATGCCAGGTGAACATTAAACTCTTTTAGTTTGATAGTATCTTTCGCTGAGTGTTATATAAGAAAACTTGTTCTAACTTAGGTACCTTGCTGTTTCTTTTTCATGGTATTAGAAACCGGGATTCAGCGCTTGTCCTTGTCAAAGGAAGAAAGGCAAGCATACTACTTATCCCTCTTTTTCATTTTCTTTTGAACTGCTAGTTTGACAATGCGGAAAAGACATTGGTTAAGTTTAGAATTTGGTTTGTAATAGTACTTATCATATTTTTTTCCAGGTTAGAATCACAGAGGACGCTTCTCTGTATTCACTTGGTCGATCATGGTTGAGAAATGGTGCTCATGAAGGAATTCAGGTTCGCATCACTTTATGTTATACTGTTAAAGTTTTGTTGCAAAAAGCTCTGTTTCATAGATGTTTCCACTTGACACAAGGATTCATGGGTTGTACTTTTGTGATCTTGCTTTTCTGGGGTTTTGATTCAGAAGCCATATTCAAACTAATTTTGAACTAAATTACTTTTGACTACTCGTCTGATAGCATCCAAGTTGGTAAACTAGATAGAGAGGATTCTTGCTTGATATACTTTGTTGTCTCTTTGAATCCCCTTTTGTTGCTTTTGTAAGCACTTTATTTTAACGATCTTCAATTGCATTCGCAAAGCTTATAATGGGATTGGTGCAGTTGCAAACTCTCCAGCGTAACCATAAATGTGGGAGTAATCTAACTTGCAGTTTCTCTGTTGACAGTCCCAGAGGACCGAGACAATGAAACCTTTACCAAAGCCATTACCTGTGGATATGATGGAAGCAAGTGTGCCAAACGATTCAGCTGAACAAGGAAAAGATGAAGATAAAGAGGTTTGTGTTTTCTCTTCGAGAACCCATAGATTCTCTCTGAGCAGAACCGTACACATGAATCCCAGCTCTTGAACAGTAGGAAACTGATGTTTGATTCAACTCTTTTGTTTAATGATGTCAGGACGAAGAAGCTGTGAAGCAACTATCAGAGAAGGATCTTTTGAAAAGACACATCGAGCGAGCTAAGAAGGTCCGTGCACGGTAAGTTCCACAATAGTTCCCTCTCTTAGACTCTCCTAAGTTTTCTCTATTTCCTCTTAAATCCTCTAAACTAAGCCACCGAGCGAAAAACTTCCCCTGCAAGAATCTTGGAGTGGTTTTCTGACAGAATAACTGGGATCCTTTCATTTCAGGTTAAGAGAAGAACGGTTGAGGAAGATTGCGAGGTACAAAGCAAGATTGGCTCTTCTTCTGCCACAATCCTGATAGCAATGCAGGAAGAGCGACTGAAAGGATAAAGTTTTGTTAGGAGTTAGCTTCATATGATTGTTGTTACTTTAGCGTAACACCACGTTCGGTATGTGTATGTGTTTTCTTCTTTCTCTCCTATAGTAGAAGTAGGACTATAGGCTCTAGCTTCCATTTGTTCTTATAGATTAGCTATTGTGTTTACTTAAATTCTCTAATTGATTCTCTAAGATTTAAGATAAGAGTCTCGGGACATGCGATCTTTAAAAGTGAAAATATTAATCACAAGACCACGCTTGTTAAATATTAATCCTAATTGAAAAAGATAAATATTTTTGGCAACGTCATCATCATTCATTCGTCAGCTTTTAAATCGCATAGGGAAGCGTACAAACCCCTCCCTGTTTTCTCTCACTTTTCAGTTGCATTGCCACGTCATAACATCTTTACCATACGCGTGTCATCACCGCTAACTTGTTCGTTTCTCTTTGCCACCGTTCTCTCTTCACGTTCAATCCGCCATTTCTGTAAAATCCTCACCTTTCCTCAGGAAAATCTTATTAAAACTTTTTCCCCTCAATAACCTTTATTCTCTTTCGTTCTCGATCGTTTACACTGCTGTCGTCTTCCAGCTCTCTGTTTCTTTCAAAGTTACCAATTTCAGTTTCTTACTCTCCAAGAAAGAAGATCGCCGATCGCAAAAACTTGTTTTCCGTTGGTAATTTTCTGAGGTAAAAGCCAGAATGGCGGGGAACGAGTGGATAAATGGATATCTGGAGGCGATACTTGATAGCCAAGCTCAGGGGATTGAGGAGCCACAGACAAAACCTCAAGCCATTGCGAATCTGAGAGACGGAGAAGGACAATATTTCAATCCGACTAAATACTTTGTGGAGGAAGTCGTGACCGGCGTCGACGAAACCGATCTTCACCGGACCTGGATCAAAGTCGTCGCAACTCGCAATTCCCGTGAACGCAACTCTCGCTTAGAGAACATGTGCTGGAGAATCTGGCACCTCACTCGCAAGAAGAAGCAGGTCCGCTATTTTATTCTCGATCAGTGTGTGTATTGTATCATCAGCTTGCATCTGTTTGTGTTGATTATATATGATGAATATATTACAGCTGGAATGGGAGGATTCGCAGCGAGTAGCGAACAGGAGACTTGAAAGGGAACAAGGGAGAAGAGACGCGACGGAGGACTTATCCGAGGATTTATCAGAAGGAGAGAAAGGAGACGGTGTTGGAGAAATTATTCAACCGGAGACGCCTATAAGACGACTGCAACGCAATTCATCCAATGTCGAAATCTGGTCTGATGATAAAAAGGAGAATCGCCTTTACGTTGTCCTCATCAGGTACTGCATTTTTCTCTCTTTTCTTTCTCTTGCTTCCCATTGTTTGATATTTATTTATGTGTCTATGTGTTAATTTATCAGTTTGCACGGATTGGTTCGTGGAGAAAACATGGAGCTTGGTAGCGATTCTGATACCGGTGGACAGGTACATTGTGCTCCAAGTTATTAATAAGCTTGAATCCGGCATCAGTCTAGGGTTCTAACTTTTTTCTCGCCAGGTGAAATATGTTGTGGAGCTAGCTCGAGCATTAGCGAAAATGCCAGGTGTGTACCGAGTGGATCTGTTTACACGCCAGATATGCTCATCAGAAGTTGACTGGAGCTACGCAGAGCCAACAGAGATGCTAACATCCGCTTCTGCTGAAGATTGTGACGGCGATGAAACCGGAGAGAGCAGTGGAGCTTATATCATCAGGATACCGTTCGGTCCACGGGATAAGTACTTGAGGAAAGAGATTCTCTGGCCATATATCCAAGAGTTCGTCGATGGAGCCTTAGCTCACATTTTAAACATGTCAAAAGTTTTAGGAGAACAGATTGGGAATGGGAAGCCGGTGTGGCCGTATGTGATTCACGGTCACTACGCGGATGCAGGGGACAGTGCGGCTCTGCTTTCTGGTGCGTTGAACGTTCCTATGGTCTTGACGGGGCATTCTCTAGGCAGAAACAAGCTTGAGCAGCTTTTGAAACAAGGGAGGCAATCAAAGGAAGATATAAACTCGACGTATAAGATCAAGAGGAGGATTGAAGCAGAGGAGCTTTCTCTGGATGCTGCAGAGCTTGTGATAACGAGCACGAGGCAGGAGATTGATGAGCAGTGGGGGCTTTACGATGGGTTTGATGTTAAACTAGAGAAAGTCTTGAGAGCTCGTGCTAGACGCGGTGTTAATTGCCACGGAAGGTTCATGCCACGAATGGCGGTTATTCCTCCGGGAATGGATTTCACAAACGTCGTGGTTCAAGAAGATACACCTGAGGGCGATGGAGAATTAGCTTCCTTGGTAGGAGGAGCCGAGGGATCTTCTCCTAGAGCGGTTCCAACTATATGGTCTGAAGTGAGTTTTCCTAAGCAACTTCTTTTACTATCTTCTTTTTTGAGGTTTTGTTTTGATGTTTGGTTGCGTGAATTTGGCAGATTATGAGATTTTTCACAAATCCTCACAAACCGATGATCTTGGCATTATCTAGACCAGACCCAAAGAAGAATATAACCACTCTTTTGAAAGCATTTGGAGAATGTCGACATCTACGGGAGCTAGCTAATCTCGTAACTCTACTTACACAACTTTTCAATTCAGGTGAAGAAAAACAAGATTCTCTGGTGTTTCTGAAGTTGTTTTCCTCTGTTTTTTTTTTTGCAGACTTTGATTATGGGGAATAGAGATGATATAGATGAGATGTCATCTGGAAACGCAAACATGCTTACAACCGTGTTGAAACTCATTGACAAGTACGATCTTTACGGGTCTGTTGCGTATCCTAAGCATCATAAACAGTCCGATGTTCCTGACATATACCGACTTGCTGCAAATACAAAGGGTGTTTTCATCAATCCAGCTTTGGTTGAACCTTTTGGCCTTACACTCATTGAGGTATAGTCCTTTCTTAGAAATGTCCAATCCGGTTTAACCAAGACCGGTCCTTTAGCTGAACTAAAGAGGGAATAAACTAATGCAGGCTGCGGCTCACGGACTTCCGATGGTGGCGACAAAGAATGGAGGACCGGTCGATATACATCGGGTAAGTGAAGTGTCCTGAAACTGAAATTCATTTCAGATTGGTTATATTTGATTCTCATGGTTCTTTTTAATATTTCAGGCATTGCACAACGGTTTGCTTGTGGATCCACACGACCAAGAAGCGATAGCAAATGCGTTACTGAAGTTGGTGTCAGAGAAGAACCTGTGGAACGAGTGCAGGATTAACGGATGGAAGAACATTCATCTCTTTTCATGGCCGGAACATTGCCGGACTTACCTGACACGTGTAGCCTCTTGCCGTATGAGACATCCGCAGTGGCAGACGGATGCTGACGAAATGGCGGCTCAAGACGACGAGTTTTCACTCAACGACTCTCTTAAAGACGTTCAAGACATGTCTCTTAGACTGTCTATGGATGGAGATAAACCTTCCTGGAACGGGTCTATTGACCCGAATGCTGCTGATCCGGTTAAGCAAATCATGAGCCGAATGAAGAAAACCGAGACTAAGACTAAACCGGAATTACAGGGGAAGAAACAAGTTGATAGCTTGGTAAGCAAGTATCCTGTTTTGAGGCGACGGGAACGGTTGGTAGTTTTAGCGGCTGATTGCTATGACGATGAAGGAGCACCGGACGAGAAATCTATGGTTCCGATGATTCAGAATATCATCAAAGCCGTGCGATCGGATCCTCAGATGGCTATTCCGGATCCTGACTATTCCTCTCATATCGATTACCGGTGGGGCAATGAGGGGCTTAAGAACACTGTCTGGAAACTGATGAACACAACCGCGGTTGGTGGAGAAGCTAGGAACAATGGCTCTCCGAGTCTGATCCAGGAGGATCAGCCATCGAGCAATGCGCATTGTGTTGCTTATTTGATTAAAGATCGTTCCAAGGTAAAGTGTTTTTTTGCTTATTCCGGATCCTGACTATTCCTCTCATATCGATTACCGGTGGGGCAATGAGGGGCTTAAGAACACTGTCTGGAAACTGATGAACACAACCGCGGTTGGTGGAGAAGCTAGGAACAATGGCTCTCCGAGTCTGATCCAGGAGGATCAGCCATCGAGCAATGCGCATTGTGTTGCTTATTTGATTAAAGATCGTTCCAAGGTAAAGTGTTTTTTTGTTTCCTTGTTGCGGCTCTACTCATCGGTGATGCAGTATCTAATCAGGGCTCCTACAGGTTATGAGAATTGATGACTTGCGTCAGAAGTTACGTCTAAGAGGTCTTCGTTGCCACCCTATGTACTGTCGGAATTCAACAAGAATGCAAATCGTTCCTCTTCTTGCTTCTCGATCTCAAGCTCTTAGGTACGTTCATTTTGCGAAAACGTTACAAAACCACATTATATCTGTGATCTATCTATTTCCTTATCATTGCGTTTGAATACTTGCGGTGCAGATACTTGTTCGTGCGGTGGAGGCTGAACGTGGCGAACATGTACGTTGTGGTAGGAGAACGCGGCGATACGGACTACGAGGAGCTGATCTCCGGCACACACAAGACGGTGATCATCAAGGGGCTCGTGACATTGGGCTCTGATGCTCTTCTCCGGTCAACAGACCTTCGGGACGACATCGTTCCGAAAGAGAGCCCTTATATCGGTTTTCTCAATGCCGACTCACCGGTTAACGAGATAACCGACACTTTGAAGCAGCTCTCAAAAGCCTCCACTTGATTCAACTAACATCTAGTCGCCGGTTCGACCTTGTAGATTGGTTTATTAAAGATACACTGTTAAATTTAAGTATTTTTGGCCGACCAACATTAGGATGTTATTAAAATAAAGTTACTGTTTATTTACATCCGACAAACAAGAAAGAAATAGATTGAACTTGAACTTTATAAATTGAACTTTCTTACTAATAGAAGTCTCCGAAAACACTGAATGTAAATTTCGAAAAGATTCTTGATGAAATAGTGTACATTCTGTAACAAAATTTGAAATAAAATAATGGCTGTCAATTAAACCAGAGATAAGGTAAGCCTGATTTCAAAATGATCAACCGGACGGTTTGATTCCGAGAACCGACGTCGGTTTATCGCGGGACTGACTCGCGGCTGCTACGGTGATTGATCCGAAGGAGCTAAAATAAATCACTTTTTGATTAACGACAAATCTACATCTCGCCAGTGATAAAGAGCTCCAGCGGAGAGAGTTTACACAGAGTAATTGCAAATTCGAAAATCACTGGAGAAGATCTTGCTTCCTTCCAGATTTCAAACGCGATGCGAAGGTAGATAAAGCAAATATGTTGCTTCTATTTCACTTTTCTGGGCAAATTTATGGTGTCTGAGATGCAATTTTCGCGTCAGTAGAGATATATCGGTTGGATCGATGTTGATTTTGAGTGATTGTTGCAGGTTAGGGCACCACCGGCTTCATGGGAAGACGGGGGGAGTTGGAACAAAGGGGATGGTGGCGAAGCTGTCTATCGGAGTCATAGTTCTACTGATCTGTACGCTCTCGCTGCTTTTCTCGGTTAACATCGGTGGTAGTCGCGAGCCGGCCCGTCCATCTAAGGTTAATTCACTTTCGCTTATACTTTTGGAGTAGCGATTTGTAGCTGAAGAATCAGTTCTTCTGTTTGATTGGCGATGAAATGCGAATAGTGAAGCTGCAGGAGCCAAAGATCTAAATTAAGGCACCTGATCTGTAGATGATAGTTTTAGTGAGTCTTTGATTTGTTGATCTAAGCATTTGGTATTATGAGCAGATAAACGTGGAAGAGCTATGGGAGAGTGCTGCTTCTGGCGGTTGGAGGCCATCTTCTGCGCCACGATCTGACTGGTCTCGTATGTTCATCTCATGCTTTGAGCAGTAAAGATTTAACTCGTTGCTAATCTCAAAGTCTTAGGGCATTCCAAGCTTGAAATGATGATAAGAATCTTTTGTTTTTTTCTTTGTAGCTCCTACGAAGGAGACAAATGGTTATCTTCGAGTTCGGTGTAATGGTGGTTTGAATCAGCAACGTAGTGCGGTAGGTGTTCTATCGTGTTAAGATTATTTCACGGGAGATTTCCTTATCTTTAAAAGTCTAGTGGAGTTGAGTTAGCTTCAACCTCCACTGTAAATCTGTTTGCTATTTTATCTTTGAATTGACAAATGGTTACATCTGTGTATTCCAGATATGCAATGCAGTACTTGCTGCTCGGATCATGAATGCTACACTGGTGTTGCCCGAATTAGATGCAAACTCGTTTTGGCATGATGACAGGTATGTTGATTACATAGCATACATTTTGGGAAAAAAAGTGGGGAATTCTCTGTAATATACATAGTTGATGTCTCCTAGGTACAGTTGTAAAGGTTTAGCAATTTGTATGCCTTTCTAAGGATCATCGGACAGATAAGTTTGAAGCGGATTTCGTTGCTTAATGTTAAGGATAGATGTTGGTTTGTCTCAGAAGAACAAATGCCATTACATGAAATGTTTGAGTATATGTCTCTGTTCTCTAATATATGATTGTTTGTCCCAGTGGTTTTCAAGGTATCTATGATGTTGAACATTTTATTGAGACACTGAAGTATGATGTTAAGATTGTGGGAAAGATCCCCGATGTTCACAAAAATGGGAAAACCAAAAAGATAAAAGCTTTTCAGGTACAAGCATAAAGGAATGTTTTGTTTTCATATAAGCTTGAAGTCTGAAAGTAATGGTTATATAAGTATGTGATCGTTTATTCTTTGAAACAGATTCGTCCTCCTCGAGATGCTCCTATTGAGTGGTACCTGACAACTGCTCTAAAGGCCATGAAGGAACATAGTGCTATCTATCTCACTCCTTTCTCACATCGTTTGGCGGAGGAAATTGACCATCCTGAATATCAACGGTTAAGGTGCAGAGTGAACTACCACGCATTGAGATTCAAACCACACATCATGAAGTTGAGCGAATCAATTGTTGACAAGCTCCGTTCACAGGGCCACTTCATGTCTATCCATCTTCGTTTCGAAATGGATATGTTGGCATTTGCAGGGTACGCTCTTTTGCAACAATCTTTCTATTTCAGTAATTTACATATAAAAGTTGGTTCTCGTTGAAGTGTCTTGCGGAAGTTGGCTGCCTTTGTATCATCTTACATACATCAGCACACATGGAAATAATGGTTCGTCGTCTTTTTTCCACAGGTGCTTTGATATATTTAACCCTGAGGAACAGAAGATACTTAAAAAGTACCGTAAAGAAAATTTTGCAGAAAAAAGGCTTATTTACAACGAAAGACGCGCTATTGGGAAGTGTCCACTGACCCCTGAGGAGGTACTTTATCTACTTTTTTATCCGTATCATTTTCATGTTGAGGGATAGGTAACGGATAAGCTAGACAGCAATAGACGGATCATAATTGCAGCTACTATGGGGCTTTAGAAATGCAACATGACATTTTGGTTGATCCTTGTGACGCAGGTCGGTCTTATATTACGAGCAATGAGATTCGACAACTCCACAAGGATATACCTAGCAGCTGGTGAACTTTTTGGCGGGGAACGGTTCATGAAACCGTTTCGCACCTTGTTCCCACGGCTTGACAACCACAGCTCCGTAGACCCTTCTGAGGAGCTGTCAGCAAACTCACAAGGCTTAATAGGATCAGCTGTGGATTACATGGTTTGTCTCCTGTCCGACATTTTCATGCCAACGTATGATGGACCAAGCAACTTCGCCAACAATCTCTTAGGTCATCGCCTTTACTATGGTTTCCGTACCACAATCAGACCGGACCGGAAAGGTTTAGCTCCGATTTTCATAGCAAGAGAGAAAGGGAAAACCGCTGGGTTTGAAGAAGCTGTGAGACGAGTAATGCTGAAAACAAACTTTGGAGGGCCTCACAAACGTGTATCTCCTGAATCGTTTTACACAAATTCATGGCCTGAATGTTTCTGTCAGATGAATCCGAAGAAGTCTAGTGACAAGTGCCCGCCGGATAATGTTATAGAGATTCTCGACAGCCGGTTAGAGAGAACCGGGGATCCAGATTCAACTTCTCAGACGAATTCCACGGTCACTGGATTAGAACGGTGAAGATCTTTAACTGTAAGCCTTTGAAGCGTTTTATACTGCAACTTGTTTCAAACAAAGAAGAGCCGAAGAAGAGAAAGGTCTGTCGACATTGTTCATACGGTTCAAATAGCTCAACATCTCTCTCTGTCAAACATTTTTTTCTTTATGAAGCGCGTATATTTGAATCTTCTTTCAAACTTTGTAACAAAATCTAAAGAGAAGCGATGAGGTTCTACATGTATCTTCTTGATTGGACTTGGAATGAATTTTATTACAAAAACAAACACAATAGTTAAGGCATATACTCTTTAACTAAAGCTCTCGTGTTTTTCTGCAAAAATCAAACGTCTTTGAGCTGATTGATGATACATCCTTTTGCTTACTTAGTGTTGTGTGTTGGGACACTAAGATAGAATTTAGTGTTTTTGAAGTCATCTAGTAAAGGGTTGTATCCGTCCTTTGTTCTCGTCTTTGTTGGTAAACCAAACTCGTCCATGAACGCTGATGTATCGAGCTACAAGAGCCAAACAGAGGAAGAAGGGAAAAAGTTACTTCACTTTTCAGAAAAATCCTCTCTATTGTTGTGGTAAACTGTTATTACCGTGAGTGTTCGCCTTTTCCTTCCTTTTTTCGATGGTGTCCCGTCTTTCTCCGTCTTCCTCCATCCAGAGCAATAATGGTCCAGTCGTTCCAATAGCCAGAAATCGGTCGGAAAAAATATATCAGCATCACCCTGCAAGTTCATCCAACTTACATATGGATTGTGACGTTTTTAATGGGGATGGAAATTTGAAGACAACTACTTAATTTGCAATGGAGAGAATAAGTCAAAGAATGAAATTTTCAGATAACTCGCACCTTTGCGTCCAGGTAACTACTGTAATCTGAGCTTAATCCATCTTTCTGCAATTACAAAAATGTATTTCTATGAGTTATTCTAGAAACAAGTTTGAGTTTGATATAAGCAATGGAGAAGTACAGTTTCTTATATCATATTCTAAAGTTATGAAGAACAGACCTTTGTTGAAACCAATGGGGCTCTTTCACCAGGAACTTTCACATCGGGCAAGAAGCTAAAGTCCGAAGCTATTAGAGACATCTTTGGCAGCTTTTCATGTAAAACCTCTAGCAGTTTCTGGAATTTCCAAAGTTAGAACAGGGCAATACAATACCTGATTTAATATGTGGACACCAACTTTTTTCTTACCAAACAACCTGTCGGAAGCCAACTACGTCTAGGTTTGGGAAATAGTTTGGACCAGATTTCTCTTGGTTTCGAAATCGGATCATCTTCATGTTCAACAATCTCAAGGCAGCGCTTGATCAGTGGATCTTCTAAAGGCTTGTATAGCTCAGAGAGTGCTTCGCTACAATTTATAAGATATATTGATCAATAAAGGCAGAAACATAAACTTCATTTGAACCAAACATGTGTTCTCTGTACCTCTCTGGTTTGTTTTCAACCAAGACTTCCATCCATGGGGAAATTTGACTTTTGGAATGCACAAGATCGTGTGGGAGATTATCTAGCACCTGCAATGCAATGGCATATGTTATTACAAATGTTAAACGTATACTTCTCTTCAGTACAAAATACCGATTTATCAAATAGAACCACAGCTACTTAATTGCGTACCTCGAGCATTATCACCCAACACGGTTGTTGCTCCACATTCCCTGCTTGCAAATACACATTCTATAAGCACTGATAGTTAACTTCATTGTCACTAAACTGAAAGTTGTTCGGGTAAAACGTAGTAGGCTAACTTTTAAACATTTTGACTCCTACACTAGTCTCAAGAAATCTTTCAGAATAATTTCATTTGACTAACGCTTTTTCTGACTAGCACAATCTTCTAAGAATGTTACATTATGAAACTTGTTGAACAACTCACTAAGTTAAACGTTTTCAATTCAACCAAATAACTAATTCCCGAAGAGCGACAGAAAAAACAATAATAATAACAGAATCTATGGCTAACTTATAATCATTTTGACTACTAAAGTAGTCTAAAGAAATCTGCCCTATACTGAAGAGAAAGAACCTTACTCCATCCAGATAGGTCAGATGCATCACGACACTCAACTCGGAACTTTGATAGATGACTTCCAACTTGTGCAACAGTCTCCTTTTGAATCTCAGCCAGTGAAGGACTGATTTCTATAGAACTGATATACATTAAAACAGCATGCAGTTAATATAATTGCAACATGCTTTATATCAGTTCCAGCCAAGGATGATTGTGTATCATTCATGCCAGCTTAAATTGAAAAAAGAGGAAAACTGAGCATACGTACGTGTAGGTCATGTTATTGTAGATTCTCTCAGGAGCATTCAACATTATGTAGTCCAATACACCCTTCGCACAGGTGCCAGATCCACCACCGATTTCATATATCTAAGCACATGTTTCAAGTGTTACCGATCAACAGAAGATTCAATGCAAATGTAGACTTTTAACTCTTAAAACGGGATGCAAAACCTTCCTGTTCCCAGTAACTAAAGTAGAGATGTAGAAGATGAGAGAAGCAAACCTTTAATGGAACAGAGAGATTTGTGGTACGCAGTATAGCTTCTGCAATCCCATGAGCATACCAAGGCTACAAGAGATGATTGACATTATAAAAAATGGAAAAACTACGGTATTCCAAGAAAACATCAAAGAACACATCCACTGTATTTTCACCTTGAAGAGCTCCACTGGAGTAAACCAAGAAATGTCACTCTGCTTGTATACTTTCTCCAGTAACTTCATGTACGCCTTCCTCCCTAGGACAGCGAAAAAAACCGACTTACTAGATATAAAGATAAAACATCCCAAACCATATAACATTTTTCTGGAATAAGAACTAAAATTGCTATAAATCTAAAATTCAAGAGTCTGACATTAGTAACTATCTAACACTTAAGGCAAGTGAAACTTGAATCTTCAGCGTACCTTCAAGTTGGTTGAACTTAATGCTTCTCTCCAAAACCCCAACAGATCGTGATCGTTGAGAGAAGTAGCCGTGTTTTGGATCATACAATGCTGTGTGTATGAACTCCCGAACCTGTTTCGGTTTAACCAAACAGTTTCAGAAATCGCCAAATGAAAATGAAAACTGAAAAACATCGAGAATCTGATAAAATCTATTTACTGATTAGTGGTCGTCTAAAAACAAACGGAGAAAGAAATTACTATGAATTTCGAAATGCTTTGATTTTTGGATGGATTGCTTATCATGTACAAATTTCGAAATGTCATCAATTTATCACTAATTACAATTATCAAGGACGCTCATTTTCATACTGTAGGTGAAGAATAATCTATTGGGCCAACAAGCAAAACCCCCTGGGAGACGAAAACGAGGGATAGATGAAGAAGAAACTTACAAGAACTGGCTCATCGCCTATGAGCCTCTGAGTCGAGAAGAAAGCAGCTCGAAGCGATCCAAAGCATGGCAGGTCGAATTGATCAACATTTCTACTGCAAAGCAACAACGGAAGCTTCCGAGAAGAGGCAAATCGAAAGAGAGCCATGAGAACTCGCCCTCTCTCTCTCTCTCTCTCTCTCCGTCCCGGTTTCGACTTTCTACGACATTCGAGATGCGGGAGAGATGGAAAACTCTGGAGGAAATCACCGGTTCAGGCTTCACAGAGTCAGAGAGGTTTAGGGTTTACATCCGGTTCGGTACGCTAATTCTTAATCCTTGGTTCAGCTATTAAAATTCTAAAAACCAGAATCGAACCATATCTGCCCAATTTTCCTTTATTTATTTATTTTTAACCACTTTTTTCATGCAGTACATTTTTCTTGTGTTCTACGTCATCTTATTTCCCCCCACTTGGCTAATGCTAGACCTCAGTTTTAGATAAAATCCAAATTTGATTTGATTTGATTCCTCAATCAAGATGTTCAAAAATAGTTATTTTCTACCTATTTGAGATTCACACAACCTGTGGCTCGGATCCGTTTTCTTTTTACTGATTTCATTTGGGATTATTTACATACACACACAAAAAAAAACCAAAAAAATAAGATTGTGAATCTGTCATGGGTCTATCAAAGTTCGAGCAGATGATCCATGTTTTTTGGATTGTTCCCATCGATTTTCGAAATGTGATTGTCTGAAAAAAAAAAAAAAAAAAAAAAAAAAAAAAAAAACATACAGTAGATTTGATTAGCAGTTTTGTCGTATTTTACGAGTTTTAAAGCTGCAGCAATGCCGTGTTTAGATACGCAAAACTGGAACGTCACTGGTCTCATAGGCGCCTTTTTGAATCTTGCAATAGCCTATTTTCTTCTCTGTACATCTCTTTTTGTACATCTCGCGTTAAGATTTCTAGGGTTTCTAGGTTTATCTCTTCCAAGGTTTCACAACGGACGTTTCGATGATGCAAACATGAGGAAATGCTTTCAAGATTGTGCATCAGAGAGAATCTCAGCCGTAGATAGATCGGTGAGAAGCAAAGTCCCCTTCTGTTCGGTTACCAGTGATGATGATTCGAACCGGTTTGTTGAAATGAAGCTGGTGAGAAAGAACACTGGTGATATAAGTAATGCTAGAGTTAAAGATGAAACAGAGGATGTGTCAAGAGAAGAACAAAATGTAATTAACAATAAGGCAGGACTCGGTGGATTAAATCTGATGACCGTTCAGGGCACAAAAGGCAAGCGTTTTGTTACCCGAAGAACAAGAAACGGTCTCAAAAGCCATAGGAGATGTCGCATGGACTGTGGAACTCTTAGGTCGGTCTCTTCATCAGAAGCTTTCGATGAGAGCATAAGAAACCCTTTGGTGCAGCCTTGTGATGTCTTTATCAGAGCTAAGAATGAGAGATTTTCCAATGATGACCGTAAAGGTTTTCTTTCTTTATCAGATGGTGTCAAGGCAACAGAGAGGATTAATCTGTCTCATTGGCCGGAGTTTGAGAAAACTGTACCAGTTAACGAACCGGTTAACGCCAATGCATCAGCAGAGAAATATTTTGTCAGAAATGTAGAAGAAAAGTCTGTTTCGGTTTTAGAAGAGTTGTTGAAAGAAGAGAGAGCTGCTCGAGCAGCGATTTGCGTTGAGCTGGACAAGGAGAGAAGCGCAGCAGCATCAGCAGCTGATGAAGCCATGGCGATGATACATAGGCTGCAAGATGAGAAGGCAGCGACAGAAATGGAAGCAATGCAGTTCCAGAGAATGGTTGAAGAGAAATCAACATTTGATGCTGAAGAGATGGTCATACTCAAAGACATTTTGATACGGCGTGAGAGGGAAAAGCATTTCTTGGAGAAAGAAGTTGAAGCTTATAGAGAGCTACTCGTTGAGGCTGACGAATTAGAATGTTCTTCAACAAGACAGGAAAATCTTCCAGAGGGTAAAGAAAAGACGGCGAAACCGACAGATTCCCAAGAGAGAAGAGCTTTGCTTGTTCAAGAACTTGATGTGCCGTGTAGAGAAGAAGAAAACAGAGATAAAACCCTAGATTTGTATAAATCAGATTCAGAGGTTGCGTATTCGAGGGTGCGTGATGTTCACATGGTGAAGGAAGAGACGGAGAACGTTGGTAAGAAGAAGAATCTAGATGAATCCTCCGTTGGCAAACCTGAGGAGTCATTACAAGGAAATGGTATCATTGTTTCGGGGATTGCTCGAAAGCTTCCACCGTTATGTCGTCCACGAAGGAAATCGCTAAGCTCTTCGGGTTCGAGGAGGAAATCGATGTCTGCAGTTGATTATGAGAGGTTAAAGATTGAGAATGAAGTGGAACTATTGAGAGAAAGATTAAAGGCTGTTCAAGAGGAAAGAGAGGAGCTTACACGACGAGCATCTTTGCCTCCTTTATCATCAAAGGTTAATTAAAACAAGATTCCGAGGCTCTTTGGTGTAACAAAAATATGTTATAGCTTTTACTGAGACTTTTATCGTTTTGCTGTTTCTTTTAGGTTAGGGTTACGTCAGAGAAACGAGGTTGGAGAAGCTCTTCTGTGGACCTTCACTCTTCTTGAAGCTTTTTAGAGATATGTATGTCGTCTATATGTATATATACTTTACTTACGTAGATAACATGTTGTGTATGTATGGGATACAAGATTAGGGTATCAGTAACGGGGTTAAGAGAATTTAAGCCATCTCTATCGATTTAGATCTCAGGGACTTGGATTTATGCTGGAGGAAGCTTGGGTCGCAAGACATCTTCTCTTTTTCAAATTTGTTATTAATAGCAAGTTTTTGTAAAACCTGTGTTTTTTTCACACATTTGTACATATGTGCCTTTTTTTCTTTGTTGGTTCGATTTATAATAACGCTAGTTGTATTGTGTAGTTTTGGTTGTTTATTTCATTCTTCTTCTTTTTCTAGTTTGTGAGAATTTGTTTATAAATTAACAGTAAAAAATCTAGGGAAATGTATTCCATATATAAGAGAAAACATGTATGTACATTTTTGTTCCTATATTTCGGTTTCAATTACAGTGTGCTGTGTGCACAAACGATTTATTCGGATTATTAAGTTTGAATTTCGACTCAGTGCTGATATTAATTTCAATGAAGTGAAATTTATAATAAAGTTTCTCTTGATATTGAACAAGTCACACAACAGCATCCAAATAAATAGATAACAACATATTTTGTGGATATCTCTTTGGTGAAATTAGACTCGAAACAATGTTCATAATAATATTAATACATTAGCACATAGTATCTAACAATATTTAAACGTCTTTGTAAATTTATCCTTTTCAAATTGTCTAATATCATGATTCATGCCCACCAAACAATAATATTGCTTATTCCTTTATTTACTCGATAATAACTGTTTTTTTTTTAATTGTTATATTCCAGTAGGCTAGTACTCCGTCTAATAATCTAAACTTTGTTTTTTTTTTATAAAAAAGATTTGAAATTTATTTAGAATGTATGTAAGATATGGTATGATATTTTACTTTAATTGGAAATTACTATGTTAAATATTTGTACATAATTTCTCAACATTGGCTGGCCAAATAAGGGTAGTTCAGTGGCTAAAAGGTAACTCTAATTTTGTTTTAGCAGAATTCGAGTCTTTTCTTTGCATTTTCAGTCATCCTTATCTCCCAATACATGTTTAAGCATAAAAAAATCCGTTAGCAGCTAAGATAATTACATTTTCTGTCAGCTACTATTAACTGGATCACAAATATTTTTAGCCAGCTCATATATTTTAAATATTAATTTTACAATAATAATAATCCAGATAAGAAAATAAATTCACCATTATACACTTTTGTCGTTATTATTAATTTAGAAGAAAATATGAAACAAATTATTGAAACCTGTTAAGATTTCTTGCTTTATCTCTTAATTTATTTGATTAATATTTTATCCAGTTTATAGTATAATTTCTGCCCACCACTAAAAAATAACCGTTCAAAATAAATATTATTAGATAAATAAAAATTTATCATCATCTTTATATAAAAATAGGAAAAATGGTTTGAATAAGATTCATTGAACTATAATTATCACAATTAAATATGAAGATACAAAATTTAATTTTCAATTTTTAAAAAATAACTTTTGTGTGGCCAATCTTGAAGATCTAAATAGGAATTAAAATAGAAAATTGTTTTCTTCCTTTAATTTGATATAATTTTTCTCTTTCTTGACTCCCTTAATATCGTGCATTTTATCCCATAGCTCTCAATTCTCTCTCACCCTTTGGTAAATATATATGATTTTGACCTATTTTATAGCCTCCCCATCTGTTATTTCCTTCATCTGGGTTCCTTATTTGCACATTCTCATTCATACATACGCATCAACGTACGCGTCCTTCCATTATATTCTCTATGCACTGCTTCACCATTAAAAGGAGACCCAAGCTTTGTTTTTTATGAATATTCAAGGGTAAATGGTTAGCAAAGGTGAGATTTTTTTAAATCTTCTCCATTATTTTATTAACTTTTTGTCGTCTGGCCTCCTTTTGCTGCTTGTCGTCGTTGCGTCGTCGCGGGAAACCCCAAAATGGATTCACTTTCTATATCAAATCAATTGTTTTCTGCCTTTCTTTTTCACTGTTGCATGTTTCCGAAATCTATTCGTTGTTTGCTCATATGAACAGTGAATTAATGGCTTCAGTTGGAGACGAGTTGTTGTTGGGCATTAAATTTTCAATAGATGTCTGCAATGTATTTGTTGATATGCCTGTATGGAGATTTATCTCGATTTGTGTTCCTAAAAATCTCAGGCAAAATACGTTGCCGGCGCAAAAATTCCTCTTTTGTGTCAGAGAGAGAGAGAGATTGGACGAAAGGATTCGTCTTTGTTATGAATCCTTAAAGTGTGGTTGCTTTTCTAGCACAAGTCGCTTTACATTTAATGGCAATCTATCTATTCAGTTTTTCCTTTTCCTTTTTGCGTAGAAGAAACAGAGGAGGAGAAGAATTTATTGTTTCTTTTGGTGAACTTTGCAATTCTCTTTCTGCTTCTTTAATGGTTGACATTACATCATTTAACTTTGTTCCTTCACATGCCTCTCTGTGGATTGCGTTTTAGCATAAAACCTCTGTGTATCTTTGAGTTTCTGTTTGATGAAAGCCGGTTAAATATACAGTCTGATGTGCAGAGCCTTAAAGTCTCTGACTTTTGTTTCATTAATATGAGCAGGAGAGTAAATGCTGAAGAAGATTTAATAAGTGGTTGTTAAAAAAGAGGGTAAATGATCTTAAAGTGCTTACCTTTTTCCTTTTTCTTTTGGCTGTGTTAGGAATGGCATCAAGCTCTTGTCTTAAGCAAGGGTCAGTGCCAATGAACAACATTTGCATCACCCCTGAAGCAACGTATGAGGCTGTGGTGGCAGATGCTAAGCTTTTCATGTCTTCCTTGGAAAGGCTACACTCTCTCTTGGGTACTAAATTCATGTAAGCTTCTTTTCCCCCCTTATACTTCAGTGGTTATGTGTTAGCTCTGATAGAAATTTGTGTTCTCCATTTATGAGATTTCAGCTTTTGGATTGATAAATGGTGATGATTAATCTTTACGTTTTCGGCTTGAATTACAAAGTTCCATGTTTTGCAAATGCATTAGTTTCTTCTGTGTTTCAGGCATTGTTCCTTTTGCTCCTTGCGTGATATGTATCTGAATGTTATACATATGAGAGTTATTAGTACTTGGATATGGTAGCAGCACCTTGATTTCATATATACTGCATTTGTGATTGTAGGGTTCCTATCATAGGAGGGAGAGACTTGGACTTGCACAAGCTTTTCGTTGAAGTAACTTCTCGAGGTGGGATCAACAAGGTATGTCCTCTTAATGATAGTCTTCTCTGGTTTTACTACCATGTCTCATATTGTTTTAACATCTTAAAATTTGCAATGATCTTTCTGTCCTTGGATTCATTTTCCTTCTTTGAACTGCTGCAGATACTTCATGAGAGGAGATGGAAAGAAGTAACAGCTACATTTGTTTTTCCTCCAACAGCAACAAATGCATCTTATGTCCTGCGCAAGTACTACTTCTCGCTGCTTAGCAATTACGAGCAAATCTATTTCTTCAAATCAAATGGCCAGATTCCCCCAGGTTTGCCCATTAAGCACCCATTTATTGTTTCAAAATCCAATCTTGTTCAGTTAGTTTTCTGTTTTGTAACAACATTTCTTCTGTAGACTCTCTGCAGAGCCAATCCACTGGACAGGGCCTTATGCAGGGTACCATAAGACCCTCACAAGAACTTCAAGCTTTAACCTTTCAACCACAACCAAAGATCGATTCTGGAGAATTCCCTGGAGGTGTCAAACTTTTTTTCTATTCCTCTTTGTTTCTATCATTGAGGAACTGTGAAATTACAAATCTGAGCAAAATCCTTTTCCCTTATGTTGTTTATTGGTTTCAGGATCTTTAACTGGTTCAAATGTGGTTGGAGTGATAGATGGGAAATTTGAAAACGGTTACCTTGTAACTGTAACAATGGGATCAGAGCAGCTTAAAGGAGTTCTGTATCAGCTTCTTCCTGCAGAGAACACAGTTGCTCATCAAACTCCGCAACAGAGTCATGGTGTTTTCCACAACACTTGGAACAACAATGGCAATCCTCAGGGGATTGTTGGAGGAGTAACAAAACGGCGCAGAAGAAGGAAGAAGTCAGAGATCAAAAGACGCGATCCTGCTCATCCCAAACCCAACCGAAGTGGTTATAACTTCTTCTTTGCCGAGCAGCACGCGAGGCTCAAACCGCTTCATCCCGGTAAGGACAGAGAGATCAGCCGGATGATTGGTGAACTCTGGAACAAGCTCAACGAACAAAAGAAAACGGTATTCACATTTCCACAAACAATCTAATTCTATGTTATTTTCTTGTATAATGCAACTCTCATACGGTCTGGTTGATTTTCTCTCAATTGTAGGTTTACCAAGGGAAGGCAATGGAGGACAAAGAGCGATATCGAACTGAAATGGAAGATTACAGAGAGAAGCTTAGGACAGGACAGCTCATAAGCAACGCTGTTCCGCTGCAACAGAGGCTGCCAGAGCAAAACGTAGACATGGTTGAAGCTGAACTTCCGATAGAGGAAGCTGAAGAAGAAGACGAAGAAGGCGACTCAAGCGGTTTATCAGGCGAAAGCGAGCCACATGATGATCTGAACGGGGAATCTGATCCGGAGTTGGAAGAGCATTCTCTCAATCCTTCAGGTCTCAACCTAAATCCGAATCCGGCTGAGACGACAGTGGTGGTGGTTCCTGCGGAGAAAATCGGCGATGTGGTGATGGAAACACCTCAGGTGAAGAAAGCGGAAGAGACGACCGTGGTGGTGGCTGCTGAGCAGAACTGAAGATTCTTCTCTTGTCTCATTTTGCAGCTGCCATTTAGGAAATGATTGCAAGATAGGTTACTTGTGGCACAAGACGATCTCTTTTGGTCTTAGTATTGTTACTTTTGTTCTCCTTTGACATTTGCTGGCCTTTTGGAATGTTACAGTCTTGCTTTGTTGCATCGGAGCGCTTCCATGGAATTGACCTGTTGGTGAGGGAGAGCGAGAGTGGTTTAGGGAGGGAATGTTTTTATTTTGCTTTATGGATTCTTATTTTCATTTTTATGGATAATTTTTTCTTGTTTATTCCGCTTTTTTTTTTAATGTGATATGGTAGAACAACAGTAAGAGGCTGAATATGATAACAGTTTATCTTTGATTTGAGGGTTGAAGATTGAAGCTGAAGTGGTTAGAGATAGAGTTATTAGTAGTTTTGAATCGGATTGACAATTTATGCTTCAATTCTGTAATTCTTTTGCATGAATTTTCTTACATAAGTCATGACATCCGTATAACATTATTTTACAGTTTTAACTGTTCTACTATAAAAAATATATGAATCCAATATAACAGAAAAGAGAATTTCGCCTATGGAAATAAATTTCAGAAAATCTATGAATTCCACAAATATTTCCTTTGAGTCAACACTGTAAAATTGTTATCTAACGCTTGTAATTACAGTAATTTAATTACGGACCAATCAAACCTGCTCTAGAGAGTGGTGACAATATGGTAGCCTATGTTCCCCTTTGTATTTTATTTTTTGGTTGTCTGCCCCTCTTTCGGAGCGATTTTATCACATACTATCGTCGACTCTCCGTCTCCTTTTGACGGCCGCAGCAACAACGAAGCACTGATAACTGTCTTACTCTCTCTTTCTCTCTGTGTAATAAAACCATTTGATTAGGCTAGATCCCAATTTTTCGATTCTCCTTCAATCCTTCACATGCGAAGATTCTCTTAAGCAACCTTTCCGTTCATCCTCCTTCTGGGTTTTTTTTGTGTGGGTAAAATCTCTGGATTCTGCTTCTCCTTTGATACAATTTTTTTGAGCTGCTTGTTTTCTTTGTTCCCGATTGCGATAACGGCTGTTATAAGATGTGATTCGTAATCTTAGTTGTCTCGATTGCTGGAAATTATGGATCTCTGATTGCTAGTCATTACAAAGTCGGATAATTTCTTTGTGGTAGTCCTTTAAATCCTGGAAGTTGATTTTTTTTCACTCTTATTCCGAAAATTTGAAGCTGAGTATTGATTTCGAATCAGACACTACCCGTTCCATTTCCTGTTAATCGTATTTTTTTCTGCGTTGATGAACGTGTATTAGTTTCGTGCTGTGTTTGTCTGTGTATCAATGATAATTTCCTAGGTTTATCAACTGGTATGCACTTCGTTGCTTCATCCTCTTTTTCTTTTTTCATTCAGTTGCATTTGGTTAAGTAAATGAAGTAAAAACTTTAATCACTCACTCATTCTCCTTTTTCCTTGGCTTTCATTATATTCTGGATAGTAACAAATGGGGAAGAAAGCGAAGAAGAAGGCTCGAACTCCAACAAAGGAGAATCTGACCACAACGCTCTCCAAGAAGGTCTCTGAACAGCCTAATGAAAATGGGGACGGGGAAGTAGCTGAGGTGGCTGAGGTAGCTGTTAAAGCAGTGAAGGAGAAACAAGCGTGTGTGCATTTCGAGAAGGGTCTTAACGTGGATAAACTGTTGGATAAGATTGAGAATTCCAAGAAGATTAAGTGTCAAGAATGCAAGGAAGGGATCCACGACAAGAGAGGAGCTAAAGCCAAAGGTAACAAGGGCAAACATGGATTTGCTTCTTCTGACCCAAAATCTGACAGGAAAGCTATTTGGGTTTGTTTGGAATGTGGCTGTTTTGTTTGTGGAGGTGTTGGGTTACCAACTGGACCTCAGAGCCATGTTGTGCGGCATATCAGAGTGACTCGTCACAAATTGGTGATGCAATGGGAAAACCCTCAGTTACGATGGTGTTTTCCATGCCATTCGATTCTCCCTGTTGAAAAAGAAGAGAACGGTGAGAAGAAAGATGTCTTGTCGGAGGTCGTAAAGTTGATGAAAGCACGATCTTTGAACAATGTAGCTTCATCTGATACCGAAGAGCAGTGCTCGGGAAGTGGCAGTGTCACTAGTGATGTCAAATTAGAAGGTGCTGTGACCAGTGGTATAGAAGCAAGAGATGGTTATGTTGTGCGAGGTTTAGTCAACCTTGGGAACACGTGTTTCTTTAACTCGATAATGCAGAATCTCCTTTCTTTGGATCAGTTACGCGATCACTTCTTGAAGGAGGATGTGTCTGGTTTTGGTGGCCCTCTTGCTTCCTCCCTGAAGAAATTATTCGCTGAAACGAAACCAGAGGCAGGCTTGAAGAGTGTGATGAATCCTAGAGCCTTTTTTGGGTCTTTCTGTGCTAAGGCACCCCAGTTTAGGGGATATGACCAGCATGACAGCCACGAGTTGCTACGCTGTTTGCTAGATTCGTTGAGCACTGAGGAATCAGCCTTCAGAAAGAAGCGTGGTGTTTCTGAGAATGATGAGAAATTGGAGGCGAAATCTACTCTCATTGAATCTGTATTTGGAGGCGAAACTTCGAGCATTGTTTCTTGTATGGAGTGTGGGCATTCGTCGAAAGTCTATGAGCCGTTTTTGGATCTTTCTTTACCCGTTCCGTTCAAGAAAACCCCTCCTAAAAAGCAGCAGACCGTTTCTCGAGCTAAGAAAGCTAAGCTTCCACCAAAAAGAGTCCCCAAGAATAAATATACAAAACTCCTCCCAAGTAAGGCTCTGTCAGAACTGAACTCTCCGGGAAAAGCTGTGGCTGTCACAGCTGATTCGGGTACATCTTGTTCCAGCTCTGCAACCACTGGTAATGGTGTGGTTTCAGAGACTCCTTCGGTTATGACCCTTGACAATAAGCAGGCTTCAGAAACTGAAACACAAAGTGATGGTGTTTTTGATAGCTTCTGGTTGGATATTATTGGACCAGAAACCTCTGGAGATGATACAAATTTGGGTATGGAAGATAATGTTAGTGATAAACTCCCAACAACTGAGGCTGATCAAATTGAGGATAAACCAAATACTCCTGCAAATACCTTGGTTTCATTGGATGATCAGACTTTGGAAGGTAATGAAGAGAGGCTGATGCAAGATAATGATGAAGTTGCAAAGGCAGAAACCATCTTGGATGAAAAAGATGTACAAGCTGTGCAGTCTGATGAATGCACAGCTACAAGCGGTATATCTGCTGAAATCAATCAAGCTAGTTGCATCGGTGGTGATCCTGGTTTAGGGGAAAATTCTTCCTCGGTGAATCCTTGGGATGAGGAAGAGCTTCCTTTGATGGTTGCAGATTCGCAAATTCTGTACATGCCATATAAAGAAAACACATCATATGATGATAAAACAGTTGTTGAAGGTGAGGGTGAGGCTTCATCTTCGTTTGTTACTGGTGATCATGAACCACAAAACCAGGATTTTGTTGATTTGGGTGGTTTATTTGATGAGCCCGGGACTACTGAAGGACCTGTTTTTGGACCTCCTTCTAAGGCTGAAGCTTCGGGAGTTGGTTTTATGGCGTTCAGCAGCGAGTCTGATCCTGAAGAAATCGATAATTCGGATTCACCGGTGTCTGTAGAGAGGTGTTTGGCTCATTTCACAAAGGCTGAAATTTTGTCAGATGACAATGCTTGGAACTGCGAGAATTGTTTAAAGAACCTGAAACTTCAACGGCTGAGAGAAAAGCGAGAATCCAAAAAAGATGAATCAAGATCAAGCAACACCAGCAACGGATGGTTGAGTGAAAACGAAGTTGGAGAATCTGGAGAAACCGAAGTAGCAGCAATCAAGCAAGATCCAAAAGATAATTCTAGTGTCGAGGATAATGGAAGAGAAGCTGTGAGTTCTAACTCAGCTAATGTGAGTGAACCGGAAGAAGCTCAAGAAGAAGAGGAAGATTCTGAGAAAGTGGTAACAGTAAAAAGAGATGCAACTAAAAGAGTACTTGTAAACAAAGCCCCACCTGTCTTAACCATTCATCTAAAACGATTCAGCCAAGATCTGCGTGGTAGGCTAAGTAAGTTAAACGGTCATGTAGCTTTCAAAGAAGTCATCGATCTTCGACAATATATGGACTCAAGGTATCATCATCGTCTCCTCTCTACATTTTGATCCCTGTCTTTTAACTTGAATCTCCATCATATGAAAACGCTTCTTCGTTCTTTTGGTTATTTCAGGTGTAGCAGAGAAGACCCGCCTGTATACAGACTGGCTGGATTGGTGGAGCATTCAGGGACCATGAGAGGAGGTCATTATGTGGCGTATGTTAGAGGAGGCCAGAAAGTGAAAGGGACTGATTCCTCCAGTGTGTGGTATAACGTAAGCGATTCACATGTTCGTCAGGTTTCATTGGAGAAGGTTCTGAATGCTGAAGCGTATATCTTGTTCTATGAACGGATCTTCTCACAAGGCTGAGATTATATTTTTGTTAATGTTCCATTATACTGCGAGAAAAGGAAAGAAGAAGACACTGTTTTGATCTTCTTCTTCTATCTACAGCTTTTGCTGAGAAAGTTTTTGACGATCACATTGGATCAAATACCATTAATTTTGTTTTTTATTATGTTTTGAAGTTACATTATATGTATTATCAGAAACATGACTGAAAATATTTGAGCCCCTCTCAACTGTGTTACATTTTATATTTCATGATTATAAAAGCAACGATGACACTGCTGTGATCTCTTTGGAAGCATGATGATCCTAACTGAAATTTCTGTTAACAAACCGATACTTGGGTATCGAAGCTGAACCGATGAAATCGAATTATTTCGATGTCCGTACCGGAAGAAACTGAACCGACAGTGGAAACGATTGAACCGGGACCTACTTCTTCCTCTCTCCCCAAGCAACGGACGGACTTCTCAATTAAAGGGAAAGACATCTCCATCGAGTTCGAGTCTCTCAATCCAAGTCGGAGAAATTGTAGCCATGGCAGGAGTATCGCTCAAGTGTGGCGATTGCGGTACGTTGCTGAAGTCTGTGGAGGAGGCTCAGGAGCACGCTGAGCTCACCTCTCACTCCAATTTCGCCGAGTCCACTGAGGCGGTGCTCAATCTCGTTTGTACTACTTGCAGCAAGCCTTGTCGCTCTAAAACCGTACGGATCTTCGATTCCCATCGCTCAATTTCCTTTTCTTTTACTTGATGAATTTTAGTCGGCTTCTGTTGGTGGTGATTAGAAGTTACTCGTAGATCTCCTTGTGTTTTCCTTCTCAGGTTTCGAGTTTAATTCATGTAATTTATTTCTTTCTTCAGTCTCTAAACGGTTTTGACTCTGCGATCTCGATTTGATGCGAATTTTACAACCTTTACTTGCTCTGTGGTTTCGAGTTGATGGATTTTGACTTGAGTTTTGAATGAAATTGTCTCTTTTTCATTTGTTTGCCGCTGATTTGGCTTCAATTCGAACGTGAAGTTGAAAATTTTATGCTGCTGTTCTTGATTTTCTGCTCCACGTTGTTTTCAGATCTCAATTATGTTGGGCTTATTGCTGCTGTATTCGTTTTCTTATTGTCTGGTCAAACTGATGTGATTTGGCGCTTTTATTAAAATTCATTAGTTTGATTGCTTGTGGAGTTTTGGTTTCTACGATTTTGTAAAAGTTTCATGACTACCGTAGTAAGGTTTCTTAAAGATCAGTGACATATTTTCTACTGTGTCCACAAAACTGGTAAATAAAACTTTGCATATTATTTCTGATTGCTCGTCTCCTTCTTATACAATGTAAAGGAAAGCGATTTGCATACGAAAAGAACTGGGCATACTGAGTTTGTAGATAAGACACTGGAGACAGTAAAACCCATCAGCTTGGAAGCTCCAAAAGCTTCTGCCATGGACATCGACATCCCCGATGGTTCGAGTGGTAGTGGAGATGCTGCTGAAGGTACAGTGCCATGTTAACGCATATGTTTTGCACGAGTTTCTGAATGTGAATCCTACAATTGTTTCTTATGGTCTCTATCTCATTCCTGCAGAGATGATTGTTCCAGAAGTTGACAAAAACATTCTCGAGGAACTTGAAGCAATGGGATTCCCTAAAGCTCGTGCTACCCGAGCACTACACTACTCTGGTAAAAGTTTAGCGTGTCATATTCTTCTTTTTCACTTTTGGTTGTTGTCTCCTTTTATAATCTTTGGTAAATCTTTGATAGTTTTCATATCTCGACTAGGAATCATCTGAAGTGTAAAATGGTCATGCATTACAGCTGAACTCTTGAACACCTCTTATCTTTGTGAACTCTGGATTAATTTATAAACGTCATCTAAGACATCATGTTACATTAATTTACCTCACTTAAGCATGTTGATTTTGAACGTAGAAATTTGAAGTTGTATGTCCTATTAGCATGATGTGTTCGTCATATGAATTCTGATGTCATGTTACATAATGAGATATGTTTCTTGTTTCTCTTTTGTACGTAGACATCTTTGCTCTGATGTCAGTTTATAGAATTTAGTATGCTAGTTCATCTGAATAAGTTCTTTTATACGATGTGAATTATGATATTCTTCTCCGTTTCATTTTGTGTAACATAATTTGAATTTCATTCCATCAGGTAATGCCAGTCTCGAGGCTGCAGTTAATTGGGTGGTGGAGCATGAGAATGATCCTGACGTAGATGAAATGCCAAAGGTGGGTCTCTTATCAGTTTTCAATAGTTTTGTTTTCAGCAGAATGTCCGTTCTGAATTGCTTCTTTATAATTGCACTCCGAATCTCGGTGTTTAGTTCTTGTCTCAAGGTGAAAAGTGTTTGGTTTTGGCTGGATGTGACAGTTTTTATGTCAACATTTTCTGTCTATTTCGTTTTTCAACAATTTTATATCATGCTGTATTAAGCATGTAATGTGGTCTTAAAATTACTTCATTGCTTCACTTACTGTAATATCTATGTTGTTGACTGTTTTCCTAGGTGCCTGCCAACTCTAATGTTGGGCCTCCTAAACCTGCTCTTACGCCAGAAGAAGTGAAGATAAAAGCACAAGAATTAAGGTTCTATGACTATTCCGACTTTCTGTCCATGTTCATCTTCTTTTGTAGCGTGCACCAATGAGATTACACTTTTGTCATGCATAGCCATGACTTTTTCTTCTTCTTCAACTAGTAGCATGGCAAATGTCTACACTTTGATTTCTACGTGCTGACTGCCAAATTTCTAATGATTTTCCTGAAGATGATTATCTTAAAGAGATTATATTTCCCTTTTTTTGTTTCACATCTTAGGGAACGTGCGCGGAAGAAGAAAGAAGAGGAAGAAAAACGGATGGAACGTGAAAGAGAGAAGGTGTGTTCTCTACAGTTAATCTTATGATGATACAACCATGCTTATCCTTTTTCTGTTAAAATTAAGCTCTGCTCTAGACTCCTGAGTGCATTCCCCGCAAATAGGCATGCACATGATTTAAGCTCTACTGGCTGTAATTGCTGTACATATATCTAAAGCGTAGTAGTTCTGGTACTATAATAAGGATGTGGTTATAAAATGTGTTAGTTGCTGATAGTGCGGTGGTTGCAACTGTAAGCACTTTTCTATGTTATCATATTTTAACATGTTAGTATCTGGTGCAGGAGCGAATAAGGATTGGCAAGGAACTCCTAGAAGCAAAGCGGATGGAAGAAGATAACGAAAGAAAACGGTTTGTTTCTTCTGTTTATAATGTCAGCTCTATATTTGTTTGTGTTTTTCTTTAATTATGTGACTACTAACTGGTTGTACATTACAGTATAATCATGTTGCGCAAAGCCGAGAAAGAAGAAGAAAGACGGGCTAGGGAAAAGATCCGTCAAAAAGTTGAAGAAGACAAGGTATCTTTAATGCAGTAGATTTACATACCTTTTGGATTACGTTTTTATTTCTCAGTATTTACATTATAACAGGCTGAAAGAAGGAGGAAACTAGGATTGCCTCCGGAAGATCCTGCAGCTGCAAAACCCTCAGTGCCAGTTGTGGAGGAGAAGAAGGTAAACAAAAAGTTTTCAAAAGCAAGTTATATATATGTATCATCTCATGTTATGTGCTTTTCTGAGTTTTCTCATGAAGGCATATTTTTGTGTTTTTATTGCAGAGTTCATTGCCTATAAGACCTGCCACAAAGACTGAAAAGATGAGAGAATGCTTAAGGTCTCTTAAGCAAACCCACAAGGTAACTACGTAAAACATATATCAATCTACGCATTCTGAGTTTTAACTATCTAGTCAGTAATCATTTAGGAAAAGAGTAAAAAGACTTTCTTGGAAACCTGTGTAATCTAAAATTTTGGGTGAAATCGTGGGAGGATCAAAAGTAAAGTTTGACTAAAGTAGTAAAATTAACTTGTTGGTTCAGGAGGATGATGCTAAAGTGAAGAGAGCGTTCCAAACTCTGCTGACTTACCTGGGGAATGTCTCCAAGAATCCAGATGAGGAGAAATTCCGGAAAATTAGACTCACCAACCAAACATTTCAGGTAAACAATATCCATAAAAATTGGGCATCTATGATTAGTCAACAAATTCGTTTACGATGTACACAGTGTGGTAGCTCATTTTCTTACTTTGGGATGAAAAAAATGTGAAAAACAGGAGAGGGTTGGTTCACTGACAGGAGGCATAGAGTTCATGGAGCTATGTGGGTTTGAGAAAATGGAAGGAGGAGAGTTCTTGTTCTTACCAAGAGACAAGATCGATTCAGCAATTATCAACTCAGCTGGTGCTGAGCTCAATTCCGCCATCAACAACCCCTTCTTTGGTGTTCTTTAAAGTATGAAACTGTTAAAAAGCGAGACCACCATGAATATGAATATTACTAGCAAGTGACATTTTGTTTCTTCTTCAATAAGTGAAAAATCTGGAGAATAAAACTAAAGCCATTCAATTACTGTTTAACCCTCGTGTTTCTTCTACGTTTAACTACTGTTAAGCCATTATTGTCTTTTGCACAAATCAGGATAAACAAACCAAAAATCTCTTAAAGTAACTTAATAAAACTGTTTGAAACAGTTTAAGAATATCGAGTGATGATGATAGAAAATAAATACATGCATACACTCTAATAAAAGGAAATTTGAATTACTGTTTAATGCGTCTTGTTTAAAATCACTAAAACCGGATGAAACAAACAGTTAAAATATATTAACTCTAAGATTAACCGGATGAACAAACAGTTAAAATATGTAAATGTTTAATGCGTCTTGTTTAAAATTACTAGGATGAACAAACAGTTTAAATATTTAAAATACAAACCGGATGCGTCTTTTAAATTTAACCATCATAATTAAACAGAGAAAAGGATTAAACAGGGTCCAATGGTGGACGAGCGGAGAAATCTCTCAAGGATGAAGGGAACGAGTTACTAATCTAGCATCGAGTGATACAGAATTCCAGATTATATATACATTTTTGTTTAGATCGTGAAATCTGAACTCGAGTGTTTTTCGGGTAGAGACGATGAAGTCTCTTTATGTTCTTTTTAAACCGAAGCCTCTTCCCGCCAAGATCTCTATTCCGGCCGATAGTCGAGCCTTGCCGGCCGAGTCTCACTTCATATCTTTGATCCACGCTTGCAATGATACTGTAAGTCTGCGCCGTGTTCATGCCCAGATCCTCCGTCGCGACGTTCTCAGTAGCCGCGTCGCTTCTCAGCTGGTGTCTTGCTCTTCTCTTCTCAAGTCCCCGGATTACAGCCTCTCCATATTCAGACATCTGAGAGAGAAGAATCTGTTTGTTTTCAATGCTCTGATCCGTGGTTTGACGGAGAATGCTCGCTTTGAGTGTTCGGTTCGTCATTTTATTCTCATGCCGAGGCTTGGTGTGAGACCAGATCGGCTAACTTTTCCGTTCGTACTCAAGTCTAATTCCAAGTTAAGGTTTAGGTGGTTGGGTATGGCTCTTCACACAGCGACTGTGAAGAATTGCGTTGACTCTGATTCCTTCGTCAGGGTATCTTTGGTTGACATGTACGCCAAGACCGGAGAATTAAAAGATGCCTTCCAAGTGTTCGAGGAAAGTCCCGAGAGAATGAAAATGGAGAGTATTTTGCTATGGAATGTTTTGATTAATGGGTATTGTCGAGCCTGTGATACGAAAATGGCTAAAACACTTTTTGAGTCCATGCCGGAGAAAAATTCAGCATCTTGGAGTACTCTGATCAAGGGTTATGTGGATAGCGGACAGTTGAACAGAGCAAGGCAGCTTTTTGAAGTAATGCCAGAGAAAAGCGTGGTTTCTTGGACGGCATTAATCAATGGGTTTTCTCAATATGGCGACTATGAATCTGCGATTTCAACTTACTTTGAGATGCTGGAGAAGGGCATGAAGCCTAATGAGTACACAATTGCTGCTGTGCTCTCTGCATGTTCTAAATCTGGTGCTCTTGGATCAGGAATAAGAATTCATGGTTATGTTTTGGACAATGGGATTAAAGTGGATAGAGCTATAGGGACAGCTCTCGTAGACATGTATGCAAAGTGTGGGGAAGTTGATTGTGCGGCTACTGTGTTCAGTAATATTAAGCATAAGGATATTCTTTCTTGGACTGCTATGATACAAGGTTGGGCGGTTCATGGACGATTCCAACAAGCGATCCTTTGTTTCAGAGAAATGATGTATTCAGGTAAAAAGATTTGTCTGGTTTAAGGCTTTTTTCTCATTTCTCTGTCTCTTAATTCGTTGGATTTACTTGCTCGAATCTGTGGCATGCATACAGGAGAGAAGCCAGACGAGGTTGTGTTTCTTGCGGTTCTAACTGCATGTTTGAACTCAGGGGAAGTAGACTTGGGAATTAACTTCTTCGCTAGCATGAGGCTTGACTATAAGATTGAGCCGACGCTGAAACATTATGTAGTAGTCGTTGATCTGCTAGGTAGAGCAGGGAAGTTGAACAAAGCACAGGAGCTCATAGAGACTATGCCCATAAATCCTGATCTTACAACATGGGCTGCACTCTATCGTGCTTGCAAGGCTCACAAAAGTAATGAAAGGGGTGAAATGGTGTCGCAAAATCTTTTGGAGGTCGATCCAAAGCTTCGTGGAAGTTATATTTTCTTAGGCAAAACATGCGCAGATGAAGGGAGGTATCAAGATGTTGAGAAAAGAAGATTACCATTTCAGAAGATGGTCAAAGAAAGATGCAAGGGACGGAGTTATATCGAATTGGACGGTCAACTAAACAAGTTTTCAGCAGGTGATAGTTCTCATAAGCAAGCACAAGAGATACGTGTGAAGCTTGAGGAGATCATATCGCTTGCTATTGAGAGAGGATACGTTCCAGGGGCTGATTGGTCGATTCATGACATTGAAGAAGAAGACAAGGAAATCGTTACGGGAATCCATAGTGAGAAACTGGCTCTTGCTCTTGGGCTTCTTAGAACTGCTCCTGGAACCGCAGTGAGGATCGTTAAGAACCTGAGAATCTGTGGAGATTGTCATTCTTTAATGAAACATGTTAGTAAGATCAGCCAAAGAGATATTATACTGAGAGATGCAAGGCAGTTTCATCATTTCAAAGATGGAGGTTGCTCATGTGATGATTATTGGTGATATAGTTAATCATCAGTAATTAAGAAGAACGTGGTGTTCTGTAACATCCCAGCCTTCAGCTGCAGAGAGATTTTGTTCACTGATGGCGTTTATGAGATGGAAAATTAGAGTCTGACAAAGATCTTCATAGCCCTGTAAGTGAAATAGAAGCCTTAGGTGGATTACTTGTGCTTTTAAGATGGAAAATTCCAAAAAATAATTATATACAATGTAGAAGTGTATGATTGAAGACAACGAAACACATGGGGTTGTATACGAAGCAAAGCTATCACATAAGAACAAATACCACTCGCCAAGGTTAATTGGGTCCATCACTTTTGATGATTAAGCTTGTGTCTTTGTATATCACTTTTTTTCTTATGGTAATACCATAGATCATCATCTTTTTATCAAAAAGAATACCATAGATCATAGTTATTTTTGCTTTATGTTATTACCTTCACTAAAATAATTTCTAAGAAACCATTTTTTATTTGGTAGTGTATGCTGCTGTATGCCTGTATACTGTATAGTGTCCAGGAATACCAGTTTTCTTATAAGAAATGTTTTTCCTAGATCATTTAAAATCTTTAACTTCAGCATTTCCCAAGTAATTTGAAGCAATTAAAATAAAGGGATAAATATGTAAAGAAACAGAAATATTGAGGGTATATTTAATATTAGTTTGCCCGTGACCTCTTCATTTACCGTAAGGTTTCCTCTCTCTCTCTGTGAGAAAGAAAATTACGAAATTCGATTTCCATAATCACCGACTCGCTGAACCTTTCTCTCTCTTCCTCGCTCGAATTGAATCTTCTCGAAACTTGTGAAACTGAATCGATTGATCGATCCATCAAACGCTAGGGATGGTGAGGAAAAAGGTACCGGAATGGCTGAATAGCACCATGTGGTCTACTCCTCCTCCGCCGTCTTCCAACGACGATGTTCTCCTCCACCATTCCCCCGCCACTAAAATTTCGTCGATGAAGGAGCAGATAGAACCGATCTCCGTTACTTCCAGGCTTAATTCTGCTCCTCCGCCTTCCACCGCTTCTTCGGTTCCATCGCCGTCGACTAGACCGCGTAACGGTAGCAGTATTTCTGGCGGCAGTGGCGAATATGGAAAATCCGTTGGTCCTTCCTCGGAGGATTTGTCCCGCCAGGTTCATCTCACAGCGGAGGTCAATGCAACCTTCCTTTTTTTGGTTTATCGATGCAACTTTGAGTCCATTATTGCAAAATTGATTTTCATCTAGTCTGATTTTGCATTTCTTCTTCCTGATTGGATTTGTTAGTTATCGAAGAAGGTGATCAATATGAAGGAGTTGAGGAGTCTAGCTTTACAAAGTTTGCCGGATTCTCCTGGAATCCGTTCTACTGTCTGGAAGGTAGGTAGTACAAGAATCGTGATTGATGTGTTTTCAATTTGGTAATCAGTTTACAGAGCACAGAATCTATTTCGTGGTAATTCAACAGTGCATAGAACTGAGACTCTAAGATTGTTTCTCTATATTACTAGTCCTTTGAAATATGATTCTCTTTGCAGCTTTTGCTTGGTTACTTGCCACCTGAACGTTCACTGTGGTCGACTGAATTGAAACAAAAGAGATCCCAATACAAGCACTATAAGGACGAGCTTCTGACGAGCCCTGTAAGTGATCCTGGTTTTTCGTTTCTTGTGAATTTTGCATGCTATGGCTTCATAATTTGATGTCAAGTATTTGGAATTATCCTCCCTCTTTGTGGACGAACTTTTTGTTAGTCGTATTTCTTATCTAGAAAGTTGTTTACACAAGTATATTTTCTTGAAATGTGTTTGTACATCTAAATTATTATGTGGTAGTTAGTCAGAAATCACATGGAGACTGGTGAGGTCAAAGGGATTTGACAATTATGACTTGAAGAGTGAAAGCCGATGCATGCTTGCCCGATCCAGACTAACTGACGAGGACCATCCTTTAAGCCTAGGGAAGGCAAGCATCTGGAATACATACTTCCAGGTACTTTATCTTGCATCCTGGGCATTATGTATATCTTTTAGAAAGGCCTCAGTACATTACTGGTTTAAAGGTTGTGGTATTCAATTTGTCCACCTGTTCCAACATCGACTCTTTAATTGATGTAGGATACGGAGACCATAGAACAGATAGACAGAGATGTCAAGCGTACACATCCAGACATACCCTTCTTCTCCGGTGAATCATCATTTGCGCATTCTAATCAGGTAACCTTTGTGTGTTCTCGTTAGCAAACTCTTACATATTTGTTGATTGATCAAGCTCAGTGACGTTTCCATTTACATGTCTAGGAATCTATGAAGAATATACTGCTTGTGTTTGCCAAGTTAAATCAAGGCATCAGATATGTTCAAGGGATGAACGAAATTTTAGCACCTATATTCTATGTATTCCGAAACGACCCTGATGAAGATAGTTCAGTAAGTAAACTCTCTTTGTGTCTTTGCTACCCTATTAACTACTTTCACATGAGATAGTATACAACTTCAAGATAACAGTGCCTGCTTGGACCCTCAATATAATCAAGATAACAGCTCTTCATATTCAAAACGATTTTAAGACTGTTACTACTATATTCCTTCTCTCAGAATTACATGTAATAAAAAGACTTGAGAAATTTTTGCCTTGTTATCTTAGAAGATTTGTTCATGTATGATCTTTGCTATTAAACCTTGTGTTTGCTCTAATCTCATGATGAGCTGCAGCCAGTTTCATATTAACTCTATGCAAATGATGCAGTCCCATGCTGAAGCTGATGCATTCTTCTGCTTTGTTGAACTGTTGAGTGGGTTTCGAGACTTCTACTGTCAACAACTTGACAATAGCGTGGTTGGAATTCGCTCCGCAATAACAAGGCTCTCACAGCTTGTTAAGAAGCATGACGAGGAACTTTGGCGTCATCTAGAGATCACCACGAAAGTAAGACATTGATTTTATTGTTCTCTCTTGTGACAGCAACCATATTTGTCGTTCTGCTACTACTGTCTTACTAATTTGCTTTGTGCGGATAGCCATGTGAACAAGCTTACTATGATAGAGATTGATCATACTCTCTGAGATTGTTGACATTTTGTAGACTCTATGGATTACAGGTAAACCCACAGTTCTATGCATTTAGGTGGATCACTCTCCTCCTTACACAAGAGTTTAGCTTTTTCGACTGTCTTCACATATGGGATGCACTCTTAAGCGACCCCGAAGGTCCTCTGGTAAGATTGCAATGACTTCTCGCATTGACTTAATTGATACTCTGTGTCATCATTTTCTCACCAACGTTTTCTTGAAATTATAGGAGTTGATTGATTAATCTTGTATGATTATTGACAGGAAAGCTTACTCGGAATATGTTGTGCGATGTTGGTACTGGTGAGGAGGAGGTTGATCGCTGGAGATTTCACATCGAATATGAAATTACTTCAACACTATCCAACTACCAACATCAGCCATCTCTTGTATGTAGCTAATAAACTTCGCTCCAAAATGTTAGTGTAAGTCGCACTTTTTTGCTTTTCTAACTTTTGATCAAGCAACTTTTAGTTTCCCGTTACAATATACCTAGCTTTGTTTATTTTACACGGCCCATAACCTTCACACCCTTTGAATTGCAATAGGCATGTTTGTTACGGTGTGGTTTTCTGTGTTTTATTGAACCATTACACGATCGACTTGTCAGTGAACGTACCAATCCAAATTTAACTATTTAACTGACTTGTAACCGGCCATAACAATAATAGAACCGGCCACTAATCGGAACAATTTATGTCGGAACAAGATAGTGTGTCGTAACGATTTGATGTCTGAAGGACCGATCTAAAGCCCAACTAGATATCAGAATTGGCCCATAATAGCCCAACTTATTTTCCAAATGGGCCGATAAAAAGCCCAATTTATGTCTGACAGGTAGCTTAAAAGTTCAATTTATGCCGGAACTTTTCTTGTCGGAAAATTTTATGTCGGCAGAAAAATGTGTCGGAACGATTTGATGTCGGAATGAGCCGATCTTTCAGTTTATGTCGGAACTTTTCTTGTCGGAAAATTTTATGTCGGCAGAAATATGTGTCGGAACGATTTGATGTCGGAATGCGCCGATCTTTCAGTTTATGTCGGAACTTTTCTTGTCGGAAAATTTTATGTCGGCAGAAATATGTGTCGGAACGATTTGATGTCGGAATGAGCCGATCTAAAGCCCAGCTATTTTCTAAATGGGCCCATAAAAGCCCAACTTATTTTCTCAATGCGCCGATAAAAACCCACTTTATGTCAGACAGGTAGCTAAAAAGTTCAGTTTATGTCGGAACATTTATGTTGACAGCTGAGATTAAGTCAGCATAAAATGTGTCGGAAGGTTTCACTTTGTGTCGGAACGTTTCGCTTTATGTCGGAACATATTGTGTCTGAACTTTTGATGTCTGATCATTTCTGTCGGAATATTTTTGTGTCTGATTATGTCAGAACGAGCCGGTTCCCAACTTGCGGTCCGAATGGGTATGCATAAATGCTCAACTTATTATATTAAAATATTTCTCAACCGGGAAATTCACTTTGGGTAAAGAAACCGGATTTAACCGGCCCTATCGGATATAACCGGCCAGTAAAAGGATATAAACAGTTTTAACCGGAATAAACCGGCCTAACCTTTGCCAATAACCGGATTGAACCGTCCAATAACCGGACTGAACGGGAAACTAACCGGATTGAACCGGTCATAAATAACCGAAATAAACCGGAATGAACCGGGAAATAACCGGATTCAACCAAACCTAACCGGTTTCAATTTAACTGAAATTGACCGACTAAGAATTTACCCTAACCGGCCTGAACCGGAATCAGCCGTCCCGAACCGGACCGAATGATTAGGTTTACGTTTGGGCCTATATGATTTGGCCCATTTGTAAAATGATTTATTTTTGGGCTTAGGCCCTTCTGAAAAAATGAATTAACCTGAACCGAATATAACCTGATTAAACCGTACCTAACCGGTTTCAACCGTACCTAATGGCCAAAAAAGAACAAGTTTGTTTTTTTTGGGTACGCAGAGGTTTGATTTAGGGCCTGACTGGTTTAACCGCTGCGGTTGCGGTTGCGGGTGCGGGAGTTTGCGGAAGCGGGCGGTTGTGATTAGTAGCGTTATTAAGCGGTTTGTACGACTGGCATAACAATTGAAAATGGATGCGTTTGCGGGTTACTTATGACTGGTTCACTTGCGGATGCAATAGCGGTTAAACAATAAATTAATAATATAAACACATTATATAATTATAAAAATATCAAAACTATATTATAATGAAAATTTTAAATTTATGGTTCAACATAATTAAAAAAATATATAAAGAATAATATGTGTATAATACTTACGTCTATCTTTTAATTTCTATAATTTAAATAAAAAATGTGATTTTATTTTCAAAATATATATTTAATGTGAAAATTAAATTTATATTACAATTTTATTTATTAGATATATATGTATTAGTATGAAAAGAATATTTATCAAGAGAATTTTGATTTGTAGAACTTATAAATATATAAGTATTATATGATTTTAATGAATATTGACTAAAAGTACTAATTTTTTATTTATATTGTGATTTTATTATCCAAATCTTATTTTTTAATAAATATTATTATTTATTTTCGGATTTTATATAAGTTTGTGTTTTTTTTTTTTTTTTAATTATCCACCCGCAACCGCAAACGCTTGCGGAAAGGAGCTTTTGATTTTCAGCGGTATTGAGCGGTACAGAGTGGTATAGAGCGATTCAAAGCGGTTGTCGTGATTGTTATAAACCGCCGAAAACCGCTACGAACCGCAAACGCTGCGTTTGCGGGTGGTAGCGGGAGAACCAATCAGGCTCTTAGCCACTAATTTGATACAAAGTCATTGCATTAGTTTCTTCAAGCGTATTCAAAGGCCTGTGGAGGCTGTGGCTCATCATCTACGGCCATAGCCGAGGCCGCATTTGCTTGTTGGCCTTGCCCTGTAGCTGCTGCACCACTAGCAGGAGAAGCTGTTGAAGTTGGTGCATCGGTCAGAGACAGAACCTCAGGCTCATGCGGACGCAAGTCTCTGAGAAGGACGAACCCTGATGGAGATGGCTTCACCAGTACATATCTGCTTTCCTCCATCAATTTTATGTATTTCTCCTGAGAAGGGACTACACGAGCCGGGTTCACTAGCATCTCAAACGTTGCTTCTGGCTTAGCCTTCTTCTCCACCGTCGTAGATGTGCTATCGACCTGAGACAGTTACATTCAGAATCTATAAACTTAATCATCCCAAAATTGATCAAGACTCAAGACAGGCAGGATCATATTCTCTCTGTAAATAGGAGCAGCGTTGACAAATGGTAAAGCAGAAACTTGCTAATTTTGTATTGTACGAAGAATAATGATTGCACTTTACCTGCATAGAGTCTGTTTCCTTCTCACTTGACGTTGCTTTTTCTTTTCCAGCTCCACTTTCGTTACCAGACTTTTCGGCGTTGGCTTTCTGCTCTGCTTCTTTCTTAGCCCTAGCTTTGGCTTTGGCCGAGGTTGAGAGCACGGCGGTTGGTAATTTGGCAGCGGTGTTGGCAGTAGCAACCGTGGTTGGTTTTGGATACTCGAACAAAGATGGCTTTGCGTGCGACATGAATTCAAACTTCGGGACTTTGAGGTCGTAGTTCAAACCGATGAAAGCGGTTGGTGAGAAAGCCAAGCTTATGAAGTAAATCAACGGGTACCAATACCAAAACTGGCTGAAGACAGCAAGGCCAATGACCGCAGTGACTTTGTCATGTTTTGTCTTGGAGAGCAGTCGTATCGTAACATTCCTTCCACCAGCATCAAGAATCCCTGAAGCTAAAATTGCTCCCATCTTGCTCATTGTATCTTCATGCTTGTCAAGTATTATCTTCTCAAGTTGACGCCTGCACAAAACACAGACAGATATCAGCCCACAGACGGAAATTTCCACTGCCTCCCAATGCTGGAGAGATCAGAGCTTCACTGACCTAAATGCTCCAACGCGAGAATCGCTTGCTTCACTAATTTGGACCATCACCATGGCCATGGCAATCAGAGCACCTTGACGAACAAAGTCAACCACATCTGATGTTAGTGGCTCCAACAAAGATATCGCCTCACTTAGGCCAGTGCCTGCACAAGAGATGCCTACTGCAAGAGCCGCGCCATAGCGGACATGGGGATTGTACGACTCAGAAAGCAGTGATACAATACGGGGAGTCTACAGTTAAAATATTCAGTGCACCCCGTTAGTAACCGTAAGCCAGCACAAGCACCCTAAAGGCACTAAAGAAATGGACTATAACGTCAAAAAGAGTATGGACTGACCTGCTCTGGATCAGAGTATAAGACAAATCCAAGTGCAAGAACAGCAGTCCTCCTGACATCGTCACTGACATCAGACACAGCAAAGTGCAGAAGTTGGCGGATGGCTTTGTTGTTTGCGGTTCCACTGTAAGCCAATGCGAGTGCATACATTCCACCATAACGGATGATAGGATCTTGACCTCTAGTCATCTGCTCAATCAATGTATCTGCTCCCTCTTCTCTACCATATACTGTGAGAGCAATCCCTAGAGCCAATCCCCTAAAAACACAATATCAGATGTCCGTGATTAAAACATCAAAAGAGAATACTATGCACCCACTCATATTACCAAACATCTCCATCAGACTCTAAATTACCTTATTATCTTCTCATGCTGGGTCTCGTGAGCATAAGCGAGCATCTCACTTGCCTTATCAGTTGCAGTTCCGACCAATAATAGACCCATGCTGATGCCAGCAGCTTCACCAGCAACAGCACTGTCAGTGTAAAGCACGCTTTTGATATCATCATATATATCTTCATCAGCTGTCCCAAGAGCTGCCAAACCAAGGCCTAAACAAGCTCCATGTTGAATAACCTGCACTCATATTTTTCCAAATAAAAATCAAATCCTCTAACCAAAAAACTTGTCTTTTTCGTGATATAACACGAATGACTATCTTGAAGAAAGAGACAGACAGGTCACCTCAACACTAGTGCTGCGTAGGCTATCACGAAGAAATTGCTTGATTCCCTCACCGTGATTGGCATGAATTAGGCCAAGAGCATACAAAGCACCCCCTTCAGAATACGGACTCCCGCCACCACCAGCTCCTCCCTGAGGCAAGTATGGGGCCATCAGTGACCTGCCCTGTTGTAAGTGACCCCTGTGAATAACACCTAATCCCGCTGTAGCACTAAACTTAGCCCAATTGGTCGCCCTGCTTAGCCAATCCTGCCAAATAAAATATTAAATAATATGCCAAACAGAGAACGTTGAAACAAGTAATGATAGTGCGAGTAATTTTTTACCAAATTCTCCCTGAGAAATGTGTCAACTGTCGTTCCAGCATGCATTATAGCATTAGCATATATTGTTGCACTGTGACAAACACTGTTCCGCATCTCGACAGACTGTTTGATTGTCTTCAGAATCAACAGATCCGATCTACAAACAAACAATGGCCATTGCTGAAGCATGATACTATCTGGAAGAAACGACTTAAAAAAAAACATCGTTTCAAGATATCAAAATGTGAAAAGGAAATTAATTGCCTCACTTGTTATGGCTGTACAGAAACTGGAGGGTCAGCTGTATTGATGTCTCTCCAGACAAAATTCCCTTAAGTTTTGTTAACCTCTCAGCATACACAGCGTCAGCAGGATCTGTTTCATACTCAGTTGTCTGAGATGGAGTTTCGTCTGTCATCGGGACATCCCCTGCATTGTTCTCATTTTGAGTAGTAGAGGCTTCTACAGGACGGGTCTTGGGCGCTGGAAGGTGTTCACCAACACTCATCAGAAATGCCTGGTGTTCGTTCTCTACAAGATCGAAAGCAATTTGCAATGCCAATAGAGCATCATCCTTGCTCTCGGAACGAAGAAGCTTCTCCAATATGCTTGCAACACCTTGCGGTTCATCCAAGAACATAAGGCACTGACAGATGCTCAAATAATCAGGAGAAGCCAGCTTCTGGAAGACATTAACAAGCAACCGAAGAATCTGCAACAATCCAATGAAATCAGGATGTTATGATTTCCAAATCAAGAGTTAAAATGCACCTAGAAAATGAATTTTAGCTATGGCCAAAGACTGAGTTTGAGAAGGTGTATTCTGCATGAACATAATATTTGAAAGGAACGATAAGAGAAGATGTATTCTAATCAGCTCATAGTATCTGTGGCCACCAGCCTCACCTCATGTCTATATTCTCTGCGGTTAACAAAAGAGTGGGATACATTGATGCAGTAAGATAAATTTCCCTGCACATTGTCGCTCTTTGTGATAGCTTCCTCCAACTTATCCAATCTCCGGCATTCTATAGCAATGCCCATGGCTTGTTGATACTTTCCGTCAGCGATACATCTGGAAAACAGAAAATCATGTAAAGACAATTGAATAACAAAGAAGACAGGAATATAAAATCAGTAAAAATTGGGCGTCCCATACTTGTCTAGCATTCGTTCAACAATGGCCTCCAATCTGGGGTCAATGTCCACCACCTCATTTGACTCAACTGCCTTCGATCTGAGAATAGCATACTCATCTATTGCTTTGGCTGAGAACAAAAGCAGAAGCATCTGGTCAGTAAACATTCAACATTGGACAGTCACTCATAGTCAGATAACTATCGTATCACGTCTCTGCATAATTTATTTGTCAGAGCACAATCTTATTAAAAGAAAGATGGATGTGCCAAGTCTTATTGGTTAGACAATATGTGGTGCAACGCAATCTATTAGCTTATTCTTGCATTTAATCAGGTTGGTATGTTCTTGACATTGTACATATTATAGTCTCAGATATCCGAGCTACTGTCTACTGTCACAGATCAGCGAAGAAGAAAAAAAGAGCATCACAACAAGCTTCAAAGTCCTTACCTAGAAGAGTATTAACATAATCAGAATCCTCTGACACATCAAATAAGGATCCAGCTCCAAGGGCATATGATAATGAATCGTTAAGCTCGCCCAAGTAATAGAAAACCTGAGATGAGACAAAATTCAACAATCATCATGAGAAAACAAACCGAATAATACCATCACATAAACTTGATTAGAAGAACAAAAATCTCAACTATACCTTGGAAACCAGCAACGCAGCAAGCTGTCTCTGATCCTGATCGAACTCTTCATCTTCGTATAAGCTCTCTCTACAGAAAATAAAATGTCTCAGAGTCAAGCTATCAAGCAGCACAAATCACTCTAAGATCTCAAGCTAAAACTACAGCCTCTAGAATTTCACTTAAAGTATCCAAGTCCCACAGGCTTTTTCTGGAAATTCGCAGCGAGCATACAAATCAAGTAAAAATAAACTCAGGAAGAAAAGAGTATAGAGATAATACATGAGTGGAACACTCGTGGAGATCTCGGGCCAAAATTGGTCAACCAATCTGTTGAGATATGAGAGGGCGTGAAGCTTCAAGGAAGGATGAGGTTCGCTGAGCATTGCCACTAACCCGCCGGCCGACGTAACATTCGCGACGGCCATTATTGACGAGCTCTACTCGGCGGAACAAGAAAAACCCTAGCGGTCGAGGAGAGTTTATCGGACGAACGAACAAGAACCCCAACTTGGGCGAAACCTCGTCTTGAGCGATTTAGCAGAATTGAGAGAAAGAGTTCACTGATTCAGAAATTGAAAATCCGAAATCCGGACTTTTAAGAATAATTAAAATATACTTACCCAACAAGTCAAGTAATCACGCAATGCCCCTAATATTTATAAACCTTATAATTTTTCCCCTAATGTTCTGTATTTTGCGTTATGGGCCCCTCTCGTTTCAATTTCTTCTAGAAAGATCCTGATATATAAAACTAGTTACTCTGATTTATCTTACTAGTCCAGCTCATGGAGAGATTAATTAAGGAAATTACGGAAATATGGAAATCGAATCTTTAACTCACTCGAGTTTAATTAAGGAAACTATGAAAATATGGAAATATTTAGAGAGAAGCGTTTGGGCCAAGGCATGTATAAGGGCCAAGGCATGTATAAAAACATATATAATGCAATCACAATTCACAATATTTCTCTCTCAATTTCAAAATTTGTTTCTCTTCGTGTATTGTAGTGAGCGAGAGAGAGAGAACGACCCTAGTTTCTTTGCTGAATCACGAAAAAATCACAATGCGAGCTTCTTCATCTTCTTCGTATGGTAATTCACTCGCAGCGACCAGTTTGGCCAACAGAGTAAGGACCATCTTCAAGAAAGCTTACGAGCTTTCGACTCTGTGTGGCATTGAGGTTTGCGTCATCCTCTACGGACCATCCGGGAAGCTGAAGACGTGGCCTGCGGAGAAAGAGAAAGTGGAAGACATGGCTTTGAGGTACAGAGCGGCCACAAAACGCAAGAAGAGCCTCAATCTTCATGAGTTCCTCAAGGAGAAGGAGAATAATCCGAAAAAGGATAATCCGAAGAAGAAGAAGAAGAAGAAAGATTTGAATAGCGGAGTCAAGTATCCTGATTGGTATCCAATCTTTGATCATTACTCTCCCCACCAACTCTCTCAATTGGTTATGTCTCTAGAACAAACTCTCTCTACGCTGCAAGAAAGGCTTCGTTTTGTTGAGGCGCAGAAACAGAGGAACACAAACTTTGTTCACCAGAATTTATCAACACCATCTTCGTCTCTGAACCAGCATCATCACCAATATCAGACCCAACCCTTGCTTCCTAGCCAGTTCTCGCCATCTATGTATGGTCAACGCATCAATCACTTGATGCTGCAGCAGAATCTTTGTGGTCTTGACAACAACATCACCAACACAAACTTTCAACACCCTTATGTCTTTAACACACTCTCTACATCTCGTTCCAATCAACTCAGCAATAACCAAAATCATCAGTTGATGCAGCTTTATGATCTTGGTCCCAACATCACCAACACAGACTTTCAAAACCCTTGCCTCTCTAACACACAAGGTTACCCACTCTTGCTTCAAGCACCAGAATCTTCGTTGAATAACAACGGGCTTGTGCAGCACCCGATGATGCAGAAACAAGAGCCTTCTGGTTTTGATCACAACATGCGTATCACCAACAACAACGTTCTAGAACATACTCATCTCTCAAACACAGTTTCAGATGAGCCCCGTTATGATTTCCAGAAGAACCCTGATGGTGGTATGGTCGGTAGCAGTAGCTTCTCTCAAGATTTTGGAGCTTTGTGATTCAGACATCTTCACTACAAGGCAGGTTAGAGAGTGTGAAGCTGTTTCTGCATCTAGATTCCTACCGCTACTGATTTATATTTTCGAATATATCAGTATAGTTGCAAAACAGATCCGTTTGTGGAGGTTTTGTTTTGAATTTTGAGTTTTGAAGTTAGTTCTCTTTTTCTCCGTCATTCATACATGCATGCCCATCCATAGATATATTTAACAAAAGCCTTGCATGAAACAAATTATTTAAGACATTGGAAAAAAAAAAAGACTTTTTTTTTTTTTTTTTTTTTAACTTTGTTTGTTCTTTTGACTTTTAAGAGTAACCATATTGAGCTTCTGGTTTGCGTCATTGATGGATGACACCTAGAAGGCTAATATAGCTCACAAATAAATGAAATCACATTTTATACTTTAAACAGTTCAATATTCCATAAATTGACATGGCCTGACCTCCAAAGATGATATGAAAACAATTTGGCTGCATCTTTTTATCAGGTTCTTGTTAACACACACACACATACAAAATCTCAAAATTGGCCAAACAATCTTCTTGTTAGTCGCAATAAAAAATTCTAGAGCCTTGGGATCAAAATTTAATCTAACTATGTATGAATGAATGCATGATCAACATAATCTAACGACTTGTATATGATATCTGCCAACTAAAATCATAGGTTCCCCAACTCTTCAACTATATTTACATCATATTGTTCTCTTTGAGCTGGATGAGATCAATAGGCAGTTGGGCAGACAGTACATAAATAAATAATTTGTGGAAAAAGCAGGAAAAAAACTTGTCCAGTGAGGCAGTGACCGGTGAAACATCATTTAATTGTTACTCAAAAGCTTTGTACCGGCTAAACCGGGCGAATTTACACCATATCGGTTTCCACAAGTTATATGCCTGATAATAAAGAGAGAGGCTGAGAGATATGTTGAACTTCGTGGATGCATGAATATAGTTGTTTAAACCGCATAGACTATATGTTGAAATGGTTTTCACTATGTTAGTTGAGGGATCAATTAACAAACAAAACTAAAGCTTTCCAACAAGACGTAAACCAAGTGATCCGGTTTATTTAGGCTACGTAAAGTGCACTACTCACAATATTGACAATAAGTGCTATCACGATCTCTCTCGACTATAAGCCTCTATATAAACTAACACGCGACAAGCAATCTCCTAAGAAAACAAATATCCTCTCTTTCAATATATCTAACTACAACAAATTTAAATTTGCAAATTGTTTCAAGTATGAGTTTAATTAGCGGTAAAGCGTGTGTGTTTATTTTGGCATTTGCTTTGTTCACAGATTTCAGTTTTGGAGAAACAGAGTTTCTTGATGAGAAGCCCTTGTTTCCTCACCCTCGTCCATTCCTCCACAAAGGTGGCATCCACAAGAAGGGCTTTAAGAAAGGCTTCGGCGGTTTAGGCGGTGCTGGAGGTATAGGCGGTGGAGGCGGCTTCGGAGCAGGAGGTGGTGGTGGTTGGATTGGAGGCGGAATCGGAGGCTTTAGTGGAGGAATAGGCGGTGGATTTGGTGGTGGCGGAGCAGGAGGGGGAGGAGGATTCGGCAGCGGAGGAGGATTTGGCGGGGGTCCAGGTGGAGGAGCTATTGGTGGACCTGGCGGCAAAGCTGGTGACGCTCCAGGTGGTGGACTTGGCGGCAAAGCTGGTGATGCTGGACCTGGTGGCAAAGCTGGTGATGCTGGATCTGGTGACGCTGCGGGTGGAGGAGCAGTCAGCGGTGCCGGTGGAGGAATCGGCGGCGGAGGCCACTGAGGGTTTGTTAAACTGTTATCAATTATGTGCATTGACGAGGACTATAATCCCCATGCATTATGTATGTTTTCATTTAAGAACAGCTAGTTCCCCAAAAATATAATGTAATAAAATATACAAGAAATGTACGTCGTTTCCCTTTAGTTGAGTCAAATGTATGCTGTTTTCTTTCCTCTGTGAGTCTGTGACATGTGCTGGTTTGATTTTCGAGTAAAGAAAGTGATTCTAAAACGATCAACAAAATATACAAAAAGTTAATAACACTCGATATATATCCTCATATATATTTGAGTTAAATGCTTATAATAGAAACTTTGATTTTTAAATTGTATATCATTATCACTTCAAAAGTATACGTATATCAAAACGAAGCCTGGTGCATTTATTTTTAAATGGAACGAAGAAGAAAGAGCCGTCGTTTCTTGTACCGTACGTAAGACAATTTAAAAGTACAACCTTAAAGTTTAAACGAGATTAAATCTAAATTAATCACAGATGGTTACAGAGCAGTTTCTCGCGCGTGAACGGCCGTAAAAACCCGTTTCATGAGCTCGACGGGACCAACAAAGTAATTCCAGAGAGAATATTCCCAGAATCACCGGCCGAAAGGGTACAATGGTGATTTTGCAAAATTCTCCGATGAGTTTGCAGACCTTGTTTTTTAAGTGACGGAGGATTTACAAACCGGGCATGCTTTACTCCGTCCTAGCCATGGATCGATGCACTGCACAAAACATAAACACAGATGTTCGTATTGTATAATCTTTTAAAGGGTTTTTGATTTGACTCAGTAAACGATCCTTACATCTTTGTGGAATTTGTGAAAACAAGGAAGATGACGGATAGTGTCTCCGATCGTCGGCGTTTCCAGACAGATAACACACGTTTCTTGGAAATTATCGGTCTGCAAATTTTCACATAAAACCCCAAAGAGAAAGGTTTCATTACAAAATTTCCATATGCCAAAAAAAAAAAGGATTTTACAAGTCTTAACTTACTTGAACTGTGGACTCTGGCAAGTTGTTAATGCGATGAGTAGAAGCACCAGCATGTCGATGGTTGTTTTCATCAAGAGCTAGCAGCAATTCGTAATCATCTCTGCATCGTAAAGGAAATGTTGTAAGATTTAAGTCGCATATATTTACGAATGATGAAAAGAGGTACACCAAAAGAGAACATACTCAGTAAAGTCACGATCCATATGAAGAAGACTACTATTGTTCATGGCGTGTCCAATAGCATTCTCTAGAGTCTCTAGACCCTCCAGAAGATCCATTCTCTGTTACATTAAGAAAACAAGGGTAAAGAATTAATATTCAGTTCCATGCGACACACTCCAGGGAATATAAACAGAGTTCATTAGAAAAGTGTACCAAATCTACGCCCATGTAATTTGGAAAACTGAGATTCAGAGCTGCCTGTGTTGAAGCAGATGCACGGCCTAAACGGTGACCTCTACCCCGTGGTGGCGCTCTAGCAGTAGCACGACGAGGCTGTGGAGGATTCGATCTCCTCCTAGAAGAATTCTGTTGCAGTCGTTCTTCCAGCCGACTTCTCCCACCTGGATTTGCTGCTACCTGTAAATTATACTACTCGTTAGCATAAGCAAACGGTTAAGATCCTAAATCCAGATTTTCATATTAAATGCATGAACACATGACACATCCATGTTTCACAATGATTAGTCTCGCATCTGAACTCAGGAAAGTTTTAGAGTTGGTGACTTACGGTATTAGAGCTTCTGGTATTACGAGTTGAAGAGGTACGACTAGAAGAAGCACGAAGAGCATTCTCTTCTTGTTCAATCAACCTGGCTATGTTTTCATCAATCTGTAACAATGTATGAAGTCGAAATAAGACCATCGAGAAACCTTGATAGAACCTATAGAGGATATCAAAGAATTAAGGAAGGTCTGGAAAAGTACCTGCTCGTTTCTAATCACTGAGGCTTCTTGGTACATCTGTTCTTGCAGTTCACGAGCCATTAACTCATCTGCTTCCATTTGTCTTGCTTTAACATCAGAGTCATCGTTTGCAACGCGTCTAGGAACCCGGGAGACTCGTACTTCGGGAGATGAATCATCAATCTCCAACACTTGTGTGCCTTGCCTTTGATGATTCTGACTTCTCGGTGGCCTTGAACTAGAGGGTTCCACAGAAGATCCAATAATAGAAACATCTGGCTCATTTGAAGATCTCGAAGTAGTAAATCCAAGTTTCCGTCTCCGTGGTTGTCTAACTTCTTTGTCAATCGCACCGGTTTCCTGCACGTCGAGTCGGGAAACGGAGCTACAAATTCCACGTGTGTCACTCTCCTCACCCCTCCGATTCATTTCATGGTCGGTATTTAACTCCCGGTTACGCGTACTAACCCACCTCTCCAAGTCTTCTCTACTTGCCAACCTATTTGCATTGATACAAACTCTTTTAGCACCCAAACAAAAGAAAGAATCATCCCTATGTTCAAACATGTGATGAAAGATAAGGGAAAAACATTACCTATTTGAGGAAGTTTCAGGTCTTTTTCCTCTAGCTCTTGCGTGCATCCGATTTTCAGAAACAATCTCCAAAGATACAGTTTCAGGAGCTATCTCGTGTTCAACACTAACTGTTTCCTCGGAAATGGTAGCAGCAGCTTGCCTAGCTCTAGCTGCGATTCCAAGTGGAGAAATGCAGCCATGCCTTACCAGTCTCTTAGTGCCTCTACTCGGTTTCTTGTCACTGGAAAGGTCAATTGTTTCTCTATCAGAAACAGAGCCACAGTCTACTTTCCCTTTACCCTTATGATCACCTCGCAAGGGAGAGCAATCAACGCTAGCTGTGCGGTGTTCTCTTATATCCTCAGATGCAGCAGCTCCATTTCGTGGATTTAGATTCAAAACTGGAATTTTCTCAGCAGGAGCCGCGCAAGGACCAGTGCAGATGGATTTTCCTTTATCCTTCTCAACCGCAGCTCTCCTAAACAGAGCATTGCTTCCAGAAGGACGAAAGCGACGTACGTTCTCAGTAGGTGTATCAGAATTCTCCACAACTTGAGGGACTTGTCTGGTTCTACCGCCGTTGCGGTACTCTTCTCTTTGGTACCTAACCGGTGCTTCTGGAGAATGCGGTCTTCTCTTAACCTCTCTGCTCATCGAGCTACACCGTACGGCCCTATCTGGAGTGTCAGGTATGCTGATTACCATTTCAATGTCAGTGTTGTCCATCCTGAGAAATTGAAGCAATGCTTAGCGTTAATGGCCTAACAATTAATTTTTCTGATTACAGAGATGTAGAAGAACGAAAACAGATGATTTTCATCGAATCAAACAGAATACCTGAAATCCAAATTCAAAGGAATCTTAGCTACACCGAAACACCGAAAGCAAATTGTTCCTCCCCGTGAAAAAAAACACAATCGTAGAGAAAAACTCTATCACGCTTGCAAACACAAAAGGAAAGAGGAAATTACCCGATTGATAATCTAGTTCCAAAGTGCGAATCGAAACCCTAATTGTTCGAGAAACCAAAAGCATCGATTCTGATGAGAAACAACAGGCGTCGATTGGACCACAGATAGTTCCGGGTCGGGTAAGGAATTACTGGGTCGGGTTATGGATCTTCAATCTGATGATGTTGGCTTACGCAATGAAACTGGGCTATGGTCCAATAAATTGGGCTTTTGAATTTAATTTCCTTTTTCTTTCCTTTTCTCCCGATTAATCTCCGCCGTCTAAAATATATGATTGAGACCACTTTGTTATTACCCAAGTTCTCCCAATAATACAGAGAGGTCGTCTATGAATGCAAGAATACGGACGATGATGAGTGCACTAGCATAGAGTATAGACTCGCATACCCATTTTAGGCTTGTAAAACCAAATATTTGGGCTATTTATTTCTCATACTGATGATTAGTTAATAGTAAGATTTTACATTTTGTTTTCTTTGCTTTAGATTTTTGTATAGTTTTTTTTATACATCATCTTTCGTTTGTAAGTTGTAACCATATTATGAGGCTAAAAGTTTTGATCCCTAAATTCATTTTTCTTGTTTTTATGCTTTATGTTTCTTCAAGAATATTTCAAATTTCAGCATAATATAAACAGTTGATATTATTGACAATTTGATAACCTAATTGTATGTTGAAATTCATAACGCGTTTGTCTTTTAAGTTTCAACGATAGATAAAATGTTTCCAAGTCAATTTTTTCCAATTAGTTAGCTACTTTTCCGAATAAGAATTACATAGTTTACACGAAGTCCACGCACTCATCACATAACTTTGACAAGTACTATATGACAACGTACTTCTTTGGGATTTGTTTAATAACAAAACTAACAAAACATAGTACAATAATCATTTATTGGGATAATCAAGTCACCAATTGCCTCAAACCAATTATTTTGGTGGTTTCTTAATGAATTTATTCGAGGAAATATCCTCTCTCTTTTTGCTTCAGTTTGGCTTCTTCTGCATCCGACTTTTAAAAAAAACATTACTATCTTTTGTATGTAAACTTAATAATTCACCAAACTAACTACCATTGTCTTATTTAAATTATGGTAATTTTATTGTAATTAAGAGGGCTAAATTTATAATGATTTATCTTTATTTTACATGAATAATGTTTTAAAAATCTGACTATTATTTATTTATTTATAATTTATCTATCGACGATATTATTATTTATTTTTATTTTGTCTTAATATCTTTCGAGGAGCTTTTAACGGTTATCGTATCTAATAGCGATTCCCAGATTCCATGTAAGCTTCCCGACCGGACTTTGAACCTTCCCCATTAGAGACAGCTAAAGGAACCGTGTCCATCTCTTTGGTTCCTCTGCCTCTAAATTATATTCCTTTCTTCCAACTCCGAATCTACTTCACATCATCTTCTCTTTGCATAGATCTCTTCTTTCCACGAATCTTCTCGGCTGGGTTTTTTCCCGATCTGGCTCGGATCTGATTCCTCCGAAGCAACGAATCTCGAGTCTCCTTTTGTTTTGCCTTTCAGGGAAAGTCGAGAATTGTTTTCAAGAAGATAAATTTCTCTTTACTTCTGGGGGGCAGCTGCTGATTAGCTTCAATCGTCTTGATCTGGGTATACAAAAAACTTTCCTTTTTTGGCAAATTATTTCTGGCTTTGTTTGGGTTTCATTTTCGAATTTCAATTTCCTTTTCACGTTTTGAATTTATTGAATTCCGACTCCCAGAGTCTCGTGTCTGTTAAAAGTTGTCGACTTTGCATTTGGGGATTTTGCTTGGGTTTTGGGTTTTACATCCCAAATTTTCAGATTTGTCTGCTCTTATCCGATATTGGAGAGTTGCAAATTTGGAAACTTCACTTCTGTTTCTCAATTGAGAGGGTTTATAGGTTTTAAGATGATGGGACTTGAGTTGGGTTTGTCTCTCCTTGTCAAAGATTGAGTCTTTTCAAAGCTTTAGTTTGTTATAGATAAACTCTCCTGAGAAATGGCAAGCAGCACCATTGATGTCACCAAGTATGGTCACAGCCCTGTTCACCATGCTGTTGTCACCAGAGATTACGCCGGTCTCAAGAAACTATTATCCGCCCTCCCGCGTATGCGTGACCCGTCTGAGGTCAAAAACGAAGCAGCTTCCGTAGCCGAAGAGACAAAAGCCGACGCAATCGCAGCTGTTATAGACAGGCGTGACGTCGTTAACCGAGACACGGCTCTTCACTTAGCTGTAAAGCTCGGCGACGAGACCTCCGCGGAGATGCTCATGGCTGCAGGAGCTGACTGGAGCTTGCAGAACGAGCACGGATGGAGCGCTCTGCAAGAAGCCATATGCGGTAGAGAAGAGAGGATCGCCATGATAATCGTGAGGCATTATCAGCCCCTGGCTTGGGCTAAATGGTGCAGGAGGCTGCCTCGGCTCGTGGCTACAATGCACAGGATGAGAGACTTCTACATGGAGATCACTTTCCATTTCGAGAGCTCTGTTATACCTTTCATCTCCAGAGTGGCGCCTTCGGATACTTACAAGATTTGGAAGAGAGGTGCGAATCTCAGAGCGGATATGACGTTGGCTGGATTCGACGGTTTCAGGATTCAGAGATCGGACCAGACTATACTCTTCCTCGGAGATGGGTCGGAAGATGGTAAAGTTCCTTCCGGTTCACTCCTTATGATATCGCATAAGGATAAGGAGATTATGAATGCTTTGGACGGTGCTGGAGCTCCGGCGTCAGAGGAAGAGGTTCGTCAAGAAGTGGCTGCCATGTCGAAAACGAGCATTTTCAGACCGGGGATCGATGTTACGCAAGCTGTTCTGTTCCCTCAGCTGACGTGGAGGCGTCAGGAGAAGACTGAGATGGTGGGGCAGTGGAAAGCGAAAGTGTACGATATGCAGAATGTGGTTGTGAGTATAAAGTCAAGGAGAGTGCCTGGTGCTATGACCGATGAGGAGCTTTTCTCAAACAGTAATCAAGAGAACGAGACTGAGAGCGAGGATCTTGGAGATATCTTGACGGAGGATGAGAAGAGGCAGCTGGAGCTAGCACTTAAGTTGGATTCGCCTGAGGAGTCTTCTAACGGCGAGAGCTCTAGGATTAATACAAGTTCTTCTTTGGAGGAGGATCGGGAGATTCCGGTGACGGATGGGAACGGGTATTGCAAACAGGAGAAGAAAGGATGGTTCAGTGGGTGGAGGAAGCGAGAGGAAGGGCATAAACGAAGCGGTAGTGTTCCTCCAAGAAGCTCGCTTTGTGTGGATGAGAAAGTGAGCGATCTCCTTGGGGACGATGATGGTGGAAAACAGATGAAACCGGGAAGGCACTCTACGGTTGAGAGTGTTGCGAGAGACGAGAACAGGGGAGTGAGAGATTCTTCGTCGTCAAAAGCTTCAACATCGGAAGGCAGCAGCGGAAGTAGCAGTAAGCGAAAGGAAGGTAACAGAGAGAATGAGTACAAGAAAGGGCTTAGACCAATTCTTTGGCTCTCTGAGAGATTCCCATTACAGACTAAAGAGCTTCTTCCGTTGCTTGATATTCTTGCAAACAAAGTCAAAGCAATTCGGCGTTTGAGAGAGCTTATGACCACAAAGCTACCTTCAGGAACATTCCCAGTCAAGGTCTGTTTAAGTTTTAACCTCTGTGATCATCGTCATCTTCATCATTTTTGTGTCAAGCTTTTACTCATTTCGTTTGGATATTTGATTGCAGGTTGCTATTCCGGTGATTCCTACGATTAGAGTACTCGTTACGTTTACAAAGTTTGTAGAGCTAGAAGCTATTGAAGATGAGGATGAGTTTGTTACGCCGCCATCGAGCCCTACTTCTTCAGTCAAGAACAGTCCTAGAGAGGAGACACAGACCTCATCATCAAGCTCATCATCCTCATGGTTTCAGTGGATCAAAACACCGAGCCAACAACGTCCATCAACGAGCTCGAGCTCTGGAGGGTTTCATATCGGTAAAGCCGAAAACGATCAGGATCCATTTGCTATTCCGAGGGGATACAATTGGATTACATCTGAAGAGAAGAAAAAGAAGATCCAAGAGAAGAATAAAGCTAAGAAAGGCAAGCCATCTCAGAGCAGCTGAAGAAAAAGAAAACACAAGTAAGAAGATGTCTCTCTGGAAACAAAAAGTAGGGAAATCTAGCAGATTATTACCATTACTACTGGTAAAAAAAAAAGATCAAATCCTTTTTCCTGGTTGTTGTACTAATAAACTGGGTTTATAATATCAAAACCAGGGGAAAACAAATTTAATTAAATATAGTTGGGGAAATTAAGGAATGAGGTGGGTTAATGTTGTTGTTGTGACTTATTTGCTTATGATTCTTTCTCTGTCTTTTGTTTAATCGTTGGAGATGATTATTATTATCTCTGTATCATCATCATATAAGCTCTGTTGGTATTAGATCAAGTTGTTTACTCGAACTTTGCATTTCGCAGAGTCTCTTGTCTCTTTACTTGTCGGCTTTTCCGATTTCTCCATTAGAGTGGTGTTATTACAGAACAGACGAAAGGTTTCTATAGGAAGGTCGAGAAATGTTCTGGAAAATCCGATTATAAAGTCTAGAGTCACATCAGGATATAAATCTGCCTATCTCCAAACAATGCCTCAAGTGACTTCAGTTCCTTCAAGTTCATTGGTTTTTACTCGAAAGTGAATTTGCGAAAAACACTCTACAATCTCTACTAGAATCAACTCATTTCAGACACATTGCTAAGAAAAACAAAACAAAACTCAAAAAAAATACTAGTGTCACTGGATTATACAAACACCACAATATTTTCTTTTAGAATCTCCTGCATGATCTCCATCCTCGGATGCGCTGCAATTAAATTCCACAAACGCAGATTAATGTCCTAGCACCGGAGTATGGTGAACCGGTAATTAACCGTTTTAGAAAGATTATAACAGAAATCTATGACTGAAACGTTGCGGAAAACTAAACCAACACATAAATAAATGCATGATTGATTACCTAAGCTCAAACTCTTGAACATGAGCAATATCTTTGCCATGAGCATCAGGCCAGCTTACTTTCCTCTGTTCCAAGCCTTTCTCTGCATCTGTCTTTATCTTGAGGTTGCTTTTGAGCCTGGAAGGCTCGCTGGAGACGGCGGTGCAGCTTCTTCCGCC